TATTGAAATTTTAATAAAATGAATGAAAGAAAAAAAAAAAGAAATATCGTGTTAAAATGAGTGTTCATCTTAAGAGATAATACAAAAATTAATTAATTTCAAAAGTAATGAAGTGGTCAAAAAATATAAAATTACAAAGTCAGATTGACTTAATCGTCAAACTTATAACGCTGTTTTTTGAATATCAAGTTGTCGCCAATGCGACATCCCTACTGCTTGGCTTTGTCAGCCCTTATTTTTTCTACCTACTCTCACCTGCTTTGCCGCACGCTATCTTCAATAATTCAACCATGGATCTATCTTATACCACCCATTTGCTGGTTTGGCTTTTATTATATTTCCCGTTGTACAGTAAAAAAAATAAGACAAAAGAATTGACGTCTATATATATATATATATATATATATATATATATATACATATGTTAACTTTTTAATTCAACTATAAAACTAAATTTCCCATAAATAATCATTTCGACATTTCACTAGAAAAAAAAACATTCATCAAAAATACATGCAATCAATACATCAATTTTACAAATCTAGACCATTTAATTATTTTATAGTTCAATAATTTAGAATCAATCAATAAATAGTTATGCTTTACTGAGTCTATAAAAAAAACTATTAATCCAGAATTGTCGTAGAATATTATTATAATCAAAACTTTACATCACTTATTCATATTTAATAATAAACTACTCACACAATATATAAACTCATATTTTTTTCAAATCTTAACTGCGCATTTAATTAATTATGTATAAACATAATCATTAAAATAAATAAAAACTATTGACAACTAATCACAAAAAAAAAAATATCCATATTAAAATGATTGAATCCTGCCGATGAATTTACATAAACATATAAAGTTAGTAAATAATCGATTTATGTCGAAAAAAGTGAGTGAATTTTTCCTTATTAGTTAAAAAATTCAAATTATCACCAAATCATCATCGGCATCCATTTTTTTAAATTGATCTGAAAGATCATATTTTTATAAAGAGATTTTTTACCACATTGTTCAAGAGAAATAATTAATTGAAGTGATATCAAAATACGTGAGCTTTTATGGTTATCTTTATCCAATTTCACCGGAAGTTAATGATTTATTAACAATTTATTTAAGTTAAATTTCAACATGATTCTCATTAATAGTTGTTGCATTGAATTTATAAATTATCATTACAAATCATACATACATACTATGCAGAAAGTTGTTTGATATATTAAAAAAAAAATAGTTATAATTATTTTGACTACCAATATGTAAATGCTAAACTACCTTAATAGAATTATTATATAAAACATTAAATATCAATCAATTATTTAAAACTAATAGTGTGAAATAAATAAGAAAATAGCATAAACATATTTCTCACGCATCTCTAATGATTAAATAACAAATAAATAGTATGGAGCAACAAGATCCTTCGCATTTAGAATAGGTTAAAAAAATATTATTTGTAGATTGGATAACAAAATTCATGTTTACTATTGAAAGGGTAAAATTAAGAATGAAGAGAATGAAGGAGAGTCTTGAAGTATTAGAAAAGGAATGAGATAGGAATATAAATATTTAAAGAATGAGAGAAAAAAAGGACATTCCTTTTTAAGGAATACAGTAAAGAGAGACTACAGCTGTTGCAATTGCCTTGTGCAACTGCATTAATGACTTGTGAAGTGACCTTGTGAATTCCTGAACGTCTCCCTTCCTTTTATTTCTTGACATACTCTAACTCTCTTGTGCTTAGATTCATACAACGACATCACTGTACGCACTTGTAATGTATGTACATATATAAATCAACCAAGTTTATCAACATCGTGTGTAGGTCGAGAAAACTACATTAACAACATAACCTATGTATTGCACACGTGTTTAAAAAGATTAAGTAATGAGTTTAACAAAAAGGCAATAGTTATATATGTCGCGCGCTATCCACGTGCTATGCTACTATTAACTCCAACTACTACATGAGTTAATGGCATTTTTCTCAGAATTTTTATTCACCTCACGCATCGTTATTATGATGAATTTTCTTTAGTAGTGAAAATGTTTGAAACATTAACTTTGCTTGCAGCTTCGTTTGCCCTTTCCTCACCATCACCACTACGTAAGCTGATATCCCGTAATAGTTGACTTTAAATGTGTATACAAGTGCATCGTAATCACGACTTTTGTTAGTCTAGTAGATCCGATAAAAAATACTTTTTTGGTATTGAACAAATAAACCAGTTGATAAAAAATTAGAATTAGATAAGTATTATTGAATATTTTTAATTAATTTTTATGCTAACGACGTTATTTTTTTTTTTTAAATATCAAAAAAAATTTTGATATGAAAGCTTTTATGTAAAAAATTAAATTAGTTATTAATAGGTGATTTAATTGGGATTTTAACTTTAGAAATTGGCTGCTCAATTAATTTGAAAATATTTCAGAACGATTTTATTTAATAATAAAATCAAAATTTTTGATAGTCGATTTTTATTTGTGCTCAATTATTTTTAATATTAATTAATTATCTGAGTATTAGTTCATTCTAGTGTTTTATTGAGGATATAATTTTTTTTTTTTAAGAAAATACGAATTTTCTCAGAATTATTCTAATATCACTTTGTATTTAACCTTATCATAATCTTGAACGAAATATCAGTATACGTTTTTCAAAAAAAATTTCTTTAAATTCGATAAAATATTTATTTTTAATGTTGAAAGACGGTAATTTTTTTTAAGCATTAATTAATTTAAATTATTTATTTATGTTTATGATAAATATTTTTTAAAAACTTCAACACTATTAAATTATTTTAGTAAAAAAATATTTATATTTACATAAGTGATAATTGTGATTTAATCGGTCTACTTAAGATCTTGAAAATCAATTATTTCTTCGAGATAGTAGAAAATGTTAATGATGCAAATTTAAAAGCTTGAATTTAAAGTTAGATATCAATGTCTTCCATTTTATTCATAAAATTAAGTTCAATAATGACCAAACTTTACATCAGGAAAAGATTTTTCTTCCAATAAAAGCTAATCTTGGGCGTAAATATCATTTCTAAGTTTTTTGTTCTCTCGTTGGAATTCTATTTTCCCAGAACTACACAGGAAAGAGTAAATAAAGTTGAAAAACTGCAAAGATATTTTCTTAGTAAGCAGTGCAATAGTTTGATAAATAATAATCAATATAAATAAAAATAAAAATAATTCTTTTAAAAATGATGGCATCTAGAACTCTTAGCAAAAAGCATGCAGGATGTTTTTCGAATCGAAAGAGAAAAAAAAAAAATTACAAAGATCGGAAAAATCGATTCATTTTTAATTCGCAATTATCCAAGAAAGAGTATATGACAAAGTCATGAAGCCTTCGATCGTACATTCAATAGGTACTTTATATAGATATATAATATCTCTTGAACTTTCACATGGGTACCGGACATATAATGTTTGCAGGCATACAAGTTCAAAGTTTTGTGATGGCAACCGCGTGACGATTTGTTGTCGTGGTAACGCTTTGTTGTACCGTCGCGACGCAGTACGTCGAACCACGTCGAACAAAGAGCAATACGAGGAAAAAAAGCCTTGATCGTAATATCAAAGTGCAATTGTCAAATAAACTATAATATAATTAACATTCTTCGATTTGACCATAATTTATTCATCAATACTCATTGTCATTCATTCTGTAATATATATCATAATTAAATTAATAAAAAGAATAAATATGTCAAATACTCCAATACAAGGAGTATACCTACTTAGAAGTGAGTACATAATCATTTCAAATGCAGTTTCATATCAATTAGTCATCGATTGGTTAATCCGTAATCAACCACATACATACATCTAAAACAATGGAAAAACGTATAGGCATATAAGAACAAAGTTACCATTGACTTTTTTTTTTGTATTGAAAAATTACTACTAGTGAATACTATTTTTTGTATATTACTAATTAAAATAAATTAATAAAATAATTTCTGATAATAAACTTACGTGAATTTGCTAAAAGTGATGAAATAATATAATGGATTTATAAAAGATAAATTATTTAGTTATGTTGACCTCATACGCAAAGTTTATCACAGATAATCTGTATAGTAGTAATTTACTCGAAGCATCTAGCCTACAACGAACAATTGAACCGTTGTCGGTTCAATAATGCTTTATGAACACATATTTTTTTCTCATATTTTTTCTTTTTGAGTCAAGAAAATAGATTAAAAGAAGATAGCAATAAAGCGTCCAGTCATGGCCGGCAGCTTACGTTGATTTATGTACTATACAAGTAATTTAATTTCACATATAATTTCATTTTTTTGGAATTGAATCATTGTTGTTGATACGTTTGATTAAATTAGGAACAAGATAAAAAAAAAAAGAACTCATTAATTGTAAATAACAGTGATGAAAAAAAAAAAAAGAACAAAGGGCAGAGCAAGGACACTGATTGTGAGATGAAATAACGCTTTTACCACGCGAACGAAAGAGGGCTGGTCAAGCGCAATGAAAGAAACTAACCCCTAAATCACTCCATAATTTTGAGTCACTCGGTATTGAGTTATTTTGGCAGAAGAGTAATGAAAATTTTATTTAAAATTATATAGATACATGTAATACTTACTTTAAATGAACATCAGAAGTTAAAACACAATAATTCTACACTATTTTTTACGCACAAAAACATAAAACTTTCAACAGCAATCACAATGCAATGGCGAACCACAAAATGCGTTTCAATTGGCTTGGTATATATGTCTCCGGCTGTTGTTTGATACACTGAGGACATCTGCCGGGAATTTTGAAAACTTATACATAAATGAACTCCTATTGGACGATGATGAACCAATAAAAATCAACACATTGTGGCGCAAAAAAAAATTAAATTTAAATAAAGAAGACATTTATAAACTATTCTGTTACATTCTGTAAAAAATTATGCATAAATCTTTGTCATAATTATCTAAATATACATAAAAAAGTAAAATATTCTACTAGGCATATACAAATATAAAAATATGTACATTGAGTTAGAGTAGAAAAAATATATGTATATGTATTCATTTAAGGTAATTGAGTAATTATAAATTATCAACAAGACTGTGACATTCTCTTAATAAATCAGCACTTCTTTTCATCTGAGCTATTGTAGACAATCCAGATTGAATGCTTTCATCTATATTTTTTTCTACTTTTCTAGTCATCTCTCTTCTCTGGGTTACTTCTTTCAACAGGGAATCCTTTTCAGTTTTAACTTCCTCAGCTATTTTTCGTAATTTCTCATACTCGTTCTGCATTTGAATCATGTCAAAAGTCCTGAGATGTTTCTTTACTTCACCAGGAGGTCTCCTAAGAATAAAACTCACTAATTAGTCAAGAAAAAAATATTATATTAATTTATAAAAATAATATATCTTCAAAATATTTACCATGCCGGTGTGTTTGGTTTTTGTGTGCATATTTCTGTCAGCCTCGTAATTTCGGTGATACCATCAACTAAATTATCTTCTGTTACTATTGAATCTAAATCTAAATTCATTTCTTTGTGTAAATCGTTCACTAAAGCGTCATACAATCTTTTTGAAGTCGTTGATTTCATATTTAAAAAACTAAAGTACTCCTTGAATTCCTCATCACTTGAAAGAATAAAAAAGATTTATTATTTCATACAAGGTAATCAGTTAAAAATGCAAAATAATTTTTTGTTTGCTATTTTTCATTTAAAAAAACCACTGTTCGTTGAATATATGTACACGGTCAGGCCGGGACGGGTGCAATGTGATTTAATACTACAGAATTGCATTTGTCCGGACCTAATCGAGCACGTTTTAAACGTAGTTCTTTGTATAATATTATTCCAAGACTAGTATTACAGGAATATTGTGTAAAACTATGCTGATCAATTCCTCGAATATAATGAAAGTTGATACAATGTATGTGGGCCCTATCTGATAATTACCAAGCCTAATGACATCATATGCTTCTGGTACATACTAATCGAAAAAATTTTCTTTCATTTTCAATTATTCTATATCTTTTATCCAACTCTTTTTTAATGTTATTCTAAAATATTGAATCTCCATAAATAAAAAGTATAAACATTACCTCACTGATTCAACAATATTTTTTATAACATTTGAAATGGCTGTTTTAAAAATAAGTGCCTGTGCTGGCATTATTGAACTATTATTATCTTGATCACCCATTATTACTTTGTTTTAACAGAATTTTTACAGCTTGTTACTTGAATAATAAATTCTTATTGTTATTTTAAATTTTAACGTATTTTCTGGTTCTTGGTACCACAAACTGAACTGTTGAACGCTATACTGTTATATAGTAACGGTTTTTGATATATTTATGTATATGAATGAACTCGCTTAAAAAGCAACTTCGGGCACATTCGTAAGTTATGAAACTCACCTCGTGTTTCTCTTCTCCACATGAAAGTACAAACCAGTAGAGATGTCAGAACATAACCTTCAAGTGATCATGCTTGATTTTTATTAGTACGATTGATGATTCAATATTCGGCATTTTTAACTCAGCACATGAAGATGAAACGATTATTTATTTATTTTTTTAATTGAGAATTAGAATAAGTTATACCGTAATATTTTTTATTAAATGCCAGCAAAAACATATTACGTTAAATAATTTATATACATATTCTAAATTCTGTATATTCATTCAAATTTTAATTATAATTTAATTATTATAAATATATATATTTTTTATAGGTCAATGCATTGGATAAATGCATTAAACAAACTGTTCACTGCTGTTAGCACTAAGTTCAAGTAATCGCCAGGCAGATTTTGGATTTAATTCACTAGGGTCACGACATAAAACCCATATATAATTCACTCGCATCACTTTTTCTGGATCACCTTCCACTACTTTATTTTTTGAGTCTCTTAAACACATTATTTGTTGAGATTGAAAACTTATTACAAGTACGGGTCCTTGTTCCATCATTTTTCCCATCACTAAGTCGACATTGTCGATATCTAAGAGAGAAAAGAAGCTTAAAATTAAAAATATAATGTAAATTAAATTAACATGAATCCAAATTACCTAGAATTTTATTGTCCATTCTATAACCAAGTTTGTGAGCTTGAGTAAAAGGTTGAGCAATAATATTATATGGAGCTTCATGACACCAATCTTTCAATATCTCTAGATCACCTCGTATCATTGCCTCCAATATATTCGGTATAATATCTGTTTCACAATCTCTTAAAAATTTATTCTTGTCAAAGCTTGGATCCAATTTACATATTTCAGTTAATGTTTCAGATAATTCGTTTTTTTGGAATAAACCACCCATTATATCTGTTACTTTGTCTGTAAGTAATCTCGATGCCCTTATTACTGGATTGTCTGATTCATCATATTTCATCTTCCAATCTAATACTTTATTCACATACGCATTATTTTCCTAAAAAAAAGGATATTTTATAACAGCATAAACTTGATGAAATGATACAAACAATTATTTGTGTAATAATAATTGTTAAATAAAATACCTTAAAATTCTGCCAAGATTGATAGAACTTGGAATCTTTATGTAACTCAACACCCGTTGCTTCAGTATTTGCTTCAACTGGTTTATCTTCTCTATCTAATACTTCTTTACGTTTTCTTAATTTTTTTGGAGCTACATATACTTGTCCTTGAATACCATGATTGTCTAACTCTTTTCGTACAACTTGAGCTGTTTGTGATATCGTTTGAAAAGCACTACTTTTTCCAATTGCTTGGCTTTTTTCTGAAATCGTTTCAGCTGCACCTTTTGCTGTTCTAGTAATTTCTTCACCTAATTGTCCAGCTTTTTTACCCAATTCTGTTTTACTAGCTTCATCTATAACTTCTTGAACCTTTCCTTTAATTACATCAAGCTTTTCTTTTAATACTTCACTAGATTTTGTAGCCTCTGACTCTACTGACTGGAATTTTTGCCTAGCTGATTTTAATGCATCAGATTGCTCCAATTTTTCAGCTTCTTCTCGGAATTTTTTTAATGACTCTTTCATTTCTTTGTTCTTTTGCATTTCTTGTTTGATGTTGTCGATGAATTGTGAAAAAAAATTTGGTTTCCTTGCTTGATTTGAATAACATCTCGTATAAAAATTGATATCTTTACTTGCTAAAGGTACAGGATATTCAGGAATTTGTGTTAAATATTGTCCATTAAATCCACAATAAATTCTTTTTTTTCTTTGAGTTGCTTTTGCAAATCCTGCTAAATTTGTTCTACACACTGTAATATTTTTGAACTGTAAAAGAATAAATATTAAAGAATCATTTGTGTTTATTACACGTAATGACATATTTAAAAACATAAAAAATAGTTGATAAAAATGATGAAAAAATATTATCGATTAATATTAATGTTACAAAAAATTTTTTTTATAAACAAATAATTTAAATGCCACCCATGAGGCAATTTTTCATATTACTTAACCTCAAATTAATTATAGATTAGAATTTATATTAAACTTAAATATATAGCAAGTTAAATAATGTATTTAAATAGTTGAATTATTGATAAGAATTGAAAATAAAGTCAAATAAAAAGGTGTCTTTTATTAAAAGTAACAAGAATTACCATTTTTGAAATTCACTCGTGGTTTTCTCAATGTTAAAACTGTACATATGTCTATTCAAAATGTAGAGATAAACAAAATTGAACAGAATATATGTATAGAAAATATTCTACATGTAACAACTGACAAAAATATCATCATCGGAATTATTCGAGCAAACTCGTATTTCTTTCCAGTATCAATCATGCGTAAAAAAAAATATCCCGGGAAATTATGAATTATTAAGGATTGTTTTAAGGAGTATAATTATTATACAACAATAAATTAACTCCCTTATAAATCAAATTCTTAAAAAAATTTAATTTTTTTCATAACATTATTTTCCACTTAACAATATAACTAGAAATTCTTCATTAATCAGAATAAGTTACTGTACATTTGCAAACATATTTTGTTCTGCAATTAAATTGACTTATGGCAATGATGAATGAGCAATTCGATATTCTTAAAAATAAAAACAATTTTCTAATAAACATTATGGTACCTTATAATACATAAATAAATAGTTTCAATAAATTTGGAGTACATTTAATCATATTTGTAGAAAAATTTAACTTTTATAATATGTAATACTTTAGTGTGAATGGCAAGTTCTAAGAAATAGAAAAAGTTTAAGAAATGATTTTTAAATCGAAACAAGCCTCATCTTCGATATCTAAATCATCAGGAGTGCCTGTTGGCATTATTAATTCCCCATCAAAAAAACACTTTAGTTTTGTTACCGGCACATTATTTTCTTTAGCACAAAGATCAAATATTTTTTGAAACTTTTCATCTTTGTTGAAGTCAAAGTTCCAAAACTTTTTCAATGAACTTTGGACTTTTATTTTAATTTTTGGAGTATTATCTTCAACTGGTTCAACTTGTACACATTTATTAACAAATCCTCCTTCTAAAACAAAAGAAATTCTTTATCATCATCTGTAAACCCATCTTTTTGGAAATAACAATTCAATGAGAATGTGATTGTTTACCAAGAATATCAATTATTGATAATTCAAGTGATGATGGAGTATCAAGTGGACTAATTGGAATCTCATTTTTCGTAATAATAATTCGATTTTCATCAACATTTGCCAATGATGCAAAATGTTTAAATATCTTAGTAAAATTTTCATCCTATAATACCAATAAAACCTTCTATAAATAATTTAGAACAATCAAATTGCTATAAATGAATAATCAAATTTACCTTTTTAAGCTGGAATCTTTTAATATCTCGAGAAATCCATCGTATCTTGACGTCAACAGTCAGATCTATTGGTTCTTCTTCATCACTCAATTCAATTGATTGTGTTGAAGTATCAACCGATTCCAATGTTAAGTCTAGTGTAGATTTTGGTGTTTTCTTGAGCATAGATTAATAATTATTTTAAATTTTATCTCATATTTTAAATTACAATAATGAATAAATATATCTTATTATTACCACAACAGGTATTATCTCACAAGTCTTTTTTTTAACTCTTCCGCGTGTCTTGGATCGTGTTCTCGGACCATTAAAACCACCATTATTATCATCATCATCATCGTCTAATGCAATCACTTCTGATGGAATTGGATTTAAAATATGACTATTAATGTTTCTATTTTTTCGAGCTTTGGTTTTTGGTGCAGTTTCCAATTTATTAACAATTACAAGTGGAGGTTGATCAGTCACATCTATATCACTTTTTTTTGGAGAAGGTATTGAAGAAGGTTCATCATCTTCGATCACAAAACTTTGAGCTCTTAAACCTACGTAAAAGAATAGTTAAATAATACAATGAATAATAAATTGAAATAAATATAAAAAATTATTACTTTCTAATTTGGCTGCTGCATTAACATAAATATCATCATCATCGTCATCATCATCATCTGAACTATCGATGTTTGTTGATAAATCTATTATTTCACTATCCATTTGACTGTAATAATGTAGATTAACAATAATTAATCAATCGAAAAAAAATATTACTAATAATAATATATTTCATTGAATCAAACTATCTTTATAAATTATATTAATTGTCGAGTGATAAATAAATGATTTAATGTACCTGTATTGTAAGAAATAAATTAAATAATTTTATTTAATGATTTTCTGGTTAAATGTATTGTCCGTTAATCCTAATTTCTTACGTTTAAATAACACCTGTTTGGAATAGTTTTTCATACAAAAATTTATATGTACGAAATTATGTACATCATGAATTATAAAAGTTCTAGATAACCTTTCAAATAGAAAAATATCGATTAATAATGTTTTATTTGAACCAAATATCAATAATTCGTATACTGCAGCTCAAATTTTGGTTCCAATAAACCAATCAAATAACAAATTTCTCCTAAACCTCTATCGTGAATGGTTAGCCAGAAGAAAAAAATACAAGGGTAGGGATAATTTAGTTCAGCCGATGGCACTTTTGTAGACACAGTTGAACTATACCTTTTTGCATGTGTTTATTACAATTGTAGAGTGAATAAACACGCTAGGTGATAGTTTATAACCTCATTTCGGGTTAAACATTGAATTATTTATTGTTATTGAATACGTGTGAATAAGTATTTGTATAAATGTTTGTGAGTGATAATATTTTTTGTTAAAATTTTTCAAATAACCTATTGTCAAAATAAAATTCGATTTCAACATGTCGAGTAATTTCGAAATAATTGTTGGAACTTATGAGCAGTATTTGCTGGGATATAAAGTTCACAAAGTTGAAAAAGTAAGCTTCTATAACATTGTAATTTACGACTAATAGTTTATTTACTCTACTAACATAAATCATTTTTTTGCAGAAATATAGCTTAGAGCGTAGTTTTGCAACAAAAAGTCATACAGCTAGTATTAGGGCATTAGCATGTAAGAAGCATTATGTTGCTTCAGGAGGTGCAGATGACTCTATTTATCTTTATGACATGAACAATCGAAGAGAATCAGGCAAACTTATGCATCATAATGGTATAATAAACAAGAATTATTACTAAAAATATTTATTAACCATTTATTTAGAATAAACATATTAATAACTATTATTTATAAATCATTTCAGGCACAGTAAATTGTGTTGCCTTTACACCGGACGCAACTCACATGCTTTCATGTAGTACTGATGGTTCTATTGCTGTTGTGAGATGCGGAAATTGGCAACTAGAGAAACATTGGCCATCAGCTCATAAAAGTTGTCAAGTAAATACTCTTGCCATTCATCCTACAGGTAAATTAGTATTATCCGTTGGAACTGACGGAGTTCTTCGAACTTGGAATTTAATAAAAGGAAGACAAGCGTATGCAAAGAACTTAGTACCAACTTTAAAATATAATGCAAAAAATATTTCTGTTCTTTGTTGGAGTCCAGATGGACAAAAATATTTATTGGCAACAAATTCCCAGGTTGACGTTTATACTGTAAAAACCGCTGGTATTTGCCTTCAAACTCAATTTCGCTCGAAAATTGTTTGTATAGATTTTATGAGTGATGATTTGATAGTTGTGGGTCATGAAGATGGCATGATAACCGTTTATAACATTACTAAAAAATCTACCATTTTTGAAGTAACTGGCCATGATGCTAGAGTAAAATGTATTTCACATCATAATAAATATGTTATCTCGGCTTCAAGTTCTGGTGAAATAAAATTGTGGAAATATGTTAAATGTAAATTAAAATTCTTAACAAGCGCAACTTGTGATGCTAGAATTACATGTATGACGATAGCACAAGTAGACCAATCACAGATGTAATTTAATTGGATATACATATATATATATATATATAAATTTATATAAAATTCACATTTTATTTACGTCATTTATACACAATAAATTCATAATTTTTTTATCTATCTACATTCATTATTGTATATATTTACAAACATATATTTGCATTGTCATAACTCTATATTCAATATTTTTATCTATAATTAAATACAATCATCGTCATAATCACCACAATATACACTTATTAGGGGGATTCATAGGACTTCCTACAGGACAATTCCAAGCTTTAGCAAATTCAATATTATTTGACAAGGTACCAATAACTCGAAAATGATTAGGTGCATGTGCGCCTTCAACTAATTTCGATTTTAAAGCACCATAAGTATAATTTCCACACCAAACTTGAGCGAATCCAAGGAAAAAAAGTTGATCCTGAGTGTAGTTATAAAGTCCTGGTAGAGATTGAGAATTTGGATTACGTGCTTTTGATATTTGATAAGCGCGATAAGCTTCTCTTAGTCCACCATTATCTGCAATATTCTCACTCTGTGTATTTATTCCATTTACCTAAAAAAAAAATTATCTTATTAAGATAAAAATATTTAACACTTTTTTTAATATTATCACTGAAGGTTAATAACGCAAATTAATAAATAAATAGACAATACTTACTGTAAAATTATTATTTAGTTCTGGCAAATGATAATTACTGTACTGCTTAATAATACATTCAACTTTTTTATGATAATGCTGCAGTGTTTCATCACTCCACCATTGGCGTAGATTCCCATCTTCATCATATCTGCGACCTAATAACGACATTACATATACACCATTATATAAAGTTATTATAGTCTCAACCTTAAGTCCTAAAATTTAAATTGCAAAGCTTCTTTCAATGAAACCTATATTTATGTATTCCTTGAAATCTCAGAAGTACTACAAGGTAATAGTACAGTCATTCTACGACCCAAGGGAGATGAGCAATAGAGCGTATAATATGATAATAATTAGAATACCTTGATCATCAAATCCATGCGTGAGCTCATGACCCATTATCGCACCCATTGCACCGTAATTTAGTGATCTAATATATGTATAAAGTTATTTTGAATTATTAAAGCATGAAATATTCAATATTAAATATTTAAAAAAAATGTATATATATTTCTTACTCTAATCCATTTTCGTAGAATGGAGGATGAAGAATTCCAGCAGGAAATGCTAAAAAAAATATCGTAATTTATTATTTCAAAAAAAAAAAAATTTTTGTTAAATTTTTCAAAATCTACTTACTAACAGAATTTAAAATTGCACTATAAAAGGCATTAACAGTGGTTCCAGCAGATATCCATCTATTTTTATCAGGTTTTTCTCTCAAACTATTTAAAGTTTTATTAATTCCGACATTTGTGAGGCTCAAAAAAGTTTTAAATAACTTTCCTTCCACTACATCAGCCTTTAACAAATAATAATTATTAAATATATACATGTTAATGATTTAATTTTAATTTCTCATACTGGTTACCTCTTTATAATAATCATTTAATTTTTTGGCATCCATAATCCATTCAGGAAATCCTACAAATGGTTTCATGGCATTTAATTTTTTATGGGCCTTAGCTCTTGTATCCGTGTCCATCCATTCTAATTCACTCACCATTTCATCAAACGCTGCTCGAATGTCTAATAACATTTCTAAAGCCTAAACAAAAGTAATTCATTTCTTGTTCAGTTCATAAATAAATATTTTATAGAATCTAATTGATGAATAATCAATGATTAAATCGAGTAAATGATTTGTTAAGTTTTGCTTTTGTAACAAAAATATGTTTTGTCAAAGAAAAGAAAAAAAACTAGCGTACATGATGAAAATTTACCTTTTCTTTCGCTTGTTCATTAAAATGCTTCTGAACATAGAGATGAGTTAATGCCATTCCAAACATAGAATTAACATTTCCTGTACATGTTTTCCATCTTGGAGTTTTTTCTTTCAATCCAAACACTTTTTGTGCAAATTGGAAACCAAGATCACGAAACTTTTGCAATGTTAATGGTGCTATTGTTGCATAAATATTCCACCAAACAAAACGAGCTAATAAATCAGAATAATAATATTACTATATTAAGCTTAAATGATAATAATGATAAAAAAAACATAATCAATGCAAAGTGAAAAAAATTTTAAATGGTATAAGCGACCCGTTTGGCCTCATTTGATTAGATTGACTTTATTTATCATCATTTTCTCTTAGATACAATATACTAAGACAATGACTATTTTATTTCTATATCATTTAATTCTGTTTTATTTTTTTTCACTGTTAACTTTCATTGAAATGAAAAGAATATAATGATATCGTGGATAATTCAAATGCTTATAAAGTGAATATCTTACCAACAGTTGTAGGATGTGTTGATGCCAACAGCTGTGGAAGATTTTGCAAGTATAACAAATCCATTACAATTACTCGATCTTTAGATGAGTCAATAGTTACATTTGTTCCTTTGAAAACCGATTGAATGTAACTAGTCCAATTCCACTAGAAATAAAAAAAATATAATTTTAATAATAAATAACATCCTGGTATATATTAATTGAAAATAATTTTACCAAGGAATTTGATTCTCATCAAAGTTATTCAGAAATTATTTTAAAAATCTGCATTTTGTATTTATAATGCAATGACATCATATGTTACTGATAAATATCTTAAACAATTGTTATTTATGCGTAATTAAATGAAATAGTATACTTGATCTTAACTCAACTGCTAATTAGGACATTTATCTTATTGAATAATTTATAAATTAATTGTATACTTTTACTGCATGAAGATCCGTCAATTGTTGAAGCTCATCAACCGTTACATCATGAAGTAGATGAGTTGAGCTTCGTCTTTCTTCAGGTGTGGCCATGATTTTAGCAATACTTGTACTAAAATCTACGAGTTCATTTGCAAACTCAGTACTATTATCATTAATCCCTGCTAATTCTACCATAGCTTTTATGTAACGTTTGTATTCATTTATTTCAGAACTGAATCGACCAGAATCTAATAGATATCGTTCACTAAATCCTGGTGAAACTTGTTCCATCATCATTCGATTTCTTGATGTATTTCTGATGTCTTCACTGATGTAAAAGTTAATAAATATATTCAATCCCAAGTGCCTTTGAACGGTACCTGATATTGTCGCTATGTCGAATTCTATTGACTCGTTAAAAATTGGTTTTTCTGGTAGCTGAACCATTTTTAAAATTTGAAATATTGGCTCCAGTCCAAGGTTTTCTATTGTCGCTGTTAAAAAAACAAACAATTTTGAAATTACTTCTACGTATTAATGAATTCAAAAATACTCTCATTGGTTTATTATGCATCTATCAAGTATCTTTGATGATTTAAAGAATACCTGTATCCATGCAAGTTCTATAAAGTGCTCTAGCTAATTTCATTGGCCTCAAATCACTTTCTAGATCATCTTCTTCAAGTATTATTCGCAAATTTTCAAATAAACGTTCACGAAGATGACTAAGTTGATCCCACGAAGTTTGACTCTGAGGTATTGGATGTTGACTTATCCATCCATCACAGGCATATTTATAAAAATCATTACATGGATTGACTGATGTGTTGATTGATTCCATAAGTCTTGCAGCTAAAACAAAAAATCATTGTTAATAAAATATTCATTTTAAACCATTTTTTTTTACTTTCATACTCTCATACCTGTGTTGATGCATTTTTCAGTTTGACACATGTCTTCGTAGTCATTTTTATTTAAAATTGATATTCGTAAAATTAATGTAATTACTAATGCAATGACAATAAAAACTAGGAGACCAATAATAGCCACCAATTTCGTTTCATTTTTTGACTTTTGCTCTCTCTTCCAACTGCACCTATCCGACATTATAGAAAAGTAAATGTTATTTGATTAATATTAATTACTTATCATTAAATTCCACTTATAATTAATTTTAGAAGATAAACGGATCGAGCAACGAAAATTTTGATATGTCAATCACGGCAAAATTTTTGTTTGAGTGGAGAAATCTTCTGTTGATAAACAGAAAAATTGCTGTTCTAAATTCTACTTTTCTAATCACTTTACGTGAATAAGTGTTGATATATTCGTGTGTTTACATCAAGAAAAATAAATATCTAATTTAAAATTTTCACTTACCAATCCACATCTGAGTGTCGTTTAATGTCCTCAAAGTTTTTTCCGTTATTTTCAGGATCATTAACCTGTTGATTCATCAAACATATAGATAAAAAAAGCATTATAATAACTTGATAATTTATCATAAAGTTAGTACAACAGATAATAGGATTATATTTTTCTATCTAAACAAATATTAAATAATTTTCAACAGATTACTAAAAAATCAAAGCAATTTTTGTGAATCAATGTTATCAACCCAATTGGTCAACTATTTTATCTTATTTCCTAGAAAATTCTATAAAAGAATACGAGTGATGCATGTTTAGTGATAAATATTTCCATATACTTTAGTTGAAGATTATTCAACATGATCATTAAAGGCTTCTCTTTGCCTTGGAACTATCACGATGTCATCAGCCACAATAACTAACCGCTGCCCTCAATATCCTGTCCCTAAACAATAATCTCACTATAATTGTAAAGAAAACTGCAGAGCAAAAAAAGGAATGTAATAACGATCAAGACAAGGATGATGTCAATTAGATACTTTGAAAGAGTCTATTTTCAATGGTGGAATCATATCTATTTAGTAGCTGTTTATCGAGAAATTACAAGAATATGGTATCTATTACAACGTTAAATAATCTGAGTTTTTTTTCTTTGATATGATATAACCATCCACAGTCTGAATAGAAAATGAATAATTTTTAAAAATTGGAAAATACTATGTGAGATATTAAAAATTTATCTCCGCTAGAGCTATTTGTTTTTATATTCATTGAAGAGATTTTTTCAAGGTAATTTATATATACGTGATGGACATATAAAAAAAAATGAATAATTCAATCTTCTCCATGCGGAAGACACTTAAGTGTCATCGAAAGCTCAATATAATAATTATTCACGTTTAATGTTAATTTATTATTGTTTCCAATGAGTACATTTATTTACAATACAAGAACGAAAATAGATATTAATCGGATAAAGAAGTGCAGCATTACTGAATAATATATTAATTTAAAAATCTTTATATTGTGATGAGTAAGTTTGAAGTCTGTTATTTATTCTCTTTCTTTGAATGTTCGTGAGATAATAAAATTCTTTGCCTTACCAAGCAAAGTAAAAATATCATCAAGTTTAAGGGATTTGGGGCTTTTATTTTTTCACGATAAGAATCTCTTGAAATTTTGATGGTCAATTCATTTTTTATAATAAAAAGTTTTATAACAATATCAGAACAAGTGTGTCTCTAGTTTTTGAGGACTATTAGTTTATGATTTATTTTTTTCCACAGATTCTTATGGAGATCAAGTAATATTTTGCTAAATTTGCAATTGGCTATCAAGTGGTAATTTTTAATTAAATTCTCTTGTGTTTAGTTTATTAAATATTTATAATTAAAAATTCACGAAACCAATGAGAGTGAGAGAAAGAGGTCACTGTATAGCCATAAACCTTAGCAAAAACAACTTATCAAAATTCTAAGAAATTTTATTAGATAATACTGAAGCATTGTAGACATTTAATCTTTGTGTCTTGGAAAATGTAGAACATTATTTTCTTTTGTTTTTCAGAAATACACAAATAATTTACTGCTTCTATCTTTTAGCTCTGTTTTTCAAGACAAGCTTAGTCAAATCATGTTTATATTACCCATTATAAAGAAATTTAATAATAATCATTAATACGTTTTATTAAAACTGTATCATGACTTGATAGGTAAATGCAGATTTAGCAAGACATGACGTGATCTCCATAAGAACCTGAGGAAAAAAATAAATCATAAATTAATATTTCTCAACTTCCTTAAGAGCTAAAAAAATAAATAAAAGAGATGTAATTCATATTATCACCTTATTACAATTTATCATCTATTCTTGTTAGATCAACGATCTAGGTGTTAGGGAACGAGGTGTTGCGTACTCACCACTTCAATAAAACATAGAGTTCTCTTCATTAATGTCTCTATTTCCTCTTTTGCCTTCTCTCTTTCGCTCTCTCGCTTTTTTCCTCAATTTATTTATAATATGTTTTGATGCATCAAGAAAATTAATTAATTAAATCATCAAGTAAAGATGAATAAAAAAATACAATTGATGTCTAATAAATCTGTACATTCTCTCAATCTCTTCTGACAATAGATTCAAATCAAGGCTTGTAAATGAAATAATCTTGCATCAAAACATTATCACACTTACTTATATGCGTACATGAAATAATTGTCAACTAATAAGGAATACTTATGAATAATTTATAAAATGATACAGTTAGGTAGTCGATTATTCACACATATTCCAGTTATTTTAGATAGAATCATTAGATAAGTATGCGAAATTAAAAGGAGCGGAAAGCAGAGTGAAACGTGAGTGAAATGAAGATAATCTGTGTTTACCTTGTATCGCATCTTAGTATTGTTTATCTCCTGCTGGGCAATAAGTCAACAAAACGTGTCTGAAACAAAAACAAATCTACATTGAAGATAAATCAGTATGGTAAAAACGTGACTCTTTCAGCCAATTGCATTTAATATAACTATTCCTTTACACTGAATCATCTATTTATAATCTTTTCTGTACCTTGCAATTTATTATTGTCATCGTCTGTAGTGTATATAAATTATTAATAATTACATTGATAATCATTATTGTAATTATTCTTTATAAGTGATTGAAAAACAATTAAATGTATTTTTATCTTTATTCATGGCAAACATATCATCAGAGAAGATTAAAATAAATTACTATTTATATTTATTTATGTAATTTCTCGGAGAAAAAAAGTTGAACGGAATACAAGTGATACATTTTAGTAGAGATTTCGAAATTTTTTTTCAAAAGCATGAAATATCTGATGTTTTTTGTTGACACTTAAAATAGATCAAAAAATAGATGGTTTAATAGATGTATCTAATTAATCGGCAATAGTTTATCTATTGCAGTTGAAACCATAAATTTTCTCCTCCAGATTAACCATGCGAATCGATGTTTGCTCTCGAAAGCATTAAATGGCATCCAATATAAGTTTTTCATTATTTTAGCATCAACATTAATTTTAATGTTACAGTTTTAGTGTAAAATTGATTCAATTTACTCAAAGTGTATCATTGAAATTGAATTAAAGCATAAAAATTGATAAAAGTCATTGACAGTCAATGATCCACTATGTGGGGTTAATCAATTTGATGCTGGAGACATTCAGATTTCATCAAAGTGATTTAAAATAAATGAAAAAAGTTCAATAATCATATCTAAAATTCATTCTGTAAGTAGTTCACTCAAACTTCAGATAATTAATCAGATACTTTCATTTGAAGTAGCATGAAGATATAGAATAAAAAATAAAATTCATACATATGAATTGAGATCAAGTAATATAACAGTTTAAGAGAAGAGAAACTATTGACTTACATTTTATAGATAACTTTAAATTTATTTATTCACTTCTTATATTTTAAACGTATTAAACTGTGTAAAAGAATTATTTTTCAACACCACAAACACATAAAAATAATGAAATAAAGGAAGAAATATTTGTAATTTGATAGTGGAAAAAAGAATCCATCATTATTTTGTGTCACCTTTTCTTTTGGCTTCTTCTTTGTGTACTTTAACCACAATAACTTAATCCATGTCAATATATTAACAGTAGATTAGATAAAAATGACAAAAAATTTTTTAATTTAAACAATAATTAATGATAAAAATGATGGCAGTATATAATATTATATATGTTTATTAATACGTAGAATGTGTAGATGATTACAATTCGTTGGACCCGTTGTCAACTGCAATAAAGTTCGGACACGCGGAGGAGTGAAGCCCGTGTCTTCTAAGTCCCCACTTAGTCTTTCATATTACTCCCGCCGCCACCTTTGCATCCCCTTATTCTAGCACTTTACTTGTTGACACCACACAAGTACACTTTATAGTGAGTATTGTGCGCAGTCTAAACTCATTAAAGTATTTATTACAACAATCAATCCATCATCAATCGATACATCTTTTTGTATTCAGATTATTTTTTTAATTTAAATTGTTAATTTTTTCTTTGATTATTCATAAAAACTTATTGCTTCATTTTATTAAAATTTTAATAACAATTAATTGTGCGTATTAATGTTATTTTTTAATTACAAGAAATTTTGCATTTTCAGTGACACAAAGATATGTAAAATCTACATGAGAATATGAATTAGTTTTGTGTTTTAAAATGTTTAGTAAAGTTTTCTTTTTTTTTTTAAATGAAAAAACAATGATTATTAACATTTCTAAGTGTTCATTAATCATATAAAAACATTTATCTATTCCTAGATTTTTTAAAGTTAATTAATTAAATGTTTTTTATAAAAGTTTAAATTTGTAATTTCAATAAAATTGTATATCAATAATCATATAAATTTTTTTTATATTATCTTGAAGATTAATTGGCTCATGTAAATATATAAAATAATAATTAAGTAATAATAATATTTGTGATAAATAAGTAATTTAACAAACTTTGTACGTTCAGTAATCGCCAACCAGATTAAAACACATTCATAGATGAATAAATACACTGAGATAACAATTAACTGTGAACAAGTGATATTTTTTTCTATTAATAAAATCAAAATTTCAAATAATTATAATAAATTATTTTTTTGGAATTGACTTGGTGATATTTCCATAGATCCAGTCCTGATTGTTATTTAAAATAATAAAAAAAAAAAATTAATCGATAAAATTCATTCTTTTCTCAGTGCAGCAATAAATTCATCATTTTTTTTATGGATTTTCTTTTTTTACACATCTTATTAAATTAAATTGTGAAAAAATTATAATAGACTTATTCATCATGATAACGACAATATGAAGTGTCCTCAATTAATTCCTGAGAAATCCATTCTTCGTTTGGAGTCTGATTGGTTAATGCAGCAGCATAATTTTCTACTTCTTTCATTATTCTGATGATATTTCCTCCAACAAGTCTTTTTATATCTAACGCAGACCACTGACGATCTCTCGTAAGTTCTGCTAACAATAAAGGATATCCAGAGACATCAGGAAGTTCCGTTGGTGGACTAAAGATATTATTAACATCAACAATTAAACCTATATTTGATTAAACAATTAATTTTATTTGTGACTAATAGTAACTGACCTCAATATACCATCATATCCAGCACCAAGTCCAACATGATTAACTCCAGCGACTTTTCTAATATGATTGATATGTGCTACAACAACAAAAAATTAATTTAAAAACATCTAATAAATTATTCACTCAAGGTTAGAAAAATACTTAATAAATTAAATATATATTTCTTACCTATAATATCATGCATAGATGCTGTATCTTTGCAGCTTAGATCATAACTATCAAAGCTGATCATAACTAGACCACCATTAAATGACTGTGAACACATAAATAAAATTTTGAAAAGACATTAATTAGATTAAATACTTGATTAAATGTATTAACCTTTTACCAGTTTTCTTAAAATGTCATCCGGCACATTGTTTGATGAATTACAAATAGCTCGAGCTGCACTATGTGAAAATATTACTGGAGCTTTTGAAATAGCTAATGTATCTCTCATTGTACGAATAGAAACATGAGAAAGATCTATCAACATTCCTAATCTATTTAATTCTTTAACAACGGACTTTCCAAAAACTGAAAGACCATCACTATGATAATCCAGTGGAGCATCTTTATTGGGATCTTCGACAGATGAAGAATCAGCCCTTGAAAGTAAACACATACCATCATCAGGAAGTATAATAATATTTTATGAAATTCAATTACATTATAAATATTAAGTATAATTTCATAATGGGGTCAATAGACTAGGAAATAGATCCATTAAAACCCCTTAAAAGTTGATAAGTAAATTGTTAAAATGAGATGAAAGTCAAACTCAAATAATATCAATAGTTTGTTGTGTTAAATTTGCACATTGAAGATATTTTAATTAAAAAAGTTAATTTTAGATATTCATCTATTGATTTATAAACCCTACTAATAAATCAATTTCTTACCATGGTGTATTACATTTGTGAGTGAGTGTCATATATCGTGCTCCAAGCAAATGAAAGCTACGTAATACAGCCATTGAAGCACCTATACTATGTCCTCCTTCAATTCCTACTAAGCTTGCCAGTACTCCATCTTTGTGTGCTTGCTCCAATTCTTCACTAGACGTAACTAGCCTCATTCTTGAGGGATACTTGGCAGTTAATCTTCTCACAACATCTATTTGCTCTAGAGTTAATTGTACAGCATCTAAAAATTGAGATTCACAGGGTACGTACACTGACCAAAATTGTGCACCCATATTTCCTCGATAAAGTCGTACTAAGTCTGTTTGCCAGTATTGGTTAAAACTGGAGTTTAGAGATAAATCAACATCGAAAGGCAAATCACTCAAACGAGAACCATGATGTTTTCTTAAATTCCAAGCAAAGTCATTGTGCCCATCTACCAGTGGAGTTTCTGATAATATTCTTCGAACAACTTCAAGCCTTGCTTCTAATAGATGTGAGCTACGGAGCTCTAAAGCAAGTGGCAATCCTACTCCAGTTATCAATGCACAGCCTAATAAAAATACTCCACAGATAACAAGCCAACGTTTTGCAGTACTTTGTTCTGAAAATTCACAATGATGTTTCATAAATTAGACTTTAAATCATGATGAATCAAAACTTTTAAAATAATCAAACTAAATTATTACCTATACTTTTAGATGAGTCTTTGGATTTACTAGAATAAGTTGATACTGTTGAATGATTTCTCACATGATGCATAACATCTCCATTTGGCATTTTTTGAATTAATTCGGGGGATGATATTTGATGACATGTCTGTAAAAATAAAAAATTAAATTCAACAATTTATTATTCTTTTATAAATAAAAATTGTTATCAGTAAAATAGTGTTAAATTTATTTAATAAAAATGGATTGTTAGTGAAGTACTTCAAGAATATTAAGTTCCTTCCGGCTTGTTGGTGGAGAATGATAGACCATGCCATGTTTGCTTACTCCATATAATTCAAACATCTTGTTCAGTAATTTTAATGTGAATAACAATAATATATAATTATATATAATTTTTCATTGAAATCTTTAATTATTTAAGAGTCTGCTGAGATAACTGAGATGGCATTTATGATTCTGCACATTCAATACGCACGCGCTTCTATAACTTTATATGGATGTTGCATTCCTACATATATACAGATATATATCGATTATTAACTTAAATATATTCATTTAATATTAAACAATTAAATATTTATTACATTTTTAATTGATTCAATGATTTATTTTTCTTTTTTTTTTTTTAAATTATGATTAAATATTGACAGCAATCATCAGATGATATTATTTCGCAAAATTAATTAGGTTAGAGTGAAATTTCAGTTTCAAACAAAGATTCAAATTTTTAACATTCCATCAAAAAGTTTTAAAAATGGGGGTCCATTTTTGAAATTCCTTCACATTTTGAGTCATTTGAAAGCATAGTAAAAGGTTTAAAAATGAATGTCTGTACGTACAATTGTTCGTACGTCTGTCAGGTTTGTTTTTGTTTTCGATATCTCGAAAACCAATAAAGATATCGACTCCGAAAAAATGTAATTCAAAAGATAATACAATGAAGAAGATCTGGAAGGAGTTTAAACAAATTTGGCCCAGCCATTCTCTTTATAATAACAAGACTGTAAAAGAAGTTGAGTTAACAAGACATTTGAAATGTATTCTATTAATTGGATGTTCAACATTGTTGACAACTGAGGTCAAAACAATATGGTTGTCAATGACTTCCCATGACTCTAAACAATTATATATTATTTATAAAAATTTCAATTTCTTATAAATTATTAAAACTGGTTTTAATTTATTGAATTATCATTACTATGACTATATTCGATAAATATCAATAAAATATTGTTATTAGTAATTTTATGTGATTAAATAATTATATATTATTTATGATAATAGCAATTAGTTGTAAACAAAAAAAAACCAAAAGATGACAAAATTATGAATTTTAAAAAATGGGAAATTCGTCGTTAGAGTACAAAGTGAGCTCAGACACATTTTTTATCGAAGGATTTAAAAAATATGATGAATAATTATTTGCAAATTTATATTATTTTAACGTAAAATAAATATCGCGCCTCTGATTATAATTGGTATAAAAATAAGCATGCGCTTTATCGTGCGCGATCTATTATGTGCAGTAATACATTCAGAAAGAGGGCGAGAGAAAGAGAGAACGAAAAGTTATGTATCGCAAACCACACTGTACAATCGCCATATTGTTTGCGGCAGTTTGTTCACGTCGTGCTAATACACCGATTTAGACGCTTTTACGCGTTTAGTATAAAATTACATTGTTTATTAACAAGCCGCCAAAATTTCACGAAAAAGTAATATGAAGAAAAATAAGGAGGTGTCAGATGAGGAGGATGAGTATTCAGCAGACGATCCTGATGAATTAGCATCGGAGGAAGAATGGAATCCCGAAGCAGGATCGGAGGTAATTTATGGATTTACTGTGATATTTCGATATTATTAACTTCGTTTTGTGTGTCAATTAATAGATTTTGTATGTATAATTGTATTTATACTTGATGTACAAGTGTATATACACTCTTAGAAGCTAATGAGTGTATATATACGATGTAATCATCGATTAAAGTATCAGTAGTATTTAAATTTATATTTAATTTAAATACAATAATGTGAGAAATGTATTAGAATACCAATCATTTATTATTATTTTATTAATATGATGCCATAAACTCGTATAAAAACATTGATTAAATGTTATCTCTGTCATGCTAGTCTTTTTAAAAATATTCTAATTATGAATGATAGTACTCAGTCTTATTAATTTGTATTTTCACGTGCATAGAACTAAATTTATAGCATTCATATTTGTTTAAAACTCTATTACTTTACGTATGGGAAAAAATTCATATAACCTTGAAAGTAAGAGTCAAGTTTTTTTTTTACAAATTAAATATCAAATAAATAGTTTTTTTTAATGAAAGTATATATCGAATAACAAGATGGGGTTGCCGGTAGAACAGTAGCGCCAATAATAGAACATTATGATTTACTGATTCTAATAATATTATTTATTGAGTGTTTATACAATATTATTGATGATTAACAAAATAAGTATTACTGATGATATCATGTACTACTCTGGTAGTATTTCATGTAAAATATAATTAATGAGTAACAAATTTTATAATTAATATTCAGGGAGGTGGAAAAAAGAAGCAACGAAAGGAATATAAAAAAAAGAGACAACATTCTGAAGAGGAAGACGAAGAAGAAGATGACGAAGAAGACGAGGAGGAAGATGAAGAAGAAGATGAAACTGATTCTGATTCCACAAAAAAACCTAAAAAAAAACGACGTGTAAAAAAAGATGAAGAAGAAGAAGAAGATTCTGATGACAACAGTTTTAATGAATCATCTGGCATTCCACCAAAAGATTACACAGTATGTATTTATTGATACTATCATGAAAGTATATTTGAATCTAATGTTATTAGTTAAATATTAATTCATAATCTTTATTAGTCAGGTGCATTTGTTGTTGCAAAAACCGATGTCGGTGGTAGCACTGAACCAACATTATGGAGGATAGATGGAAAAGCGTTGTTACAAAAATATTTACCATTTAAAGAAGAAGGCAAAACTTTATATAAAAGTACATCTACAGTAAGGAAATAATTATTTTAGTCAATACAGTTATTCACTAGATTATTATTGACAATATTTATAATCAATTTATCTCCCTTAGTATTCTGGATGGTCGGTAAATAATAAAGATAAATACTTAGCCGCCTCCGTAACTTTTAAGGTGCAAAACAGAAATGAAACAATTGTAGAACTTCATCTCGATCAACAACAAGTACAACAGCAACCAGTTGTAAAGTAAGTAACATGAAAAGAGAAATGAATATATTCTATGCATATATCATCAAATTATTTTTAAAATTAATTACAGGCACGATAAAGAAGACTAAATTAACTGCGATATGTGTCATTTGTCTCTATTCGTAATTGAATTTCAGAAAATTGGATTTTATATCATTTAATAAATAGAAATTTATCCGACACAGACACCCATACATACACGTATACAAAATAATGGAATACCCATCATAAGATTTGTTTATATATATATTTGGAATAACCTTCGAATGGATTCGTATGCAAAGTAAGTGATTGTTTCTTTTTCATCAATAAATATTAACATCTCAATGATTAATAACAATATTTTTCATTATATTAAATAATTAAATTTCAATGAAGAAACAATCATAAAAACATATTCAAGTAAATAATTATGATTATTTAAATGCCTGTAAATTAATACTGTTGATAAAACATCGATTCTACATTTTTTCAAAGCATCCATATACTTTTTAACATAAAATATTATTTTTTATTTATTTTCTCGATATTTTTATAGATAAATCTGTTTTTTTTTAAGTATTTACATTTTAATTTGACACCATAAAAGTTAATTTTAAGTTATCATAACTTGTAAACTCCCCGTTAGTCTTCTGTGTATTGCATTTAAGATGATTTTGAAAAGTCAAATCATGAATTTATAATTTCGATTATGCATTTTTTTAAATAAAAATAAAAGTAGAGTATGAATATTTATTTTAATTTCTTCATGGTTTAAACAACTAAGATGCAATCATAAAGATAAAATTTAGAAGTAAGTATAGTAATACAAAATCAAATTTAAAGGTAAACGAGTTCATAAGACAATTTTTTATTTGAATTTCTAAATGTTGACTTTACTGGTATAAAAAATTATAACTTTGTTTCTAAAAATAATAAGAAAATTATTAAATTAGTAATTCGTGATAATGTAATCGAACCTATTAATATTTTATTATCATAATGATTACTTGTCTTGTTACTAAATTGATTTTTTTTTTCTATTATTTAAAATAACTTTTCGTAATAATTTAAATAAATCTATAATTACTTACTTATAGTACAAATAGATGGTTTGTAATTATTCATCATAAAGTCAATTCTTATGAAAAATATTTCTTTTTATGTAAATAATAATAATAATAAGAAAATTAATAGAAATTTTAGATGTTTAAGGTAAGTAAATATTTTATTCACTTTCTATGTAAGTTTCCAACAATGGATAAAATAATTTTCATAAATAACATGTATATACATATATATATTACTTTCTTGGACATAATTTTAGCTAAATTTATGAAATATCAAACATTTCCCGCTATGTTATTCTAATAAAAAATAAATTTTCAAAAATCAGTAGCAAAATTTTAAGAACTTAATCACTGTATAATTAATAAATTGTCAAAAATTTACAATTTTAAGTAAAATATATCTCTATAAGTAAATAAACCTCATAATAAATCGTAAAATTTTCGTACTTTCTTAGATTACTATCAATCAAATTAAAATCCAGGTTCCATCTTTACAGATAATACATTGCTTAGCATATCTCTGATCTCCGCCATTTCTTGCCGATTTCTTGCCATCATATTTTCTAATTTTTCATTCTTTTTCATTATCTTTCGCATCTTTCTCCAACAACTTGGACTATATGTATGATGACAACAATCTTGTACTTCAGTATCATGTTTACCTTTTTTCGTTAATTCATCACTTTTACGACACGCATCACATCTCTTTTGATTATGGATTTTTTGCTTAATAGGATTTTCTAATTCTACATCTGGAATGTTAGATGCAGACATTTGTTCATCATCTAATATATTTATACCATCTACTATTGAATTAAGATCCTCGAATTCAGTAGATGATGATGGTACATCAATTCTAGCTTGACGTTGAAGACTTCGTCTTTTTTTCGCAATTCTCTCCGATTCCATTTGAATTCCTTCATTATTTAATTGATTAACATTATTGCCGTTATGTATTGTAGAATCCGTTTGGCTATCACAGCTATTACTAGTCCGTCTAATATTATCTATCACTTCACTAGGAGATTCATTTTCATTAAGATAATTATCAATTACTTTTGATTGTCTAAAATTATCAGGAGTAGAATTATTATTTTCTTGAGAATATTCTTTTTTACTGTCTATCATTGAACTGTATTCATTTAAGTAAGATTCTGTCTCCGAGTGTGAATCAGATGACTCTGTTTCTTCAATATGTGTTGATCCTTGTAAATTAGTATCTCGCTTTTCTTTTTTATCTTCAGTCAAATTATTACATATTAATTGATCATTTACTTCATCACTATTTGTTGTATCTAGTTCAAATGATGAAATTATTGAATTATTTGGATAATCAGTATTCTTATTATTATTTGAAGTAGAATCATTGGTGCTTCTTGATTTTACTTCGATCAGATCACCTTCTCCATCAAATACAAAAGATTTTTGTCCTAAAAAATAAAATAAAACAAATTAAAAAAAAAACATTTCAACTTATTGATAAATCTGTCAGATTTAAAAGTCTCTTATACCTATAATTATACGTTTCTTTCGTGTGTCAGGACTTTTTGAACGTTGTTCCTCAAGGTATTCTCTATTGTCTGGAGACAATACCGAAAATCTTCCGTCTGGTAGAGATATATTCTGATAGTATAATTCTGAATTATTATTCGGATAGGTTTCAAGTTCATGACTTTCGTGTTCACGTAAACGTTGCATGATTTTTTGGACTATTTCGGATGGTGCTATGTATGGTGACCCTGTTAAAATTGATAAATAGTTAGTACTTAAATAATTGAATAATTTAAGAATATTTAGAACTTTAGAAAATAAAAAATAAAATTTATAAGATGAATATGCCGATCTATAAATAATAATTATACTGGTGAATGTAAATATATAATGTTTTATTAATCAGCAGACTATATAATTCAATAAAGATTAGTTTATCTCTTATATGTTGGGCGTAGAAAATTAATATAAGAACAAACGTCATTATTTGCAAAGAATAAACAAATAATAACAATAAAAATAATAATAAATAAATATAGCAAAAAAAGGTGAAATAAATAAAAGCAAAGTTTTTCTTCAAGATTATTAGAACGTCCAACATTGTAGAAGAGACTTACTAAATCACTAGGTCCGGAGTACCTACGACGTTGCATACGTATTGGCACACTCAACGTATCGTTGCTACCTATAAAATCATTAGAAACTTACAAATGGTGATAAAAAAGCTTCAAGCTTGTAGTTTAGTTTCATTTGGTTATGACACATGCTGAGTTTAGTGTTTAATAAATAATCCATATCTTATTTCTACTTTTTCAAGTAACATCAATAAATTAATGATTGACAATTTTAAGCTTACCAGTAAGACCTCGGTATCCTAAGAAAGTCGAATCTATAGACTCACTCGTTGCTTGTTGTTGTTTTATAAAGTCTTCAATTGCTATTCCACGAAGTTTAGATGGTTGTAAGAATCTTCTAGGAATTCGAGAAAGTGGACTATCTGTTTGGGAATTACCGGAGCAGCCACCAAAACCTAGATCTATTAATATTGCTTCTGGGTCTGGTTTCCTTAATTCTAAAAGACTTTCAACACTGCTACAATGACTGCTATCTGATTGAAAACTTGGATCTCGTGCTAAACGATTATGTCCAGCTAAGCTGTAAAAGTAATTATTTATTTCATTCCAAGTATATTATGTATTAAACATTTTTATAGAAGTTTAATATACATACTTTGAAATATTTGACATGGTAATTGCTGGTGAATTAGGTGCTGATTTGGTTGCGTAGGAAGTCATGGTTGGAGCTTTAGTTAACACCTGTTTAAAATGACTGGATGATGATAATAAACTTTCATTTGACTCAATATTAGTTTCAGCTGCCGTTTTATCAATCACTGATGGAATAGAATTAACCCATTGCTGTATTGGTCCACTATTTCTTCTCATTTCCCAAAAACCTCTCAACCAATCAGTGACTCTTATAATTGTTTCCTTCCCAACGTTTTCTAATAATAAATAATAACTGGATATTATTATGAATAAATAATAACTGGCATCAAATCACACAAATATTTTTTTCGTTGTTAATTACTGGAAAATTTAGAGGAAAATTGTTACATAGAAATAATTATATTGTGTGGTAAAAGACGGAAGTGAAATAATGATAATAATGAAAATAATACAATATATAGAAACAAATAAAGCATTCTAAAAGATGGCAGATTGCCTTGTGAATAGAAATTTTTATTGGAAATCATGCTATTATACCTGGATCCATATCCTGAGCAGCGTTAAATATTTATATATAATGTCAATGGCTTATCTTGACATAATTTAACTCCAAAAATGATAGAATACTGTTATCAATTCGAAAGTTATTTAAAAAAAAACTTGGAAATTTCCATTTTTTACAATTTTACAGTAATATCAACATTTAAAAAATAAAATTTACTATTATTTATAAACATAATAATTCATCCTTAAGGTCATATCGGTTTAATATTTATTATCATATTAATTTAATATTTAAAATATTACCTTATTAAATAATATAACAGGATTTTAAATTTTCACAGGTGTTCAATAATTTCAACAACTGACTTTGATGACTAACTTTCATTATTTAAAAATCTTTATTAATAAAAAAAAGACGAAACAATATTGGAATGTAAAACAATTAATATCTGCGTGGAAAGTTATTGTAAGTTGAACAGCCACTTGTTAAGTGTTCTCCTTCACATTGTGTAAGAACTCAGTAACGTCTTTTCCATCGGTAGGAATGGGTTCCTTCTTTCAAAACATTCATACAAACATATATGTGTCAAATTACTTGTTCACACGTAAACGTAGCTAGAAACACGAACTTGCGTCTACATAGAGCCATGTAGCATTTAATGTGATGACGTATATGTATATTATACTACCCTATGTTTACATGTATTTAAATTATAAATTATAAAATATATGTGTGTGTTAATGTTATTTAAATAACCTATAAAAGAATAAATACTAAAACAATATTAATCATGAATAAACATATTTGAATGGAAAATAATAGAGTAATAATTACCGTTTGAAAATAAAACAAATATTTTCATCAGAAGGCAACCTATCGACACAATGAAGTTGGTGTTAGTGTTTATTGTCATCATAACGTATAATTTTCCTCATTGTTATTCATATTTCAATGTTTTTCAGCGGCTTTGAAGGAGCATGCAAATTCTCTGATTTTAAAAATCAATAATTATTATTTTGTTTTTAATGCTTTACACTAGTTTTTTTTACGCAGAATTTCGTCAAATGGCGAGACTTACTTCACTTCCACCATACTTGTCGAAAATTTGTTATTTATTTCATGATAGAAATAAGCTGAGATACGAAATTCAATTTGTGAGACTGTTTATTATGATAATATGATAAGTATCTAGTTTTTTATGTTCTAATTTCCTTTGAGACAATTTTTTTTTTGGAGTACACATTTTTTTTAGTGTTTGTACAGTGTATTGAGTAAAAAATTCAGATCCTAAATCAGTTAATTTTCAGCAATGATTCTGTTAAGTATTCAGTAAGATTATTTGTAATCAGTTCATATTTTATTTAATACTTGGATTAACATAAATTATTTTCCTTGAAGTATAAGTATTATTTGTGACCAGGTAAGTACTAAGTTTTTTTTTTTACCAGATTATTTCCTTAGAAATTTTACAGTAATCTTCTACTATCTATTTATTTGTTTATCATTAATTTATTGAATCTGAATATTTCTAAACTAGTGTATACAAATATTAAGCAAAAAAAATTCTGTTATTCAAAACGAAAATTTGAAAAGTAATGCCACGTAGTTCAGTCCCGTATCAATACAAGTCTACACCTCAGGTCTTACTGTTCATATACAAATAAAAGTTACAATAATTTTTGATAAGTTGAGTGTGTTTTAATTTTTTCATTACTTCACTAAAGAATATAATATTTTATCAAAGAAGTACTCCAAATTTATTAGTAATTATAAAAAAGCCAAAATATAAAATATTCCAAATCATAAGATTACTAAAAGTAAAGATTAATTAAGGAACAAAGAATTGATATTGACATGTCTTTATTTTCATTTTAATAAATATTTGAATCTTAGAACACTAATCACTTCGTATAAGCTCGCTCTTGATTACTATATACACTTGATCCAAATATATCGTTATGTAAAAAAGAAAATACTATCTATCGTTAATATAAAAAGATTTCTATTTTGTGACTTGATATTACATCTAATTGTGCAATCTAACCTCTACATTTTGGAGTATTTACATTCATTGCTCAGTTTTGAAAAAAGAGATAAGATTCATTAGAAATAAAACTGTGCAATCATGTCAAGTAAAAAGAAATACAAGAGTAAAATCACGGATAGACGAAAAAGACAAGTAGTAGGAAAGGAAGAACGATTTCGTCAAAAAACAGATAAATCGGATCAAGAGAGTGATGAAGAATTAGGTAATTGATATATAAACAGTTGAAAGTGTTTTGATTTATAACATTAAAAATACCAAACTTTGTGTGTTTAATAAAATTTCAGAATTTAATCAAGAAGATGAAAGTCCTGCTGAATTATTTCCAATAGCTATGTGGGATTTAGAACATTGTGATCCTAAAAAGTGTTCTGGTAGGAAATTATCTAGATTTGGTCTCATCAGAACGTTAAGATTAGGTTCACGATTCTCTGGTTTAGTTTTGACTCCAGTTGGAAATCAAGTTAGTCTATTTTATTTATTTATCTATTTCTAAAACCTGATTATGTTTATTATAAATCGTTTATTTATTTATTTATGATCATTTAGTGTGTTTCTCCACTTGATCGAGAAATAATAGAAAGCCATGGATGTGCTGTAGTAGATTGCAGTTGGACTAAACTTGATGATACACGTATCAATAGAATAAAAAGTCCAAATCCAAGACTTTTGCCATTTTTAGTAGCTGCCAATCCTGTGAATTATGGAAAACCATGTCAATTGAGTTGTGTTGAAGCGATTGCTGCTACCCTTATTATAACTGGCTTTCGAGAAAAAGCAGAATTTTATCTTGGTAAATTTTCTTGGGGACATTCATTTCTAGAATTAAATTCCGAAGTATTAACTGCTTATGCTGCTGCCGAAAATAGTGAAGGTGTTATATCTGCTCAAGAAATTTTTTTAGCTAATGCTCGACAAGAACGAATAAATCGACAAGGTTTTATATATTTACATAAATATTTATTTTATTGGACATATTTATTCATTCAATTAATTGATTAAATAATTGTACTTTTAGCAATATCCGATTTCCCGCCAAGTGAAGATAGTGATACAGATAACGAAACTAACAATGAAGAAAAGTTAGAAGAAAAAAAATAATGCTTACTTACTATTTAATTGAATGTAAAATAATGACTAAAGAATAATGATGGAATTACTGAAAATCTATTTATTATTTTTACAAAAGAAATAAAATTCTAATATTTTATAAATATATCATTTACATTCTTCATATTGAATTGTGAATTAAAGATTCATTCAACAGTGTGTTAGACAATTTAATGTAATATTGTGAAATTTATATATCTTATAACTGTATGAAAAAAGATTATTATATTTTTGACAATATAAATTATTAATGATTCACATAATAACACACAATACAATTAATGATTAAATTGACGATCAACGAGGCAATGATTTACATTGTTTACAATTTTCCATTTTTTCATTAAATTCTTCAATTTGTAAAGTCATTTCAAAAAAATTATACCGGTCGTGAATATTTTTTGTAGCCGTTCGAAGAATTTGTTGAGGACTAGTTCCAGGTGCTAAAAATGACATGGTAAAATTAATTGACATTCTAATTATGATTATCACAACACATCTGTTGGTTTAAAAAAAATATTTACTGATTGCTAGATGAGCTGACAGAGCAGTTTTATCTAACGACAGTGCCCAGATTCGAAGATTATGCACTTTGACTACACCTTCAATTTGCATAAATGTGTTCTCAACATCAGAGTACTCGAAGCCTTTAGGAATTCCTTCCATCAAAACATTCATGACATCTTTAATGATGGCAATAGTTGTAAAAAGGACAAGTATTGAAAATAGAAAAGTACAAATAGGATCTACGATACTCCATGTTGGCTAAAATTAAAAGAACATAGTAATTATTTTTTTTTACAAGATAATATCGTGAACAAACAATAATTACTTAAAGTTAATTGATAGTAATAATAGGTAAATAACTAAAAAATTTTGCTAGGAAGTTTTTAGAATATCTTTTCTACCAAATAACTTACTTTGAAATAAATAATCAATGCTGCAACAAAAACTCCCGTACTCTGAATAAAATCACCAATTACATGGATATATGCAGCTCTAACATTAATGTTAGGATCTTTTTCTTGATGATCATGACCTGAACCATGGCTGTGATTATGTCCATGTTGATGAAGAGTTAAACCCATTCTGAAATGAATGATTAAAAGAATAAATCAATGTATAACTATATCATTAATACATATTTTAAAAATGCTTACACAAGATTAACTGCCACACCAATAACAGAAGTGATAAGCATCATCTGAGCATCCAGCTCGAAATTTTTATTAACAATTCTTTCTATTGCCAAGTAAAATAGTATACCTGTTACTACCCATATCATCAAAACAGATGTGAGAGCACCAATGACCTTAAAACAGTTTATATTTAGAAATGAAAATTGAGCATTTATTATTCTGATTAAAGTTGTTTAAACTTACTTCTGCTCGGTACCAACCAAATGGCATTTTTCTGGTCGCTGGTCTTCCAGCAATCCATAATGATAACAAAGATATCATAAAAGAAGCAAAATCAGTGAGTAGATGTGCAGCATCAGTTGCTATTGCTAAACTATTTGACAAGATTCCTCCAACAATTTCAGTTATCATAAAAACGATACATAATATACAGGCAATAATAAGCTTTCGTCTAGCTTTTTTGTCAACTGCTTCATCTCTATCTCTGTGACAATGATCTTCAACTAAAATTATCTCTAATTATAAAAAATTCACTTTACAATTATGATTGTGGATTATTACTATAATTTAATATATTTAATAATATTTCTTACACTGTGAGTGATTTACATAATCATCTGGAGATATGTCTTTGTCTAGATTACCATTTATTACTGTACAACATCCAGAAAATTTACCATGTACACAAAATATTACTCTTTTATTAGCACTATCAATACTTTCTGTTTCATTATTATTTGGTGTGATACTAGTGCCATATCCAAATACTGCTTGATCCTTAAAACTGAAAAAAAATTCATTGTTAATATTAGAATATTTATTTATTATAAACAATAATTTAAATTTAATTTTATAGATAATTCAATCTAAGATAATTAATTATATTCGCTTTATATAAATTAAAAATACAACTTAATAATAAGTTTTTTTCTACTTTATTATAAGATCTTTTTTCAAGTATTTTAAACAATGCTATTCTTCTGATGTATTGTCTCATTTCATTTCTAATACTAAGACTATAAATTGCTGACTATGACCTTGATTAAAATGTGCAATTAAAAAGAATTGATTTTGTAGATTTACAGAATAAAGAAATAATAAACGATTACTAATTAATTATTATTATCATTATTATGATTATTCCTAGACATTAGAAAATATATTTATTTATTTCTGAAGTTCATTTTTCTATGATTATAATTTATAACATTATTTAACAATCACTTTTTATTAAACAATATCTTTGATTATTTTTAAAAAAATTCTAATATACTACCGAAATTAAATTACGCTCTATTACAAACACAAATATATTGCTGTGAGCATACAAGGTCATGTTATAAAGATATAACTGCAATGATTGACTTTAGAAAACTATTGGTACATAGTAATTATTAAACATTATCAATTAAATAATCATTACATCACAATATTTTTCTAAGTAAAAACTAATTATACCAACACCATATGAGTAGATTCTTCATTGTTTTCTGAATTATCACTATTTTTCTTTGGCTTTTGTGTCTTTGACACTTGTTCATTAATATCCGTAGAAAATCTTGAATATCCAACAGACATTTTACTAAATAATATTAAGAAAATAATACACAAAAACTGAAATACACTCTATTATTTTATCTACTTTTCTTACAAAGAAAAAAAAAAATGTTTAATATTTGTTACACAATTTTTTTTTCACTCTAGATCATTTAATAAAACTTATTTGAATCACTCGTCACTCATTTCTGTACGATCTGTATATTTTTCCTTCATTTCAATGATATTTATCTCAGTAACTTCCTGTGTCATCTTGTCAGCTCTTGATATACGCATAAATGAATATTTTAAATAAATAATTATTTCTTTTTTTTTTTTTTTATCACAAGTTATTAATTTAAAGCACTGATTAATTAGTTTTTTTCATAATTAAATCTTAATATGTATTTATTAATTTTATTCTTTATAAAAATATGAAGAAAATTATAATAACAGTTATGCATTTAACTTGACTTAACACCACAAGGAAAGTCTTTAACCGAGTGATTCGTTTTACCGGTTAATATTCGCATGTAGTAATAGGTTGTACTAGAGAGATCGGAGTATGACGAAAACCGTCAAGGACCCCACGCTACTATGTTTCAGTAAAGAGTTACCATCTATACAATTTACTTGGTTTGTCAATTTTATTCAAGTATTTATCGAATTATATAATGCTCTTCTACCATACAATAAAAGCTACATGAGAGACTCTGCTAAAATGTTATGTTTCTATATAATAAAATAATTATATTTTTAGTAAATAACTTTGACAACAAATAAATAAGAATAACTTGTAATAAAAACACTCATTACACAGATAATAAGAAAAAATTTAATTTTAACTTACAGACTAATTTTCTCTACATCCATGTCAACTGATGTTTTGGAGGAAAATAAATAAATCAAAAGATGTATTAAAGTAAGAGAGTTGTCCAGTAAGTGATTGAGTTTGATGTTTTTTGGTACTTAGGTGAGTGTTGCACACGTCACTTACATGATAAATAAAATTCAACGATGTCATGTTCTTGTCTCTTTCTCAAAAAAAAGTGACCAATAAGCCGTTTGTTTTTAAGATAAAATTGTCAAGCATCAGTCATAAACCTAATAAGACCTCACCGAGAGATATGCATAGAAGATATAATAGAAATGTTAAGTGACTGGACTCAACATATTCCCTCCTTTGTTTTGTTTTTTTGTTTTATTTTTTATCTTCTTCTTCAACCAATCTATTTATTAAGACTTATCTCTCTCAACAAACTTACCGATATTCTATAATATCAATATCCAGTTTACTTTTTCCATATTAATCAAATATTTCACTAATATTTTACCAATTTTATATATTTCATTTTAACATTGAATGTTTTTTATTATCATTTAATATAATAAATTATTCTAACAATTTCAATAAATTAAATCACATACATACCCATTATCGTTATCCATTTCTATTTTTTAAATGAACAATAATACTTTGATTGAACTGAATTAGTTAAAGAATTTCTACTACTACATCAGATACATTTTTTCTTTTTTTTTTTATAAAATTTGTTCGATTATTTTAAATCCAATAATTTTTTTTATTATATTTAATATAAGCTAAACATGAAACTTCAGTTACTTGTAAAGATAAATTTGTAAAATAATTCAATTGAGAACAAAGCAAATCAGTGTTTTGTTAGGAAATGACAAAAAACGAAACGTCTAGACTAAACGCGTTAACTTGACTGAAATAAAATTTTAGAACCGTATTAATATCAGCCCAAGACTTCGTGTGTTGTCGTCAAATCAACTTGATTATGGGAATGTCATCGATAAACTGTAACAACAACGTGCATGCAACCGTGCTATAATGTCCAGTCATTTTGATATTTTTTATCAATAATTATATCCGTGACCTGACATACGGAAATAAATCTGCTGAGAAATCCGTTTAATTGTTTATTTTTATAATTTTACATAAATATATCTAAGTGTCTATGTTTTTTCTATTAATTATTTTTCAAATAGATACCTCTCTGTCTTGAATACTATAGATAAAATATGTATATCTAACTTTAATATCACATCATGAGTAAATAATTTGCTTCATAGAAGTATATTATGCGTAGTAAATCTACTGATAACAATACATATTGTCTTTCTTGACTGTGATTAACTTAAATATACTCAGATAATATAATTTAAGTGTTTGAGAATCTTTATCAGATTGATAATAATGAGTTTCTCAATGATATATACATATCAATATATCAATCTTCATTTTTAAGAATGTATAAATAAGTTGAAATAGAAATTATCATTTTATGAAAACTTATTTTTTCTTTAGAAATAAATAAATATGATGAGAAAAAATAGCTTACTCATTATTTGTCGAATTACCATCAGTTTCCTCATTATCGATAAGTTTATCCATGATTTAATTAATAATTTAATTTTCACTATTAAGAAATGTTAAATAAAGTTTAAGTGTAATCCCATAATTTGCAAGCAACTCGATACACATCTAAAATGAACGATCTGTCGTTCACAATTAATTTCATGTAAGCCTTATTGTCAAAGTAAATAAGGTAAATTTAGATTATCCCAGACCATTTACTGTACTATTGAATAAAAGAAAGATATTAGTAATTCAATAATCATATTATTGAAGAAGTTCGTGAAATTCTAATTTTAAAGTTAGTATTATACTTCAAAAAAAAAAGAAAGTTTGAAAAATGTAATTATTATTAAAATTGTATTAATCTAAATATTGATTTTTATTCATAACAGTAATTAGAGCACTGATATTTTTTAAATACTTCTATATTTACCTTGAATATTTGTTGCGGTTCGGAGCACTCAATGATAACTTTGATTCAAATATAATGATATAGAATTATAGTGTAAAAATGATTTATTTGTACAATAAAATGTTACAACTATTTTTATCATTATAATTATTATTACTTAATATGAAAAATTAATGATTATCTTACAATTCTTCATGTTTACTGGTATCATCTAAAAATAATTAAATCAATTATAATTATATGATTAAAATATCGTCTAGAAAAAGAAATCTATGTATTATCATACCTGAATCAAGTTTTTCTTCTCTTTCATTTTGTTTATTAATATTTTCCATTTTTTTCTGTAAAGCTTTTATTTCTTCATCATAACCAACCCATTCCGGAAGTATACGCATGGCAGCTTGCAATTTAGCCTCTTTAGTCATTGGATTATTACACTAGAAAATTAAACATAGATTATAATTCTAAAATCGAATTCATAATAAAAAAAAAAAAACAAACTTTAATGTTAATGTAAAATTTACCAGATCGATAGTCTTTGCATATTTCTTTGAAGCATCACTACACCAAGTTTCACACCACAGCCATTCTTGTGGTAATGTTTTTATAGCAACTTGATGAATCATATTATTTGGTAAATCTTGATCTAAATTGGCTAAACTATTTGGATCCGGACTGAGTGCTTGATATTGACCTCTTAATCTATCACCAGCCGCAATACGTCTGAATCGTTTAAGATCAACGACATAAAGAGCGCTAATATGATAAGATCGTCCTTGTAAATGAGTTTTCCAATAACCTTGTCTCCAAAATCTAAAGCCATCCATTTCCCTTCTACTATCACAGAAAGGTGTGTAAGCGTATGGTGCACCTTCAAGATCTAAATCATTAAGTTCCTTTAGATCAGCTCTCACAACTTGATCTGCATCAACGAATATTATTTTTTTAACATCTAATGGAAATAGTACGTCTAAAAAGAGAATCTTATATCCCCAAATAGTTCTTTGTTTCTCAGTTTGTTGATGTAACCATCGTGGCCATTTATATTGTACTAATTCATATTCAAAACCATACTCTTTGGCCATATATGGCAAGAAATCTTTCAACGTTGGTGAAAGGTAATTTTTTAAAAACCAAAACTTGACTGGAGTTTTTGTGTGTTTTATTACACTTAACATCATTATTTTTAAAAATCTTTCATAAAGATGACCCGATGCAAGAGAGAAAATATTTATTTTTTCATCTTTGTCCTCGTTATCATCTGAACCAAATGTCCTATTGAAAAATATATATTATCTTTTAGTTAATATTTCTTAATAAAATATATTAATTTTACAATAGACTTCTACTATGTGTATAATACACGCGTAAATCGCTTACCAAAAATCGGAAAAGCTAAAACAAATTTAAGTAAGAAGTAGAATAATAAATTGTAGAAAAAAGTAATGGAGGAGTTAAAAAAAAATATGTATACATTCAAGACATAGACAATAATGTAATGAAAACGTAAAGTAGCTATCAGATATCAACATCTTAATGTTAACTACTTTTTTATTTATCTTGAACAATTAATCTAACTGATTATTCATGAACAGGATATCTTTATTATATTGGTTTAAAATGACTCAACTTGTTTTCGTTTAAAATGAAGTAATAGATTACTTTACGTTAAGAATAAGAAGAAAAATACTTATAACATACCTGGAGATGGAGTTCCAAATTCCTGACTTAGTGTCATCATCAGCCAATAAATCAGCATTTAATTTATCCGGTTTTTTGGTAACTTTAATTTTAAGAACATGACTCTTCAACGAACTTATTAAAACTTTAACTTCACTACCATGTTGAATAGCATCTTGACCATCCACTGAAGTAATATCATAAATATCAGCAGATCTTCCTTGTCGTAAACGTAATACCCATTCTCCAGGATTGGCTTTTAATTGGAAATAACCAAGATTAGCCATAACAATTGTATCAACCATTATTGGTTGCATCTCAGTTCCTAAAGTTATTTGTAATCCTCTTGGTGGATTACCCATATTTGCTTCAAAACAATGCCCTTCTAAAAGTAGATGTTCCAATTCAAATTCACTATGTACTCCCATAGCTACATTATCCAACTTGATATTATCTAAATCATAAACACTTTTAACTACTTCTACCAACCAATTTTCTGGAGCATGAATATTTTGTGTTAATAATGATGATGTTGGTAGTTTAGTGAATTTTGCAATAGCACCAATTAATTGACCATCAGCAGAAAATTGTAATTCAGGCTCGAATACAAAACGATAGAAGCTCTTTAGAGGCATATCACTATTTTTGTCTACACAATTGAGGAATAATTTAATATTACAATTTAATGATTTTTGTAGTGTGTTCAAAATAGCTCCTAGTTTTTGAGCTCCACGAGAAACTGGATCAACTATGGCTATTAAATTGAAAGCTGCTTCATCAGGGTTCGCTGCAGGAACTTTAATTACACTATATTCGTCACCACTAAATGGAACGTTATACCGATTACGTGTTTGAGGTCTTGGCACAAGTAATGATATTATTTGCATTATCACATCATCTGAAATTCTTTCATTGCCATCTTCATTATTGGCATTATTTTTCATATGAACTCCTTGCGTTTCATTCAGATTTTTTAATAATTTTGCTCCATATGTACTCTGACTGAAACGTTCTAATAATGCGAAATCTTTACTTGAGAAATTTTCATCATCATTTAAGGGTCCAAGTACTCGGCCATTGCATATAACAGCTCGTTCTCCAGGTGCTAGATTAAGTGTTAGTTTTGAATAATACTGATATACTTTTAATTTAAATTCTTGTGAATTGATTTTTTCAACATCAATATCCTCTTTAATATTAAACTCATTTTTTTTAATTAACAAAACATTTTCTTCAGAGATAATTTTTTGAATGTAACTTATAACATTTTCTTCAGATTGCGATTCAATTGCAGCAAGAACAATTTTATTTATATCTTCCATTGGATCAGAAGATTCTTTTTCTTTTCTATTAATAATTAATGTAATACGCACATCTGCATTAGATTCTAAATAATCTAATGCTTCACGTAAAAGTTCTCGACCATTTGGATCTTCTAGATCAGCAACAATCCAATAAGTATACAAATGTCTACCACTACTACGACGAGGCATATATAAATAATGCGAATTCTTCATTAACCAAGTTGACATATCCTGTGAATTCCATGAATCAATTCTGTCATCACTTGGTAAATTTCCTATAAGATTTAACCATTGATCTTCATCAGTTTTTAATATTCTTTCATTTAACCGTGGCATTACATTAGGTTGATCCATAATAAAATTGATAATATCATCTCCTTCACTCACATCTCCTTTATAAATAGATTTTTGTAAAAACATTGTTTGTGTCATAATTGCAGATAAAACAATTTCTTCAAAAGACTCAGCATCTTCAGAGGCAGCTAATGGTACACCATTCAATAAAGCTTGAGGGAATTTCTTGAAACCCGTACGTTTTACAAAATCATTTGCCAGATGACGTCCAACATCGTATTCAGATTCTTCACCAAAAATATAATTAATATTTGCCGAAGAATCATATGAACGTAGAGCTTTTATAATATCTGATACTTTTAAACCATCACTACTATTATAACTTCCTAGTCTTGATAGAAAATAAACCGCCTCTTTAGGACTTCTTGTTTCTGTTAAATAATGATAGGCATTATTAACAGCAATACTTGCATCGTTTAATCCAATTTCTGATGTATTAAAATTTGTGATAAAAACAAATCCAACACGAACGGGAGCTGAATGAGCATACAGAGTCTCAGCTGTACTTAAATATGGTTTTGATTTTTCACTCAAAGGATCTATTAGAAGTATCAAATTATAAATGTTACGTCGAATATTACGAAGCATACCAGGAAATGTTGGTCGTAACAGTGAATTCAGTGATACTGGCCAATCACTATAACGTCTATCATTTTCTAAATCATTCATCCAAATGATCGCTGAATCTCTTATGTCTATTGCAAAATCATGATTGTCTGTTTTACTTGATAAATCAACAGCGATAAGTTGATCCATTTTTTTATGACTAAATCCTATTTTGTGGAGTGCTTCCATTACACGAAGTTCAGCACGCAGTGTTTCTAGTAAGACAAGGCTATCAATGGCATCTAAATCAAAATATAAACCATTTATAAAAATGACTGTATCAGTTGGTTGAATGTGTAAATTGGCAAAAAATATTTCTTGATTTTTCTTCATTTCTTTCTTCATTTGATGACTCACTTTAGTACTTATTAAAGACTTAGCTTGCATAGGAAAATTTTGAGCTATATCAGTAAATATTTGAATAGCTTCAGACGGTGATGATTTCATTATTCTTTCAGCAGCTTGATGACTTAATTCTTGAAATTGCCAAACTTTTAAAGCACTAACTGCATCACTAGTATCTAATAAATGTGTTAATAATTCGTCTAGTTTTTCTCGTTTTTCAGGATACAAATTTTTTAAAATGTTGAAATTTATTCCATCAATTTCTTCAACACCTTCATTTTGCTCTTCTGAATCTTTTCCAGAATTGTCTCTAATATCAGAATCATCTGTTGCTTTATATTCTGTTGATTTCATTTGAAGTTCTACTCCATATCCAGATAGACGTAAATTTTTATCAGGTCGATTTTTTACGTAATGACGAAGAACATAAACTAATTCTGTTGACTCAGTTAATGATTTCAAACGTTTATGTAAAGTACAAAATCCAGGTGACCCTATTTGTCCATACAATATTGCATAATTTTTAGATTTTAATTTTTCAGGATATTTATGATCTATTGAATAAATGTGTGCTGAATTTCCAGCACTTTCTTTCAATTTTTCTATCTGGTTTTCTATCGAACAACTGAATTTTCCTCCAATATCGACAAAATTATCACAACTTGGTATATCAGGTTTATTTTGTGCCATTTGAGAGAACATTTCTACTCTTGCTGAATGAATTCTTAATGATAAAGATAATTTCAAAATAGCTATCTCACTTGGACTTAGAAAATGACTTGCCAGCTCAAGTGCTTGATCATACTGCTCCTTTTCGGTGACTGTAAAAAAATATTCATTACCATCAATTTCATAAATTGTAATAATTAATTCATGCTATCATACAAATAATTATTTTTTACCTGGGTTATAAACGTTGTCATTGTCTTTACAAATCAAATCAATAAACTTCCAAAAGTAAGTTGGATTTTCATCATAAAGATATTCAGATACTTCCAAAATAATAGGAGTATCTTTCCATTTAGCATTAATTAGTGTTGTTACATATTTCTTATTTACTTTTCCAACATCATGAGCAAGAATATTTAATGTAACAAATGATAAAAAAATACACTGAGGAATCCACATTTTCAATTAGTTCTTGGAAAAAATACTGTCAACAAAATAACAAATAATTATATCAATCAATAAAATTTATTAAAACAATCATAAAAGGATGATAAAATAAACGTACAAAAATTCATAAAAATAATATTCATGTAGTGTTTGTTTTTGAATTATAATTAACAAATTTTAGTACTTGTTCAGTTAATAAATACACATTGATGACAATGACCAATCCAAATATCGCACGTGCCGGGTTTAGAGAAGTTACTAACTATACATGTACACTCGGTTTACATTTATATTGACTGTAGTAGATGTTAAAGTGCAGGGCACCATCTATTCTTTCTATAACCTTGTAGCGGCCATCTTGGCGTTGAAGCGCGGCAAATCAATTCGTAATTATTCAATTTTCTTTTTAATTTTTTTAGAAATTAGAAATATACGATCCAAGTTATGGAAATTGGAGGAATCAGTCAGTTCTTTTATGTATCAGTAATTTGATACATAAAAAGTTTTGTGCGGCTATTACAGCTTGTCTTTGAAGAATAAAATTAACGCAGGAATTTTACTTACATTCAAATATCTCTATTTTTGAAGAATTTTGGCATACATGTTGTAAATATTAGTTGAAATAACTGAAATATGGCATACATAGTTTATTGGAAGAATAAAAAATTTAATTAATAAAATCATGGAATGTCTATTACAAAAATTGCTTAATATGTGCTGTGATAAATGATTAAAAATATTCCATTATGTAATATATTTTTTAAAAAACTATTTCTAATATTATTAAGATTTGAAAAGAATGATTGAGCATTTACTATATTATTTATACTTAAAAATATTATGAAATCATAAAAATAATAGTTGATGATATTATTTTTTAATAGAATGACTAAGTTTAGTTGGTGAGGTTAATTTAAGATCTTTTTTTATTGGAGTACCACTTGTTACGATACGTGGTTTTACGATCTTTGCTGAAAAACTCGTTTGTGAAGCTTCATTGGAATCAACTGTAGAAATTTTTTTTCTGGATAATGTTGGCGATTTAATATTTGTGCCAATTGTAGAATAACGTTTGATGGATGTTTTTACATCACTATTATTAGAAGTTGTTGATGAAGTTGAAAGAGAAGATCTAGTATTTAATGATGTAGAATTGGAAAGCATTTTTTTTACCGTTTGTAAGGGTTCGAGTTTGGTGGCTATGACTTTCTTCTGAGCATTATCTACAGCTTTTTTAACAGCTGGAGAAGCACCACCAAGACTTCTACCCCTTAACATTAATTTATTTGTTGGAGACAATTTTGTCGATTGGTTCACTGAAGGTTTAGGAATAGATCCTCCAATACTTCTTCTAATCAATGGCTTCTGAGGGAGTGATTTCACTGATAAAGACGGACTTGTACACCTTGATCCTGGTGGTCTTACCGGACTTCTGTCTGTCTTTCGAGGACTATTGCCCCATAAAGGAGTCGAAGGCTTCAAAAATACATCTGTAAAATAAACATCTCAATTAGATTATCACTAAAATAATAAATAAACAATAACAATATTTTAAAATTTCTCAATTTGATATGCAGTATACCATCATCTATAGTTTTCTGTTGTAATTTTTGAGCTTTTTCAATATAAAATTTAGCTCTTTGAAGACATTCTGCTAGTGAGTTCATTCCAAGATCATCGCTTCGTAAAGACACTTCTCCTAAAGAGGAACATAAATCATTCAATTGTGAAGGAGTACTTGATTTAGGAGGCGATGGTCTAGGTTCACTGTCACAACTTTTATCCCAGGTTTTTTCACGCAGCAAAATTGGAGTTCTTTCTTTTTGACAACTTTTTACATCTGAAATAGTTGCTTGAGATAAATTCTGAATGCTTATAGACATTCGTCTTTCTGAAGTTGATAGTTGGCTCTAAAAAAAAAAAAAAGTAAATTAGACACATGAAAAAATTAATCAATTTTAACTCATTTATTATTTATACGTTCTTTACTTTAATAATTCATTATTATTACCGAATTTGACAGTGAAGAATCATGCTTTTCTTCCTGACGTCGATGACAAACAATTTCAGGTTGTGTATAACAACGAGTCAATGGAGACTCATTATTAGTTTGAGCCGCATCATCGCAAAGATTAGGTTTGCAATTTTCTTCAGTGCTTATAGTATTTAAAGTAATATCTACATCATCAACCACTACTTTTGGATTTATCGTATTTAAAACATGGCTAATAACATCGTGCATCATATTTGATATATCTTTATCTATTTTTGGCACTAAATTACTTCCAGTTTCTATCAATTTATTAATGTTATTAATGCTTCCAACACCACTAACACTCCAAAATGAAGCATCAACAGTTTCTCGATCATTTGGACATTGACATTTCACTTTATTTAACTCTAAAACAGCTTTCATTTTTGATTTTCCACATTTAATAGTCACAGTAACATCATTTTCTTTCGTTTCGATATTTTTATCATCATCATTTGTAGATTTTTCAAATTCAAGAAGTTGGAAACCAATAACTTGTAGAAGACATATTAGAGATATTACATCAGGTTTCTCCCCTTTTGGTTCTGGTGTATTTGCATAAAACCATTTCCAAGCCCATTGCATAAATTTTCGCTTCACTGATCTTATAGTTAAAAATTCTGCTGTACTTAACTTATCCATTTTGCAGTAATATTTCTGACAAACTGAGTTATATCATTACTAAGAGCTATCTAACATATAAAAGTATGATGAATACAGAGAGAAGTCTTCTCTCTGATGAATACTAAATGAATAGAGTAATGATGATATATTTGTTTTGAAATACTTTTAGAAATTGATTATAATCATAAATATTTTTTGTTTACATTTTTTGTTTTTCTGAATTCAAACGTCAGTGTTTACATTGATATTTTACACGATGAATTCGTATGATAAATGTTTTGAATTATGAACTGTCGGTTATAAAATTGCAATTATTAGCAACTGCCGATCAACACTCAAATTGACTGCATCACAGATAGATAAAAAATAATAACAATAATTTGCACTATCCAAGTTATTTTACATACGAACCGGCAATAAATTAAATTTATTTATTAATCAACAATGTTTGTTGCCAGAAAAGCTGCTCTATCTACAGTACGGTAAGTTTTATTGAACTTATCTCTTTAAAATAAATGAATTAAATATTTCATAGATATTTCTCGTCAACTTATATAATTTAACCTATAAATGGAATTCATTTTGAAATATTTTAAAATTCCAGACGTGGTAAAGATGTTTTAGTCAGGACAAAACATACTTTACCTGACCTACCGTACGACTACAAAGCTTTGGAGCCAATTATCTGTGCTGAAATAATGCAACTACATCATTCCAAACATCATGCCACTTACGTTAATAATTTGAATGTTGCTGAGGAAAAATTGAAAGAAGCCGTGGCCAAAGGAGATGTGAATACTCAAATAGCTTTAGCTCCTGCTATCAAATTCAATGGTGGTGGTCATTTAAATCATTCAATTTTCTGGTGCAATTTATCTCCACATTCCAGCAAACCCGATGGTAATTTATTCACATATTTAGTGTGCCAAGAAAATTTACATATTAAGTCTAAACTTTTATAAATTTTATATCATATGTTTGTATATATTTTTAATGAATGCAGCTGCATTAGCAAAGCAAATTCAGCAAGACTTTACTAGTATGGAAGAAATGAAGAAACGTTTATCAGAAACAACAGTAGCAATCCAAGGATCAGGTTGGGGTTGGTTGGGTTACAATCCTAAAGAAAAACGATTGCAAATAGCAACTTGTGCAAATCAGGATCCTCTTCAAGCGACTACTGGTCTTGTTCCTCTCTTCGGTATTGATGTGTGGGAACATGCTTATTATCTGCAATATAAAAATGTTAGACCCGATTATGTAAAAGCCATTTTTGATATCGTTAATTGGGATGACGTTAGTGTCAGATTTAAAAAAGCTTCTGGACTTTAAATCATTTATATAACTCAACACATGCAGTGAATCATTAGCTTTCAGCATATTACTACTCAATTCAATCATCTAAGATAGAATATAAATCTTTTATTATTATACAGTTCGTAATTATCTACAACAGAATTACGTAAATACAAGAAAATAAAGCTGACCAAGTTTTTTATTAATAACTCGCTAATTTTTTAGACAAATTTTAATAATTGACTTTAATTCAGATTTTAATATTTTTTTTTCATTATAATTAGTATCATTACAATAAATTGTTAAATAAAAGGGTTGTTTGGCAATAATCAATGATTTTTAAAATTTTTGCGGACATAGATGGCGCTAGATTTGTAAAAACACAGTATGGCTGCTGAGCTCGAGTTGGTGTAGTTGTGTCTGGCAGTGTCTGGTAAGTAAATGTTTATTTACCTTCAATAATTCAGATACAAAATGAGAAAAATAAATCATTAATATATCCATTACATTAAAAAATATTTATTGTAAGTGAAAACAGTGTTCACAATTCGTGTATAGGATAAATTCAATTAAGTCCAATGCTACTCGAGTTATTTATTTACATCAAATTGTCAATTAATGCTGATAATACAGCAGTTCTGGGGTACCGACAAGTGAAGCTAGTAGGTAAATCTCTCATCTGTCAGACAACTTTGTTCATTACGTTATTGAACAATGTATCAACTTATTTTATTAGTAAATTAATTAATTTATTTCTTATTTAATTTTATATAATATTTTTAAATATTTAAAAGAATTTTCCTTTACTCTGAATTCCATTGCTATCAATAATAAAATAAATTTCACCGAAAAATCGATTTCAGAATAATTAAATTATAGACATGAAACATTCACCAGTGTAAAATTATATTGCATGACCTCTATAACACACTTCATTGCATAAAGGATTTCTGCGAAGGGCACTTAATGTTATTGAACTTTAATACTTTAATTAAAGAAACAGTTGATGAACAAGAGTACATATATTTTCTAATATTATTTCATTTACATATCGCTACTAAATAACATTTTTTTTACAAACAATATTTTATACTTTTAACATTGGTCTAATAAATTCATTCATTCAGTTGAAACAAATTAATTCATTTTATATTGTAGAGTTTCTTTATAATCTGCTATATTTACAAACCGCAAATGTTTGTCATAGTCATCATTTACTAATATACCAACTAATTGGGTTTTCCTAGATGAAAATCTACAAAATAAAGGATTACCCTTCAATCCCCATAGTTCAGATTTATCTACTGGATTTGCACTTTTTATTATATAATTAAAAGTAGATCCTTCTTCACGTTGTATTGATATATCCATAGGGATGTATGTAATTATAAATGCTAAAATAAAGATGTTTTAAACAAATATTAAAATCAAGTGTCATTAGCTTAGAGATACAAAATAAAATTGTACTTACGTTTGATGGGATTAGGCATTTTTGTAACATTAATTAAACGACATTCTCTGATAACCATTGGTATTATTTCTGGGGAAGCCATTAGACTAGATAACTTGGTAAACTCTTCAGAAATACCATCCGTTAAACTTAAAGATGCTGTATCTGCATAAAAATAGTATTCCTTATTAGAACATGTATAAAAAAAACAATTAAAAATATTTATGTTATCATAAATATATTTAATATTAAATAAAATAATTAAAGAATACTAATTCAAACTTTTGTTTAATTTACCAGTATCAAAATCATCAATGAATTCTTCAGTTACTGAAAAGTCAGCATCTGATTGAGATTCAGCAAAGATATATTTATCTTCCTTTAGTATTCGATGATTTCTAAGTTTGATTTGGCTGAAAAATGCAAATGAAATAAAATTATAATATTCCTTATCATTTTTTTTTAATGTCAAGAAAATATACATACTTTTTCACACAAGACTTCGCTGTAAAAGCCAACTTACTGTCATAGTTTCCATCTAATATTATTGCTAAGCACACTAATCCATCGTCATCAGTTTCCTCATTGTCTTTTGGAAAAACGAACATCAAGTTCCAAAGTTCATTCTCTGTTATCCATGAACATTCTTTCTGCGGTGTCAATGGAGGAATAAATTGTTTAGTCGTAGTCGAAACAGTTGAAGTACCAATATACAGTGATGTCAGTGATTCTGCTCTTTTCTACACAAAAAATTTTACTATTAAGGAATTATTTTCCTCATTTGAGTGTAAAGTATTACTTTAGTTTAGTTTAGTTTAGTTTTGTTCACATAACTCTTTCCCATTTCTCTCTGCAAAATTCATCATCAACAATTCTTGGAACACTTCGTTCATTTTTCTTTGCATCTTCACAAATTAACATATCAGTACATTCAGTGGGTTTTAGGAAGTAATTTTTTTCGTAACCATAACATTGACATTGATATTTTAAATCCATTGGTGGTCGTCGGAAATCCAAAGATTGTGGTTTATTTGTTAATAAACAACAATCATCAGACCTTGATCATAAATATGATATATTAATAAGTAAAAAGAACAATATGGAACTATAATAATAGATTTTTTCAATATAATTATTAACCATTGAAATTTTTCCAAATCTGGAGCATCATATGCATCAAGGAATCCAGGATGACAGATACCATTTTCTACTTCCTTATGACTTCCATGAATTATTCTAATGATAAAAGTGTATTGATTTTAATTTGAAAGTTAAATCTTTTTTTAATTAACAAAATATTACTTACAAATGAAAAATTTCATGACCAATTGTTGGGTAAGAATTAAATTTATAGTCATCAGTAATTATTGATATCGGCATATTATAACTGCCACATCCGTCCTGTCTTGATTTAACAATTCCTCTTTTCGGATAACTTGACATTCCTGAATAAATATACATAATAATATAAGTAATTTATTTATTAGAATTTTAAAATAGTTATAATAACTTATGAATAAGCTTGGTTTTTTAAATTGCAAGCTCATTATATAACTTGCAGACTGATCAAAGTAGCTTATGTAGTTAGAATGTGCATCAAGGAATATCAAACAAACTATTTAGCTACTGAATATTTTCAGGAGATATTTTAATTAAATATTAAAACTTATTTGAATTATAAATTATTCATAAATTAATGGATTTATTACTTTATGCAAAAATTTATAATTTAGTACTTACTCGTTAAATTATGATGATCTGAATAAGACAATTTTTTACTAAAAACAGTGAAATCTTGGTTTTGATAAGAATTTTATTATTATGATTAATCTTATTGCAATTATTACCTTGTTAAAAAAAATATCCAATCATATGACATACTTGGGTTTAATTTAGATTTTTCGAAATAAGAATACTTAGAATTTACTACTCCATGGACTAGTGATTCGACTGATAAATATTCTTTGTCACTATAACCTTCTACAGCAGGTAGAAGATTTTTTTTCTATAATTTTAAATAGTTATTTTCTTTTTTTAAATTACGAAGGAATTTTTATTTTAACTTACACTTTCAATGATAATTCCTGCAATATTTAACTTCACTTTGAGAGTCTCTCCCGGTGAATATAACATATCCGCAGCATTCATCAGACTTATTACATAAAGTATCATTTCTTCATTACTGAAAACAATAAATTATATAAACAATTATATAAATTTAATCGTATTTATGATTTGAAAATAAAGAAAGATAAATCTTACCTAATGTTAGTAGACTTCAAATTTGAGTAAAAATCATTTTTTATAACTATTAAAATCTCTGGATAAAGTGTTTTATTAACAGCTCTCTCATTAATTTTTAATTCTTCTGCTGTTCGTGGTATAATTTTTCTGGTCGAATTTGATCGTTTACTTAATGTTATATTTCTACGCATGATGAACTCAGATTCACCAATGATTTGAGTGTGAAATAGTAAATGCATAGGGAATTTTTTAATGACATATCGTATACCAATTACTCCATTCTGAAATATGTAAATTTAATATTAAATCTGGCATTAAAAGAACTAGATATAATATCATTTTGCCGAATAATTTAAATGTCTTTTAATAATTTTACTAAATTAACTTTGCACATGTTTGTATTAAATCTTGAAAATTTTATCAATTTATAAGTAGATGATGGTTGTGAATATATTACATACCAGACAATTACAGTTTGATGAATAGATAAAGGCTGCTTTTTTCTCATAATTGAAATATGGTACTAAGGTTCCTAATTTTGACATTATCTGTTACAAAATTGTAATTTAGTACAAAGTAATTATTTATATCATCTTCATGTCGATTAATTTTAATTCAATTGATTTTTATTTACTTTTAATTCTTCGTAAGGCAGGACTTCATTTTCTTCCATTGTCCATACTGGCAAATTTTCATTTGCTAAGTAAGAATTATATACCTTTTTTAAAGTGACATTGACACTTTCACCATGATCAAATATCTTGATATTAAATCCTGAAAGAAATGTGGTTATTATTATACTGAAGAAAAATAATCAGTGGTATATTTTTATCTTACCTTCTAAGACCTCAGCTTCAGTACAATTAATCAACAACAATACGATATTTACAAAATTCACAAAAAGCAAACTTTTTGAATACATCACTATTATTATTTTTTATAAAAGAACACTTGAAAGAAAATAAAAAAAAGATCACTTTTGTATTCAATATATACAACTAACTTGTAAAAAGAGGTTTTGTTTTAAACTTCATTTATTCTCAGTCACGTTGAAACTATTATAAAAATAACAAATAGAAAAAAACATTATCTTTTCTTAAATTGTTATTCAGATAACTCAGTACAAGATAACAAAAACGCCCATTACTTACAGATGAAATATTTCTTATTTCCACCTTAAATTTAATCAATTTTAGTAGTCTTCCATCTTTTCTTCAGAATTTTGCTTTATCATATTACAATAAATCAATTCTATCATTTTTATTGAATATCAGGTTTTTATAAATTCTCTTTATCCTTCATGTATTCTCTTTCGACTATTCTTTCATTCTTGAAGATAATATGCAAGTTTATTTATATATTTACATTTAAATATTATGTTGAGAAACGAGTAATCACAATAAGAAAGTATAATTTATTTTTTCATTTCAATCAATTGATGAATTTTGTAGTTAACTCAGGCATAAGAAATATATCTTATAAATATATATATTTGATATGAGCAAATATATTGCGGTAGAATGTCATATACTTTTTTATTGTGTAAGATATATTCTTATTACGACAAAAAAGTATGTACTAAAATACATTTATTTATATAGTGAAGTATACTTTGGGATATATTATTTTTTTATACAAGTATCGTAAAAAACTTTTTGAATAAAGCTTTTTTTATTGTTTTAGTGTAATAATTTTATTTAATAATTAATATATTTAATTATTATTTTTTAAAATAAATAATCAAATAAAAGAAAGATACCCCAAATAATAGAAACCGTTCTTCAACAAAAAATAATATAGAGTAATCTTTTACTTCTACATTTTGACCTAAATGTTTTTAACTGTGTACCTTTTATATTATTAAATACTCTTATTTTCATCTTCATCTTTGGTCTCGGTAGCGTAATGTAAAAATTAAAAGTAATACTTCAGATCAAACATGAGAGTTTCTCATGAGTAAAAGAAAAAGCTCAGACTAAAAATGAGGAAGAAATAGTAAAGGAATAAGAAAGATGGTGAAGTATGGAGTTACCAGGCAATATTACAGTACTGTTGGATAAAATTGCTAGTTCGTGCACAGACGATAAATTGTCATTGCTCACTGGAGTAGGTAGCCATCAAAAGCTCTAGTGTTAAAAAAATTAAACCTCGTATAAATTTTATCCAGACTCTTGAAAATACTGATCTATAAGAAATTTATATTAAAAATACTAGTAGCATTCCGTTAAACTAAAATATTAATATTTAATCAGTTATAATAGATTATTAATTAATTTTATAAATTAAATTTATAGAAAAATATGTAAAAAAAATCATTCTAAATTCTAGATTTTTTTCGTTAATGAGCAGACATTTATAATTTCTTTTAATGATTTCCTTTCCTCATTATCGTCTCTTGAGTATTTTTTACATGTACAAAAAATTTCTTGGATTTACTTAACATTAAAAATGTTTTTTCTTCTATATACGTTTAATTAAACAGAAATAAGACTAAATTAAAATTTTCCTTACTGTTTGATGTATTTTTTAAATTAATATTATACATATTTACTCATTAAGAATTTTATGCAATAATTTACTACTGAAGCAGCCATGTTTTCTGTAGAAAAACTTGATATTAAAACTTCTCGATCGAATGCCAATTAATTTTACGAGCGAATAAAACTTGTAAGTATGTTCAAAGCCATTAAACAACCATTTTGCGTGTTTGTATCTATGAAAACGTATAGTTACTTCTTTTTTTCATTAAACTCTTCAATCTCTTAGACTTTAAACTGCTTTACATTGTTAATTTTTAACTTTATTTATCCTATAGAAAATAATCCTTTTAATATATATGCAAAATTCAACATCAAAACCTTTTAATGATCAATTATTCATTTAACTGGATTCAATTTTCATAGATTCTATAACAGTAACGTAATTATATCGTCAATAATCGGTTTTAGCATGATGATTAATCTCAAACAAGCTCCTTAATAGACTTGAAACCTGGTTAATTATGCGATGAAATTGGTGATGAAGTTTTTGAAGATGAAAGAGTAAAAAATTGTCTATTGTTAGCTTATGTGAGCTTTCTTCAAGTTTTTCTTCATTGTTCCATCCATCTACAATATCAGTATTTCCGATCTATATCGCATATTGGCTGTGACATTATGTACAGGTCCATTAAATCCCTTCACTTTATTCCACTACATACACCTGTAATCTATGCTTTATACATGATCTGATAGAGCTCTCAACAGGATTACAACCCCACAATTTTCTTTGTTGATTTATTTTCTCTGAAATCAATATGATGTCATCAAACATCATTATTTTATAGAAGAAAATTCAATTATTAGAATATTGAAAAACTTACAGCATTAAAATTGTGAAAATAAATACTTTAAATAAATACTATAGAAAATTTCATACTTCAGTAGGCAAATCATTGAATTAAATAAAATTACATCAATACTGATTTATGTAATTACCGTTGAAATATCTTAATGTTTCAAAATACCATCACAGCATGAATTATTCATGAAAAAATATATTTAACCCTCGAATAGCTTAGCTTTATAGATATTTTTATGGATTTAAAATACTGAATTTTTTTATGATATTTTAATATTTGTTATGAAGATGTTACTAGTGATGATATTTTCAATTATAGAATATTATAAACTTAGGATACTTTTTTCAAGGAAGATAAGAATGGTTAGAGAACTTTTAAAAATAAAATATAATTTAAATTAGAACTTGAAATGACAAAAAAATTCTTCTTATAAAATAAAAATTATAACTCATGCATTATTATATTTGACAAGCTTTGAATAAAATAGACTAAAAAAACTATTGTCATGGAAAGAATAACTATCATAAATGTTTCGCTTACATTTGCAATTCATCCTTTTTATAATTTCCTTATGTAACTTATTTTCCTTTCTAAAAGCTCTAAACATTTTATTCAGTCCCTGTTACCTCATTAGTGAAGTTTGAAAGCTTCAAAAGGAAAATATCGGCTTGTGTTAAAAGCATGAATAAACAATAAGTCCAATTATCTAATGTGTATACATTAACCTAGAATAATGAAATAATTAAAACATTTTGGTTGCAAAATATCTTAGAAAAAGAGTGAGATGGAAAAGATAAGAGTACCAGAGCTTCTTTCCTTCTTATATTGATTGTCTAGAGACTTGGAATTGGCCGGCGCCGCCCGTGTAGGTCGATCGTTTTACCAAGTGACGTCATGGCGTCACCTTACGTATTGATTTTTCATTTCTATAGTACAAGGAGTTTTCCAATTGGTTGATGGTGTCGTCAGGATTACTTTGGTGATGATCACGTGATCCAAAATAATCATAAGTGCGCAAGCTCACTCGCCATTTTTGCAAACAACTTTTAAAGTTGACTACTAGTGGCACTGTCGTCAGTTCTCATTATTATCAGCCCCAGTTTGACTGCAACAATGATCGTAGGGTTGGCTTGAAGTAAAACGTATGTTTAATTGGGTAAAATCATAGAAATGTTGACCAAAACATTGAACCATTTATTCTGGTGTTGTGTTTTTTTGTACTGTGAGAGGTTTTATCATTAATTTTTGATTCTTTAAAGTGTCTTGTGCTTCAAACGTTTAGTAGTAGTTTTTTTTTGCACAAGTTAGAAGAAAACGTCAAAAATTTGAGATACAACAGAAAAAATCATTCTTTTTATCTATTGAAGGGTAAGGAATTAAAATAATATAGTAGTTATAGTAATAAGAGTGATTAAAACAAATGATACATTTGGTAACCATTTTTTTTTTCAATTTAAATTAGCATATAATGATGAATAAAATGTTCGAGGCGTTGAGATAGCATGGATCGATTTCACCTTCGGGTGTTTTTTCTTCCCCAACTGCGTTACGAGGTCGTATTCGTTCAAGGCTGGCTTTTAAGATGTAAATTTAACAAATAATCCATTATTCTATTGAAAATTCTAATTAAAATTAATAGTAAAAACTAGAGTTAAATTTGAATAAAGAAGTAGGTGCTTTTATCCAAACAAGTAATCAGTTTTGTTCGTGCTGGAACAGTTCATTTTGATCAGCTCGATAATTATTTAACTACAAAAATGATCTATTTATTTCTTCTTATTATTTATAATTATTTTTGTTTTATTGATTATTAGTGACTATCATAATTTGAACTCTATTTTGGTAACCATGAAAATTTTATTACTTGTTCTCCACAAAATCAATTCGTGATTAGATAATTTCAGTTCAAATATAAATTCTTTAAATAAAATATCCATAAATGAAATACTTCTTTTCTATCCACCAATTAGCTTATTTTATGAAATGATTGACAAGTGTTGTCATGATTTTTCAGCCTATTATCTGAAAATTGTTTGACTTTGGAAAATTCTTTTTTAACAATCAAAAATCTGGAAGACTGTTACACATGTAATGGATTTTTCAAATTTGATTAATTGTACACGTGGGGGTGAAATGAGTGGTTTAGAGTCGATCAAATACCATCCTACATATAAGCGTCAGTAGAACGAGTCAATAACTAGTCGGGCGCTGCGTCACCAGTGTGCTTTCTACCATTTTACCATTCTACCAACGTTTGACGTGCCATTCGTCCAATCTGCGAACAACAATCTCTGATTCATTTCCTATTCCATTCGTTTCATTGATTGTCAACTGAGAATTTAATGCCTCAGCCCTTGAGTCAATTAAATCAAAAGTTTTTGTATCAAACTGTCAATAAAACTATTGGATAAATTTTTATTCTACTTTTTTCTCTCTAACTTATCAAATAAAAAATTTTTTCTATTCAATATCTTTAGCATCAGCTATTGATTCTGTAATAATATCTTCATTGTGCTGATTTCTCGTTATGACTCATCGTTTTTAAGTTTTATGGCTTCAATTATTGCTTCCTCATCTTCAATTCTGCTGCTGAAATATAATACGAAGTATGATGGTGCAATAATAATCGTCTATATATGTATGAAAACCAATAATTGAGCTGAAAATAAGTAGTGTGCAATAAATTACTGAAGTTCTTGATATTAATCTAATTAAATATTATTCTGAGAAATGACAACGTGAAAATATTTTAATTACTTAACATTTCTATATCTTCTTTAACCATTGAATTTAAAAAGCCAGTTAATACACTTCCATATTTCTTTGTCATGTGAAGGAAAAATAGGTTTCCAAAATTATATCTGTTGTTCAAATAAATAAGTTAAATTTAATTTAAGCAAACATCATTGAAAGAATATTTTCAAGTCATCAGAAATTTTTGATAAAAATGTATTTGCTTTGATTCCATTTTAATTCTTTTTTTTTTCTAAATGCAGATATTGAAACAAAGCAGCCGCAATGTCGTCGGTAAAAGTTGCGGTAAGGGTTCGTCCCTTCAACAATCGGGAAATACTAAGAGAAGCTCAATGTATCATTGAAATGTCTGGCAATACAACGACGATAATCAATCCAAAAGCACCACCAGGAACAAAAGAAGCTGTAAAGAGCTTCAACTATGATTATTCCTATCATTCAATGGATCCCAATGATGATAATTACTCATCACAAATCATGGTTTATAAGGATATTGGTGAAGAGATGCTTCAGCATGCATTTGAAGGCTACAATGTATGTATTTTCGCTTATGGGCAAACTGGAGCTGGTAAATCGTACACAATGATGGGTAAACAAGAAGAAGGTCAAGAAGGCATAATTCCACAAATATGCAAGGATCTCTTCCGAAAAATAAGAAAAAACTCCAGTGATACATTAAAACATTCAGTGGAGGTGTCCTATATGGAAATTTATTGTGAAAGAGTTCGAGATTTATTAAACCCCAAGAATAAAGGAAATCTTCGTGTTCGGGAGCATCCACTTCTTGGTCCTTACGTTGAAGATTTATCCAAGCTAGCCGTCATGTCTTACGAAGACATTCACAATTTAATTGATGAAGGAAACAAAGCCAGAACTGTGGCAGCAACTAATATGAATGAAACTTCATCAAGATCTCATGCAGTATTTACAATATTCTTCACGCAACAAAAACACGATCCAACAACGGATTTAGTTACTGAGAAAGTCAGTAAAATTTCATTAGTAGATTTAGCAGGTTCAGAAAGGGCTGATTCAACAGGAGCTAAAGGAACCAGATTGAAGGAAGGTGCTAACATCAATAAAAGTTTGACAACACTTGGAAAAGTTATCAGTGCTTTAGCTGAAATTGTAAGTGATTTTTTTGAAAATATTTCCTCACAATACTATAAGTTAACTATTTACTAATTTATATTTACTATTTATTTAAACTTTTCTATTCTACCTTTGGATTATCAGGCTGTAAGTTGATATTTTTCATTGTTAAAAAAAATAAAATGAATTGTATTCATTTTGATAAATTTAAGCTGATAATGATGTTATTTGAAATAATTGTTTGATTTATAGGCTACCAAAAAGAAGAAAAAAGCTGAGTTTATCCCGTACAGAGATTCAGTATTAACCTGGTTATTGAGAGAGAATCTTGGAGGAAATTCCAAAACGGCCATGATCGCAGCTGTCAGTCCAGCAGATATTAATTACGATGAAACACTATCGACACTTAGGTATGCTGATAGAGCTAAACAAATTGTCTGCAAGGCTGTGGTTAACGAAGATGCCAATGCGAAGCTCATTCGAGAGCTCAAAGAAGAGATTCAGAAACTTCGGGAATTACTGAAACAAGAAGGAATAGAGTTCTTAGAAGGTATGAAATTTTTTGTTTCATTCATACGCACATTAAAAAGGATAATATTTATTAATTAATAGTTTTTACTAATTAATATTCAAATTATGATACTGTTTCTTCTTTCGTCTAATTTTTTTCACTTTTATCTTAAATTTGCATTATGAGTTTTTTAAAAATAGTTTAACTTATTTTATTTTTACTTTCATTCCAAAGTTTATTTTAGTAGTTTTGAATAATTTTCCAATATTTTTATGTTAATTTTATATGTGAGAGTAAAATTTTAATTAAATAACATATAACCCTCTAATGTCTAATGTTTCATAATAAACAGTTATAAATCATTTGTACAAATCGCGTTAAATCAAATCCACTTACCTAAATCTTTTTCTTCCTTTATGGTGCTTGACGTAGGGCCAGACGGTAGATACAGTTATGAAAAGAAAGAAAATAGTAAGTAGAACTAATTACAACAACAAAAAAATAAATATTAAAAAAAAAAAATATTACAATCGAACAAAAAATGCATTACAAAAATTCATTGATTCAGTATCATCTGTGCGAAATTCATTTCACTGACAGATTGAACACTATGTATCATGATGCAATTTGATAGTAAATGTAAACAGTGCAAAAAAAAAGACGCAATAAATTCCTAGGCATATCACTTGAGTGATTCATTACCGAGCTTTTTTCACAAAAATTAAATTTAAATTTGCCTACCAAAATTTTTTGTTTATTTATGTTTTGTTTTACCATCATTATTTTTTTATTGTTAGAACTATTAAAAACATTTCTAAAAAATCCACCTATATTAATATCTGCACTTGTATCTCTTTTGATTCAAAATTTTTTATCTTTTTCAATTACTCTTCATTTATGCTTTCCTTTTTTTTACCATTTTTAATGATACATTTTAATCTTCACAACTGTAATTTGAGCTTTAATATCGCCGCGATTGCATGGCTGAGTAAAGAAACTTAAAAGTACCCAACTTCCAATAGAATGGAGGAGCAATTTGATGACTGACAGCTTAATTGCTTTCAGTGTAACACAACCACATGAACATAACACTTCGAGATTTCTATATATTATATATCAATGTTTATAAAAATATATTGAAGCTAATTCAAAAGCATCTAATGCTTTTAAAAATGAATCAGAAACTATATTTATACTAAAATACTTATTGATTACGACTTTTTATAAGAATTTATTAATTGTTTGCTTAGGAGATGACGTTATTATAAAACCAACTAAACGAGAAGAAGATTTGAAAGAAGTTCGTCAAAGACTTCCATCTCATCCAACAGCAGAAGAAGCTGTAGATCAGTTGCAAGCTTCAGAAAAACTCATTGCTGGTAATCATTTATTCTTTATACACAAAGTTAATTATTTCTACATAGTTATATACTTTTTTTGAAGACTTATATTATAATTAATTGATTGATCAATTAATAAATTAAATGAATTCATTAGAATAATTGTTTATATAATAGAGATTGGAGTAAACATTCAAGATATATTAATTCCATATCAATTCATTTTAAATTACAGTTTATTAAAATTTCTCATATAAAGAGGATTGTTGAGTTCATTTAATTGATTAAGATTTATTAAAATGTTTAATTGAATATAAATTTTCCTCAATCGTTACAAATGAATTATTTAAATGGCTAAGCAAAAAAAAAATTTATTATTGTGATTAATTAGTTGTTTTATTTAATTAATAATTTTGTAAATTGTAATAATTTTAAGAATTAAACGAAACATGGGAGGATAAACTCAAGAGAACAGAATTAATTCGTCATCAACGAGAAGCAGTATTCGCAGAAATGGGAGTAGCTGTAAAAGAAGATGGAGTTACAGTTGGAGTATTTTCTCCAAAGAAAACTCCACACTTAGTCAATTTAAATGAAGATCCACTTATGTCTGAATGTCTTATTTATTATATCAAAGACGGATTAACAAGAATCGGCTCAGCGGAAGCGAATATACCCCAAGATATTCAGCTTTGTGGTCCTCATATCTTGAGTGAACACTGCGTCTTTGAAAATCACGAGGGTATTATTACTCTTATTCCAAAATCAGGAGCTTTAATATACGTTAATGGAGCAGCAGTTAGTGAGCCAATTATATTAAAGACCGGAAGCCGAGTTATTCTTGGTAAACATCATGTTTTCAGGTTTAATCATCCTGAACAAGGTAATATTTTTGAAGAATAGTAATGTAAATCTGAAATGTATTTAAAATTAACTCAATAATTACGTGTATAGTAAGAGAACGTCGTGAGAAAAACTCACCAGCTGAAACCCCTGGTAATGCAGAAATAGTAGACTGGAACTTCGCACAAAGTGAATTGCTGGAAAGTCAAGGTATTGATTTAAGAGCCGAAATGGATAAGAGGTTAATGATGTTAGAAGAACAACATAGAAAAGAAAAGGAAACAGCTGATCAATTGTTTGAAGAAGAAAGGAAGGTAAACAATTATCTTTTATTTTATCAGTAAATAATAATTATTTGAAAGAAATAAATTAACTATTATTTATAGTAAGAATAAAGTCTTTATTGAAATAAATAAATTTATAGAAGAATTAGATAATAAATATTGAAATATTTGATTCAGTATGAGAACAATACCTATCAATAAAATAGAAAATTCAATTATTTTTATCATTTTTTAGAACTACAAAGCTCGAATAGATGCTTTACAAAAGCAGGTAGAAGAACAAAGTATGACTATGTCAATGTACAGTAGTTATACTCCAGAAGACTTTAATAATATTGAAGAAGACATCTTTGGTAAGTAATAACTATTGAGACATGTTTCATCATCAAAATAACAAAGAATCATTGGATTCACTATAAATCCAAAACATTTCATTTAATGCATGAAAATCAATTCTCGAATATACTATCACTGTTTTATGCTTCAAAGTGCCAATGAATGACTTCATACTCATAAAAGTAACACGAAATTGACAAAAATAATTCATTAATAATCGTCAATTCAATGAAAAAATATTCAAGGATTGGATAGAAATAAATAATCATAGAACTCATTCCGCTTGGCTATTCTGACTATTTTGCCTGGTGATGGCTTGCATTTCAGTCAACCCATTGTTTGACGCAGAGAGCAACTGGACTGAGCGGGAGTTCCAGCTGGCCGCATGGGCTTTCAGAAAATGGAAATATCACCAGTTTACTAGTTTAAGAGATGATTTGTGGGGCAATGCTATTTTCCTTAAAGAAGCTAATGCTATATCTGTTGAACTGAAGAAAAAGGTAAATTTATCAATTTTAAATATATTAATTAACATAATATTTAATCTTATTAATTACACGTATAATTTTTCCAGGTTCAATTCCAGTTCACTTTACTCACAGACACTCTTTATTCACCATTACCACCAGATTTATTGCCAGCAGATGACGAAGAGGATGATGACAGGCCATTCCCTCGCACCATTGTTGCAGTTGAAGTTCAAGACACAAAGAATGGAGCAACTCATTACTGGACTCTTGATAAACTACGGTAAACAAATGAATCTATATATCTATCTATATTGAAATATTAGTAATCATATTCATTTACATCTCGAAGGCAAAATAAATAGGAAATAGATAAAAATGACAGAATACTTTTTACGTATAAATATAGATAATTAAATAATTAAATTTTTAAGGGAAAAGTTAAAGTGTATAAATTATGTGTATAGACAGCGCTTGGAGCTGATGCGACACGTTTACAATGAAGATTTGAGTCCCAACACTCCGGAGACCAAAGAGGATTTATTCCAATGTCTAACGATCTACTCTAATCAAAGGTTCTCACTCGCTAATCTTTTGCCTTCGAGGTTGGTTCTCGGTCTCGCGAATTTATTTCATCAATTGTCTCCCTTTTGTTATTTATCAACAGATTATTAATATTATTACTAACACTGTTTAATTAATTGGCCAATTGTCAATCGGAAACTCATCAATGCTAAGCATTCAGTGTTAATGAAATTATTGAACTATTGAAATTTCAAGTCTATTGGTTATTAATAATTTTAATAATATTTTGTATCAAGTAAGCTTTTAAATAATATTTATCATTTGTCTTTATTCTTCTTTAGCTTATGTCTTACTTTCACTGTGGAGAAGAGTGCACGGCTTGCACATCTAATCATTTCTTTCCCTATCATCTATTGATTAATTTTTTTTTGCATATTTATCGCATTTGTAAAAAATGATCCATGTAAAATATAGTTAACTATTTAATTGTAATTTATTGCTAATTTTAATTTGTAAATTTATGTGATATTTTTCTTTTTAGACAACGTCTGGAATTAATGCGTGAAATGTATCATAATGAAGCTGAACTATCACCGACATCTCCAGATTATAATATTGAAAGTATAACTGGTGGAGATCCTTTCTATGATCGTTTCCCCTGGTTCAGAATGGTCGGAAGGTGAGAAAGATTATTTTAAAGATATTTTTTATTTAAATAACATTTTTAAAAAATAATGTTTATTTATAGATCATTTGTGTATCTGAGTAATCTACTTTATCCAGTACCTTTGATCCATAAAGTAGCCATTGTCAATGAAAAAGGTGATGTTAAAGGCTATTTACGAGTCGCAGTGCAAGCAGTAGTCGGTAGGTGTTAATCTAATATTTAAAAATAAATTTTTTTTCAAGTTTTTCGTGACCAATCCTTGTTCTAGAAGAGGAAAACAGTGAATATTCAAGTGGAGTTCGACAGTCTGCTCGTATCTCATTTGAAGATGACTTGTTTGGTTCTCATCAACGTGGAACTAAAAAATCCACCTTATTAACTCAAACTTTGGAAAAAAATCAGCAAATGATTATGCAAGAGGAACGTATTGTTGAAGGCCAGACTGAAACCAAAGAAGGTCTGAAAGATGAAAAAGATGAAGAAGTTGGTGATACTGATAGTGGAAGAGGAGATAGCTCAGTCTCGAGTGATATGAAGGAGGAAGAACTTCCGGATCACTTGCAACCCGGCGTCGAGTTTACATTTAGAGTGACAGTACTCCAGGCTATGGGTATTTCAACAGAATATGCTGATATATTCTGTCAATTTAACTTTCTTCATCGTGATGATGAAGCATTTTCTACTGAACCTGCGAAAAATACTGGAAAAGGAAGTCCTCCAGGATTCTATCATGTTCAAAATATTACTGTTACTGTTACGAAATCCTTTTTAGATTACCTTAAATCGCAACCAATTGTTTTTGAAGTATTTGGACATTATCAGCAACATCCACTTCACAAAGATGCTAAGCTTGATTAGTAAGCATTTTTTGTCATATTACTTTTCTAATATCTATTACGGTTAAAAATTGTAAACCTTTCTAAAAAAGAATGAACTAGTAGAGTGAGAGGTTAATAATTCAGTGTGAATATATTAATAATATAATTTTTATTAATTTATTTTAATTATAATTTGAAATTGAACTAAAAATTTCATTCTCTTTGTGTCAGCAGTGTTAGACAGCCACCGAAACGAATGCTCCCACCATCAATTCCAATTAGCCAGCCTGTTCGATCACCTAAATTTAGTTCAGTATTGCCATCACCAAGTACATCACACGTTCATGCAAAATATGACGTGCTTGTTTGGTTTGAAATTTGCGAGCTAGCACCGAATGGCGAATATGTTCCATCAGTTGTTGATCACAGTGATGATTTGCCATGCCGGGGTCTTTTCCTGCTCCATCAAGGTATCCAGAGGCGTATTCGTATTACAATCGTTCATGAACAAGCTTCAGAGCTTTGCTGGAAAGATGTACGAGAATTGGTAGTTGGAAGAATTCGTAATACTCCAGAACCTGAAGAAGAAGACAATGACTCGTCTGTTTTGTCGTTGGGTCTTTTCCCTGGAGAATATTTAGAAATACCTGGAGATGATCGTTGCATGTTTAGGTAAAAACAACATTTTACAGTATAACAAAATGTAGCTTGTAGAACAACTTATTCATAGAACTAAATATTTTATCCTATTTTTATTAGGTTTGAAGCCGCTTGGGATAGTTCATTACACAACTCAGCTTTGCTAAATCGTGTCACTTCATACGGAGAACAAATTTTCATGACAATTTCTGCTTACTTAGAATTAGAGAATTGCGGAAGACCAGCAATAATAACTAAAGATCTCAGTATGATCATTTATGGAAGAGATGCTCGCGTTGGACCACGATCTCTAAAACACTTATTTAGCGGAAGCTATCGAAATCAAGAAGCAAATCGGCTTAGTGGTGTCTATGAGCTCGTATTGCGACGTGCTTCAGAAGCCGGAGTACAAAGACGTCAAAGAAGAGTTTTGGATACAAGTTCTACGTATGTCAGGGGCGAAGAAAATCTTCATGGATGGCGACCACGTGGCGATAGTTTAATCTTCGATCATCAGTGGGAGTTGGAAAAGTTAACAAGATTAGAAGAAGTTGAAAAAGTTCGACATACGTTATTACTAAGGGAAAAATTAGGAATTGATAAAGTTCCTTTGTGTAATAAAACTATACATGATTTTACCAAGAGCGAAAAGGTATGAAAAATTCTAATGTACTTTTTGTAAATTATTTAAATTCATTTCCGAGTTATATATTTATTCTTTTAGTATGGTAAACTTTAATCTGTGAAAATTATTCTCAAAATTTATATTTTATTTAATTTGAATAATTATTTCTAAATTTATGAGAGTAATTTTCTTTTAAATTAACAAATTTTTAACGTGAACCGCTTTGACCCTTAAATAGTATACTATTCTCCTGCAGGAAGTCTGTAATATGGTAGCCAAAGCAACAAATGAACCCCATGCTAGCCCAGTAAAACTAAAAAAATCTTCAAGCAAAGATGTTTATGAACCATGGGAAATGACTGAACGAGAAAAGGAGCTTTCTACAAAATATATAAAACTTATTCAAGGAAGAATTCCAAGCAAGGAACCCATGGTTTTAGGTGATGTGTCACCAGGAGAAGACACAATAACTGATATGTCAGCATCAATGATGTCTTCAGTAGTTTCTTCATCATCTCAAGAGTCAGTATCTTCTACGAATCATTCTTTTGAACAGGTAACACTCCCTGTAAGCCTGAAACGCCTAGTAGCGGTTGTCCGAATAATCACAAATGCTTGTCATTGCTTGCAATCACTTGCTAATATTTCACAAAAGAAATGATTGCATAAAAAAATTATTGAATTTATAATTAGAATTTCTGCTTAGTCATCATTAAACTTTTCATGAATATGAATCATTATTTATGATTAAATAGCTACATTAAATCGAAATTAGACAAATGGCTCGGCTAAAAATAACTAAGGGACAACCGCTTTAAAAACGTTCCGGGTACAGAAAGTGTTACTTGCAGCTCGGGATAATAGTGCGGAGCAGGTCTAAGTCGTGCATCTTTAGGTTGAGCTCACCAGAACGTGCAAGGTTGGCAGAACTTCAAGAAAGTATGATGGCTGGTGATTCTGCTAGTCAATCAAGTTCTTTAGCACCAGCTCCACTTGGATCAACTTCTCCGGTTAAAGAGAACCTTGTTCTTTATGTTCCTGAGGTTGAGGAAATTCGTATTAGCCCTGTGATTGCTAGAAAGGGATATTTAAATGTTCTTGAACATAAAACGAATGGCTGGAAGAAAAGATGGGTGGTATGTAATCATTTTTTTTAGGTATAAAAAAATTATTTATAGCATGAGTCATTAATGGTACGAATTATTTTTTTGTTTTAGGCTGTAAGGAGACCATACGTATTTATCTTTAGAGAAGAAAAAGATCCGGTAGAACGTGCATTAATTAATCTTGCAACTGCTCAAGTCGAGTATTCTGAAGACCAATTAGCAATGGTCAAAGTACCTAATACTTTTAGGTAATTAAATGGGTTTTAAATTTTTACAAGTAACATAAATTAATAGCTAGATATACTCATTGTAATGAATTTTTTAGTGTCGTTACTAAACACAGAGGCTACCTGCTTCAAACTTTAGGCGATAAGGAAGTTTATGACTGGTTATATGCGATAAACCCTCTATTAGCTGGACAAATAAGGTCTAAATTAGCACGCAAAGGTCCATCAATTGCTAATAACCCAAACGCATCTATTATTCTCTCAGCAACAGCACCACCACCAGAAATTCAATGCCAAGGAAAGTGAGTCACCGAAACAATTATCGAGTACGTAAATGCCATTACCAAAGCGTCAAAAATTGTTTTTAGACGTTCTTGCTCAGTACTCGAGACATCTAATGATCTCTATAAATTACGATTTACGGTGATATTTGAATAAAATTTGGTTCCATTGATAAAAAACATTATCTGTAGGATTAAATCATTAGTTTAATATTCATTATTATTAATTGATTACGAGTAAATTATTATTTATTCTGAGTTAATATATTGCTTAATGAAATATATTTTGACGAAAAATTAATGGAACATGCAATGTCAAATTCTGACGCGGCCTGAATGATATAATTGTTGGATACATAAATACGTAAACACAATCATTAAAGTGTTATAAGTTATAATTTAATAAAACGGAGAAAAAAATGAAAGGGAAATAAAACGGAAAATTAGTATTGTTACTAGAATTGTTTAATAAACAAAAAATGCTTAAACTCGCCGAACGTTTTTGATAACGTTTTTAACGGTTGATGACTTCATTCTTCCTGTATTAATTGTGTATTTTCTTAATATTGATAATTATCAGTCAACATTTTACAATTGGCTATTGTTTTACATAAACAAAATCTACTCTCTAATTGTTACAAAAAATTTTTCAACCAAAAAAATAATGATGATTAGGGGATAAGTTATATATCAATAATTATCAGTGGTAAACTATTGATAAAAAAGAGCAATTTCATTCAATGCATTTAAATATCATTTTATTCCTTAGTTAGACAATCGAATATATAAATGTTATTTGTTATTTAATCATGTTTATTTATATGTTCTCTATTGAATTGAACATTTTTTAATAATTTCATAGAAAATATATTTTTTATTAAAACAAATTTAACTCAACTATTGAACAATCTCAAAGTTACCCTTAATGAAATTATCATTAAAAACATTCATGTTTGACTCATTCCTAATTATGAGAATAATAAATGGAAAAATTTTTAGAGTGGAAATAAAATTACTATATAATGAATAAGATTCATGGAAAAAATGAAATCTTACCGATATAAACGACAATTCTTTTTCAAAGTCATGACGATATTTCGCATAAATGGCAACACTTTTAAGTATTGCAGCACTGAATTGATACTAATCGTGACATTGATAATATTAATAACAATTAATAATAAAACATAACATCATGGTATATAATTAATAATTATTGTTAGAATTATTGACGCTGTAATTATAAATTATTGAATTTGTCATTATTTATCATCAATTTTTAAATTCAAATTTTATCTTGATTTTATTGAGTAAATTTTTTTTTATAAAAAAGAAAAACAGAATCATCGCTTTCAGATGTGGACAGATTGCATAGGTAGTTTAGTATTGTATATAAAATGAAAAAAAAAATTGAGAAAATAAGAGAAAAAAAGAAGAAATAAAGAATATAGACATAAGTATTAACTAAAATATATATAAATATAAAAAAAAATGATGCACGCTTTTTTATTTGAATTTTTTAAAGTTTTTTTTTTTATTTCATTGTAATCATAAAAAGTAACTATTTCAAATTCATATGCCATAAGTATATTTACACTGAATTTGTAATTGGTAAATATAAATATTTGTGAATTTACTTGGAAAAAATCATCTAGTCATTATTTATTTGAAGAAAAAAACAATTAAATGTATTAATCAGGCAGAAAAAGAAAGCAAGTTTTCAAAAAAAAGGAATAATATTGAAAAAGAATATTTTTTGGGTAAATAAATTTTATTCTTCTGATGAATTTCTTAGGTTTTTCAAGTATTCTTAAACAGATTTGTCGAAAAGTCGAAAAGACATAAATGAAGAATACATTATTTAAAAATAACTAAATAAGTGAATAATTATAAGTAAATAAAATTTTAAAAACTGTGTTACCAATTTACCTTGCTTGCTTGACTGTTGTAGTAATTAATAGTTTTATTTTGTTAAATCGTATATAAACATAAAAATTATAATTAATTAATATTATTGATTATTGAAATTGAATTAAAAAAATATTGATATTGATATATGTAAGCTCTAAATAAATGAATAAATAAAATATGAAATAATTAATATTCTGATTACACTCGTTAATCATAAGTTAACCATCAATCAACGTTAAACAGAAATTCTAATTAATTTTACTGACGAAAAAAACGATATAAAAAACCCTATAAATGATAAATAATAAGTTGACTAAATATTGCTGTAAGACTTAATAAATGTCGCGAGAGAATGAAAATTGTCGAGAGATTTCGTGAAATAGTAGCATAATTTATTAAAACTATCTTGAATGGATTTATTATTACTAATTTATATCCGATTCAAAACTTTATGCATTACTACAAGCTACGAATAGACAGAGAATATTTATCTAAAGACATGACTAGTGAAAGTAAGTAATTGTATGAATTTTATTCTAAATTAGTTGCAAAAATACCTTCTATACTAATGAATCTTTAATGAGTACTACATATATTTTGAGTTTATTTATAGGCATTCGGAGAATTAAAAAATGTATATTGATTTGATTAGTAATGTATCTATCATTTTTAAATAAGTTCATTACTTGACTTATACATTAGTAAACGATGTCGATGCAATCATGTAATTAATTTATCAATAAAAGCTTATGTGCTTAAAACAATATATCTTATTATTGTTATAATTTTTTTGTATCTTAATATAACTATAATCTTCTATCAGTGTAATAGTTGATCCATCACTTTCTTTACTAAAAAGTTCTATGAATACTTTGCTCAGCAATCAATAATATCACCTTCAATACAATATCAAAAGATAAATCTTCAATTGTGAAAGATTAACTAATATGATTTAAACAATGAAAATTTTTTTTCAATATATATGTTGGCTTTTGTGGGGTTCAACACAGTATGTAGGTTTTAGTTTTGGTTTTATTTATGTAATCACTGATAAAACAATAGAAAAGCTACTCATACGAACACCGTTCTCCAACTGAGGCTAAATGTGACAATTAGAAAACTTAAAGGGAGGGAGAGTGACAACAACGATGCTAAATTTTATCTGATAGAGGTATTTATTAGTAAAGTCACTCTCACACGATAGAATATAAAGAATTATACTTAAGTCGAATTGAGAAGAGAATTCCTCAGACACTTTTCGAAGAGATACTTCACAGAAGTATATCTATAGTAAGTTTAGGTTACACAAGCTACTGTAATAATTAAACCAGAATTTTTTCTTTTTCTTTTCAAAGTATGCGGAGCGTCTCTTAATAATAAGGCCCAAATGATATATAGACGCCATGTTTCAACTCTCACAATAAAAAAATAATGGATTTTTTTAAATTTTAACTTCAACAAGTGCTTAAGCTTGTTAATATCAATTAAACAAAAGTATAACTTTTTATGCAGTTTTGGTTTAGTTATCAAGATCAACTTAACGGGAAACTTTAATTTTAATAAGCATAGTATCACTTTGTAGTTAAAACTGGTGATATTGAAGGTTGGAAGTAATTGAAGCAAAAATGCGAATGAATATTTCAACTATTTGTTTTATTATCCAACAACATACGTTATATTGTAAATTGTCAAGAAAAAGAAACTTTAATTAGTTTTGGTCTTACAGTACACTAGTTTTAATAATTATTCAATAATGATAAAGACAAGGTTAACTGCATTTTTCCTCAACATTCAACATTATTTTAAAGACTTTCTTCCTCAATACTGAAATAACTCATGCAATATCATACGAAATATTAATGATGTATTTACAAAAATTACATGTTCTTTATGAATTCTAACATAAGGATATTTCTTTAAACTGCTATTTTAAACTGATAAAAAACTAATAAAAAGGCCGGTTTTAAACTCATAAATTCAGTTTAACTCCTGGTTTGTCTTCATTTCGACTATTATTTACATAGTTCTCACTTGAGGGTTTATAAAAAAAAAATAATAACTCAATATATCATGTTTTCATCCAAAAGAAGCATCATAATATTGGTAGTTGTTATTGCAACATGTATTCATGTGAATTCAGTTGAAGGTATTTAAAATTTATCATTTTATTTAGCTTCGTTGAAATCAGTTGATCAATAAAGGAATAAATAAAAATGTCTTACTGACAATTATTGAAAAAAAAGGTATACTGAGATTCCTGCAGATTAATCAATTCATCCATCTATTTGAGGATGTACTCTAAACTACATTTAAGACAGTATTAAGCCGTTTAAACAGACATACGAAGTAGTTATAACATCAATTTTTGTTACTTTAATTGATTATCATCTATAAATTAATTGTAACTTATTTTAAGGATTGAGACAAAAACGGCAAACCGATAACAGTGGATCCACTGCTTCACCAACTACAACACCACCTTCATCATCAGGCACATCGTCAGATTCTCCAACCAAACCTGCTAGCAAAGGACTCCTTACTTTCCTTGGTGATACTCTTGTGCCTGTTCCACTTGTTGGGGGTATTGTATCGCCAATTTTGTATTTAGTTGGTGGTATGTTAGGAGGTATTCTTGGTATCTTGGGCTAAAAATGAAAAAAATAAATCCACCATATATTGTTGACAGATTTTACATCAGTCTGTAATGAGAAAATATGCCAAAAGCATAAATAAATGAATTAATCATATAAATTATTTGCAAAATAAATTATTTTTTCAAAATTTCACATGTTTTTTTATCCACTTTCTTTATTTATTAATATTGAAAATTCAATTAAAACAGAGATAATGTTAAATAAAGTAATGATAGTCATTAAATGCATATCATTTTTCTAATCTGTCATCAAATTATAATTTAATGTATTATTATGTTTATTGACGAGCGAATCCCTTTGACTTTGTTTTCAAAATATTAATGTTATCAATCACAGAAAATAAAGTAATGAATAGTAACCCTGTATTGAATGAAAATTGAACAGTTTAAATTTTTATCTAGCCAACCACCTTTCACCTTCTATATAACTACATAGAGCTTAAAGCTCAAATTGTCACCCTAGATCCATTCAACTAATTGAAATAAAATTTCTTCAAAAAGAATCTTCAAATTGGCATAGCCGTTTTACGTAATTCTTGTACTGACAAACAATCAAAAATTCTGAGGATTATATCAAATTTACTACTTTATGATATTTCAATAAATATGAGTAATTCATGTTTTGGATTTAATCATCTCAACGTTATTCTAAAAAAAAATTCTAGAAATACTAGAATAGAACTATATAAGTCATACTTTTACTAATATTAATCACGACATTATATTTTATAAAATAATTGGGTCCGATTTATGCATAAGTGTTGATATCTTCTGACTAATTGAGAATAAAAGCTAATGAAGTTTTATCAGTAAACTATTGAGCATTGAATAACTATTCAATAACTATCATTAGCTGATAAAAAAACCTATAAAAAGGCATTCTCTTGACATTGGTAATGTTTACTTGACTTTAAACTTTCGTTGGATATAATTGTTCCTCAATTTTTCATTTAAAATGAATTTTTCAAATGAAAAACTTGTATTGATTGTGGTTATTATCTGTGTATCTATTAGTATGGCACAATGTAAGTATCTCATTTTCATAAGTAATTACTCTAAAAACACTTAAATAATTATGGTTTATTATTTTCAATATTTTTGCTATGATTAATATGGCTAAGCAGCGGATGAACCAAAGAGAGGAGGAATGTTTACCTATCTCGCAAGAATGATGCATAGTGTACCACTTGTGGGAGGATACATGGCTCCAATCTTTTCAGGCACTGGAAGGCTTATGAGTGCTACTATGGATATGTTTAGTTGAGCAAGAATTATTCTAATTGAAACAAACAAAATTGATAATTAATTGATTGTAAATCTGATAAGATATATGGTTTAAAATTTTCTGTAATAAATAATTCAATAAAAATTGAACATAAAGAAGTGAAAATATTTCATCTACTTTTTTCCTATATTTTCCTTCTTTCCTTAATCATGTACAATATATTCATTATTTAATTTTTAGGGAATAATTTGTTAATTAAATTTCAAAAGAATCTTCCCAAGAATAATTATGTCTATTAAATAATTTGAAGGAAAGATTTTTCTTATTAATAATTCTAAAATTTATTCTATATATTAGTGTTTTATTATCATTTGTTATGTAATGTACCTATTTGTTGGTAAATTATTGTCTATAAGTTTCTCAATAGCAAAAAAAAATCTAGTAGTAAAACACTTATGCAAACAATTATAACAATAACAATTCATCGATCAGACGTTTTTTAAAAAATGGTTCTACATTCGACGAAATGAAACATTAGTTCAAAAAGTTCAAACTTTATTATTAATATTCCTTAAAAATTAATTGATATTGATATTTTCTAATGTACTATAAAAGAATGATTTTCTACATAAAATCATGATGACTGAGAAGAGTAATTGATGGAAAATATTCAAATGATCTTCAATTTGATTGATTACTCTTATTATATTACCATGACATTCGAATTATAAGTTATAAAAATGCACTAAGTGTTAATTATAACAATCTAGAATGCATAAGATTATTTAATAATAATGTTTACTATTCAAGGTTGTCATAATTGTTTTTATCTTTAACTCCGCTTTCGCTATTATGTTATTTAGAAGCGATCAAAGCCGTTATGTACTATGACTCCTAGGTAATTAACTGAATGATAACGAATTTATAAAAGAAGGCTTTGCCTAAGCCATCACCATTCCACATATAATTCTTGTCCAATATCAACAAGTATTAAGAAAATAAAAATAATAATTGGTTTTAAAAAATGAAATCGCCAAATGGAAAAATTGTATTATTTTTTGTTGTCATCTTGGGATGTACATATATCAGTGATGCAGGTGAACATTTTTTTCTTTAAAAGTCAATAAGTTGAAATCGCTTTCAGACTTATGTCAGTGAGTTTTACGACTAAACATATTGTCAAAAATTTCATGAGAAATATTCAAACCATTAACTATGTACAGATGTTATGTAAATGAATAATGATTCTTCAACATTATTAAGTATGTAAGTATATATTTATAAATATATATTTTATGATAAAAATTTTATTAGGCAGAGCTAGACGACAAGCAACAACATCCTCCAGTATGAGTGCCAGCTCACTTACTACAGCTGCATCTCCAACATCTTCACCGATGTCTGCTCAAACTACTCCAGCCTCTGTATCATCAGGTTCCACCAGTTCGTCTATGTCATCTGGTGGTGCCAGTTCATCTAGCCCATCTATGTCATCTGACCCATCTAGCTCTTCAGGTTCATCTAGCCCATCTATGTCCTCTAGTGGTGCTGGTTCATCTAGCCCATCTATGTCATCTGACCCATCAAGCTCATCTAGCTCTTCAGGTTCATCTGACCCATCTATGTCCTCTGGTGGTGCTGGTTCATCAAGCCCATCTATGTCTTCTGGTGGTGCTGGTTCATCTAGCCCAAGTATGTCATCTGACCCATCTATGTCCTCTGGTGGTGTTGGTTCATCAAGCCCATCTATGTCTTCTGGTGGTGCTGGTTCATCTAGCCCAAGTATGTCATCTGACCCATCTATGTCATCTGGTGGTGCTGGTTCATCAAGCTCATCTAGCTCTTCAGGTTCATCTGGAAGTTCCAGTAGTTCTGGTGGAAGTGGGATGTTTACATATATGGGTGAAATTACAGATATGGTACCATTAGGTTTTCTTCTTTCACCAGTATTTTATGGTATCGGATACATGTTTGGTGCACTTGCCTCTATGCTGAGTTGAAGATATTGTTCGACATTAATAAAAGTTTATTGTCCATATTATGTATAATAAAATTCTAATATTAAGAGAACAATGTATCCAGATATATGTATAAAATAAATATTTTTGTCGATAATACAATAAAAATTCTTTTTATTTATGTAAATAGAAATTCATGTTTTTCAGTGTTAGTGATTTAATAAAAAGATTTACTGATAGAATAAAAATTTATTTAAATTATTGTCTTTGAGTTATTAAAAATATAATAAAGAGTTGATGAACGTAGTATAAAGCATTTTAAAAAATCATTTTAGTTCTAATATTGATAAAATAATTTTACTAGAATCAATAAAATCACATTTTATTTTGATATATATAAATGCAGCTGAGGCGTATATGTCTGTATGTACCCAATTGTGTTGAATGTCAGTTCGACGGTTATAGTTAGGTGAAATAATGATTATGTGAGCGAGCGGGGGTCGAAATGCAGCTGCTAAAGGGGGCTAAAAGAGGGGATAAGAGGCACGCGCCAGATAGGAAGCACCCCCAATCGTACTTCTAACGGTTTATAGACAACAACTCAACATCGTATTAAAGACCGTTAAAATTTTTTTGTCAAAATCTGTTTTTTTTTTATAAATTATTAGATTAATTTTTTCTGTTAATTAATTACAGTGGTTAAAAATACTATATAATCATGAAAAGATCATGCTCTGTGAGTTTTTATTAATTTATTAATATTAATAGCTTGTTTTTATTGTATTGATGATTAAAAAGTTTTTATAATTATTAATTAGGCTCCCTCTCTTACGAATAAGGAGAAGGTGAAGAAAGTTAAAGAAGAACCAAATTCTCGAGAATATTTACAATTAGCATTAGCTAAAGTTCTAGAGTTGCAACGAGCTGTGAGAGATGATTCGTACTTTGATAATAATACCAGTGATTTAGGTAACAGTTTTGCGTTAACAATATATTTTGAAAGATTTTAAATAATTTTTTGTCAATAAATAAATTTATTTTTACAGAAGAATCTGATACTGAAGAAGAAGTTATGAAAAAGGTATTAACAAAAGTATTCAAAGATCTTCCTGGATCATCATCTACCATCACATCAGCAATAAGTCGTGCTATTCATCCAACTCCAAGAGAATATTCTAGAATTCGTGCTAAAAGTATTCAATTATCTGGTTATGATACATGCAGGAAAGTTGCTGTAGATTTTATGAAAAATATTGTTAAATATACTCCAAAGTATGAAAAATCAACTTCGGAAAATGAAGAAATAATCCAAGAAATTCATCATACAAATAAAAGAAGAGGAACTGTTTCTACTGAGTACGAATTGAGATCACGGATGTTGAAGAGTTTAGATCTTCATTTAGCAGCTAAGCAACGTGATTATACCTTGAAACTAATGAGACTTTAATTATTAATCATGCAGCTTTATTATTAATATTCTTTTCAATATACATAAAATCTAGTCCCTGATGGTTTTAAGAGAGAAATCCATTTTTTATGGATGTTGATACTAAGTTCATTAGTTTTGATAAATTAAACATATTTTCTAATTAAAGAAATATATTGATGCTATTTTATATATTAATAATTAACGAACACGTTTTTCTAGTCTATTGACAATTTCCATTTGATTTATAAAAGTTGAAATAAGGACATTTTCAATATGTGCATCATTCTAGTCATAAATAAATATGTACACTTATTAAGTATTTAATTTTATACTATATGTAATGAATAGTAAGTAATGTGTTATCAATGAAAAACCAAAATTTTAAATGAAACTAACACAAAATACATTAATTTACATGGAACGATTTAAGTGTCAAAATTTTATTTATCTTCCCGAAAACAAATAACTTCATCATCGTTTTTTATTTCTAAAGTTTAAATAAAGAAATAATAAATGTATATAAAACAATGTTAAGAATGGTAAAAAAACAAAATTATACATTTCCATGCATTCTACTTAACTTAGATATTGTGTAAAATAACTACAAATAATTGTTCAGTATTGATAAGAAATTATAAAAAGTCGTTCTTGACAGTTATCACTTTTAGTTCAACAATAGTTTTTGTTCAATATTTTTATTTTATATATTTCTAAAAAAATTAAAATAAAATAATCTTACAAAATGAATTCATCAAATCAGCAAATTTGGTTATTTTTACTTGTGGTTATAGGATGTATTCATATCAACACAGCATTTGGTAAATATTTAATTAATGTGAAACTATAAAGTGAAAATAGAATGCAATTTTAAAATGTAATGTGGATATAAATTATTATACTACTATTTCAGCAGCGAGACAAAAACGTCAATTAGTTCTAGGATTTGCAAATTCATCACAACTAACGACAGAAGCTCCTAGTTTATTAGGTACCACTGGTGAATCATCGGGATCACTGGGTGATTTAATTAATAATTTGATGGGGTCGTCTGACGATACAGGATCATCAGAGGATACAACTACATCAACGACTACAACTACAACAACAACGACGACGACAACAACCACCACCACCACTGAAGCTCCAGATACAACATCATCAACAACAACTGAAGCTTCAGAAACAACTACAACAACCGGATCTACAACTGACTCTACAGGGTCTACAGAATCTACTACTGATTCTTCAGGATCTACAGAAGCAAATGATCAGACAACAACAGAATCTTCTGGAGGAGGTCTTGATGGCTTTCTCAGTAGTTTATTCGGTGGGTCATCTGATGACTCTTCAGAGTCAGAATCAACAACTGACTCTTCAGGATCTACAGAATCTACCACTGATTCTTCAGAAACCACAACTGACTCTTCAGGATCTACAGAATCTACTACTGATTCTTCAGGATCTACAGAATCTACCACTGATTCTTCAGAAACCACAACTGACTCTTCCGGGTCTACAGAATCTACTACGGATTCTTCAGGATCTACAGAAGCAAATGATGAGACAACAGAAGGTAACACCGGTAATAATGGATTATTTTCATGGATTGGCGATACTTTTGCTGGAATTCCTTTGCTCGGAGGAATTATTGCTTCACCGTTTTACATGACTGGTAGTATACTTGGTATATTTGCTGGATTTTTAGGCTGAGAAGCAAACAATTACTTGAATATTTTTAGGTTGAAGTTATCATAGATTCAAAGAATATATTTTATAAAATAGTTCAAAACTATTTAGTCAATAATGTAAAGTTAAAAAATAAATGAACATAAATCTGTTTTTAATTTCTTCATCAATCATCATTGAGTTGTCTTAACTTTCTCATTATTCCTATTTTATTCACATATTATATAATTTTTTAAATATGTAAATACTTTCAATTATTGAGGAAATTTTAAATTTGGCGAATGAAAATTGGAAGTAATCATGCAATTATGATAATTTCAAGGTAAAAAAGTTTTCATTATCGACATCAATAATGATGAAAAATTTGTTGTAAAGAAAATAATATCTACAATGTTATGAATATATCAAAATTTAAAAATAATGTAATAGCACTGAATCGGAGAATAATCGGCGATAGACTGGCAAGAAGAGTTTGTATAAAAAAATTATTTATTTCTTTACAATATTGAATTGTTAATAAAAAAAATTCTACAATTTTAATATAGTACGTATGACGTCTTATTTCTATGCAATAACTCTCACAACATGATATATATCCTTTATCAACTAATTATTTTTTCATATAATCACGTTTTTGATTTTTTAAATCATATGCAAGTAGATATAATTATTAAAGTTTAAAAACAGTTATTGAATCATTTAATAATTAATATTAACAATTTATTCTATGAAGTATAATATCGAAATCTACATTATGCTTAAATTCCACATTTTTGCTTCAAAGCTTTCTAAAAAAATATATACTACAATTAAAATTATAATTCATCAATTAATATCAACGTTAATCCATAGAATGAATTGTTAAAGTGATTATTTTAATATAATACTACGTTAAAAAATGGTAATTGACATTGTTGACTGCTGTCATATTTTATTCTCATTGAATCAATTGTTTTCTTATCTATGCATAACATATCTACTTGTATTATTTTCCTAATTTTATGTAAAGTCTTCTTAATAGAGTCTACCATTGATTAATATAGTATTGCAATAATTTTTTTCTTATTTTAGAACGTCAAATGCACGTAAATCAATGAGTCTAGTATACATTTAGAAATGAATCAGTCGTGCTTGAGTTTTTTTAAGTTTACATTCATTGTTCTTATAGCACAATTAGCGATAATTTAATTGAGTCAAATAGATATAAATTTTTGTCATTAATACTTGAAAAAATACAATATTCAAATTATATATTGATTGAAATTCAAGTTAAAATAAACAAATATTATAAAGTATTTTTCAAGATTTATTTTTAAAAAAAACAGCAACGCTGCTATATTAATTTTATTCGATCCTTTTATCAATGTTTTTCATCTGATAAACTTATCCATTATTGATTGTTTTTTTTTATTATTCTACAATTTCATTGGCACACGTCTTTTCTGAGTCTTCAGTCAAACAATTTTTAAAAAAATTCAAGTACAGAAAATTCTTCACATCCCTTTTCAAGGCTTTTATAACATCGTTATTTTCTTTTTATCAGTAAAAATGCAAATAAATATTTGTTTGTAAATAATTTGCATTAACAAAAAGATAATGACTTACCTTTAATGTTAAAATTATTATTACATATTTAACTTGTTTTTAATTTTCAATAGAATTTGTCATCAATTGTTTATATCAATTTATCGACTTTCTTGATGACAAGAAAGCTGATGATGAAGAAGAAGTCGATGTGGACGGCTTCTCTTCATCACATTCTCCTCAGTGTTGTTGAACAAGTGTTGGACCACCTCCAGGATTTCTCCAAGGATCAGGGATATCAAAATGAGCTGGTACAGTTAATAGAGCATCAGCTGCAGTTCGGTTAGCATTACAGTTTTGAGGTTTATTCCTGGTAGTGTTAACACACTCAATAGGCATCTTAATGAACTCTAACCGATAGTCAAAGCCATGACTTGAAATTCGTATAATTGTGTGAAGTGGTACTTCCATATAAGGCAATTCTTCAGGTTTTTTGTCAAGGAAAAAGCCAATTAAACAACGTAAAACTGCTTGATGTGAAACCACAAGAACATTGTTTGCTTGTTCAAGTTCTGCTATCACGGGTTCTACTCGTTGCATTATGTCTACATAGCTTTCGCCCCAAGGGTAACGATATCGAAGTTTATCCTGATCTCTCCAAGCAAATTCCTGAAGTGAAAAAAGGAATTTTCTTTAGATAATTAGTTAAATTGATTATGAAAATTGTTCAAGAAATTTTGTAAATATACCTGTGGATAATGTTCTTGCATTTCTTCATAAGAAAGGCCTTCACAAATACCCGCATCAAGCTCATTTAATTCAGCAACGTGCTCTTGAGGTGCTTCGATGCCTCGTGCTGTTGCAATTGTTCTTCGTAACCGGCTGGTAAGCACACGCAAGTCTGGTATATGCATTGCATTAATTCTTGTAGCTAATGCTTGAGCATAACGTTCTCCACGTGCACTTAATACTGCATCACCTCCAATTTTTCCCAAGACGTTGTATTCACTTTCACCATGCTAAAACATATTCAATTACAATTTAATATAAATTTTATATATTTAGATAAAAATTTTAAAATGAATTATTTATTATTCTTACCCGTGAAAAATAGAGAGTGTGTGGTTTAATATTAATACAGCCCAGATATCCAAGGACTTTACTCTCAACATGTCCACTGACTTTGTGTACTTGAATATCCAAAGTAATAGTGTCGATAGTAACCCTGGGATAATTTTTCTCATCCATTGGTTCATAAGCACGAACATAGTGTGCTACCTTGAGCTTTAGATCTTCTGCAGCTGCCAAGGGATCCATTCTAGCATAATCGGCGCTGTGACGAATCACCTCAGCATAATTTTGCTCCAGAGCTTTGGGATCATCACAGACACACTCGATGAAGAGAACTCGATAACCCAGTTGTCCATTGAAGTAGTCAAATACCTCCGCACGTTGATCTTTCCTCACCAGGCAACCATCGAGGATCTTAACGTGCAAAGGAAGAAAAAAAACTCATCCTTTATACATTTCCAATACTCAGGAAGGTTTTGCAATTACTTTTCATAGCAAAATACATTTTTGATAGTTCATTGATTGGAATATTTTACCACATAATATTTAAAATAATTTTTTTGTAAACAATTTGTTTATTAATTATTTATAAGTGGTATTATTTAATTGTTTTGAAGGACAGTAGTGTTTTTTGGTGACGAATATGCTTACAGCTACAGAATTTCCAGATGCCAACCATGCAGCGCAGTCGTGCATCGCATCACGCGTTGCCAACGACCTGAGGGCTGAATTAGCTGCGTGATCCGGACGGAAAAGCTCGTGGGTGCCATAAAGCTCGAGTTTCTTCCGCCGATAATCACTTACTCGCATCACTATAAACAAAGAAATAAAATCTTATTAATATAACTATTGAATCTTTATTGTAATTTATACTGATTATAATTGTTTTCATTCAATTTTCATTAGGTTGAGATGTTAGAAAAAAATATAGACATCTTAATAACAAATAGATTAACTAATGTTTATTGTTATCAATCGATTGGCTTAACGTCTTCATTTTATCAAATATAATTCCCAGTAATATTTATTATATAATATATATATATATATTGTTGCTCAATCTTGATTATTTTATCTTAAAAAATAAAAAGGAAGTTGTTGAAAATAACTATTGATATGAAAGAAACTTCAATTTTTCCTTTTTGTATATAGATTTGTTCTAAATAAAAATAAATTTTCGAATGAAAGAGTGCATTTGAAATAAATTTAGTTTTCTTAGTCAGTATTGTGAAATTAGGGTATGCGCGTGTTCAACAAGATTGTTGCCAATTTCCACTGACGTAATCAATTAATTTAAGTGACCGAGGTCAATAGACCGATATTACTATGCTCAGATCTTATATCGATTGTTGATTATCATGTACAATAATATTGATAATAATAAATCCATTCCAATAATTAGAGTAAAATAGATTATTATTAATTTTAGTTACATAATTACCTTTAGCAGACTCGCCACTCCAATTAAGCCTTCGTGCAAGACTTTGTGCAACTTGAGATTTTCCGCGTGCAGGAAGACCAGACATAGCAATTACAACTCCAGAAAATTTTCTTGGTGATTTTAAAATTCCCGGAGCTCTCACTGATGAATCTTTATTCGATTCTGAAAAAAAAAACAGATTATTTTTTAATGATACATATTTAGTTAATTTAAAACTTCTGGCATTACACACATATATATTACACTATAGTTCTTGTTGATCATTTTATATTGCAACTAATATTTTCAATCCAAATGAATGCACTTAGATTTAAATAATAATAGAGCTTATTACAGCTAATTACACTATTTTATATTGTCGTCTAATTTAAATAATTGAATCGTTAACTAATTATATAATTAAAAATTTCCTCAACTTAATTTTAACTATGAAACATTAACTCACCAACAATACACATTGTGAACTGATAAAATAAAAGGACTATTGAAGAAGATTAAATAATGACACGTTCAGATATCGCGAGAATCTGTTTAGCACTGAAGATTAGATGATAATATTGTGACATTTATACACATTTTCCTCTATTTCAAGCTGTTGACGTTTATTTTGAATGTGAAGTATATATTCGTAGAAGCAAACTAACACTTATGTATTTAATGCATGTTTTGTTCACTATGTATATTAGATGAACAACGTCATTTATTCTGTGTTTAATAATTTTTTAAAAATTTCATTGATATTCAATACTATATTGATTTATGATTGAGTAAAAAATTAATTGTTTTAATATAGAGTGAATATTTTTTAAAAATATTTTCTAAGAAGGAAGTAATTTAGTTTTATAAGAATGACAATTATTGTATTCGTAATTTTATTTCAAAAGAACTCTTAGTAGTCATTATTCATTTATTTATCGCTTTTGAAAAAAAATAACTGAAATTTCTTTGTTCTTATTGCTTTGCAATTTAAAGAATAAAATTTCATGAACGAGGAAGTAAAACGTGTCATTCAAGACCTTCTAAAAGACTGCGATTGACTTCGGTCAAGACATGATTTTATACTATCGTTTTTTCAATTGAATGAATCATTAAACAATTCATGAATTTATTAATTTGTATTGTAAACATTTTATTATTAGAAATCTCATTAAAAATGAAAATTTTTCCTTTCTAGGTTTGTCATCAATATTAAATATTTTTCAAACAAAATCTACGTCTACATAAAATAGTATTTTGACTTTCAAATAGTTGCCAAAAGTTTTTTTTAATGAAACCTTGATCTACAAATTATTTATATTCTATTCAGTATACCTTTATTTACTATGATAACAGAAGAAAAATGGAAATAAAATTCTTTAAAATCTTACTGATAATAATGCACTCAAAAAAGCTTAATTTATTCTATACATATGAATAAAATTTAAACATAATGAATGTTAATTGTTTGTGTCATAAGAAATAAACAAACTATCATCAATAATTTTTTGATTTTATAAAAACTTTTCCCATCAATTTATTCTGAATACAAATGAAATTGACAGCTTCTTATCTGTCCTTGTAAAAATTGCAATTAATATTATCTTGTTAATTTTAGCAATGATTTTTTTACAATTTCAACTTAAAACAAAAACTTTACCCAAGGTTCAATGTGACTTTTTATTTAGACTTTTTGTATTTTTTCTATTTTTTCGTATAATATTAATAATAATGGCATATACTAGTAATTAACATATGATAATTGCACTTAATTTCTTATATTTAATACAAAAAAACTGCCTTTTCAATAGAAGTCTAAAAGATTTAATATTCAGTATAAAAATATAATTTAAAAAAACTTAAAACTAGATAGTAATGAACAATTAAATGATAAAGTTTATTCTGTTCTTTTATATAGATAATCATGAGCACGTCAAAAAAAAAAATCCAAATTTTGTTATTGTGACTAATCTTTATAAATTATTAATCTCATCGACGTATTTTTTTAGTCATCACGTTTCCCTACAAGACAATTACATAATTAGTGATAATGCATGATTATGAGAAAAAAAAAACCTCCGAATGATATTGCAAGTCTTACACATGTGCTTTAAATTTATTGGTCAATGATTAATAATTTTTTAAGACTCAATCAAATTTGCAAAACAATGTTTTTTAATTGCTTATTCATTTTTTTAGATTAAAAATTTATTTCGTCTGTCAATGCCAATCTAATATAGTAATTACTACTATTGTTTATATTTTTTTAATAAAAAGACATTTTTATTACTTTGTACATCACTAAAAGACTGATAATTATAATTAAATACCACTAATCAAACATGATAAAAATTAGGTGTCATTTGCTAAAAATAGAAGATTTCATTGATAATAGAATTAAGTATTTTATATACAATAAAAATCATAAAGTTTGTAATAATGTTAAACTAAAAAAATTTTGTGTAAAGTTATATACAATTCTAAAAGGACTGATAATGAAGCTCATCAACGAAAAAAAAAAATATAGTTGTGTACTAAACACATTCATTGATGATGATGATGATGATGTTTTGTATGATCTAAGATTGATAATTATAATTACGATCATCATTCGAATGTTGATTGTAATAAAATAAAAAGAATTAGATATAAAGTATGAATTCAATTTAATAATTTACATACTAGCAATTTAATACCACTTAAATTAAACGAATCAATTGTTATTGCAATCTTGAAAGTTGGCTTGATAGAGCGAAATTACCCAGCATATTCTAAATAGGAATATATAAATTGTCATTAGGCACTACAGATAAATTTATCTCCCTGTTTATAAATCAAATAGAATCGATGTTAAATACTAATGAATATTTGTAACTAAAATATTTTGAAAAGCCAAAAGAATACATTTGAAATATAATGTTGTTGCTCTAGGATATTTAAAAGAATGTTGAGACACAATTTAAAGACCTGTTAGGTAGAAATACCAAGAATTTCTTCAAAAGAAATATCAACCTGTAGGTCTAGAAAAAAAAACGACTCTGGTTGGATGATTTTGGAGGCTGGTTTTCTTTCAAACCGGTTTAAAATCTAATTCATTCTTTCAAAATAAAATGAAATAAGTGTTGATGACACAGAAAGTCTAGTTGCCTAATCGACCTTGACTAATTATTTATCAACTACAACTGCACAATACTTCTTGATAAATAAGAAAAAATAAAATAGTTAAGAAAAAAAACATTGAGTTAGTGAACCATTTCATTAATTTATTCATTTATCTAAATTTTCTAGTGTTCTAAGTCTTTTATTAGAACATTGATAGTTAATTGTTTTTAGAAGAATTTAAAAATGCTATTTCTCGATAAATAGAATCATTATTATTATGAATGAAAGGTTAAAAGACTTGTTTACTTCAGAGTCCACATGTTTTCATTTAAAAAAAGCTCACGCGAGTTAAATTTATGAAGAAAGACGGAAGCATATGAGCATATTCTAGTTAAAAATTTACATACTCATCATTATTAATGCTCCAATACATAGTTTGCTGTTTTAGTAATTTAACCAGTTTAATTAGAAAGTATTAAACAAAAATACTAAATATTTTTAAGTTCATTTATGACGTGTAAACTTTTAAAATCAATAATAATCTTATCAACCATAATGTGATGCATTATAATGAATTAAAATTAGATTATTGAAGTTAAAATAAATGTCATATAAGTTGGAGATTTCTTTTATCTTCCATTTTGATTAACAGACAGTCTATCAATAAATTCTTCAATAAAACTCATATAAAAGTTAATCTAAGTGGTTGATTATAAGTCATGTTTACATCATTTGTCTAGAGAATAAAAAACTATAAAAAAAGCGTTAATTATGTACATTAACAGATTACATTTCAGAGTAAACAAATCATTATTAATGTTTTGATTTAATTATGAATTAAATAAAAATTTACCTTGATGTTTTTCTTCAGCACAAGGAGCCATTGTAGAAGCTTTTGTAGAAGGAAAAGTTAGATCGTGTTTATTATCACTTGAAATGTTAGTTAGAACACCACCAGCTTCGTGTAGTATTCCAGCTTGTAGTGCTAATTTTCTTACAGCAAGACAGTAGCTAAATATTGGGCCGATCAGAAGATCAAAGCAGGCAGCCACCCAGGGCATCCCCCCAAATGAGTGGCTGATGGTGGTCAATTTATTCTCCAGATCTTTGTTTTATCTCTTCCAGTTATTTTTATTTTTAATTCAAAATGATAGACCACAGTATATTTTTATGTTCTTGATGTTAGTCAGTAACAATCAATTGATGATGTTTACTTAAAGTTTTATGACGTTGAAAATAGAATAGATATTGGATGTTATTAATACTTCAACTAGGAATTATATAAAAAATTCTGAAATATAATTTTTCTACGTTTTTATCAAGTAGATCGTTGAGTCATTTGTTGTGTAAAGATTTTGTAGTCAATTCATGAAGCTTTACTAAATATTATTGCTTTTGATCAACTGTCGTATATTTAAATTTTAAATCAGTGCTTTTTGAAAGTAGTGATTTATTCAGGATTAACAAACTCTTGAAAATGATGATATAATCTTTTAGAGAAAAGATTTATATAAATTTTTCAGGGCTGTAAGACGATGAAAGAATATCTGATTTTTATTCATCAAATCAAGAAATTTTTCTGATTCTGTATAAAATCTGAATGCAACTTGAGTATTAATCAGGGTTGAAGGCCTTTCCAATGACGTCAGAGATACAAGTACCAGCAAATGAAGGTTTTACTGCACCCGGTGATCATCAGTAATAAAAATAGATGAAAAAAAATATATTTTGGTCATAAAATCAATTTAATCAACTACCTCTGACCACATTCGGCTAGATGTCTTGCCTAAAATCAATCCCGCTAAAGTTCTTCAGAAAAATGATCACTACTGGTGTGTCGTATTATAGACGAAAGGTCCTCCCTCATTCCAATTTGTTTAATCCTCACTTCTGGAGCCAGTTTGTGAACTTGAGTTGTGATAAGAATTTCAAAAATAATGGAAAATATCTTTTTTTTGACTTGTTGTTTGTGATGTTCGATCAATAAAAGATTAGATTTGCCACGTAATCAGTTATCAATAAGTATCGAAATAATTACATAATTAATTTCGCGCAGAAACTTTCGTAGATAGAGACCAACTACTTATTAAAAGTCACCCAAAGTTATTGAAAGTAACTCTATAGATGCACTTTTATACTGTCTTTGTACTTAGTGAACGCTATCCAACGCAATTTGGCAACTGGTCGAGTCTATTTATGTTTTCGTTCCACTTTACTCTAGTCCAGCAACACCAAAACTTTTGTCTTTTTTCAAACACCCACACACTTTCTTTGCTTGTAGCGCCCTCTGAAAAATTAAAATCTATTTTTTATCATTCATTAAATTTTACATTATTTTCTGTATAACATTTTACTTTAAAATATTCGATACGGTATTTTTTAAAAAAGAATCGAGAAACTAACCTCGATAAATATTTCGAATATGTTATCGTCAGATTGTTGTCGTTTTTTTCGTCACTATCAATAACTATTTGATGATGGATTCTTTACAGATTTCTTATGAAATTAACTGTAAACTCGATCAACATCAAGTAGTGATTATTGTGATTTTTAAGAGTTTAATAAAACTTATAAAAAAGCCTTATGTTCACTCTTATAATTCGAAACACAAACTGAATGACGTCTTACTCCGCACACAACTTTAGTACGTATCGACCAGGTCGATCCCCACTTCTAAAATTGCGCACATTTATCGCGGACAAGCCCAAGATTTCAGCCAATCAATCTGTAATTCCAAAATAAAATAATTAAAAAAAAATTTACATTTACAAAATAAAGAACTTTCTACTAACACATGTTATATCATTATTATCGATGGGGAAAGAATCGTTATAACTATTATGATTGTTATTACTCCTAATAGACTCTTATTTTTAAATTTATCTGCAAAGTTTATAAATTGTCATTGTATGAATAATTATTGATTTATTATAACAATTGAGGTTAATGGAATAAAGATAGTAAATAAAACAGTTATAAATTAAACCTGAATTAATCTTGACGTTAAGATTGAATAAAAGTCTTTATTAAATGATTTAAAGCAGAAAAAAATACATCTTAATGTGGAAATAAGTTAAAATATTAGAAAGGAAAATAGGCACATTATTTTACACATGTTAAATCACTCGATTTTTCCCCACTATTTTCTATTCAGCACAAAGTCCATGGTCTTTCATTTAATTTAATGTGTTATGTCTACGATCAGGATAAGTGTATATAATTATTCACCAATTAATAAAAATTGTAATGATTAAAAAAATCATTTTATATTTGTTACATACTCAAAGTTCTTTAACATATGTTTTGAAAAAGAGTTATTTAACACTTGACAAATAATCAAAAAATATACATATGGGCATTTTTTTTAACGTGATAATAAATATGACAATTGGAATAGGGTGTCTGAACTTTGGAGATAATTCTTTCAATTTTACGTCATTTTAGTGATAAAAGAAATCATAAATCGAAGTATCTGAAAATAAATAAATTTAATTAATGATAATAGTTGATAATAATTTGTAATTTTTATTTAATCTATTCAAAGAAAGATGACAGTAAAATTTAACATCAATTTTTAAATTGATCATTAACAATTAGTTCAATTAAAATAATAATTTAAAACCTACAGGAAATATCTATTGTTCTTTTCAATATTTTCATTATAGTTGATTGCTACTATTATTCTTAGGAAAAAAAATATTTTGTATGAGTTATCTTAAAAAAAAAAAAGATTTTTATCATAATAGATAATTTTTATTAATTCAAATGGTCACTGACGATTGACAATCAAACTATGATGATAATAACTTATCAAATACTTTGCTTTATCAATTTATTAACTTTAACTTTTCAACCCGTTGCTTACACAAACCTTGATAATGTTTGTCAATCACCTAACAAAAAAAAAACAAAAGTATCTTTATCAAGTTTTCAATGACTGCAAATGGCAGATGATGCATTTATCGAATATTTGTTGTTATTATTATAATGTTGTGTTCAATGAAATTATCCCTACGTTAATTAGAGATAATTAATGGATAAAAAGCGTCACGTGATGCTTATTATCAATTCATTGTATTTTAATCATGTTTTGTCTCGCGTGTTTTTTCTTTTTAGTTTTTATCTAGTATCTTTAAACTTGTTGATAAAATAATTGTGTTTTAACTATTATCTGTTTTATCAGGGCTTACAAGATTTATTTGTAATTCAAAAAGGCTAAAAGGGTTTTCACACGATGTTTTATCTTGTTTAAAGAGTTTGAAGAACACATCTCTTCTTGATGAATTAAACCCAGATCAGTTACATCATTCACTCGTTAATTGTTTAATTAACTTGTGTAATAGCACATATAAACTCACAAATATAAGCAACAAAAATTCTCATAATAATGATGTTTAGCATGATAGAGTTTCTGGTCACTCAAACTAGGAGTAAAGGCATCAACTGTTTAGCTCTTGTTGATGCTTTTTAATAGGGTGATAATATATAACGTAGACTCAATTATCTTTTTTTGCCAATGTCAAAAACAACTTGGTAAAAATACATGTACTGACTTAACAAAAAAATATCTACTAACTAAAATGAATAAATATTGAAAATTTACTTAATATTTGAGAATTCATTGGACACTTGATCATATGATCAGTATTTTATTATGATTTATGAGAGTATCAGCTGAAATTTAGCTTTTGGAGAAGAATTCAAATACTAAATTAATATAACCAATAAAACATATTCTTTAATTGGTATATCGTTTGTATAAATAAACTTAAATATATTATTTAGTACTATTATTATAAAAATTACATTAATAACTGATATTTAACTGTTAGAAAAACAGAAGAAAATGTTTTCAATACTAATTATTAACAGTTGCTATTCAGTGATAATTTCACAAGATTTTATGGTATATTGCGCCATCTTGTAACCGATCGCAGAAATTCATCTGGTTGAGTGATCTGATAAAAGATCAGGAAAATTAGCACACATTCATTGTGTTTGCAAAATATCTCTTGAGCCAATTGCTAAGTGTGTGTGCGTTGTATTGGTAAAAGTTTAAACCCACTTTTAAGACAAGATAAAATCATAGTCTGTCTGAATTCAACCGTAGATTTTTTAAAATTATATAACAATTAAATTATATATATAATAATTCCACTGCACACAAATAATTCTTTAAATCAAGACATTGAATGGAAGTATAGATTGATGTGAATAATTTTGGAATACACTTGAAAGAGTATAACAATTAATTATCCAAATCGGAGTAAAAATCTACGTATCATTTAATGATTTGTGAATGATGACTGCGCAGTTTCTCTATCTCTATATATAATGACGATTTAGAATTTGCTCTGATACTTTAGTCAGTGAAACGTAATGTTTTATTAAGAATACAAATATAATTAGTCACAATTTTTATCCAAAAGATAAAAAGGTACAAATAAAATGGAATTTGGGGTTTCTGAAACTTTAATTGGAGTACTGGCACTCTTATTACTCATTTATTATTTTTTAATGAATAATTTTGACTTTTGGACATCAAGAGGAATTCCTGGTCCAAAACCAATTCCAATTTTTGGTACTATAAAAGATGTTGTTTTTGGCAAATATTCAATAGGAAATTATTTGAAACATGTCTATGATCAGTATCCAGATGAACCAATGGTTGGATTTTTTACCAGGAAAGAGCCAGTATTAATGTTGAATGACATGGAATTAATCAAAACTATTTTAATAAAAGACTTTAAAAGCTTTATGGATCGAGGTTTAAAAGTAAGTGAGAAACATGAGCCATTAAGTGTACATTTATTTCAAATTGAAGCAAAAAGGTGGAGACCATTGAGAACAAAATTAACACCAGTATTTACTTCTGGGAAATTAAAAGAAATGTTCTATCTTCTAGTTGAATGTGTTGATAAATTAGATAAATATCTAGAAAAATATGATGGAAAAGTTGTTGACATGAGAGAAATCGCTGCTAAATTTACAACAGATGTTATTGGAGTCTGTGCTTTTGGAGTTCAAGCTAATGCTTTAGAAGATGAGAATAGTTTGTTCAGAGAAATGGGAAAAAGAATTTTTGATCTTAACTGGAAAGCTTTGCTCAGATTTCGGATGAGAAATTTCGCGCCAGTTTTATATCATTTCATAGGAGGCTTGTTTACAGATCATATTCTGAATAATTTTTTTATTGACTTGACTAGAGATACTATTGAATACAGGAAGAAGAATAATATTAAACGACATGATTTCATTGATTTATTAGCTGCATTGAGAGATGGAGAGACCAAAATAGATGACATTGGTAAATAAAATTTAATAATCAATATTTTATCAACAGGAAAACAATAAAAATAAAATTCAAAAATATAATTTTTTTTCAGAGCTCACTGATTCACTTCTAGCCGCACAATTATTTGTATTCTTTATTGCTGGTTTTGAAACTTCATCGTCCACTATTAGTAACTGTCTTCTGGAACTTGCTATGAATCATAAGATCCAGAATAAAGTTCGGGAAGATATAAGAGAGGAACTTTCAAAGACAGATGGCAAATTAACATATGATTCTATCAAAAATATGAAATATTTAGATAAAGTCTTCAACGGTATGAATGTAAATATTTTTTTTCTGTCGATTAAATTAGATATTATAATATACATTGTTTCCAGAAACTTTAAGAAAATATCCTCCGGTTACATCAATAATGAGAAAGACAACGACTCCTTATACATTCCCAGGCACCCAAGTATCAATACCAACTGGTACAGCAGTTTGGATACCGATATTCGCAATTCAACGAGATCCAAAATACTTCCCCAATCCTGATGTCTTTGACCCTGAAAGGTTTAATGAAGAAGAAATCAAAAAACGTCCTCCTATGGCTTATTTACCATTTGGTGACGGTCCACGTAATTGCATTGGTAATTTTGTTAATTGTTTATAAATTAACTTAGACAGATTTCAGAAAAATTAATGAAATAATTTTTTCTCATAGGTCTTCGATTTGGACAAATGCAAACTAAAGTTGGTCTTGTAAAGATTTTACAAAATTATACTGTTGATATTTGTGATGAGACTGATAAGAAATTTCAAATAAATAATAGAAGCTTTTTATTAGCACCTGTGAATGGAGTAAAACTAAAAATAAAAAAAGAATTAATGTAATTCAAGTTACAGAATGAAAAAATGTTTTTTTTAAAACCGTTCTGTTAATTAATATTTTTTATATATTCCAATAAGTTAAATACATTAAAGTATATGTTATCAATTGTTCGTACTCCGAAATTACTATAATTGTTTTCAAAAATAATATTGTTAATTAAAGTGTATACATTATTTTATGGATCATTTTATCAATATAACCAGTTGAGCTGCGTTTTATTTCATGAAACGTGATACATCATCTAGATGTCACGACTATCTTCAATGACCTTCAGATCTCTAATGATTTCTTTCTCTATTTTTTTTTTAATAATAATAACTTCCAATATTAGAGCAATTAAACTGACAAGGTACACGTGTGTTCTGTATCTCAGAATTCTTCAGTTATGCTCTATCATTAAAAAATGATGTAATTCTATTTCTAGTTTAGTAATTTATGGAAGCTATGTGTGCGTGTACATGTTGCAAAAATCAACCAGTACTAGTCAGTCAAAGATGAAACATCGAGTGAAATAGATGATATTCTCAATGACAGACAAAATATGTCATAATAAACAATCATAAAAGTCGATTTAAAAAATCACAACTAATGTGACTAAAGTTTTTTATACTATATGTGATTGTGTATTAAAGGTAAACTACCTCAATATTAGTGTCAACATTATTATACCTTTTTCTTTATCAAAATGCTTTTGGGCACATTTGAGCTTTTACTTGGAATCTGCGGATTGTTATTAATAATTTACTCTTACTGGTCATTAAAATTTAATTTCTGGAAATCAAGAAATGTTCCTGGACCAAAACCAATATTTTTCTTTGGTACAACAAAAGATGTCATCCTAAGAAAAGTTAGTTTAGGGCATTATGTTTCACGACTTTACAAAAAATATTCCAATGAACCTATGTTTGGAATTTATCTGAGAAACAGACCAATTCTCATCATAAATGATCCAGAATTGATCAAAAATGTTTTAATAAAAGACTTCAAACACTTCATGGAACGAGGTTTAACATCCAATGACAAAATAGAACCGTTGAGTGCACATTTATTTTTGCTAGAAGCTAAGCGTTGGCGTCCAATGAGAACGAAATTAACACCAGTATTCACTTCTGGAAAATTAAAAGAAATGTTCCATCTCATTGCAGAGGTTGCTGAAAGATTTGACAAATATTTAAATAAATTTGATGGCAAAACTGTTGATATGAGAGATATTTCTGCTAAATTTACTACAGATACTATTGGAGTTTGTGCATTTGGGCTTGAAGCTCATGCTCTTGATGACGAAGATAGTATTTTCCGGAAAATGGGAAAAAGAGTCTTTACTACTAGTTGGAGAAGTTATGTTCAATTTACATTAATGGGTTCCATGCCAATTCTGTATAATCTAGTTGGTAGATTGTTTATAGATCATGTTCTCGAGAAATTTTTTATAAATCTTACCAAAGAAACAATTGAATACAGAAAGGAGAATAATATCAAGCGACATGATTTTATAGATTTACTAACTAATATGAAGGATAAAAACGATAAAATAGATGATATTGGTAAGGATTTTTTTAACGTTATTATCTTTTTTTGTTTCAATAATTAAGACAAATTATCTTTCTAGAATTAACTGACTCATTGTTGGCTGCACAATTATTTGTTTTTTTCGTTGCTGGTTTTGAAACTTCATCATCAACTATGAGTAACTGTTTATTCGAACTGGCAATGAATCCTGAGATTCAAAAAAAAATTAAGCTTGAGATTACAGAGGAATTGAAGAAATCTGATGGGAAATTTACTTATGAAATGATCCAAAATATGAAGTATCTGGACAAAGTATTTAAAGGTTTGCATTATAAGAGCGATTTTATATTGAAGATATTTGTACATTGTATTATTAATTCATGAATTTTTGTTTAGAAACATTGAGGAAATATCCACCAGTTATGTTCCTTTCTCGAAAAACTATCGATCCTTACACGATTCCAGACACTAACATAACATTACCAATTGGCACAGCAGTTTGGACACCAGTTTATGGTATTCATCATGATCCTAAATATTATCCTGAACCAGAAGTATTTGATCCTGAGAGATTTACTGATGAAGAAGTGGAAAAACGTCCTGCTATGTCTTATTTGCCTTTTGGAGATGGCCCACGTAATTGTATTGGTAAGCTAGACAGAACCTAAAAGGAATAATATATCTAGAACATCTATTATATATACATTAAAGAAAACAAATATTTAAGAAACCAGTTTTTTTCACAAAGTCGTTAAAATTAAATTAATTTTTTTCTCCAAAGGTCTTCGTTTTGGACAATTGCAGACCAAAGTTGGCCTTGTAAAAATTCTACAAAACCACACCGTCAATGTCTGTGAAGAAACTGATAAAACTTACAATGCTGATCTCAGAAATAATATATTAGCACCTAAAAATGGAATAAAGCTTCAAATAAACAAACAATAACTCGATTTGTTACATCACTGTCATTACGAGCATTAAATTTAACATTTTTATGAATCATTTATGAATTGATTGGATCAGTTCTTGAAAAATGAAAACATTGCTTATTTCTCTATTTATTATGTAAGCATTAAAATAATTTCCTTAAGTACATTCATTTAATTATTCAGAGTTCCATTATAACCATTTCAGCACTGTCAAAAAATTGACATCTCATTTTTTATATTCACTCATTAGTTTCAATATGATAAATTCTTCAGACATTAGTATGCTAGCACTGACTTGGAAGATATTATAGATAGAATATTTCAAATAAAGCAATGCAATTATGACATAACCTAGTCTTCATGATTTTTTTTATCTTTGTCAGATAACTGCGATGATATGAACTTTGGTCAGTCAAGGATAATATACCAGAGTGAACACTCAGGATAAATATTTTTTGACAGTCATTTTTGATTACTTATCAATTGTTGTTCACAATTTTGGAGATGAACATTATTGTGTAAATGTAATTTTTATTAATAAGATAAATTAAAGTGATTGAATTTTTTTTATTGAATATAGAATTTTTTTATATACTTGAAATATTTCAAATTATCCTGAAATTTTGTTAACTTCATCATGGAATTTGAAGGATTTGAAACAATAATTGGTATAACTTTGTTATTGTTGTTACTTTATTACTATTCCATGTCACGGTTTAATTGTTGGAAATCAAAAAATATCCCTGGACCAGAACCAATATTTTTTTTTGGTACATCAAAAGATATTTTCTTGAGAAAAATAAACATGGGTTGCTATATCACGAATCTTTATAAAAAATATAAACACGAACCGATGTTTGGAATATTCGTAAGAAGTGAGCCAGTGTTAGTTGTCAGTGATATGAACGTAATAAAAACAATTTTAATTAAAGATTTCAAATTTTTTATGGATCGAGGAGGAAATGCTAATGATAAAGTTGAATTATTAGCTGCTCATTTATTTTTGCTAGAAGCTAAGCGGTGGCGTCCAATGAGAGCGAAATTAACACCAGTATTCACTTCTGGAAAATTAAAAGAAATGTTCCATCTCATTGCAGAGGTTGCTGAAAGATTTGACAAATATTTAAATAAATTTGATGGCAGAACTGTTGATATGAGAGATATTTCTGCTAAATTTACTACAGATACTATTGGAGCTTGTGCACTTGGACTTGATGCTCATGCTCTTGAAGACGAGGATAGCATTTTCCGAAAAATGGGAACGAGAGTTTTTGAGCCAAATTGGGGAAACTTTATTCGATTTTTGTTAAGAGATTTTATGCCACAACTATATAATCTTATCGGAAGATGGTTCGCAGATTTTGTACTTGAGGATTTTTTTATTAATCTTACAAGAGATACTATTGAATACAGGAAAAAGAATAACATCAAGCGACATGATTTTATTGATTTATTAGCTGCATTGAGAGATGGAGAGACCAAAATGGATGACATTGGTAAATAGAACTAAATAATTACTAGTTTATCCACAGGAAAAGAATAATATTTAAAAAGTTTATTTGTTTTTTTTAGAGCTTACTGATTCACTTTTAGCATCACAATTATTTGTCTTCTTCATCGCTGGTTCTGAAACTTCATCATCAACTATTAGTAACTGTCTTCTTGAACTTGCTATGAATCATGAGATTCAGAATAAACTTCGGGAAGAAATCAAGGAGTGTTTAAATAAAAATCATGGCAAAATTACATATGAAATGATTCAAGACATGACGTATCTGGATCGAGTTTTTAAGGGTTAGTTAGAGAAACTTAAAGCAAGATGGATCCATGGAGCAAAACGGTTTTTTGAATTTTAAAATGTCTATAACACATAATGATGTAATTTGAGTAATAAGGATATTTTAATACCAGTATAAACGTTTGTGTAAAAAGGATCCGTTTTGTATCACTGAGTTACCAAAGATCAAAAAATCCGTCTTGCCCCATGAATTTATTTTCTCTGAGTTCCCCCATATTCTTTGGTGTTGATCATTTAATTATTATAATATTTCTCCATTAAAGTATTTTTTATTCACTAGAAACTTTACGAAAGTATCCTCCAGCTATGTTTATTGCCCGAAAAAATATGGAACCTTATACAATTTCGGACTTTAATATATTTTTACCAACTGCCACATCAGTTTGGATACCTGTTTATGGTATTCATCATGATCCTAAATATTATCCTGAACCAGAAGTATTTGATCCTGAGAGATTTACTGATGAAGAAGTGGAAAAACGTCCTGCTATGTCTTATTTGCCTTTTGGAGCTGGTCCACGTAACTGCATTGGTAATAATTTATTAATAATCAATAAAGAAACTGATGGATTGGTTTTGAAATTTATGAATTGAATTTTCTCTTAAAGCTCTGCGATTTGGACAACTGCAGACCAAAGTTGGTCTTGTAAAGATCCTGCAAAACCATACTGTTAATGTTTGTGAAGAAACTGATACAACATATGAAATAAATCAAGCTAGCTTTTTATTAGCACCGAAAAATGGGATTAAGCTTCGAATAGAAAAGCGCTAATATCTTGTATTATTCTTGTTTGTTTTTATTATGTAATGAGTATTAAAAAAATTTCATAATTTGGTTAATTATCACTGTTATTAATAACTATTTATTTATTTAAAATATGGATTATTGAATAATTATTAAAAACTGATAATTTATTTGATCTAATTCTATAAATATTTTATTTTTGCTTTGTTAATCATCTGTTTAGCTGTTTAAACATATGACATCATGCAAAAAAAATTCATAGAAATAAATATTTATTCTCTTAAGTACAAACTGCTGTTAAAAAATTATACCTGGAAAATATAGCGCAATTTGCATTGAAGAATTTTATGTTCAGTCTGTATAATTTATTCGAAAGATGTTCTGTAGACAAAGTTGCAGCGAAGTTTTTTTTTTCATTTTACAAAAGATGTTATAGAATACAGAAAAAACAATAATGTCAACTGGCATGACTTCGCAGATCTAATACTTACACTAAAAGATAAAAATGAAGATAAAGAAAAACTTCCTTATATGCTTCCTAACATAAAAGTAACTTTACCAACAGGATCAATCATTCAGATAGCAATTTACGATATTCATTGAAATTACTTTAGTGTAATAAAATGATGTAATTTTTCAGGATGTTGATTTAATACCATAAAAATTTTACAAAATTACACTATTAATATTTGTGAAGAGACTGATGAATTATGTGAAATAAATAATCAAAGCTTGCTCTTAGCATTAAACAATAGAATAATACTTTAAATTAAAAAACAGCCATCTTGATTATAATCTTCAATAATTCAATCAATTCCAAGAGGATTAATGATTATACTGTTTATGACAGGATTTGATTTCTCATCTTTATGTACATAAAAAAGATGATTGATTAAAAAAAAAAACTCAACATCATTGGGTCTTATAGCAAGTTACATTCATTCATTTAGAAAATATTGTAAAAATGTACTCTGAAAGTAATAATTAATGAATATTAATTAATTACATTTTGGAGTAACTAATTTTTAAACTAGATCTGAGATCTGTTTTTTTTTAAATCGTAAAATTTATGTAACTACTATCTTCTTCATTACATATTTCTATTCAAATCTAATGAATGCAAAAAAATTCTTTATCGGTAATTAATGATTAGTTTAAAGTGATGATAAATTTATCATCTCTAAACAGATTTACGTTGAATGTAACAAAAGAATATTGAATTGTTTTTTTTGCATATTTAATGATAAGGTTTAAGAGCTCACATTATCCACTCATGGTAGTTAATGAATGATCATTGGCACACCAGTTGCAAAACACTGGATATTCAGAGATAATATAAAAAATATCAAGTGAAGAAAAAATAAGTAGTCGTGACAAAGCATCATTGCTTTGATAATAATCGAAACTATGAGAGATTAATACTCGTGTACAATAATGTGCATTATCATTTAAGATCGTGATCTATAGCAAGTGTTATTGAATGTAGTTTTGTTCGCAAAAAGAAACCAACTATCTAAATAATAAGTTAATAATAAATATTAACAATTGTAAATAAAATAATTATTAAATAGTAAAGTTTGAACAATAATGGAGTTAATTACTCAAATATTGGTTGGATTTGTAATAATAATTCTAGGCATTTTTTATTACCTAACTTTGAATTGGAAATTTTGGGAATCTAAAAAAATACCTGGACCTAAACCAACATTACCTTTTGGTACCATTGGAGACATATTACTCGGTAAACACAATCTTGGAACTTATATGAAGATGATTTATGATACGTATCCAGACGAGCCAATTGTTGGAGTTTATAAAGTTTTCGAGCCTATTGCTGTGGTGAATAATTTGGATCTTATCAAGGATATATTGATCAAAGATTTCAGTAAATTTGCAGATCGAGGACAGGAAATACATGATAAACATGAACCTCTTTCATTACATTTATTCAACCTGGAACCAAAAAGATGGCGACCATTAAGGAATAAACTATCTCCAATTTTTACTTCAGGAAAATTGAAAGATATGTTTTATTTATTATTAGAATGTTCTGATCAAATGGAAAAACATTTAGAAAAATTAGATGGGCAGATTGTAGACATGAGAGACTTTCCAGCAAGGTATGCAACCGATGTTATAGGAGTTTGTGCATTTGGATTGCAAGCTAACGCAATGGAAGATGAAAATAGTTTATTTCGAAAAATGGGTAAAAGAATCTTTGATTTAAAGTTTAAAACCATCACGAGAATGTTGATGGGATTTTTTTTGCCTAAAGTATATAATTTTGCTGGATATTTTTTGCGAGATAATATATTGGATAATTTTATCATCGGTATAACTAAAGACACAATGGATTATAGGAAAAAAAATAATATTGTTAGACATGATTTTGTTGACTTACTGATGGATTTGAAGAATGAGCCTAGTAAAGTTGATGATATTGGTATGAACGTCAGCAAATATTGAGCAATTCACATTATTGTAATTAGATTAAATTAATAATCAATTCAAATGATTTCAGAATTAACTGATAAACTTCTTGCTGCTCAACTATTTGTCTTCTTCGCGGCTGGTTTTGAAACCTCTTCGACTACTATGGGTAATGCTTTGTACGAACTTGCGATTAACCAGTCTATTCAGTCAGAGCTACGAAAAGAAATCAAAGAGACGTTAAGTAAATCTGGCGGCAAATTAATTTATGATGGAATAAAAAATATGAAATATTTAGACAAAATTTTTAAAGGTAAAAATATTAAGCTTGTTTTTTTTTCTTCAATTTAAATTGATAAATAAATTTTCAGAAACTTTGAGGAAATATCCACCAGTACCATTCCTAACAAGACGTACAGTTGTCCCATATGAATTTGCTGGCACAGGGCTCAAAGTTCCAGCAAATACAAGAGTATGGCTTCCTATTTATGGAATACAGAAAGATCCAAGATATTTCCCAGAACCAGATTTATTTGATCCAGAGAGATTTAATGAAGAAAATGTCAAACAACGCCATGATATGACATTCTTATCTTTTGGAGATGGTCCTAGAAATTGTATTGGGGCTCGTTTTGGTACAATGCAAACTAAAGTGGGCCTGATCACAATTTTGAAAAATCATAAAGTTGAAGTTTGTGAAAAAACTGACAAAAATTATGAACTTGATCCAAGAGGAATTCTTCTTGTACCAAAAAATGGTATATTCCTAAAGATTACTAAGATAAATTAATAATTAATAATTTTTTGTAAATATTTTTTGTTTAAAAATTTGGAATAAACATGGTAGTATCTATAGAAAATTTTATCAGTAATATACTTGTAACCAACACTTTAAATAAATTTATTTTAGTTGAATTATGAATAAAAATCGCAATCAATTTTTTATTGATATATTTTGGAATTAATTGTTGTTGTTTAAAAAAACTTAATAGAGAAAAAACTTCTAATATAAAGTTATTGTGTGTATTAAAAGATATATATAAACTAAGACTGAATAAAGGTTACAATCATATTATACCATTTTTAAACAGATAAATATGAATCAATAAATTAAATAACTAAGTAACGATTAAAAGTTTGAATTGATATATAATTCAATGGTATATAAATTATCTAGATGCTTACGATTGTTTTTATGTCCTTCGTTATAAACACATGTACTTTTCAACTGCATGTACAAATTATATAAAAACAAAAGCTTATAGCTCCCTACGTTTTCAATTACTATAGACCAAAATGTTAAGCTATCATTAACTAAAATCCAGTGAAGTTCAAATAAAAACATACATATTACTAATTGAATACTTTTATTATAGAAATTACAGGTTGTTTACTTTCTCATTGAGGTTAAGTTATTTTCGGAAGTTTTCGGGTTATTTCGTTTATGATCGAACTTTCTGAAGAACACGTAAGTTATCAGCTGATAATGACAATTGTCAACAAAAGTCAATTTCGTTGCTCAAAGATCTACAAATATTTGTACAAATTATGAAAAAGTTAATTAAAAAAATTGTCCGTATTCCATCAACACCGCTTAGCGAGCTCGGATATTTATGATGATAGTAGTATAAAAATTATTATGTAATTGTATCAAGTCATACGAATTAATTAAGAAGTGCAACATTTCAACGTCAGTGTTTATATAAAGCAGTTCATTCAATTTGGAAATGATGGATTTTACAAATAATTATTTCAATGAAAGTTTCATTTCAACCCATCATGAAGACCGAATTTTGTATACAAATTTGGAATATTGGATGACAGAGCTACCACCTTATTTGAAGACTATTCCAATAATTCATTTGGCAATTCCTGGTAAAGTTTGTTTAGTTTTTTCAAATTCATGATTCATTGATAAAAAAAACATTGTAAATAATTTTAAAAAAGTTTAAGAATATTTTCTTATAATTGTTTGCAGTTTAATTCTATATATTTTAGATTGAATCACATGCATAAATTATTCTTTCCATTTTTTTGAACGTCTCTAATTCATCAATATTAACAATAATTTGTTGCAATATAACCTTTGTATGTATATAATTATTATCCATTGTATTAAAACTCTTGATAATATTAAGAGCTCTGAAAAATTAAGATTTAAATTATGTACAATAATTCTGTTAATAAATAGATCCAAACTGTTTTAAAAAATACTCAAGTTTTGTATTCTTTACTTTCAGGTTCTCATAATACAATGACTTATACAATAAATCGTTTCAACAATGTCGGACCTGACGAACCATATTACCTTCAATTTTTAGGAAAATATTTTTCAATAATATCCAGGCCAATAATCTTCAATTGGTCAGTCACTCAATACGAAAGTGTAATTCAACAGCTCAATGGTGGAATAAGATACTTAGATTTAAGATTAGCATCAAAACCTACCGACAATGAGATATATTTTGTACATGGTCTTTTTGGTGATGAAGTAAGCCAACATCTTATCAATATTTCTAATTGGTTGGTTATTCATTCATCGGAAATTATAATAATTGACTGCCAACATTTCTATGCATTCTCAGATGAACATCATCATTACTTTTTACGTAAAATAAAAAGCATTTTTGGTAACATGATTTGTCCAGCAATATTTCATTTGCTACACATTAATTTGGATTGGATGATAAAAAGAAAGTATCAAGTAATTTTGATCTATAGAAATGAAATAGCTAAAACTGATTATGATTTATGGCCTACGAATCTTTGGCCAACCCCTTGGCCTAATACAACTCGTCCTAGAGCTCTTATTGATTTTTTGAATATTAGATTAAAAACCAGATTACCTGATACTGGATTTATATCTCAATGTCTACTCACTCCCGATACTAAATTCGTCTTAAAACACTTTTGTGGAAGCTTAAACAGAGATTTGGGAGCAATCTGTCGAAAAGCTACCATAAGATGGATTTATAAAAATTCTCCAGGTAGTGGTGGACTCAATATTGTAATAACGGATTTTATTTCATATGATAATTTTTTATTTTCAAAAATTGTGATTCAACGAAATGTTGCACTATTGGAAGAGGAAAGAAATACACGTACTCAGGCTTATTCGAAAGATCAACTAATAGGCAGTGAAAAAGGATTTTTTTGAATATATTAGTTCTATATCATTCCAGATTTCAAGTATTAAATTTAAAAAAAGTATTTATTTTTATTAATAGCTATTTTTAATATTTCATTTTCTTTATATCAGTATAATTTTGAAATGATTGAGAGAAAATTACTATCTCTTCAACATTCCTAAATTAACTAATTTTCTTGTAAATAATATTCATTTATAAAAAGTTCTACTCTTCACCGAAATTCAAATATCTCAATCAAGAGTCGATCTAGTAATATTTGTAAATATCGACCTTTGTAAAAAGTTATTTTGTTACAATAATTATGTACAATAAATTAATAAAAACTGCACATTGCATAATCACGTATCCAAGTACTGAAACTTTGTTGTTTTAACAAGGTAAAAATGTAAAACAGTTATTATAATTATTTTGTTCTTCATTTACAATCAGGTACTTTAATAAGTACCCAATATTTATTTTCAAGAATAAAAAAAAGACTAGAGAGAGTTTTTTTCTCATAATCTGTACAGTAATGATAATTTAATGACTTGAATCTAATTTTATGCTGTCAAATGAGCAATTACGTATTTAAAAAAGTAATGATAATTGACCTAAATGCGATATAAATTGTCAGTCATACCTCACCATACCGGATCATATTTAAATTACAACAATAACTAAATCACAAGGCTTTAACTTTAAGTTGTTTCATTCTTGGTGCCCGTTTCTTTGCTAATCTTTTTTGTTCTTTTTCTTCCCATTTTCTTTGTTTGTCAGGATCTTCTTCTTGAAGAATTCGCTCTTTTTCTTGGCGTCTTTTTTCTTCTCTTTTAGCAGCAGCAGCTTCAGCTCTAACTAAATGTGTTGTTTTCCAAAATGCTTCTTCAACTCTTTGTCGATTTTTATCAGTTTTGCTTTTGCCCTAAAATTTCACAATATATTTTTATGACGAATATTTTTATAATTAAATAACGAATATTGATTAGTAAATAAATATGCACCTCTTTTGATAATTTAAAACGTCTCAATTTGTCTAACAAATAGAATGCAAATTGGACAAGGGATTTCATCTTTTCAGTGTTTTCAACATTTGGCATTTTACCTTTTAAACTTATATTTAAACCAACAAGCAAAACTCTCTTAACATCTGGCATTGTTAATTGACCAGAATCTCTGTAAAAAAACAGGTATTAATATATAACATTTAAAATTATTGAAACAATTAAGTTTTTTTTTTGAAATTAAATTTGTGCTTACTCTTGCTGTTTTGGTCCACTGTATTGATCACTAATATGAATATAATCGATATACTGTGAGTATTTATTGAATGCTTGAAGTACTCGAGTATCAAGAATTGCTGAGGTAGCTTCAGCAATTTCAGACATGACATAAAATCCATTAGGAAGCCCAAATTTCTCGCCAGGTTTTTTTTCTGGACAATATGTTGAAATATCTGCTATATCTCTTGTAAAATGAAAGGCAGTCTTTTTTGTGGCTACTGCCAAAACAAAATTATCACTTTCATCTTTTGACATCTCAATCCTTAAATGAGCTTGATCATTTTGAGGCCTTAAAATCTGCGCCAAAACTGCCACTAGGTCCTGTCGTTTTATTAACTTTAATTCTATTAACAATGAATCACATCCGACACGACCAGAACAATAAATACTATACTGAGATTCACTCTCTTTCACTAGACCAGTATCCTGACCTTCTTCAAGGCTTTTTCCTGTATCTCCAACCAAAGAAAAATTATCTAAAAGTAACTGTTTATGCTCAGCAAACCAGGACTCTGCTATTCTACAATTCTTGGTCTTTCCAGTTAAATAATTGATGAAATATACAAATAAACCAGTTGCCATTAAAATTTCAAGATAAAAACTATCCCATCTTGCTCGCAAGTGAAGAGGAACCTAAAAAATGAAATTTTTAAATAATTTATAAATAATTAGTTATTAAGTTTTATATGATTTGTATCAATGAATAATACCTTAGTAATTGTTAAGGTAGATGGTTCATCAGACCTTCCACCGGTACTTCGGCCATTTCCTTCTAAACCTTCAAATTCTTCTTCGTCCTGGAAGTGATCGAATTCAGAATCTACATCATCTTCCACCATACCATCATCTTCAAACTCCTGATGGTTCATATCTTTGAATTGCTCAACTACTGGGGATTTAGGTTTTTCATCTTCAAAGTCTTCAAACTCTGCAAACTCATTGTCTTCTGGAAGCTCTTCATTGAAATCAGCAATGACCCAAACATTATTTATGAGAAGGATAATGCTTAGTATTACAAACCAGGGTTTCATTTTATCTGGAACGTAAAGTGATTTATTAATATATTATTTTTAATTATTAAAAATAAACAATGATTTAAACTATAAGAAGAAGACACTAATTAAAAATTCAATCGATATTTTTAATGTTTTGTGCAGTGATTTTTATAAAAATTTTCATTTTTATAACTGGCTTTATCTATAAATAAGATGAATTGAAAATTAAAAATCAATAATATAATATGATTATTATATTAACACTATTAACTCGAATTATTTTTAGAAGTTTACGAGCATTTGGACACGTCATTATTTGTTTCAAATTTAAAAGTTAAAATACTTGTACAACACAGCTAAAAATTCAAACAAAAGCAACTTTCATAGTAACTTTACTTACAAAATATTGTATTACGTATAAATTTTATAATTTTTATTACATAAAATTAGAGCTTTCACTCATGTGACTTACATAGAAATCAGTTAATTAAACTAAAAAAACACATATACTTCGGGTTCTACTAATATTGTCGATTGCGGTTTTCAAGACACTGCAATGTTCTGAAGTTGTCTCTACCTCGTGACTTGTTATATTATATTACTTCATGGTTCGATTAATCGATTATAACATTTCGCTTGTTGATAAAACAGGACTATAATTAACAACATCCCAGGTAAATTTATATCCAAAAATATTACATACATGAAATTTTATCTTTCAATAAACAAATCATTTGATTCTTGTTCATTTATACATATATTTTCTTTATATTGATAATAAATAACCTTTCTTGATCATAATATTTATTTCTACATTGGATTTATTTTTGTAGCTATATTCAACTCCAATTGGAGCGGAATTGGTTCAATGAAGAGTTCAAGTAATATGAACAGCCTGTGAGGAGAAATAAGAACAGAGGGGAAAACTGGGTAGAGTGAAATGGAAGGAGAGTAAATACATGGCGCGTGCGCAGGTGTATGTGAAACTCAGAGCTAAATAGAAATGATGGGCTTCAACGTATTCGATGAATTCAACAAAGATGCAACGAATAAAACGAGCGCGGTTGAGTCAAAAATTAATAAACCGCGACAAATAAATTGAATTAAAAGGTTGACTACTTATTTGACAACGGTTTTGTTTTATTGTGATAGTTAGTGACTAATAAGAAACACTTAACAGGGGTGTAAAGAGAAAGGACCGACGCAATATCTAGACTTTTCGCTGACAACGATAGAAAGACGTTGGTATGGACTCAAACAATGGATCAATACCCTTGTAGTAAAAACTGATGGAATTAAATAAATAAAGTAATTGAAGAATTGAGTAGAGAAATAAATACACAGATATTGCTATTATATTTTAATTGATTATCATTCTTACCAGTGAACATATTAGGTAAGTAATTTATTAATGTTTAAAACTGAAGTGGTTGAATGAGTGTAAATAAATATCTGAATAATTTTATAGATTCTTGAATTAGTTATCAATTTATAAAAGATTGTTTGTTCACCACTTTGACATCAATATGCAAATACATTTTTTAATAACTTTACTTTCAATAATTAATTCATCTTTTTCCAACAGGATTTTTTTGAGTTTTTATAATAGTTAAACTAAACTACTTAAATCATGGAGAAAGATAATATAAAATTATCAAAATCTAATAGAAAATCTGCGAAAGCTATGACCAATTCTGATGTAGGAACACAATGTGTTCAAGTAGTGGTACGATGTCGTCCAATGGATGTCAAGGAGACTTCTCGAGGTTGTTCCAGAGTTGTAGATGTTTCACCAGCTCGGGGAGTTGTAGAAATTCGTAATCCTCGTGAAGATCCATCAAAAGATAATGTTAAAACTTTTACATTTGATGCAGTTTATGATTGGCATTCAAGTCAACAGGATATTTATGAGGAAACAGTACGTCCTCTCGTGTCTTCAGTGTTAGATGGTTTTAATGGAACGATTTTTGCATATGGTCAAACTGGAACTGGAAAAACTTATACCATGGAAGGTTCAAAAAATGATTTAGAACGCCGTGGAATTATTCCTAGATCTTTTGAGCATATTTTCAATCATATTGGACGATCAGAAAACATGCAATATCTTGTAAGAGCTTCTTATTTGGAAATTTATCAAGAAGAGATTAGAGATTTACTTCATGCTGATCAAAGTCTACGTTTTGAGTTGAAGGAAAAACCAGAATCTGGAGTTTTTGTTAAAGATTTATCAACAGTTGTTTGCAAAAGTGCTCAAGAAATTCAACAATTAATGAATAAAGGCAATTTAAATCGTACAATTGGCGCTACGAATATGAATGAACATTCTTCAAGATCTCATGCAATTTTTTTGATTACTATTGAAATGAGTGCTCTTCCGAATAGTGATAATTTTGGATCTCAGAGAGGTGGAGGAATTCGAGTCGGACGTTTAAATTTGGTTGATTTGGCTGGAAGTGAAAGACAAAGTAAGACAGGATCTTGTGGAGATAGATTAAAAGAAGCTAGTAAAATTAATTTAAGTCTTTCTGCATTGGGTAATGTAATTTCTGCTTTGGTTGATGGAAAAACCACTCACGTACCCTACAGAGATTCTAAATTGACACGTTTGCTTCAAGATTCACTTGGAGGTAATTCAAAAACAATTATGGTTGCCAATATTGGTCCTGCTTCCTATAATTACGATGAAACACTAACAACTTTAAGGTACGCCAACAGAGCAAAAAATATCAAAAATAAACCTAGAATTAATGAAGATCCCAAAGATGCTCTTTTGAGACAATACCAAGAGGAAATAAGTAGATTAAAGGAAAAATTAGCTCATAAAGGAACGATAATAAAAAAGAAAAAGAAAAAGAAGAAGAAAGAAGATGGAGATGATGATGGAGACGAATCTGAACTTGACGATTCTAAAGAGGATAATAAAGTTTCTGAAGCGGAAAAGAAAATGATAATGGAGCAATTAAAAGCAGAAAAAGAAGAAACAGAAAATTTAGTAACAAGAATTAAGGAGTTAGAAAGCAAAATGTTGTGTGGTGGAAAAAATATTGTTGATCATACTAATGAACAACAAAGAGCATTGGAACAAAGAGCTGCTGAAATTGCTGAAAGAAAAAAACGGGAAGTTGAAATGCAACAAAAATTAGAAGATGAAGAGTCAACTTTCTTAGGAATGCGTGAAACTTATACAACTCTTCAACAAGAAGTTGATGTAAAATCCAAAAAATTAAGGAAATGTTTTGCTAAACTTCAAGCATTAAAGCAAGAGTTAGAGGATATCAATGGAGAATATAATCGAGATCGACGAGAGCTAGAAGAAACACAGCATGACTTGATGAAGGAATTGAAATTAAAGTATTTGATCATTGATAATTTTATTCCTGTAGAAGAAAAGCACAAAATAATGTCCAGAGTAAAGTTTGATGAAGATGAAGATGCTTGGGTACTAAAAGAACCAAGTCCATCAAGTATAGATTTGATTAAAAGGCCAGTATCAGTTCCAGGGGCCAGAAGACCTATTTCCGAGTATGCTAAAATTGCGTTAGCTATGGGTAGAGGCTACAGATATGCTGGAGAAAATATATTAAACTTAGAACTTGATATGCCTGCTAGAACAACATTAGATTATCAAGGTCCTGCGATAGCTCCAACAATTGCAGCAGTCTTAGAAGAGGCTTTACGGGATGAGGGTGATATTGATGTAGATGCTTCTAATGTAAGGTTAAGGACTCCTAAGCCTCGAATTCCGTCCGCTCGTGCAAGACCACGAAGTGTTGGAAAGATTCCTCAGATGCAAATTCCAGCGCCGGTTTATCCAAAGACACGAGGACTAGTTTCAAAATATATGAAATAAATATCGAATACAATGTCGACATTCTTTATTAATTGATAAAGTCAATATATTGCACGTTTTAACATAATAATGAGATTTGTATGTAAATAAAATTTTTCAATTGCTTTTATTGAAAAAGATTCTGAATCTGACATAAATGTTGACAGTATTGTAAGATTGAAAGATTTTTTTTCAATTGATTGATTGAAGTTTTAACATGACATAAACCTTGAAAATCATGTGGCGTTTTGAATTACAGCATTTCTTAGTTTATTCCTTCATTTTGTGATAAAGATGAATTGTGACAAGGTTGATATATAACATATATTGTGGTTTAATAAATAGCGATGATTTTAGACTGATTTAGAGTCTAGTCAAAGTGCAATTTATTTTATAATTGTAAAAGTTAATTTTTGTTACTATGTTTACTCAATTATGGAGTAATTTTATTTTATTCCATGAGCTGTTGATTAAGTTTCGTCATAAAATGTAATTAATATGAAATATTTACAAAAAATTTAGTAATTCATTTTATAGCTTTCATAAGAAAGCAATTTAAATTCTTTTAAAACTACTCCAAAATCGAATAAACATAATTTTAGAAAAGCTTGAACATATTTTAAAAAAAAAACTATTCAAATCATGTTTTTTAAGTTTTTCACGCTTATAGTAAGTTCGAAGTAGTAGACACATTTAACAAAAATAAGAAATATTTTAATAAATCATGCGAATTATAATAAAAACAAAAAAAAATTAAAAATTTGTTTTAATTGTTAATCATCAATTTATTGGATTGATAAATTTATCATTATTATTATCGAAAAAAGATACTAGTAGTGAGTATAATAACAGTAGTTGTAATTACTAATGAATCATCATTAATGATTAATTAATTACAATGAATACATAACACTTTGCTGTTTAAAAATGATATCTATTTCTAAAAAAAAAAAAAATCACAGAAGACGAATATCTTCTATTACTAATGATAACTAATTTTAAAAAAACTGTTCACCTTTATGACGGCCTCTGTAATAAAAAATAGACCAATTATCGAATATTTATATTAATTACTTAAACCTGGTGTATTTATTACTTTTCTACCTGATTCTTAATTCTTACGTTCTTCTTTTCACTCTGTTCTGCACTTATTGTTTATAATTAAAACCATATGATATTGTCACTATTGAATCCACTATTATTTATAAACAATTTTTACCACACCACTGTACATATTAGTTACTTATAGACAGAAGAAATTCTGATCACACAAACGTTATATTTTCAGCAGTCGAGATAACATTTCATTTTTTTAAATCAAGTTTCAACGAATTGATGATGATCCGAAATATTTTAAAGATATTGTTTCAATTGAATTTAACGTAACTATTGATGATAAAAGATCCTAAGAGTAAAAGTAAATATAGAATTTTTTTATGTTTTTACAGTTATGAAGAACGTTTTCTTAAAAAAAGCTCATTAAATGTTAACAAACATTTTCAGCATATTTTTTTTTTTTAAAAATAAACAATGAAAATTTTTTCATAAAAAAATGAATTTGATATAAAAATAGCTTATTGTTGTTATTAAACTATTTTGTAGTTTACAAAATAATTCGTATATTAAAAAAAATATCTCTTACCGCCCTTTTCATCGATTACGTGTTAAGGGTGATTTTTTAATAAAACCGTTGTGAATAATTTCCATATTGACTTTGTTGTGGATATCCAATAGGGGCTGATGGTGCGCCATATTGAGGTCCGCCATACACTTGTTGAGATGGATATTGATTTTGTTGCATACCAGGCCCACCATATTGATTTTGATTATTTAAATTATTGTATGGTGGTTGATTGTAATTATTATATCCATTATTCATGTTAGACATAGATCCTACATTAGGATTCATACTAGACATGCTACTAGGCATATTATTCATATTACTTGGCATATTATTCATATATCCTTGATGATTAAAACTCTGTTGCGGAGGTTGTTGATAATTAGAGAAGTTCTGATTACTTAAATTGCTGGGATAAGATATTGGATTCTGTTGATTTACATGTGGATAACTCGTTGGATAATTTGTAGATGGAGGAATTGAAACATTGGTAGATCCAGGAGGTGCTAGATCAACATTAAGTGAATTTTGTCGTTCTTTTTGAGGATTATGAGACTTCACGACATACTTATTAGGCAAATCGCCCATTATGTTAGCAATAAGCCGTTTTGTCTCGTTTAAAATAGCTGTTGGATCATTAACTTTAGCTTCTTTCTTCGATAAAGGTGATTTAGATCTAGATCTAGACCACGATCTTGATAACGAATTAGATCTCCTGGCTTTTTCATTTTCTGAAACATTCTTATCAGCTGCTTTATAAATATCTTCAAAAGAATAATCATCGTCATCATCGGAAAGATCTATTTTTTTATTTCTCTCATCTTCTTTTCGTTTTTTATCTTCCTCTTCATCAGCGAAAATATCAAGTTTCGGTTTCCATTTTTGATGATCGTCGTCAATAGGATTATGAGCTCCTTTTCTTGACGCAAATGGTGAAACACTTCTCGAAGGTTTAACGGGAATTTCTTCGACGTCTTTAACAGGTGTTTCAGCTCTTTGACTACTTGATCCACCTAAATTGACATATCCTCTTAACTTTTCTACTCTCGCAGGATCGGAAGCTTCTAACTTTTTCAGGAAATTGATTAGTCCATGTTGTTCATCAGTTCCTAATTCCTTAAAGTTTTGAAGAAGATCTTTAAGATCGTTATCAGTTAATTTTTCCATTCTTGCAGCATGAGCTTCAATAGGATCAATGATTTTTGGTGGTATGATTGGTGTTTCTTTAACTCTCTCAACTACTGGCGGTTCTGGAATGCTAGGAGTAGTTGAAATTGAGCTTGTAGTAACTGGTGTTATAACTTCTGTTATGGTAGGCTGTGTTTTAATTGTTAAACTTTTCACAAAACTAGCAGCTGTAACTGGTTTATCACTATGTTGTGAAGCTTCAGCCATACCAACTACTGCATTAATTAGAGTTTCTAACTCATCTTGGGAAACATTAGTTCTTCCTTGAGCAATAAGAGCTGCCGCTATTTGTTGAGCTATAGCTACTTTATCAATAGCTCCAATACCAGGAACACTGACAGGCTCTGATCTGATAGTTGGAAAGAGAGATCTTGACGAAAAAGCTGCAATAGACCTTGCAATCTCTTGAGCTTGTTTTTTCTTTTTTTCTTCTTCTTCTTCTCTTTTTTTCTTTTCTTCAGTCGCTTTATGAAGTAACTGAGCAATATTCTGAATGGCAGATTTCGTCGCAGCAATTGCTACCTTCTCAATCATTCCAGCAAAAAGTTGTCCCTTGAGTTTTTCTTTGACTGTCTCAAATAGAACGCTTACCTCTTCATCATATAAAAGCTCTTCGGCGGAATTGGGCTTGGCTTTTTCGGCAGCAAGTGCCTTTGAAAGTAAAGAGACAACTTTAGGACCCAATGAACCTAATTGAGCTTCAAGTGCTGTCAAAAGTCGAAGAAGTCCAACAATTTCAAGATCTTCTTTCAGGTTATCATCTTTGGCAGGGCTTGGCGATTTTTCTTTTACAGTATACGGTGTATAGTGGCGTGGCCTAGGCATTGGCGGACGCACTGATGGAACATAATAGCTTCGATAGGACGGCTTTTCTCGATATAAATATCCATATTCTCTATCTCTAACTATTTCACGTTCATGTCTCTCTCGGTATTCACTTCGTTCAGGTTTTATCATCTTAGTTCCTACATATTCTACATCATCATCACTTTCTACATGATGTCTAGACCTTTTACTTGGAGAACTACGCTCTTCTTTATCTCTTTTTGGTGGTGGAACCCATTTAGTTTCTGGTGGTTTATCTTCTGGAAGCTCTAACCGTTTCCTTATTTCTTCTTTTCTTTGAGAAAGTTGCTCATTGTGAATTTCACGCATTCTTTTATTCCAAAATTCAATCCACTCTGGTTTAAAATCATGTTTACTTGGATCTTTACCTTCAGCTTGTAGTTCTTTATATCGGCGATTCCAGAATTTTTTCCATTCATCTGGATATGCTGGATGTTTTTCTGGATTTTTTTCATGGAATTTCAAAGCACGATCAAGTGTTTCTTCAGCTCTACGAATTTGTTCGCGAAATTTATCCCATTTATCGCGTTCTCGAAGTGGTTCATTTGAACGTGATCGCGACCGGGACCGACCGTACCGAGATGATTTATTGCTCAATCGATGTTTTGATGATTTTTCGCGAGTTCGAATTGGACTATGAGATCGTGAACGTGATCTAGACGGTGAAGGACTGCTAGAAATGCTGGAAAGAGATGATAAAGATTTTGTATCGTCTGCTGGACCTTTCATTTCTTTATCGGCTTTTTTGGATAATTTTTCCTTTGTCATGATGCGAATTTTCATTCCTCTAAAATATAGAAAAGTTCAAATTATTATAGATATTTTGAGTGAAGTTTTTAAATATTGCTTAAACTTACGATTTACTAGTATCTGGTTCAATTTTTTTAGGAAAGGCTTTCTCCATGCTATCTTCTTTCTTAGGTTTTTCGTCAATATTCTCATCTAAGATCATATTTTCAAGTTTTAAAAATGCAAATTAAAACATGACTTATATAAAAAAGAAATGATATATACTTAAGGAGTTTTTTTTTATAAAAATGGAAAAATATTAAAGTAGATATCACTCACCTTTTTTTGATTCACCAGTCATTTCTGCCAATTTTTCTTCAAAGTTTGTCACCCAACGCACATCATAAACTTCCATAAATGTTAACTCGGGCGTTTCCCTGCGTACGTAGGAAACAGCCACTTTTAAAATAGTTTAATGACAAATTTTTCAACAAAAAAAATGTAATATTAGATAATAATTACATACTCCGATTTCCCACTAACCATTTAAAGTGGTATTAAAATTTGGAATTATAAAAAAAAAAAAAATATCTAATTTAAGTAAATCAGTTGGATGAAAATGATTCAATTTTTTTCCAAATCAATAATACCTCCTTAAAATTTCTCAATTTTGGCCAAAATTAGTCTAGATTTATTTTAATGTTCAGAAGGTGATTATCATTGTTAAGGATATTGAAAATTTTGGTCATGTTTGAATGAATAATACTTAAAATAATTTAGGCAACTTTGACCATGATTTTTAAAGAATAAATTTCAAAAAAATCCCTTACTTACCTAAAATGATAGTCCTGATAAACATTTTTAATAAATTGAAGTTTATTCTTCTCAAACTGGTTCTTATCCACAAGTTGTGGATGAAGTCTTCCAAACTTTTCTTCAATTTTCTTGGCTACTAGAACGGAAATTTCATTGGCGCCACGTTTATAATTGGGAGTACGCGGTAAATCCGTAATAGCACGTGATATTGTCGGGAAATGTCTATTTAAATAAGTGATTCGATGATTGTATGATGTGATGTGAGCCATGACGGTACGTGGATCACCACGTTTATCACATAAGACACAGGTGTAACTTGGTTCACATGAATCATTGTCAATAAGTTCCAATAAATATTCAAGTCCAACTAATGGAGAGCTTTGATGACGATCCAGGCTCGTTTGGATCTGCGTTGCGCGAGTTATTTGATCTTCCATGCCCGGAGGAACAGGTTCTCCAGGTGCCAAAGAATCATTTAATGAAGAAATTGATTGCATTGAACCTTTCATGGTATCTCTCTTTGACCATAATGACACTGGATATGGCCACTCATCTAATTTTATCTTATGTCTACTTGATGTGTTGTGTGATTGTAATTTATGTGAACCAAATAGTGCAATATTACAAATATGACACCAAATATCACCATCTTCTGTCCGAGAATATACTGGTCGAAGTGTTCCATCTTCTGCAGTTACACTGCAGCGCATCAATCTTTTACGATCACTTTCTTCCTGAAAAATAAATTTAAGATTAAGTAAAAATTATTAGAAAAAAATATATCCTACATAACAGTGCCTGATAAATGCACTCAAGTACAAGAATAATATTTAAAAAAAAAAATTCTATTAAATTTGAATATTTTATGTAATAATTAGTTACATAGTTAGTATAATACCATTGTAATGAAAAATGAAATTATTTCTAAAAAAAAAAAGAATATGATAAAAAAATAGATGTTAATATAAATAAATTTTGAAAGTAAAAATGAAAATCGTAATAAATATCAAGCATAATTTTTTAATATAAATTATGGGCTTTGTAGAGTTCGACGTGCTGGAAAAGAAAAATGATTTATGATAAATACAAAACCACATCATTATCTTCCAGAGTCTCATAGAAGAAATTTCATTTAATCTTCGCGTGATGAATCTTCATTGAAGTTATAGTTAACAAGATTTACTAGTTATTTTCAGACGTTTTTGGAATTCTGAACAAAAGTTTTTTCATCATCAGATTACCTTTTCTCGTTCTTCTTCTGATAGATGAGACGGATTGCGCCCCTCTATATCAAGGTCATCAAAGTTTTGCATACTTTCAGCTCTTTCAAACTATTTCTCCAATTATATATCGACCATTAATTGAAATCAATCTGTAATTACAAATGTTTATAAAAATATGTTTGCTAAAAAATGCACAATTTTCGACAAATTGTTCTTCTTTAAAACGCTTCAATAGAACAAATATCTATTTACTTACCCTTATTATTATGTTCTTAAAATATTCATTAAAGGTCTAAACGTTTAAAAACTTTTGTTTTACATAGTATGCTTTTTTATGTACTTTTTAATAGCAACTCGACGTATTTTATAGATTTCTATTCTATTCTATTTTAGAATTTTAGTACATACTTCTCTAGATAGTTAAATCATTTTTTTATTGATCAACCAGTAGTATTAATTATATGTACATTAATATAAAAAGATTCCAGATAGTATTTCATCAGGTAGAAATCAGCAATTAAGAAAGTTAAGAATGAAAAGTATTTAACTTATCATCATATCATAAATGACCGATAGAATTATTGAGAAAAATCTATGATTTTTCTCAATGACTTACTTACCAAAAACAATAAATAATGTATAGGCAAAACTTATACCTACAATAATAATACACATATAAAATTTTCACAAGTAAACTGAATAACTGATATCACATTTTAGATTGTAAAGAATCTTTTGAATTATCAATTCATTTATAGAATCAATGTAATTTTATTCTGCATCAATACTGATGAAGAAATGAAACAAATCAAATATTTGAATCATATAAAAAAAAATATGATATTGAAAATAAAATAAGTATAAATAGTGAATTTATATTGAATAGTTACTAAAATAATGAGTGAAATAAGGAAAAGAAATCAAATGGTCAAAAATAAACTATGTTCTTAAAGAGGTTAAAGTAATTTTTAACTTAAAAATTATGAAAATTTATATGTGATCATGAATCGTTACATATAAATAATGATTAAATTATTTGTTTAATTGTCACACGTCGAAGACTAGAATATTCCCGACAAATTGTCGATCATACGGATTATCAAACACAACCATAGCGAAACAGAAGATGCCGGAGTAAATCCGATAACGTGCCATAAGTCTACAGCTCATCGAAACAAATAACAATTAATTTATATAATACAATGACTTTTATTACTTACCAACTCCTGATGTAATAATTAGAATCAGAAATTTGACTGCTTAATTTACTTTTTTATAAATCACTAGCAATTTTTCATGCTAATTGATCTTATTGCAACCATTTTGATTGTAGTCTTGTGAAAACAGTGAGCTCACGCCATCTATGAACAAGATGCTCCTACTATGATGAACGCACTTTCAATTTTGTTACCGACATTAGATAATTATTTTTCTGTTTGACCGTTATAGTGTTTTCCCGCTCTTTTGAGTTTATTGCGTCTCATTTATTGCGTCGATGTTTTGATCAAAAGTAGATGACATGAAATAGATCAGTATTAAGTTTTAATTAATTTGTAATTGTTTAATTAATATGAACCATATATTGAAGAGTAGTGTAATAACGTATGTAAAGTACGGCGTATTTAACTCTAACTGTCAGTATATGTCACGAACATTGCCGATTCGGCTAATTGATTAATGATTATTTCCATAATTGACTCTTAATTACAAACCATGATCATTCTATCATTGCAATTTTTTGGTATCAAAAGAAAAAAAAACTAACCTTTGGTGAGTTTTTTATTACTTTCTTCATATACATATTCATTTAGGCACTCTTATAAAGTAATATAAATTACATTGCCATGATTGTGCCAATTTTATTTTTTACGTCTTAATTAATATAAATAATAGATAATTTATTGTTAGCCATTTAGAAAAAGATTATTTTTTTTTTAAACAAAACGGAATTCTGAAAGCAAACGAGCAATTACGTTTATAGATGTTTTGCTGAATTTTACACATTCTTTTCAAGTGCATCAAAGATGTTGAAAGGTGATGGTGGTCGAAGTAGTGGGGAGGACATCATCAGGTTGTTGGTCACTCAGTTCATCGAGGCTTTCGTATCAAGACCGAGACCTTGAACTAGCAAACACTTTAAAGGCATAAAGGGATCTGGTAGATAAGTGTATATACTGTGGTATGGAATAATAATAATAGTATATAATAATATCGTTTGAATTGTGTTGTCATCATGTGTCAATGGTTACTATGGTGGTTGACAATTATCCTGCTTGTGGTACCAAGTCAACACTGGTTCATGTCCAACCTGTGGCCTACCTTTGAACAGCCACCCAAGTGGAATTCACTACAAAGTCCTTTGGAACCAAGGGGTGAATAAACAATTAACTCTTGTTTGTCAAAAAGATTATTTATTTTCATTCGCATTACATTTCATACTTGAGTATAGTTTTTTATTAGTATATATTCGTTGTTTTATGTTCATTTAATTTAAAATTCAAGCATATGAAGAGCTTCTTTTTAGCTATTTAATTAAATAAATGGGGAAAATTGTTTATATATGCATACATCCATTAATTTATGCAATAATTACCATTTTCTTGAAATAAGGCCTACTATTATCTCGGTATCAAACAAGAGCTTAACAAAAGTGGTGAAACTACCTCAATTATTCTAGAGACTAAAGGTAGATAGAGGAAATTAACACGTTTAAACTTGCGAAAATTTGTTGCAAAGAATTAAATATTCAGGCATATTTAATTAATTCAATTACTCCTGTCTCGTTACAACTTTTGTTTGAAGGTGAAGTTTTTAAAATTGACTTAAGAGGAATAGCAGCATAAAACAATTACTCTGGATCAATAAGAGATGATGCATCATGAATATTTTTAGTTACAGTTTTTACATCAAATTAAATATTTGCTTGATGTCTTAATTATTTTAACGAAGACTATAATATAAAATAGTTGGGAAAAATTTATTACAATTAAATTGTGTAACATAAATTTAGTACTAATTATTCTTCTTAACAAAAGAGTTCTGGAATGAGAGTTGATCACCAAAGTAGCCTCAATTTTAAATGTTCGGATGTTTATGGTGACAAACAAGCTGTGAATATAAATATTCTTCTTTTTTTTATGTTATTTATATTCCCCATTCTTCCATAATGCCGAAATATGCGTTTGCGATTGGAATCTCGTAGCGAATATTCATGATAAATATACAACCACTCAATATCCGAAGCACGAATCTCAAACGTGGCGCATACCATCAAACATTATTCCACTTTTTATTTTTTGAAAAATTTTTTTATATTTATGACAATAAATTTCGTGCCAACTTACAGTGGTTTTGATATCCAATATGCGTAATAAATATCCAATATGCCTTCTAATTTACTGTGAATTGTTTATATGTCGAACAAGAAGTCATTACCTAGGTTATTATAAAAAATGATTTAATAGAGTTATGAAACATATAGACATACATAAAGCTATGGTAATTTTGTCTGAACCTCTTAGTATAATAAGTCAATAAAATTGGAGTTATAGCTTTAAATTTTCTTTATGTATAAAAATTTAATAAAAGAGGAGGTGATTTTATCTTTGTTTAAATATCAATAGAATTACAAATTTATGAATTTCCATTTCATATATTTTGTGTTTTATTTGAACGATTCGGATTCGATTAATTCAATTCTCGTGTTAGGTAACTTGTCGCCGTTTGTGAATCTAAATTAAGTTAAACTTTATTTTAATATTATTTTTCTGTTCTTCTTTCCTTTACTGTTGTTTTTATCAATTTTTTTTTTTTTAGATTTTTTCTTTTGCTTTTCTTGTAAAGCATCGAAACAAGCGAAAATTAAATTTTCGTCCCATAAAGGAAATTGCATTCAGCTCTATAGTATCTCTTGTGGTTTACTAGCACGCAAAACTCTGGAGATTCACTAAAATGCCATATACAGGAGGTGTGTAGTACAAAGGGAGACGAGTGACGGAATTTATAAATTATCAATTGGAAAAGATTTATTCACAGTCGAGTTTCGCCTCGTGTGTGCTTATTTTGCAATAAATTTATTGTACTATTTATTCGTGATATGTTAGTATTGGCGATTTGTTTACCCACTTTAGGATTCAATCATTGAATGTGAGGAATAATCACGTCTCTTGTGTGCAAATGAACTTTTTCATATACCCTTTTTATTTATTGCTGGCATATTTTTTTTATTAGAAAATAACAAAGGTTCATAAACAATAAACCTTTTATAAATACGAAAATATATCGAATTATTGATTCAGTTCTAGACCTAGGGGGTTCATAATTTTATGATAAAATATCTATCATAAATAATGTAGAAAATTCTATGCTTCTATATGTAATTATAATAGTATTTATTTTCGAATATCAGTTTATTCTTCATAATGAAATCTTCACTCTTGTAAAAACCAATGAAAATTTCAATGTTCTTTATTTTTTTTCCAGAAAAATTGAACTAAAAAAGGTTCTGGATGAGTTGAATGACATTCTGTCATTTACTTATTATTCAAATGGTCCAATCGAATTACGTCATTCATATTGCAATAAAAATAGGAGAAAATATTTATATCAAAATAATTCTCAAAGTAATTTATTACAAATGTAATAAATAATTCTTTTAGTATAAGATAAACAAAGTGTGGTGTGAATATTAAATAATCATGGATTAATGGTTTCATTAAATAACTCAATAAATGAGGATAACTAACAAATTTTCTTTATTGACCTAAGGTAGTTTCAAATAGAATCAATTTAGCTGATTTATTGTTATAATTACAAATAAATATTAGATTGGCTTCAATTTCAAGCTTAAATATCGTATTGATTAACAATAATTTAGAACTTATTTAGTTATATTGAAATATAAAAGTTATTTATGTAATCCATACAGTTGATTGAAATTCTAGTAAAACTGATAAGTTTAAATGAAATGAATTTTATGCTTTTAGAAAAATAATTTCCATCCACTTCATAAATAATAATAAATTTAATTAATTTAAGCTGAAATATTGATGAAATTTTATTAATTTGATAGATAGTAGGGAAAAGTAAACATATATGTGATTATTTTTGATTGATTAAAATTTAAGTAATACTAATGAAGTACCGGAATAAAATTTAATGTATATTTTTAATTAACGAGAGAAAAAAAAAAATCTTTAAAAAAGTGTAGAGTTATTAAATGAAATACCGTTGTATAAAAATTGCAGTGCTGAATTTTTTTCCTGTTCCTGTGGAGGAGGAATGTCTATCCGAGGATCAACGTCGCCGGGGAATATGTATGAATACATACGAGTGTCGAATTCAACAAGGAAAATCTCACGGTCCATGTGCTCTCGGATTCGGTGTTTGCTGTGTCTGTGAGTAAAAAAGAATATTTTTCTTTGTTTCTATCATGCCATTTTTTTCTTTACGTATATTTTTTTTACGTGAAAATGACAGCTGTTAATTCTACAGACATATGATTTTGTTTCTTTTTTTTCCCCTCTTTCGTGAATAACTCAATCGTAATTTGAGTTCATTAAAATTTCATACTATCTTTTTTATTCACATTAATTTGTCTATACAAAGCAAATTTATCTTTTATTTCAAAGCTATTCTATTTATTACACAAATGAATGTTATACAACTTCATACCATTCTTCAAACAATAGATTATTTATTTTTTTTTTTAATAAAAAGTTTTTTTTTATTAATAAAAAAAATTTTAATCATAAAAAATATGTTTGGATCTTGGAAAAATATTTTATAAAATTTATATCAAACTTTTATTAAATAATAAATATGTATTAAATGTTAAGAAAACATCTCAAAATATTTTAAAGTGATGTTTTTGCTGTTATGTAAAATTCACAGTTGATGTAGTAAAACCGGATCTCAGGTACAGTTATGTGATTACTGAAGGTTTGTGCATGGACTACATATGTATAATAGATTACAAAGGCAAAGAAATAATTTTTTGTCATTCCACTCAGTACACTCTTTATTTAATTAAAAACATGCAGTTCTTACTTTACAGTTAAATTAATTAAACTTTCTTAATAATAAATGAAGAAAAAAAAAAATATTTATAAATTATTGAACAAGCTGACAAAGTATTATTGTTTAATTAAATACTTGAAAAATTCTTCCAACTGCAGTAATCGACTTGAATAATGAAAAAAGCTTTATAAACAGAAACAACTGCAAAGTTTTCTTTGTGTAGAATTAAAAATACTCTAAAAAGAGTATTTTTCAAATACTACCACTAAAATTACTCTTTCCTCTGATAGAATTCTATAAAAGTTAAAATAAATGATAAAACTTCATTATATATTTAAAAATAATGAGTCTTATTATTTATAAAAAAATCTCAAGTGCTTATACACCTTGATGTTTACGGTTGTCGATGGTCGCATACCTTTCTCTCTTATACCGTTGAAGTTCATGACCAGTTTTCTTTAGCTTCCAAGAGAGTACGATGGTGTAGATTGTAAGCAATTCTTCTGTTGTTGATCTCAAATCTCATGACATTGAGTCTAGGATGATAACACTTGTAATATTTACTTTGCGTCACGAGGGAAATTTAACGTCAAATCACTCGGCTTCAAGGGCCCAATTTGATCTCTCCACCTTTCTTCTCAACTCTCTGCTTCCTTTACTTTTCATGCAAAGAGAAGACTAGAATCGAGATTCATCAATTTTTCAAGGCTAGTTTTGTTGCTTGGTACCGTGGGCAAATATTCTCTCTGCGCACCCGAGAAATTATAAACGAAAGAGTAGATGAGAGGAAGGTGAATCGTGAATGGAGGAACAAAAATTTAAAAAAAAAAAAAAAAACGTTTAACCATTGGGGAACGACTTTCAAATGCATGAGTACCTTACTTGCAGCTCTGTGATCTGTGAATTGCATGCTTAAGGCATCATTTTTCTTCCCTTTTACTACTTGACGTTATACTGTGGCCAATTAAGAATCCAAAGGCAACTTACAATAGACGAGAATTTATCAATCATTCAGTAGTGGGAGCTTTTTTCGGAGTTAAAAAATGATGATGAAGACGTAGAGGAATTATTAAATTTTTTTTTTTCTTTTTTAGGAAATCGATACTCTATTATAGTACATTAAATTACATATGCATGGAAAAAGTTGAGTTATAATGTGACTTTATTCAGAGATAAATTACATTTTTATAGTTCTTGACATTATTAAATATTATAATATTTTAGTAATATCAAAAAAATATATTTATTGATTATTCAAATTGAAATTCCGCCCAAATTCAAATTAAACTTTATCTCATGATTTTTGTACGATTTTTCAAAAATTTTATTTGAAAAAATACGTTCAAAAGTTTAATTCAAAATTATTGCAAAACGTTAGTAGAGTATTGGTAAAAATACATTACTATTTGACGTTAATGTGAATTTACACACTGAATTTTCTTTAAATTCATTATTAAAACCTGTTAAAATAACTTGAAAGAATTGCTGGGGTAATTATATTATTTGGCTTGTATGTTCAAAAACAAAAACTAAAAAAAAACTTCTCTTATAACTAATTTTTTTTCTTTTTTCTTTTAATATTCTATTATCACTTTAGAATCTTAAATCGAGTTAAATAAGACTTTTTCATGAAAAATTCAATATTAAGTTACTGCAAGTTGCGGCAGTGAAGTATTCAATAACTTGACCTACGTGACAAGTCCTGGATTCCCAGATCTCATCGATCAGCCCATGAATTGTTCAGTGGTCATCAGAAAAACCGGATCGCAAGTTAGCCAATTAAGGATTGACTTCGTTCACTTTAATATCGTAAGATTAAGCTATCTTTTATCTTCTTTTACTCTTAATGTTTTTTTAGTGATCAATTTGTTGTGATTGGTTTAAAAAATTTACTGGACATGATTACATTTTAGGGTCAACCGAACCGAAGTACTGGAATTTGTGATGAAGATGTCATGGAAATTACTAGTGACGATAGAATTTTCCAAATTTGTGGATGGAATAGTGGCCAACACAGTAAGTATCCTAATCACTTTTAATTTGACCCAATTCATCTGGATTAAATTGGATTTTCAAGATTCCTTAAGTTTTCTTCAGAGAAATGTGCTAACTCTAAATTTATTCGGTAGCATGTCATTAAAATGAAACTTTTTAACTATTTAAGAATAGGGACTCTCCATTTTTTCATTACTTTAAAATTTATAATTTTACATTAAATATTGTATCTTTTGCAATATTTAACGTAAAACAAACTTTGGAAAACTTTTAATGACTACTATAAATTAAAATGGTATATTACAGTTTTATTTTTTATTATCTATCTATTGATTATATTTGAAATGTTGAAATCAGTAGAAATTGGGTTTGATCTTTAGAAAGGTGGTAATCTATTTTGAATTAATATTAGAATAAAAGATTTCTTTATTACTTTATAATATTCTTATTCACAAAAGTGTGCTTGCAAAAAATTTAAAACTCTTTTACCAATTCACCATTCTTCTTGGATCTTGTTATTGGTTATCAACTTGGAAGGTGTTTAAACTAAATCAGATCCCATAGTATAAAATTGTTGTAATAATCTATGGAAGAATCATCATAAAAGTTTGAAATAGCCCAAGTATTCTCTGACAAATGTAATCATTTTTCTTTATTCATATTCATTGCTTCAATAAAGATAAGTTGAAGAATAAAACTGCAACCTATATCAATGTCATTTATATACATCTTTCCATAAAACTATGCAAATGTAATAGTAAAGTATGTATTATCTGTATATATTATCACAAATAATACAAAAGATGATACTGTTGGCGATTCCAAGTCAATTTAAGTAGTATAAAATACTCTACAACAATTCTTTTAATATAGCTTAAGGATGAGTGTTCAAAGTAAGTGGAAAACTTTTTGTTCAAGTTTATGTGGATGTTACGGAGGGACCAGTGAAGTTGGATTTTATTCTACCAAGTAATCTACAATCAAGAATGTGGGAAATGTCGGTAATACAGCTACCATTTGAACAACGAGCACCCGCAGGATGTCTTCAGTACTTTGATGCTCCTCGAGGCACTTTGAAGACATTAAATTACTTACCAAACGGTAGATATTTTGCCAACCAGGATTACCTTCTATGTGTTCGTCAGGAAAAGGGGATGTGTAGTATTGCATATTCAGCATGCAGCAATAATTCATTTCGGATTGGTCCCCCGAGATTTAGACAGAGTAATCAAACGTCACAGGTTGAAGGCTCTGGAGCTAGTTCGGATGATCTTCCACCAATTCGACGGTGTGTCGATCGTGTACTCATCCCATGTGACTTTGAAGAATTTATTACGGTATAGATTGATTTTAATCAATCAGATATGTTATTCTCTTCTGTTTCACTTTTCTCTTTCGGTTGCTTTTTCTTTCTCCCTCTGATAGGCTGTTGAAACTTTTCCTCAAGAAGCTCTACAGCACTTATAAATAATTCAACGAACGGATCTTCAGGCAAAGTTTATAACAATTACGGATGCTTGCAGTGAAAGTCATGACCAAGTTTGTGGCATGCAAATCAGCAAAAATCCTTTCGCTGTTTTGTCTTTGGAACATACTGGAGATGTTGATCTTGTGATTTATCGCAACTAGAATGACATTTAAACTTTATAGACAAACGTTTTAACTATTTTTCAGAGTTTTATTCCTCTTTTCTATTGCTTTAAAAGTATGGGTTTATTTCAGAATTTTTTTTCTTTTGTGTTTTAGTTATTTTGTTATTGGAAAATGTTCAATAATGTTTATTCCTTGGTCTAAGGTAATTTTATATATTTTTCAAGATATAATTTACATATTTTTACATAGTCATCTTTGTTAGTAAGTTTTTTAACTTCATTTACCAACACCAAATTAGCTTATAAATGTTTGTTATCTTCCTTTATCATAGTATTTTATCGTAAAGTAAAAAGAATTATTGTCATTACATCAAAAATAGAATAAATTTATCTGATATTCTGATAATTATCATTGTGTTGATGAACTACATTTTAAAGCTTCTAAGAAATCAAATGATTGTTTAATCAATATTGTTATAGCTCTAGTAGATTATTATTATTATTTTATTATAAAAACAACTTTGCCTATTTAGTACATTTTTTGAAGTAATTTATAATTAATAAATAAATTGAATGTAATCGTAGTTCAATTCAACTTTATCTACGTCAAAGTTTTCATTTAAATAAGTACTTAATTGAATTAACTGTTCTAATTTCAAATTAATTTCAGACACTTTTTTATTATGTACATAATTTAATTAATTAAAGTAATATTTGAACTATTGGACGTTTTTTGTACAACTTTTATCCAATATTCGAGCATTTAAAAAAAAAAAAAAATTACGTCCAATTAACTGTTTTATTTAATATCACCATGATTATTTGCATTTATGAAAGTATTGTTTTTAAATATTCTGATGCAATCTCGTTATCACAATTCTCTTTTCCTCAATTCACTGCATATTCAGAAGCTTAATTTTTGTAAAATATTCTGAAAAATTTTGTTATAACCTGGAATCATGAAATAATAGTCTTTTGACAAAAAATAGCCTGCTATCTCTCTATTTAGACTATTTGTATTCGTTTAAATTCATTGTTTGTTTATTGAATATATTTCTTTCTTCATAGTTTTTGTATTTTTTTTCTTTTAGTCTATCATTTTTCTTTATTTTCAGCCTTGCTTTACTTTCTTAAAACTCAAGTTGAACGTAGTTAATGAATAATCAATAAAACATTATACATTTTAGCCTGGAAACGATGGTACTGGAATCTGCGATATGGAGCACTGCGGAAGTTCACTATGTGGTCCAAGTGAATTTGATGCGGATGGTAATTGTCGGGTCGAAACATCAGCAACTCCCTTTCATATAAGGGTAGAATTTGGTATGCCAGGAGGGGATCAGAATTACACATCGCCTGAGGATATGGTTGGCATGTGTTTGAACTATGAACAACTACCATGCGTCCCCTAACTCAAATTATCATACTTAACTAGTCTTTTCCACGCATCACTATTTTGCTTCCTATTTTATAACGTTGTATATCCAAAGCAGTAAATTATCGTGTTATAGTATTCAGACACTCCCCCATCATATTTTATTTTATTTATTTTAATTATTCACATTTTCGCCCTCTATTTGTTTGAATATAAGTCACTATCAACGATATCCTAGTACATAATTTTCGTTAATAGGAATTGTTTGAGCTTTTTCATTATACACTCACTGAATATTAAGTTACTCTTACTGATTAAGTTTATTAAAACGAAAATTATGGAAAAGTTTTTACTTACTTTAGTTCAAATATTTGCTTGATTATAAACAGTAGTTGAATGTTTATTTATTTTTATTTATTAATAATAATCAACATTAAATATTTAGATGAAAAATTTATAACAAAAAGTTTAAACAATTTATTTGTATATATTTATAATTATTAATTAATCATTTGTGAAGATAAAATATAAATATGTGATACTTGATGCACTGTAAATAATGTAAAGTGAAATGAAAATGATTATTTATGATAATAAAATAAAATGTTGGTGGATAAAAAATAATAGAAGTTTTCATTCAAAGAATCAAATAATTTTATTTACAAACCAGCTACTTCGTCGTAATTTTAGCGCTTGGCTCGCAGTACAATAATATATAATTCGCATTTATCTCTGTATTTTTTTGCATTTTTTTCATATTTACTTATTTATTATTATTATTATTATTTTTTAATATCTGTGAAAATTAGCAACGATTTATTTGATAACCATTCTTTTTCGTTTCTTGTTTTCTTTTATTCTTTACATTGTATATTTTTTTTTTTTGTTTAATATATTTATTAAATCATTTTTTAATCTCATAAAACTTCTTTTTTCTTTAATTTAACGAGAGATTTATCGTTTTTATTTATCACTTGACTCAAAATGTCAAGTATTTTCTCGATTAAAATTATAGTGATATATTCACACGTTTGCATGTTTGTGCAGTTTAACTTCAACATGATGCAAAAATGAAATGTTCATAAAGTCAAATTACTTTTTAAAATAATCATTTACAGGTTTGTTAAACATACCAATAATTTACTACTTGATTTAAATGCTTTTATAATTTGTATGATTATATTGTTTTATTTCATTAATTAATTCTAAAAACTATTTGACTTTATTAACATATTTTTTGCATCTGGAGCACTTGAATTATTTTCATAAAATCTTCAATTACCATTGAAATTCGTGTGATATCAACGATACAATCATTTAAACAGCAACCTCGAAGTAATTCATTGAATAATTAATTAAATAACTGGCAAATGGTAATTGTTAACGATCGAGCAGGAATTTTCCGGATGACGAAATATCGTCAGTAAGAAAATGATCACTATTTTTTGTTTATCATTTATTTGTTCAAAAAATGATCTTTTTACAGTAGCCCAGTCAAAAAGACAATATAACTTACTGAATTTATGATACAAAAAATAATACTACAATGCGAGATTAGTTTATATTTTACAAGCTTTTTTTTGTAGAGAATTAAATTTTCTGCAAAAATTACTTTTACGATTTCGCCTCTAAAGGTTTTCATTTATGAAAAATTTCGAGATAAAATTATTATTATTTCCAGTAGCTTTGCAATACTTGGAGGCTTTTGTTAATTTGTAAATAATTTATTTATATTAATTTAATTCGATAGACATACGACCATTTCAGACTTGAACTTTAAGCCATTCATAATACTACTTTTTCCAAGAAATCTATGGAATAAATGGAGTCACATAAGAAGTTTAATACCCAACGAAAATTATTTACAACATTTTTCTCTGTCACGTAATGCAAAGTCTTAGATTGACTGGACTATTTTGTTTATTAATTCATAATAATATCATCATTCTTAGTAAGTTAGCATTATAATAATCATTATTAATTTTTAAACTAACTAGAAAGTCATAATGAATTTACGTTGCGGTAAAATAGTGAATGTAAAAGGGCAGGGTTAATTATGGGCGGTGTATTATTGTGATTATGTTCAATTTCGTGATGTCAACTCGCGTGTGTCTCCTATTTTCATTTTTATTATTATTCTTATTGTTATTATTATTTTATTATTATTTTTAAAGTTTTATCCATACGAGTTAGTCTTTCGCGTGCAACACTGCGTGAGTTTAACTGCTCAACTTTCCCTTGTTCACAATATATCTTTCACAAATCACAAAAAAAAGTATGATTCGTGATTCTTAACGTCAACTTTTTTAAATTTACCAACAGTTTTTATTTCTCACCTGTCTTTTTTATATTAAATAATCGCTTAATTTTTAAATGTTCGTTCAGTGGTGCATGAGTGCATGTGTGCCCGTGGTCGATATGCATTCCTTTCATTATTATAACCATGTATTAGTATTTTTATTCAATAATTTCTTTCTTTTTATATAAATTAAATATTTTTTTTTCTCTCACTCTCGCATACGATTTATCATTTTATTCTCTCTCTCTCTCACTCACCTACATTCTTTCAAGCTTTATCTCCCCCAATTCTTAAAAATTTAATTAACGATTTTTCTTTTAACGTTACAGAAATCTCATTTTTTTTTTTTTTCATTTTTTTAATACAATGTAATAAAACAAAATCTTCTATAATATACATAAAACATACGTATCCACTTAGTAAATTAATTTATAATTTTTTTCCTTTTTTACTCGTTAAGGGCTTTTTTATGTTTTCCATCACAATCACCAGGACTGTCTGTTGAATAAAGAAAATGGTTTGAGAAGCCTATTTAATTATTAAAGATAGATTTCATAAGTCCGATTATTTAGTTATTATTATTATTAATTTTTTTTCCCCATTATTATTTAATATTTTTACTCTCACAAAACTCAAGTAAAATATTAATTTTTAGAAAAATATTCTTTTTTTCTTATTAGTTTAATGAAAATTGAGAAGTAAATTATTATTCTACGATAGTCCGTATAAGATTAATTTCACATTAATATTATTAGTTGAGATTCATTCTTTTAAATTAACTTAGTTGACATAGAAAAAAAATTCGTGTGAATTAAGCAGGCCTTCCCCTATATGACTTATCTATTAGATTTTCTGCAAAAGCTCAAGAGTCACGTTTTCCTCATTGTTCCCTTATAAACGACAATTTCCGTTTTTTCGACCCTCGACCATTTTCTTTTTTTCCCTATTCCTTCGTCTTCTATTTCTTCGTCTTTTTTCTCACTTCGTGATTCTTATGTATTCTCATTTATTCTCGGCCAAAGATCGATTGTAGCGCAGTACTCGCAAACAATCGAAAAGCTCTTCTGCACCATCAGCGAAGGAAAAAAATATTACTCGTAATATATTGACGAGTATTGGGGATGAAAAAGAGGATTGAAATGGCACTGAGTTTTTCGATTGTTTGTGACAAAAAACGTAATAAATCTTGAGATTCGAGTTTTCATCAATGGCATTTAATTCTATGTACATCACAGAAATAAACTTTTGTTTGAGTTCTATATAATATAGTTTTGTACTAATTTATTTGAAATGACCTAATTAATAGTTGATATTACTGTGTTTATATTTGAGTCCAAAATTATGCGGATACGTGAATAATTGGTTTATTTTAGTTTGTTAAAAATAAAATCATTCAACTTCTACGAAATGTTTTTATAAAATTGTAAATAATAATTTTTTTTTTTTTACCAAAAGAATAATGTCAATAATTTTCATATCACCCTTTCGACATGAATTTTTATTCTATCAAGCTTTTATTTATCCTCTGATTGTTATCATTATGCACATGAATTCATACATACATTCGCATGCCCTATATTCAAGGATAATTCTGTACTGATCATAAAAAATATTTCTAATTGAACTTAAATAATACATATAAATTACGAATTATAAATTATTTTACTATGATTTTACAAATACTAATTAATTTTATAAAAGAATAGATATATACACATATTTATGTATGATGGTATTTTTATATATCATATTCTTTCTTTACTCTCCCTTTTTTTTTTTCAAATTTTTTTGTTTCTCTTTGTTCCCCAAGTCTTTCACACAACGACAAAAGCACCAGAGAGAATCGATAAGAAAGCGCGCTTCCGAGTATGCGATTACTCGATCATTCCCGAATAATTTTGCTTTTCATTCCCTACTATTACTTTTCTTTTACAATTTTTGTTGTTTCTGTTTATTTTATTCTTCTCTTACTGACATTTTAAATTTCCAAAGAGTTCAAGAACAACCAGGAAAGGAATGGTAGTCGGAAAGATAAGGTTCTGAAAGTATAAAATATACAATAATAGTCAAAACTATACGAACTACGTCGGACAAATTCAATAATTTCTCGATAAAAGAAAGAAAATTTAAAACAATCATTTTTTGTTCATTTTTTTTTTGTTTTGCAAAATATTTTATACCTCAATAAAGGTTCATGATATTTTTATTTAGTCCTGTTATTTTTGACCAATATTGCGTTTAAATAGTTTTTTCTAGTAGTAAAACACTAACACTGGGAGAATAATTTAAATGACTGTAGAGTATAAGGGAGAGGAGGGAGGGTGGCAGAAAAAAGTTACGCCCAAATGATATGTCGATAGAAAGAAGAATAAATCGTTCGCTGGATTTTTCGAGGGCTGTGTATAGTGTTGTCGTATACTTGTGTTAGAGTATATTTTATATATATATATATATATATATATATAGTTTTTATGTGTATGTATATATATATATATATACATGTTAATGTAATACAGATTATAAACGTAGCTCGGAGCATTTCAACCACTCACTTGATACATAACTTCAAGAATGGAGGAAAATATTAACGCTACGGGTGTAAAATGTGTTGACATTCGATTTTTCAAAAAATTTCAGGCCTTTTGCGGCTTTTACTACTAAGAGGATATATTTATAGGAAAAGAGACAGGAATGATTGATGATTGGTCCCAGTAGCATTACAGTTTAGGTAATAAAGAAAGCTCGGGGGTACGAAAATAAATGGAAAAATTACCGCGTTTAGATAAAAACATTTCCCTCATTTCACTCGACAGTGTGTACTATTCAACTATATCCCCTCAAATTATTGTCGGTTTTTTTCGGCATTCCAACATGACCCTGGGTATTTCTCTAATTGAAAGAACAGTCTCAATCGAAAAAGCTCGATAAAAGCTTTGATAAATAATGTTTGTAATTTTATTGATGTACTAAATTTAATTTTAGTGCATTGATCTTTTCATTTGATGTTATTTTCTTTGGAGAAAAAAAATAACTTTTTTCTAGTGTTTTTTTTTTTATTGAAATCACGAATTTTGAATTATTAAAAAAAAAACTTGTATGTGAATAAAATATATAAATACATATTCAGAGAGATATTGGCGAAATTTTTTTTTCCTTTGTAATTTTTCTAGATTAAAATGGTTGTTTTTGTTATCACGTAATTGTTTGGTAAAAGGTATTATATTTAGTGATATCAATGTATTGTTACAATTGTGATAATTTTTTTTTTCGTCATCTGACTAATGGTAATTATGATATAGAAAAAGTAAATGTTCCTAATTCTTCTATGTATGAATAGAATACATGATAAAAAGAATTTAATGTGCTTATATGAAAATTTTTATAGATACATCCATGACCACAAGTATTATATTCTTTTTTTTTTTTTTATTCTACTTTCTAAACTATTCTTTGAAAACTAATATTGGAAACTATAGTATGCAAATTTACGTTATTATTTCAGCACATAATTTTACTCAAACGTTATCATAGACAGGAAAAAAAATTTATAAAAAACCTATAGAAATTTATAAATTTCTTTGAACGAAAGCAAAGTTTATTATTGATGAATTTAATGAATTACTAAGAGCCATTGATTATTTATTCATTAATCATTACAATAATTACAATTGGAACAAGTTTATCATCAATAGCTTTTAAAAGTAGAATTTATTTTATTTAAATAAAAAAATCAAATGACTGCATTTAATATTTAATTATTGAAGATAATGCAAAGGTTGCAAAAAAATGATGCATATCTCAGAGGCCATTTTTAGAAAGTAGGTAAACAATATAAAGTTGAAATATGTAAATAATAGCACCAGTAAGTTTGAAAATTATCTAACTAGGATCAACAAAGTTATAGAAGACTCTAAACTATGTAGAGTTTATTCAATTATTTTTTTTCTAACATGAAAAGTCTGAGTAATGATTTTTAATATGCATAAAAAACTAATCACAAGTATTTGCAGCATGATTATATATTTTATCACATACATGCTTTCTTTTTTTGTCGAGATTTCTTTCAATTAAATAAATAACTAGAATCTTCGAAGCTATTTATAAACTTCTATATGGAAAAGTTGGCAAATTAAATAGCATACTTTTATCGAACTCGAATCAATTCAGTTTTAGATGTCACGATAGTCTATAGAGAGAAAGAGTAGAAAAGTTTTTTCATTGTTATTTGTTATTTTTTTCTGCCCATCCTAGTGATCAAGATATTAAATGGAGGGGTATCTTTTGTTATCAAGACATGATGATTGTCCAAACGCGGTCGTAGAGAAAGTTTTTGATCAAAAATTACAAATGAGAGGCGCGCGTGTGAAAGAATTATGAAGATAAAAAACTTTTATGATCATTCTTTTTTCGATTGTGTCATTGTTATCATTGGTATTTTCAATATTTTACTTTTTTCATTTCTTCTGAATCACGAAATTTGAGTGAAATTTTTTTTTTATGGTGCATCAGGATATTAAGGATTAAGTGAATATACCCTCGAATGGCAAAAAGGCAGCGTGGATAGGTTTTTTTATTTTTAAATGTTTTTCAACTGTCCCCGATATGAAAAATCTCTTAATTATGTGATTGATTAATTAATTTATTACCATGGAGAATCAATCGAGGTTATAAAAGGGATTTTTTTAAATATATTTTTTGTTAACAATAGTTCATCACGGTTTCCATTTCTATTAAAACATTATCTCTAACTTCACTAGTATGTGGTCCACTCCCTTATATTACCCTACATACTCTCTAAAAGTCAATCAGTTAAAATTTCACTGACAAATCAGTAATTTACTGATGCCATTAGTTAATAGTCACTGATACACTTTGAGAGAGTATTCAATCTCTTGTCGTACACATTATTTTTTTTTTAAATTCATTTTTTTGGAAATATTTTCAGTTTTTGTCCATTTTTCTATCTATTTTACATTCTCACTCACATTCTCTCTTTCAATCAATCAAAAATTATCTGTTTTTCATATTTATTTTCACTTCTTATGTAGTCTTTATTTTTATTTATTTAGTGGTTTTTTTTTAATGTATGTTACTCACACTAATGTCTCATTACTTTTACATACCAAGATTTCATTATTAATCTCGGCTGGCGTTCTCGGCAGTGAAGAGTTGGTTTCTTCTCAATACTAGTCTAGACCACTCGACGTTTTGGTCCCGTTTGTCCTCAAATTCGAGTTCTTTTGATCCTCATCTGCAACAAAAATTCCAAATAGAGATATATTTTACATTAAAAAAAAATTCTGAGATCCACATTTTAAAAATAATTTTATTTTTTACTAAAAATGGTGTCACGTTGATGCTATAAATTAGTGAGTAAATTTGAATATGTTCGTTACACCCGGGATGACCATACTCTCAAACGATGAGTGCTGTGGTTTGTGGGCTTGTGATTAAATAATGACAGAGGAAACTTGGTCTGAAGGCTACGTTAGTACAACTTGATATGTCATTTAATTCTCCAGTGGAATTGGCAAGTTTTTCTTTAAACGTTACTTCAGCAACTTGTTATTTTTTAATGCTAATTCTGTTATAAAGTTGGAATGGCATATTTGAATAATTTATTTTATATTAGTGGTAGGAAGTAAATTTCAAAGATTCTTCAAAAGCTTTGAAATCAACAGTAATTAATTTATCAATATTTTTTCAATGGAAACTAATTATTTATTAGCAGTCAACCGAATTTTTTTATTTTTCTATCATTAATAAATAATTTTTTTACAATATAAAAGATACTTTAGAAAATAAATTTATCAATTTTGAATGAGAAACATTTTGAAAAATGAAGTCCAACAAATTTTTAGATTGATTACATTACTTATGAATGTAGACAATTTAAAAGAAACATCATATGATGAAGGAAGCAGCAAAAACGAGTCAGAGCTAGTCTTTAAGTTCAGTAGGACCCTGTTAAAAAGTACTCATTTAATACGACAAGTTCGATTAAAGTCTCAGTGAACATTTATAGGTTGAACGATATTGGAACTATAATTAAGCCTGGCTGGTGTGGTTTCATTGTACACAGCATGTCAATATTAATTGGAAAATATTCATTGGTATATTGGCAAATGGGTAAAATTTTCCTCATAACCTCATACCATGTCATCAATCTAAATTAATTAAAAAAATTGTGATAAATGTGTCTGTCCAGAAAGAAGGCTGAAAACATGTCAAATTTAATTATTCGTTAAAAGGAAGGAAAATATAAAATATTTGCTTCATTCAAAAACGAGGAAATATTGAAAATATTGAACACGCTGACAGAATTTATGTGTGAATGAAAAAAAAAAATAAAATCAAAGCTTCAAGTTTTTGATGTGTAATTTAGTTACTTTGAAAGTTTTGAGATTGATAAAAAGCCAATTATGAATCTAATAAAAAGTCTTTTAATCTGAAATTATTACCCAGACTAGAATTTTTCATCAGAAATTATATCACTTATTGAAATAAATAGTATGAAAAGACGAATTTATCTAATATATCATAACTACTGCTTTATGTGGCTTATTTTTTCATTTAAACTCATTCAAGTTGAATTGAGTTAGGAAAAAAATACCTGAGATAAATTTCAAACGTTTTTATTTATTCCAAGATATTTAATTTATGAAGAAATAATAAAAAATTCATTCCTTGGGTATCAATTAAAAGTTACTAGGATTATCCTGTGTAGCAATGGAATATGGCCATATATGGGGCCTGATTAGGTTTTCCTACACTAATATTACTACCATAGAGCTACCATATAGCAACCAATGATACAAATAATTACTAAATGGTCCTAGTCTAATTTCCTCTTCATCCTCTAGAATTAAGTGGGCCACGTTCAAGACTCTAGAATAAGACGAGTTTTAAATTGCCAATCGGAATCGATTTCTCTTAGAATATAAATAAAAATATAAACTAGCCAATTCTAAAGACTTATTTTTTTGACAAACATTTTTTTTTTATAATCTAAAGAACTTATCAAAATAAATGAGGCAAGATGGAATTTTTACAATCTCCTGAGTGACGGTAATGAAGTTCATTGATCCTCCTCTCCTATCAAAGCATCATATTTATTTGGTGATCAAAGAATCTTCATTATCAATTCAGAGGATATTGCATCTTTATATTTCAAAAATTCCATCTTATCATAATTAAAATATTTTCCTTTTCATTCCAGCCATAAGCAAATCAATTTCCCTAACAGGAACTCTTGGCAGGGACAAGTTGCTTGATGTGTACCACTGTTCAAATCGTATCTGTGTTAATTTTTCTGAAGGTTCCATTCTATACGAATTCTTTAGACATATTCAAAAGAATTGATTGATAAAAAATTAGCAGAGATACGTTCCTTCCAAGTGTTTAGATACGAATGAAACAACTTGACTGACAATGATTATAAGTTAATTACCTTTAATGGCGAATGGATCCTTGGGATGATTGGTCTTAATGGCATTCATCCTCCTGTTTTGAGGGGTAGCTCCTCCTCCACCAGTTGTCGGAGGTAGAAGGGCGACTTGCTGGCCACAAGCAGTGGTGCCGACGTTTTGCCCTCCCGCACCCGGGACCTTGGTCACTCGGACCCTCGGCTGTTCAGCAGGCAAAACTCGGCGCTTCCTCTTGGGCAGCTTGGCTCGCGCCTGCGTGTGACTGTAATACATCGCAAAATTGCTGACGATCACGGGCACCGGCAGGGCGATTGTTAAGACACCAGCTAATGCGCAAAGAGCACCAACGAACATGCCTATATAGGTTTTCGGGACCATATCACCATAGCCAACGGTTGTCATGGTAACTAAGGCCCACCAAAGTCCTAGTGGTATACTCTTGAAGTCATTCTTTGGATTGTCCTGTATCCTCTCGGCATAATAGACTAAGCTGGCGAATATCACAATACCGAGTACCAAGAAAAATACCAAAAGCGTGAGTTCTTTAGCCGAAGCACGAAATGTCTGAATAAGGATCTTGAGGCCGGACGAGTGGCGTGTAAGTTTGAAGAGTCTCATTATACGTATGATGCTGAAGAATTCAAGGATGTCGGCATTCTCAAGATGTGAAGCAAATTTTTGTAGAACCAAGTCGATGTAAAAGCTCATCGTGGCTATCATGTCTATTAAATTCACTGACGATTTGATGAACGCACAGAGGTTAGGACTCGCCGTCATACGGATTAGGAACTCAAATGTGAACCATGCATTACATATGCACTCGATGTAGAAGAAAGCTACGTGAGCATTTGTGTCTGTTTTATCCAAAACAAATTTCGTTACATTTCCACTTCTCACTGTGCGATTTGTTATCACTGGTACTCGCATGTCAGGATGCGTCTTCAGGCAGAAAGACAGGATGGAGATGCAGATGAAAGAGACGGATATCAAGCCGACTATCTACGGGATAAATATTATATTAGTTTTCTTCATAAAATCAATTCTTAAATTAAATCAACATTAATGAATTATTATTTCATTTATAGATTTTTAGTTAATTTTCAATTAATTTCCAACAGACACTGACAACATTTTTTCGTTGAATTATTAATCAATTTTAATCAATAACATATATTATTATAATCTCATTACTTAATGGATCATATTATTTTCCCTACATTGAAAATATGATAATCAATAATAATTTTATCTCTCAATATTTATTTATTAAAAGAGGATATTTTATTCTCATTTGTTTCCTTAATTGGATTATGATGGTGAAGTCGTCAAGATGACTTTATAATAATAAACTTTGACGTTTCGTATATAATGATTGACTGACCCTGCCAATGTACGTGTAGATAGAGTAGTCAATTAAGCGCAAAAGGGAGAAAATGATTAGAGAGTTGAGATAAAAGTACTAATCAACGCCTATATCATTGACTTTGACTAAATTTAGATGATTCAATTTATCTTCAATATATATGGCAGTTCATGAAGGTGACAGATATCAAATGAGTTTGCATCTTTAATGATTAAACATTGATACACAGTAACAGCCAATACTATTGTACAGAAATGTCTACTAATTTCATTAGCATGCGTGTGAAACTGATCGAGAAATTGAAAGGGGGAATATGCAGAACTAGTCATTACCGAAATTACCTAAATTATCCTCAATGTTGATGGCTAATTATATTGAAATTATTCTATGGAGAAAAGTCTTCATATTTGCTGATAATTTATTTCATAAAGTATGCATAGATAATCATTCACATATGCTTATTACGACTAAACAAATATTTAATTATCATTAGCAATTTTTTTATTTAAGCTTCCATTTTAAGTCAAACTCGCATTATTTGTCTATCATTAATTATGCAAATCATACTGATAATTACTGATATATTTTACTGTCTTAAATATAAATATTTTAATGTTATATTTATAAATATATTATACAACCATTGATAAATTTTTTTATTTAGAATATTTATGAAGCTTTTGAAAAAAAGTTTTTAACTTTTTTTCCAGAGAGAAAAGAGCTTTTTTCATCGAAGTTAATGATTCGGTTTTTGGTTAAAAAAAAGTTTTTTAATAATTCGTTTACAATCAGTTATGAGTATTAGAAGTGGGTGAAATTTTTTTCCAATAATAATAACTTAGGACAAAATACTGATCGAGAAAAAAGGTAGATAAAAAAAAAGAAAGAATTGATGTTAAAAGTATATGCGATGGAGATAGAATCAATAATTATTTCCTAACTATAGTCATTTACAGGTACATTTTTAGTACGAAATAAAAGAATTACATTATTACTTTTTTTTTTTATATTTTTATTTAAATATTAATAGTGGAAATTATCGTTTTATACAGCAATATATATATATATATATCTGTAGTCCAGTATCTATGCATAAAGTCGTTAATGTAGAAAAAACTCGCGGTCGAATAAACTGGCTCGGTAATTCGTAGACCACATGATCGAATCAACGACAAGCAAATTACACTTAGTTTTCAAACGATGTAGACTCAACATATAGCTAGTGGGCATTTGTTTGTTGTATACGTTGCGTGTTCATGTCAATAACAAATGGTTTAAAAGAAAGAAAAATTACTCGAAAATAAAATCAAATAGTAAAGAGATGAAAACTGAATAATAAAAAAAAATTTAGCGATTTAACTGTAGAGAAACTGTTATCAATTTCCACAATCATGTTCACTTTTTTTAATCTACAATTGATTACTATTTTTTTTTTGGTTCAAAATAAAGTGGAATAGAATTCAAAGTTAGACTGCTTAAAATGCTAAAAAATGAAGGCAAAAAATGTTTAATGAGTAGTTACGGGTAATTTTACTGCAATTATAAAGTTCAGAAGTTCATTGTATTATTTAAATGACTGTTAATCACTTTTTTTTTGCTTGTTACAAATAATTGTCTGTGAAGCGTAAGACATTAAATATTTCAATTTTATTTAAAGTTAAGAGTTGATTTAAATGAGTCGTAAAAAAATTCTTCTATAAGAGAGCTTTTTTCTAGATTAAAATATCTATATTAATTCTAAGAGCATAATGAAAATGAATGAATTGAGATTATTCAAAATATATTTTTGAATTTTTTTGAAGTGAATTACTGTGAAAAAATGAATTAAATACCGACCTTGGCAGCAGTAGAGGAGTAAGGTTCATCGAAAAGTGACCATATTTTTGGCTTGAGCTTTTGCCATCGTGAAAGTCTGCCCTCATAGTAATCTTCTTCAAAGCCAAACTTTACAGCTATTTCCTCATCTGTTGGCTGTTCGGTATCCAAATCTAACCTGTCCAAAACAGTCAGGGTCTCTTGGGTGTCTCTGTGCTGTAGAATTCAATGTTGAAACAAAATTAAAATCAAATTAACTAATGTATGTGCTAAATTACGTTACAAACTCGAAGGATTTTGTGTGTGATGTTCAAAACTCGCAAAATCTTTTACTGTTTTATTAAATTGGATCTTCTAAATCTACTTAGCTTTGGCTAAAATAAGTTTTTCCATTGGTTTATTCAGTAGAGTAGTGTTTCGAGTTTTTGCTGTAACTTCATTTGCTATTTCTATTTTTCTTTTTTTTTTTCTATGGATTTATTATATTAAACCTACGGACTCTAAATCATGTTTCCTTTTCAATAAAACTAATTTTTAACAAATAGAATTTCAAGTGATTTCAAAATGTTTTGGTTTTCATTTCAATTTATTTTTTGATTAAAGTTACCTTAATAGTTAAAAATGTTTACGACATTTTGAACTATATAAATAGGAAATTCATCCCAACATTGGGGTCGAATTCATTCTTTGAAAAGTAAATTTAATTTTTTACGTATACAGAAGGAATTTTCTGCATAAAAATGATTATAATAGTTTGGATAATGACGTTTAATGGTTGTAGAAAAATGAAATTCTCTTTTGAATTTAAATACGAGAATCAAAGAGGAAAAGTCAAACGAACAATGGTGCATTTTTCCACAAACAACAAACTAAAATAATTGATTTTTCTACGAAAATATGTTTAGTACATAAATTGGAAAAATAACATATACCGTAGTATTCTTATAAAAATTTTTCAATGCAGTAAATTTAATTGTCTACAGAATAAATTCTATCTCGATGTTGGAAAAATTTTTCTTTCTACTCGAAATTGCTTTAGAGAATGAAATAATGGGGTGATTTTGACTTAAAACAAAAAACTTTCTAGTGAATACATAAATTAAACATTAATTTTATTTAAATAATTTTAATTTTTAATATAATTGTAAAGCATTCAGCAAAACGAACTTCATCTATTTTACCATAAAAATTTGAAGTTATTCTTATTAAAAAGTAAACTAAATTTCTTTCCATTTATTTCTAGCTAGAATAATAGTGAGAAAAGTTTCGAAAACACATCTGGATAGATTTAAGTTCATTGTCTGCTAGAATGGCTGACTTTTAATGAGAAAATCCAATTGGCGTTTGAACATATTGCGAAAACAAAAGATTACTTTATTAACTTCTTCGATAAACTTTATAAAAAAAAAAAAGAAAGAAAACATCAACTAGAGAATAACGGGAAATAAATAAAAAAAAAAAATAATAGTTATTTGTGAAGCTTTGGGCTAAGTTAAGTTTAATCGTATTATCTGAAGAGATGTCATGAGATCCAGGACCAACACGAATTGGTTTGTCTAGCATACTACATCATGGAAACGACCTGAGTAGATTAGCTCGTTTATATAGTTGAAAAGGTCATGAGACTCAGCATTGACAACGTGCATTCATGAACAACACATTTGCATGGACGAAAAGTACCGAGTAAATACAAGTCTAACATTTGCATAACCAGTTCGAATATCAATTCAACTGGTGCAAATGCAGTGACATGTTTACAAATGATATTCTCCATTCTTGGGTAAAGAAAGACCCTGGAGAAATGGAAGGAGAAAAATCGATGTGAGAAGGTTGTCTATATATCGCATGACTTTGAATGTTTTTTTTCTTTTTAATGTCCTTTTAATTAATTTAGAAGAAACCTTGGGGAATAGAAATTATGTGATATTGTTGTTGAAAATATTAAGTAATTAACTTGCTTTGTATGCTGTTAAATTAATTATTCAAAGTTTTATTTTTTTTTTTCATTATTTCAATAGAAACTTAGTAATTTATTTGAATATCAACACAAAATAGTTAAGAAGGAAACTTTATCACTATCTGTTAAATGAATGACTTCATTTTAGTAAGCTTCGCAAGTTATTTATACAAAATATTACATATTTATTTAAATAAAATATTTGTTTACTTGAAAAAGAACATTTCACAAAATATTAATAACAAAGTACCATCAGTTTGCTGACTAAAGTTAATAAATATCAACTTTAAAAGTTATGAATTTATTACAATGTTATTTTAGAGTTGAGAACGTAATATGTCGAATAACAGAGATGATAATTTATTGGCAGGTTTCTTCGATCTTGTGATGTCTTTGTCTAATTGATAAACAGACTTGTTTACATTCAGGTAATAATTGAAGTAATGGAAGCGTATAGCTAGTGAAAGAAGTCTTTATTTGTCAGACATAAATTTAATTTACGAAGTAAAGTGTTGAAACGGCGGAATAATAAAGGAAAAATCTGGGTCGTGTATTTGGCAAATGTAAAAAAAGAATCGTAATAATTCAATTGTCGTATATCAGGTTGTTTGTTAAAGGGTAAAATGTTGGGATATCATTGATATTCTATTCGTGTAGCGTTTGCTCACTTACTGATATACTCGTACATGAAGGAATCTAACGTGAAGCTCGATCTATTTTCTTTTCAGAGTATCCAATCGATAGTTACAAGCGGCGTTAGGCGTCAGACTGAGCACATTAGAGGATATACACATGATGCTAGCTTTTGTGCACATGTAGATGGAGCTTTTTTTTTTTTTATTATTTTTGTCTCACTTTTCATAAAAAAATAAACGCCGTCATGTAGGAAATAAAAAGGTACGGCTTAGTTGGGGAGAAAAAATATTATAAAAACATTAAAAATTATTCAAGCTATTTTTAGACACAGTAATGAATATAAAGTAAGTAATGTACATACTTAGTTAAAATGAAGTAGTGAAAATCACTAAATATCCACTAATTTACAATATTAAGCGGCTCAGCTAAAACAGTGGTAGATTTATAACCTTAAGTTGGTGAATATTCACTATTTTACTACTTCATATTTTGAGAATAAATAAAGACGAGTTGAATATGATTTTAAAAGAACAAATAGTTTTTTTTAAGGTTACCGAGTTTGTAATTGAATGAATATAAAGAAAAAAAAACTTTTATGATTTTAAAGTATTGGAGGAATTTTTTATTTTTAAGCAAATGTAGAATAAAAATTTTAGGTCAAATTCGTGTAACTGTGTAAGAATGGACTCGACGATGAGACGAGAGAAAGGCAGAAAAAAGTGGCGATAGAGTAAATGCGAGAAAAGCAAATGGATATAGAAAAAAATTTTAACGTAGGAAATTGGAGCTTCAACGGGTGTATTGCTTTCTTTATCTCACTTTTTTTTAGCTCCAAAGCTTGAAAAGTAATTTCGATGATCGTGTTCCTGGCCACTAGCCAGAGGAAATACAAAGGCAAAAATGAGCATTAGCTAGACAAAATCGAAAAGGAATAAAAGTGAGTTGGAACTCTAGAGAAAATAGAAGTTAAAGGAATAAGCGTAATTAAATGAGTATTTTGAAAACAAAAAAGTGCAAAAATGAAAGAAGAGTCTTCTTAAAATGCCTCGTTAAATGAATGGAGTTAAAAATCAGAATAATTTGAAATATTTTATTCTAAAGATGTTAATTTGTAAATTAATCTTAATGTAAATCCACGAACATTTATATGTTTAGTAATTAAACACTTTAAAGTTCTACATTTAACACTAAAAATGTTTGATGACATTAAGCACTGTTTTATAATTAAACACTTTAAGGAGGTTAGGTCACTCAAGTATGTCAATAAGGTCCTCCTGAAATTTGAAGAAGATGTTTAAATTTTATTCAATTGCTCCGATTCCTCTAAAATTATTTCGGAAGCTATTTTACGATATATTGGCAATTAAAGTTGATCCTTATACATGACGATCTATAAGTAGGCATCACAATTTTAATAAAACCCGCATCATCTCCATTAGAGTCCATGTATAAGGATCAACTTTAATTGCCAATATCTCGTAAAATAGCTTCCTAAATAATTTCAAAGGAATCAGAGAAATTAAATTATAGATTAAAGATCCTTTAAAAATTTTTAGCAGCATCTCAATTACCATGCTGTAGTAACTCAATCTCCTCAAGTGTTTAGTTTCTAAACACTTGAATTTTCAGTGATATCACAGATCCAAGAATTGAATTTTATATTTCATTCTTATTGAAGAATTTTATCACCATAATTGTGTTAAAAAATGATTGGGATTCTTTTTTTTTTAGTTACGATTTGATAATAATGCAGTAAAAGAATCTTCCTAAAATAGCATGAAATGGAAGAATTGATTGTATTATCTTAAAGGTCATCTTTTTGGTCTACGGTGATTCTTCGATTAATGGTTGACTTAACATTGAAAGCTAACAGAGTAATTTTGATTTTGCCATTTTCTTAACGAGAATATTTTTTTTATGCGGTTAAAAGAGAATGAAATGGTAAAGGTGATCAAAGTATTAGAGTGTAGTCAGGTAGAATCGAAAAGGAAGTGGAAGAAATGTTTTAGTTGGTAGGAAGGAGGTGGGAGGTTGAGAGCAAGGATGAGTGGAAAGTGTAACAGCGTAGCAAGAGGGTGTGAAAATCCTTTTAAGAATTCGATCGAGGGTGAGAAACGAGGCGAAAGGGTTAAACGACTTGTGATAGACTATATAGACTTATATAGAGCATTCAAAAGCTTTCCAGTCGTCTTGGAATTTTTCACTTCTCACCCCTTAACAGCTCTAGAGGATTATCCCCTTGCGATTCCAGATGTTTCTATTGCCGTTAAGGGTTCTGCATTCGATAATTCGATCAATGATTCTCTATTATTTATAACAAACTCTCGGGATATTTATCTTGAAACGTCAGCAGTTATTCTCTACCGTCTTGGTGTATTTATCATCATTACTATTTATAATATCATAGATTTTTTATATTTAATTTTAGATTTGAGATAATTTTATCTGATTGAATTTCATTAATAATTCATTCAGTATTGATAAAATCACTTGAATTTCAGTGACCTGAAAATCACTGGATTTTTGAATTAATTTTGACTATTTTAAATGATTAATAGGATTACAAGCATATTTTGCTGTCCATTTTTTTTAATGTAAAAATCTTACTAATAATTCAAATGTTGCTTTCCTTTTTAATAAAACAAAAAAAATAATAATAAAACAATGATATCTCAAGTTTAATTATAATAAATGAATTGCAAAAATAACAAACTCAATTTATTTCGTTTCCTTTTTGTTCAACTACAAACAGATATCAAAAATTCATAAGTGAAACATTTAACGAGCATTGTTATCGGAGAATCCGCAGTAAAAACGACAAAAGCATTTGTTAAAGCCAGAAAAAAAATGTAAACTCAATTATAAATTTTACAAAGCACTTCAATTTTGCAATATTGATTTGTTAATTTTAAATTTTAAGTTGTAAAAATCATTGACTTTTTATTAATGGGTTCAATCTACTGAATACTGAGAGGAAATAAATCAAATTATTTCCTCTATGAACTTCTAAAAGAATTAAATAGTTATTAATCGTTTTTGTTCACTTCAAATGAATTTCTGTAAAGGATGTTAAATCTCATTGAAATAAAAACGAAGTTTTTTTCTTGAATTAAGTACAATGCCAGAGAAACCATAAATATTACTACTTGCTTTACTTGTGAATACCAACAAATCGAGTGATACAAATCCAAGTGTTTTTAGTAAAAGCATTTCAAATATTTGAATTGTAAAAACCTGTTTTGAAATACGATTCAAATGAATAATCTTCAGTTTAAGTGTTTTATCCTCAAAAACTATAAAACATTTTAAACGCTTTGATGGATTTAAACATTTTTTATGTTTAAATATTGCAAGAAACGTTTCAAAATGAAATATTAAGACAGATACATTTAGGAAAGTATGTATATAAATAATAAATAAAAAACAATAAATAAAGTGCTTTAATATAAAACACTATAGGGAAGTTAGCTTGCCATATAAACGGCAAAAAGTATGTTGTAGAAAATAATAAAAACATTAAATAATGATGTTCTTGGACCGAAATAAATATTATATGAAGTCCATATTTACATAAAGTAAATAAAAAAAATATATTACAAAACTTTTTGTTATTTCGATCGGTGTTTATTTCATTTTCAATAGAAATTTTGAATGAATACTTTTGTACACTAAAAAAAGAATTTATTTATAGTTAACATGTTATGTTCATAGTTAAAATTCTATATTAACTATTAATAAATATTACTTCAATTAACCATGATTTTTTTCAGTGTGTAGATATTTTTATACTGATAAACACACGCGCATACGGCGAACAAACATGGCGATAGTGACATGTTAGTTTGCGTAGAATTGTAATATTTAATTGTTGATATTATCGAAAATAATCGATCAGTAATTAGGATTTTTTTGACCATTTTTTGAATATTGACTCTACAACGTTTTAAAGTTTGATTGAAATCTTTCGAGTGGTTTGTTTTCTTATAAAAAAAAAATTAATGAAAATGTTTTCCCCATAGGCAAATATGCCACGTGTGTTGGAACATAAAATTTTGATTATTTTTTTCAATTTACCAACCACAAAAAAAAATTTCGTGAGCCAACTATCTTAAGTAGTGTTTTGCATAAAACACTTTTAGACATTTAAAAAATGACTACATGGATTTAATTAATTAAAATGTTTTAATTAAAAAAATTTGGATTTGTAGTGGGTTCATTCATGTTTGTAATTCTTTATTAAAGATGCGTAAACATAATAGTAATACACTATTTATGGCCTTATACGTCTACCCACTTTGACAGATGGCAATTTCGTGGGAATATTTAAAGAGAAGCCATGAGCAAAGTATAAAATAGTATGTAAGTCACATATATGTATATGTATATACATACATGTTTAGTGGAATATTGTTATATATAAAATGTAGTATAACCGAATAGAAAGCTTCATATAATGTCTATAGTCTACTATAGTCGTTGGAATAACTTAAGATCTTTAAATATGGAATGTGATGCTTTGAATGAGCAAGGTTAGTTAATGGGTCGGAATATTTCATACTCGGGTTGAATAACAAAACATTTAGAATAAAAGAAATAACACATTCAGGTATGTAATAGGAAATATTTCCAATCTAATAAATTCATTCATTTATCAATCCATCAGCTTTACTATCCATCTATATTCCACATTGTGCATTGGCCAGTTAAAATGAAAACTAGAGAAAACTGTAATACGTTGTGGTGAAGTCATGAAATATCAATCCTTGCTCTAATGACATCTCGTTGCTCGTTATCTACATTATTAATAATCTCGTGGTATTGATATGAAATAGGGTTAATTGAATATTAATAAATTAAAAATATTTTAAATAAAATAAAAACCTAAATATTAAGAACTGAAAATTAATTAATGTAAAAAGGGTGTCAAAGATTATGTTTATTAATTTTAATTAAAATTGGGGACGAAATATTATTTATTAATAATGAACTGATTTAGAAGACTGATAAATATGCTTTCGATCATTAGTGATTTTAAAAAAATTAAAAAATAAAAAAAAAATAGTGAGGGATTAGTATTGAAAAACTTGACTTAAGGTATTGATTTTTCATGAAAAATGGTCTCTAAGCGGTTAATTAGTCTAATAACTGATTCTAGACTAAATGATTTGACCAACTTTCCGTACGAAACAATTCCCTATCAAGTAATTAAAAAATTCCGTCCGAGAAAAATCTCCATGCTGCTTCAATTAAAGCCACAACGAATCTAACGACTCTACTTGTCTCGATGTGGGGCTCATCGGCGAAGCGATTGATGCTGTAAATGTTGTAGTCGACAGTACAAGAACAATCAGGACAATTGGAGCAGCGTTAACTGGTGGGATTGAAAGGGTTGAGGATAGAGAGTGAGAGAGCAAACGGTGGCTGGGATGTGGGGCTATGTCGTTACTAATGGATGACTAAACAGTCAGAAATCGATTGGAAAGGTCGTCGTAGCCGTTTGAGGGATGTTGGAGACACTTGAGAATTATACTATACCTGAGTATATGTCATCCAGCAGCATGGTTCGACCTGGTTAGAGTCAAGACCCCAAAAGTCCAGTTCTTGTTCAAAAAGTGGTCCACACACGTCCGTTGGGTAATGTAACTTGCCTGTACGATAATAATTTAACACTTGGGCAAATACTCCTGGATGTCGGTCGAAAAAGTATTCGTTGAGAATCGGATCATAATTGCCTAGTGCTTCAGTCAGCCTTGACAGTCGTGTTGCTGGTATTTTTCTTAACGTTGCTTTATAAGTCTCATGTCTTATTCCACCGACATTTAAAATCACTCGGTTTTCTGTATCTGAATTTATTAGACTCATTTTTATCTTTTTTTAAATTATTTAATTTACAATTTTTAAATTTCTTTTCTTCGTTTTTCAACTCTTTTTTTTACAACTGTCGTTATTTTCCAATGTTGTTTCCGTCTTCGGTAACCCTTCTGGTTAATCGGCTCACTGCTACCGCTGACAAACACTCGCTGCTGCTGTTCCACACGGCGTCACCTGTGATAAACAGGAATTATGATGCGTGATTGATATGCTATTATTATTGATTAATCTATGTTTATGCTATGAGCTTTGTTCCTCTACTCATCTATTTAATTTACCCTTTTTATGTTAAAATTGTTTTACACGTGTTTGAACTTTATTAGCAATAATTTATGTATTTTGTTAATTGATTAAAAAACATGATCGTTCAAAAAGAAAACAAAAAAATAGGTATAATATCTACATTTAGAATAATATTTCCATTTTAATAACATGCATCGAATAAAATTTAAAAAAAATTTTAATTGATTTTTAAGATAAAGGGAGTAAATCAACTAGAAAGAGCTTTCGTATTTCCTTTAGTATTTTTGTATTATAAATAAAATGAATAAAGAAAAATGAAGATATTTTTATTGGTGAAAATATGCTCGGTCATAATCAACTAATAAAAAATATTGGAAAGAGATTTTTCTGCGATAAAAGCTTAGATTAATATTGCATTTTATTTATTTAATTTTTATTATTTTTTTTTTGAGAATCTATGAAGATGAACAATGTTAATAATATTATTATAAACTATTGAAAATATTTATATTAATATTTAACCCAGCCAAAAAAAATGGTGTTTAAAATATTTTTTAAATTCTTACTTTGACATGAAAGCTACTGAAAAATGTGTGTAAATATATGCACATAATGGCAGGGATGAAATAATAAAACAAAAGTAAAGAGGAGGTAAAAAAGGAAGAAAAGATGAAAGTAAAAATGTTGTACAGTAAAACAATTTTTTTTTTGTTTTAGTTCAATAAAAAATTGTAAATGGTAGTTTCAAGGCTGAGGATTATGTTTTACGACATGACTAACACCCAACGAGGATATTTTATTACAAGTTTCATTTAATATTGTACTTCTTGTACCCCAATATGAAAAAAGATGATGAAAGAATCGAAAGTAGTAGTAGGAACAGGAACACACAAATAGCCGTAATTTTTTTTTATTAACGCAATTTCTTGAGATTAAGGTCACGACTTGGGAATAAATATTATATAGAAGGATCAGCAGCAGGAGTAAATGCAAGGGCGGAAGAGACAAGAGGTGAAAGACGATGAAGACATCCCCTGCAGTTCTCTTCTCTTAGCGTCAAAGAATATAGTGCTAGAGTAAAGGAGTAAGATAAGTCGAGATCGCAATCCAACTCAACTAGAAGAGAACATCATCTGTTGAATAGTATACAGCGGTTCAAGTCTGTTTTGTGAGTTGGATATAAATGAAAAAACTTATTCCAATTGGACTTTGTTACTTTCAGGTAGGGCAATATTGCGTTTTCTAGGGATATTAACTAATAATACAAATAATGACTACTATGAAAATCATTATTTTTATGATTATTGAATTTCATCTTCAAGTAATATTCTTACAAACTTTAATAAAAAACTTTTTCTCCTGTTCTTTTATTTACAAAAAAATGTGTTACATAACTTTAATGATCATGCTTTATATTAAAACATCAATTTTAATCTCATCTTTGTCTCTGATACACTTTTTTACAGTCAACTTATTTTATTTTATAATTCAATAAATATTGAAAATTTTTAAAATAATTGTTTATTTTTTTTTAGTATATTCTTCTTGCATTATAATTACTTTCTTTTTATCAAAATAAAAAGGATGTGTAAAGTCAAGTACATGTGTAATTAGAATTATTATTATTGACTCTGCATTAAATGAATATTTACGATTACAGTAGTTTTGAACAGAAAATATTATCAGGTTGTATCTATTTAATGTACTTAAATGATCAATTAAAGTAATTGTTTTATTTTTATCAAGTAACTCTAGTAGATTAAATTGCTCATTTGATAATAATATTTCTTTCTAATGAATAAATGTGTTCTCTTGTAATTTTTTATTGACATTTTATAACGCAAGAAAATTAAAAAAACTATAAATGCTTTAAAAGATAATACTTGGTGCATTTCTGTATAGAAGACTCTTGAAGATATATCCAGTGGGATTATTTTTTCTCATTTTATAAGAGCTAGCAGAATATAAGAGTGAGTGAGGATGAATAAGACGAAAGATGGACTTAGCTGATTTATTTTAGTGATGAATTAGCATTTTTTTTCTTCATCAACACTTGAAAAATTGCTTTTAATCAGAGTATAGGTGAGATGTAAATGAATGTATCAATCATTCATGAGAATTAAGGAATAAAGAGGGTGAATTGCGAAGAGATTTGAATAATAGAGAAAATTATTTATTCTTAAGATGAAAGCAGTTTTTCATAATTTTCTACAATATCAACTAAATTAAATTTCTTGATGAAATATTAGAAATAATAACGATTTAAAAAATGATATTATATACAAAAGGGTATGAAACAAAGATGACTTATCAAAAAAATGTGACTCTCCTTTTTTTTTACTCCATCATTCATTCAGCTGTTAAGATCATTAATTTCATTTTTAAAGAAAAACTACTTTTCCATTTGCTTTTATCGACGTCCTTTTAACAGGATTAGGAAAGCTAGAGTGAACTTGTGCTATACGTATTTTACGGTTGACTTTATGCTCCCTCCTGTCCTCGCTTTTACTATTTGCTTTCCTGTTTTTCTCTTTGAACAAAGTCTCAATTCTATAAATTATGAATCAATTGATTTCATTGATTATTTCTACACTAATTTTACTTCCAGGCTTTGCCTATTTTCTCTAACAGGACAACCCTTCACTTTATATGATATTAAAATAAAATTAATCATCATATTAAAAATATTCAAAAAATTCCTAGGTACCAATTCAAATCTGGTTTGATTCTAGAGTCCTAGAACATGGACCACTTGATATTTGAGATATCTCACTTGATACAACACTTCTAAAGGTACCTGGGGGATAGTCAAGAAGTAGTAATAAGGTATGATGAACAAAAAAACACTGTTGTAGAAGCAATCCAATAAATAGTTGAAGTAGATTGCTGTGACAACAATTCTTATGCCTACTGTGATTACTTGGATAGCTATCATAACTATCTAAACAGCTGCTAGAACTATCTCTACCATATGAGCAAGTGGAGTATTGCTATAGTAGCAATACCATGGATGTTAAAGGTTATATATTGTTGATCTACGAAGTACAGTATTGTTCCTACATCTACAAATTTTTTCATTGTAGCAACAATACGATGTACTGTAGGAAAACATGATCAAGTCTATCAGTGGCCATATTTGATGGCTACTCAAGTTCTTGACATTTTGGAAACACTAACAAAACTTATTCAATTAATAGACGAATAAGTTAATTTAACATCCTTATTTATAAATGAATAAACTTTTTCCAATGAAATAATGATGTATGATTACACTAATAATGGCTACATAATTGTAAAGTAGTGTGTGCAGTATATCTAAAAGTTTTTCCATTTAGCTTCACTATACATTGTTTTCATGAAAGATGAAATATTTTTATATCATATTAGAAACGAGTCCTCGAATAAATCTTAAATGTTAAATGAAAGAGGCGACTGTTTTGATATAATTTGATGAGTTAGTAGAATAAAAACATATTTCTTTAATTTTATATATCCTCAAGACACTAGTGTCCTCGGTTTTGCGAGCAATCGACTCGACATCATCCTCGTATACCACTACTGTCTATCCCACCCCTTTTTTCTTTAACCTCCTTTGTTGTCTCCTCCCTTCTCTTTCTTTCATGTGACATCACATCTCTTAAATTACTCTTTTGCTTGAGCCAAATGAAAAATTTTTCTTACAAAAGAGAGTAGAACATAAAATGAATTCAAACGACAGCAAGAGAAATAAAAATTTTTGTAATGAAAAAATAACAATAACAATGGAAAATTAAGTAAATAACTGTTCTTGTTATTGAATCACTAGTGAATTCATTGGAATAATTATTTTGGGAAGAATAAAATCAATTTAATAATAAAAGTAAACTAAATTGAAAAATAAAATTATTCGGCTATTTGTTAAGTTAAATGTTTTAAAGCTTTTGAATTTGCTAATTCCTGATCACATTCCACCTAAAAGGATTAATTATTCCATTTTAGCTGTAGGCTAAAATAGAATAAATTTTCATGCAATAGAGAAATAAATATAAAAAAGAATTAATCAAAAGCTAAATTTATCGTTTGAAAAATATCAAAAGAAAAGGGTTGATTCTAATGATTTATCTTTGACATATAAATATTCATGTCATTTAGTGTGTATTTTATCATCATGTGTATACGTTTCTGAATGTAAGTAATCCTATTACTTTGATTTGCAATTTTAAAAATAAGCTTACAAGCTTTTATTTGAAAACGTTATCAACTCATTCTATGAGTATTCTAGCTCCAAAAGTAAATAGTGATATTTCTGTTAATATGCGAAACATATACGAGAAAAAAAAAAAAATGAAAAAAGTTTGATAGTAAGTGTAAAATAATTCTTTTTTTAACATTACCAAATCAATACATTAATTTTTTTTTTTTTTTTTCGCTTCTACTTTTACTGAATAAAAGAGTAAGTTATACTACCCTCGAGCGTAAAAGTGTCAGGATATAAACTGCATTCATCTCGAACGAAGTTAGCGTTAGATGTTGAAGATTTTTTTATACTTTATTCTTGTGCCCTATTTTATTTATTCATGTTTTTTAAGTTTATTTTTTTTATATATATATATAGTGTAAAGACATATAGGTGTGAATGTTTTTTAACATTCAATAAAAGTTTTTCATCTGAGGAAAAAAAAAGGAAAATAAAGATAAGGATATATATATAGGGGGGCGAAGAAAATAACTAATGAAAGACACGTAAGTGGTTTCGTGTATGCCATCTATGTCGATCGAAATAGGTTTTACTTGGTGATATGACGTCATACACGCTAGGTGAGTATTCAGTAATGAGTAATAATAATAATTATTATTATTATTATTAATATTATTATTACCGTAATAATAATAATAATAACAATAAATTTATTATTATGATTATAGAAAGGTATAGAAGAGAATAATAGAACCGAGTGTTGGAGTAAGGCGAATGAAATATACAGAGGAGTGAAATGAGAGCTGATGGTTAAAAGTACACGAAGAAGTTATGCAGAGTCGGGCAGTCTCGCGAGAATCGATAGTCTGCGTGCACGCACGCGAATCAACTGAAACGATAAAACTGCCTTAAGAAAATTAAAAAAGTACAATGAAAAAACAACAGTAACAAAAAAAAATAAATAAATAATTAGAAATTTAATGTTCAAAAAATGACATGGAAAAAAAAATTGTAATTTTTCTTCTTATTAATTATTATAGGAAAAAATGATTGAAAGTCTTCTCTAGCATGAATATTTATAATTTAATAAATTTTGAAAACTCTAGAGACTGCAGATGCTGGGAAATGTCGAAAGAAAAGAGAGAGAGAAAATTTGAAATCGATGACACGAAATAGTTGAGACGGCGCGGCGTCGTTTCGCCCATATGAAGACAAAGAAATCGAATAGAATTTATTACATGAAAACAAGAAGGAATCGAATATAAAATAAGATCGAGAGATCACGCAAGATGAATTGGTGAACCATGTGAGGTGTGAGCATAAGGGAAATAAGAAAGTATAAGCAATATATAACGAAGGAAAGAAAAGGAAAAACGAAAGAAAAAAATGTTTATAAAATTGCATGTGGCTGGAAAATAAAATTCTAATCAATACTGTGTTAAAAAAAGTTGTTTAAAATAAAATCATGTTCACGATATAAATTTAAGGTCGTAAACGAATTGAAGAAATAAAGGGGTAAGAAAGAATAAAAAAGCAGTATATTATAAAATATTTATTTGACGAGAATGATTGATAAGTTTTATTAGATTTTTGGTGTAATTACAATGAAATTGGATGGAAAATAAAATTGTACGAGGTCACTAAAGTATATATCTATATGTGTGGTAAATGGCAAAGAAAATAAGAGTAATGAATGATGAAAGAAATTTTTAAAAAGAATAAATCAAATGAAAGGACAGCTTTTCATGTAAATTGATGAAAATTAACTGGAGTAAAAGGAATGATTACCACAACTAGTATAAAAATGAAGAAAAATAAAGAAATAGAGAACTCAAAATAATTGGTTTATCAAAGAATGAAAGAAGAAAAAAAGAATGAAAATAAATTTCAAGTCAGTATTTATAAATGGAAAATAAATTGAACACCAGATATCATGATGAAAATGATGAGAATTTGGAGTATACAATCAGGAAATAAGGGTAATAAACTTGCGGATAAATTTAGAGGGAAATGAACAAAACAAAGAAGTGATGGAGTCACTGAGAAAATAATGTGAAAATCAATCAATCGAGCAATCAGACATTTTTATACATATCCATGAAATCAAAGAGAATGAATTGATTCTAATAATAATTAACAACAACAAATTGTTTATTTCTCGTATAATTTTATTTTTAAATCCCTATATAGAGGAGAATAAAATAATCAACAACAAAAACTAACATCAATAAAAAAAAATAGGTGATGGCAGTAAGTAATGACAGTAAAAGTTGCACAAGTAGAAATAAAATATCATAAAACCCACCCTAAAAATTTCTTTCATGTCTCGGTGATCCTCCAAGACATTTCAGAAGTTTATTTAGAATCCTCGTGCCTGAATCAGGCACACCGAGGCTCAATATATAAATCTCTTATTAATTCATTCACAACAATCACTGAAATCCAAGGGATAGCATCAAGATAAAAATATCCAAGTATCTAAGATCCGAAATGATCGAATAACTAAATCACTTTACCAACTTATTTCGACACAATTCAACACTGCAACAATTTAGGCAGTGATGAATTCATAATCGGTCACAAAATGCCGATAATATTCGGCCAAAATCACGTTTAAGGGCGTTTCAACAATGTCACACAGCACTCGAACGTGATGTTACTCCGGTCGAGCGCAGACTGAACTGACCCCAACTGAAAGTGGCGCCACAGAAGGTGGATATAGAAGGAGAGAAAATGTTCTAGTAAATGGGGGTAGGGGGGACGAGGTGGCCACGAGTGAGGCAAAAGGGGGATAAAGCGAGTGAAACAAGGCAATGGTTTGCCATCGCGCTCCAAGGGGGTGAAATTGTCGACGCGCAGGCGTCTCTTACGGCGCTTCCGTGCGGTTAGATGTCGAATTCTAGACACTGATTCGGATTCCAACTGTTCCTGTAGTTTCTAGTCTCAACATCTAGCTCGGATTTATCTACTTCGTTGGATCTACCCTTCCATAAAAATAAAAAAAACATTTTATAAAGATAGATCATAGTTTTTCATTCGATTTTTCCGGCCTTTCAATTTTTTATGAATTTTTTTAGTTTGTTATCTATTTTTTCGTGTTTTTCTTTGATAAACCTGTCAATCGCAGTGATCTCGGACTGTCAGTTAACTGTCAGGAGATCTTTAGATAAGGGATATGAAGAAAAAAATTTATAGATAATTTGATTTTTGATCAAGTTCATAACTTCAAATGACTTTTAATTTCAACATTATTTTTTTTTTTCTTACTATCGTAAAAATATCCCTTTAAAAGATCTCCAACATAAATTGGATGATAGAACAGTAAAAAAAACTTGACAGTGAAAAGAATAAAAATTTTAGTTTATTTTAATGATTAAACTGCTTTTAACGTTTTATTTTTCATTTTTTTTTCGTCGTGATTTTCTTTTTTGTTTTACAGTAAGAATGTAAATCCCGGAAACATCTAAACATTAGTATAATGTCAGGATTTCTTGCAGGAAAAAATAATGAAGGATAAAAATTGGGTAATTTTTTCTTTTCTTACTGATAAAAAATCTAAGGATTTAAAATCTTAGAATATTATTTATCTCAAGTTCTGACATTCCCATATTTACTTGGTTATCCTTTCAACCTTATATGCAGAGATCTTCTTTCTTGAGATCGTAAAACATGCATGAAGTACAAGGTTAAAATTTATGCGACGCACATAATAGATACAAATCATGCTAACTCCTGAAAGAGATTCCACTAGAAGAATTAATTTTTGAATTGAATACTTCAATAGTTTACTGACTAAAAGAATGAATATTAAATTAATTGAGGTTTGCTAGGAATTTTTTATTCATTTCACTTTTTGAAATTTTTAAACAATCATATCACTTGTGTCAAACTGAAGATTGAGCACGACTACTTTTTTTTTTGAATATCATCAAGATAAGAGAAATAAATAATTTATTGATAAAAAATGAATCCTGAAAAATTAGGGGATGATGTTAGTAATCTAGAAATAAACTCTACCACTATCTCTTTGACATGAAACCTGTACTCTAAGACATCAGACTATTCATCACTCTGCTGAAAAGCCAATGACGTCTTTGCTCATTGGGAGCACTGAAACATTCTCACCCTGTTTCATCCCTCTGTTTGTAGAACAAGAAAAACGAAACATTTCACACAGGGTATCTTGGTTGACTCTATTTCAATTTTTTTCAACTTTCTTCTTTCTTTACCTTCTCCTCCTGTTTCTTCTTCCCTTTTTTTCTTCACCATCTTTCATCTCTTTCTATTTATTTCTGTCTGACTCAGTTTCATTTCGATCCAAGGCAAAATATAAATAAAACTCAGTTGCTACCAGCTTTCTTCTTTTTCTACTTTGCTTTCTCTTAAAAGACTTCCTGTTTGCAGAATATTCTTCGAGTGTTTCAATATTGAAAATCCAATGTAAAATCTTGTTCACTCGAAATTTTTTTAGAAAAATTTGAATTATTTTCAAATTTATTTATTTTGTTTTTTAGTTTTTTTTTTCTTTACTTTTTACTTTATCTTCACTATTAACTTATATTCTTTTTATTTTCTTCTACTACTATTTTGTATGCCTTCTATCCTTCAATCTAATTTAATCTTGGTTTCATTTTCTACAAAGATGCTCTTTCAATGACTTCATGGAGAACAGGAATGAATGAAGCTTAATATTAACTTGAATTTATCTCTTTTCTTATCCACTCATATTTCTTCGTTTTTTCATTTGTCAATAAAAATTACTTTCATCCATTTTTAATGCACTATTTTAACCATAAATGATACTCTTTTATAACTTTAAATTGTAAAACAAAAACTAATTTAACAAGCCAGTGAATAAAATACATCTCATTATTTTACAATAAAAATATAAATTTACTTCCAATTATGGTAAACATCAATTTATTTAAAAACAATAAAACCAAACATGAGTATTCTTTTTTTTTCTAAAAATATTGATTGTTATATTTTAGGTAATTATCATTAAAAGAATATTAAACTTAAATGTATTCAAACATAATAATTATAAACCCTAATAACATTTTTCAAGTAAAACACATGAAGACATTAGCCACACTCTTTCTACTTGTTTTTTTTTGCAGAACCTAAAATTCTGTTCACGTTTTTGCTTGATGTCCTTGATGAGATGTGGGATGCCCTGTTGCTACTGAGCCTCAGGAGGTCTTCAGCTTCAAAGTTTTCGACCCTAGAGTGTTACCCACTTCACCAAGGGTGCCAGAGTCTCTTGACTTGTCAGATAAGCGATCATCCCGAGGGTAGACTAGAGATTCAAGTTAACGATCTTGTTTATTCTAAAAGACGACGTAAGGGATGTCTTACCTTCTTCCTGACAACGAATGTTAAACGACTAGGTGTAAGATTAACGTAGTTTTCTGTGGAATCTAAATCACTCAGGATTTTCCAGACACTTTCAGAATAAACATGATATTATCTAAGTTGGTGAATCCACTTGATTACATCTAAATTACTATAACTTTGAGTTTCAAATATTACATGGGAAAAAGAATCATCTAAAAGCTTTTGGCCATACATTTAGCGAATTAAATTGACAATTTGTTATATCGTTGTATTCTTGTCAGAATTCCTTGAGTACTATTCTTGGTAATGGAATATCAAAAACTTGATTTGAAATTCTATTCAGTTTAGGTCTTAAAACAATCATATATATACAATTTTAATCAAATCATTTAATAGGATGAAGTCACTTGAATCATGTTATATTTAGTTTTCTCAAAATAGAACAGAAAATGTTCAAATCAATGATCGTCATTCTCCATCACTCAAGATAATCTTGGATCACTTCTTCACATAATTAACCATCACAAATAAGCGAATATACAATTTAAGCACTGATACGGTTTAAGTGATTTCTCTTGCCAGGTTTTAGCAGACTACAAAAATAATTCTACAGCCCATAAGTTCTTTCAGAAAACAGCGCACATGAGAATGATTTTATCAAGATGTGTAAATTCATTTGAGTATCAAAGTAAGCATCTTATTGCATTCTCTAACTTACATGCTTATATATGTCCATGTTTCGTGTTCTCAGCTGGCTTATCAACTACACAATTTACATGGATACAAGCCGTCTTCTCGTAAATCATGAGCGACATTGCGTATACCAATAAGGAAGTCGTTTATAATGCAACTGACGGGTGACAGGTGTGAGGATTCCCTAGGACACCTGAGCCATCAAACAACTCTCTTAAATAATTCATCAGCCATCAGGTAAATATAAATGACTATGTTCTCTAATCAAGACATATAATCCCGTGAATTGGGGAATAAATTCTTCTGTCAGAACTCAAAACCCTTTGACATGTTAAGTCATCAACTCATTATTCTGTTTATAACTAAATATTATTTGATTGATGTTTGCATGACAAATTGGAATCTTTGTGCTAGTACTTATATTTAAGCTTTTCGATCAACGTTTCATCACGAGTACTGACGAGACGAGACAGTTTCAAGTACATATTGTCTAGGCTGAAGATCCCTTAGATGTTAATGCTAGGTATCTTGTAACCACCCAATCAAGCAGATTCAAGTACAATGACATTAATAAATAGATACTTTAGTAAACATTATGCCTTTTTCCTTTGTCTGATTATGTAAATAATCAATTTTACTGATATAAACTACAATGAACATAAAGCTTGGTGAGATAAAAGAATAAAGCTTTTAGACAAAGTTTTAATACATCTTTTATAAAATTGCATATTTTTCATAATTTTCTTAATACTTTTATTTTTTATCATAAATAAAATAAGAAAACTTGCTTCATTTTTATAACAGAGGCCAATGTAAAGAGTGCTTTAAATTTTCTTTCTTCCCTATAATTCAGTCTTTTCTTTCTCGTTTCTCGTTGTCAGCTTTAGTAACTTTAGTTTTGCTTTTCCCTCTCTCCCAAGTGGCGAATTCAACCGGATGCTTCAGAATGACGTGCACGTCGGTCGATATAGCGCAAGCGCTAAGGTGATATCATGTAGTTTTACATTGCTAGAAGCTCAACGAGAGTCTTTTTCAACACATTCGAGATATTGGACGGGAATATGCTTTGTTTTTTATTTTTAAAATGTCAATTTTTTTTCTTACTTTTTTTGTAAATGTCAAGATAGTCTGGCTCTTCAATATATTAAGTTGAAAAATTGCTAAGACATATTTTAATTTTTGATGGAAATTATATTCAATGTAAATGTGTTGATACGAGAATGGCTATTTCATTATGCAAACTATCTTGTACCTTCATTTTATCATTTAACTACTGAATAAGGATTACCATGCCAGAATGTGCCATATTGCATAGAATATCAGCATACTTTGGAATGAGATTCAATTTTGGATTGGAAATGTTGTCGTTGAGTGGTTGTTTAAAGTCTAAAGTAATAAAAGATAGTAAGCGAATGAATATCAGTTTGCGAATGTCAATGAGATCTTTTATCTCACAATTGATATGAGATGGTGACACGTTGGGTTTTGTATTCATCTTTCAGACTTTTACAACGTTAGGTTAGTCGGGGGTGAGCTTGAAAATTTGTCACTCAGTCCTTTTATACTCTTATATTTTTCGTTCCTAAGAAGAATATCTTCAGGAAGCAATTGAATCCTTTTTTACTTTCACTTTTTTCTTTTCTCTTCTCAAACACTTTTCGTGTAAAATACAAAAAACCATCGCTTTTCTTATGCTTTGATAAAGTCGTTTGTGCTATCATCAAATATCCTAGAAAGTATTTACCACAATATCAAGATAGCTTTTTGCTCATAAACTCAATCTGCCAGCAAAGTTACTGTAAAATCCTGGACCATTTATTTTTTATTCCTTTTAGCACTCTTTCGTAATATTGATAAGCCACTTGTTAGAAAAAGGTCGGAAAATTTAATAAAACTGATACAAATCTAAAGATTTTGAAAAGTATCTAAAATGAAGTTTTCAAAGACGATTTTTTCATTTCTCGTTGAATATTGCGTTTTTTTTATTGCATAAAAATGCTCAAGAATTTTCAATTCAATCCCACCATTGAAAACTAAGAACATTAGGCTGCAACTAATAGCTAGAGTGTCAGCAAGATCGTACGTAGCACCAATATACATTCCAGACAAAGTCCTAGGTATCTTACGATGTTCCAAGGTTGTCGCAGTAACCAGAGCCCACCCAAGTCCTTGGTGGATGTTATCATAGTCAGTTCTGTGTGCTGTTCTAATGCACATGAGAAGAGGGATGTCTTAAATAACTCGGAAACTTGATAGTTTGTCAAATGATTGATAAATCGATACCCGAAAACTTTTGACAACCAGGAAAACAAGTAATCTAAGTTTTAGTTGCTTCATATTTTGAGGAATAAGATGAAATCTTCTGTCTAAAATGAATGTATTTGTCTTAATTCCATTCTCATCCCAACATTAATTAGAAAAAGAAATGAAAAAAAAAGTTTTTTTCTTTCTAATTAACGATTTATTCTATTCATTAATGGTAAAACGAAAAAAGTGTTTAATAGTTTCTTTTTTTTTCCAAATGAAAGTAGAATGATGCATCAATAGATCTATGATCCTGAAGAAAGTGATGCACTTAAAAAGATACAAAAGCAACCCTAGTAATTTCTACGAACCTGGACGTGGGTGGAATAAAACTAAGTGACTAGGAAGAAGTCCATATGTTAGAAATAAGGAAAACTATTCTCGTGGGACCCTAACCAAATGGTTGAGGGTGAGAGCTTAGAGATATGGACAGTTGTTGATGAGCTGTATTCATCTACTCAGTTAGAAGATACGCATTTTCTTGTTATCGATCTTCCCTTATTTGCTGCTACATTGATGGCTTTTGGGCAAAATAAATTGAAGGTCCAAGCTTGAGGAATAGTTTGATCTTTCTATACAAAAAATATCATCGAAATATCTTTAGCATTAGCAAAAAACCCTTGAAATATATATTCTATTCTGTTAGCAAACTATCAAAGTCTGTGACAAAATGTTTTCCTATACATTAAGCACATCAATAAAACTTCATTACATGCAAGATGATGTTCAGATACTAAACAATTAGTTTTATTGTGATAACTAATGACATCTAATAATAATGGAACAGCTATTAGTTATTATACTTCATTAAGTATTCATTTTATATTTGGTTTATTTAAGAGATCATCATCATCATCATCATCATCATCAGGTGTTTGATAAGAAGGATTAATATTTATTTTATTTGTCTGTTTGGTACACACACTTTTGGCATAAATCCCAGCTTGCAGTACTTTTGGAAAAGTGCCAAGATGCTCTCTGACCCATTATTACTATCTTCATGTTTCATTTTTTGCTTAGTCTCACTCTAAAGTAATTTTGAGCAAAAGAACAGCATTAACACGCTTTGCAGGTCATCGTAAGCCTGGAGCAACTCTCCTTGTACTAGTCGAGTGAACATGATCGATATAGTTGCAATGTTCAGCTACACTGACATGCCTAAATCGTGTATCTATCCTGAGAAACTCCTAACTGACCAGACACTCGTAATACTTTTAAAGTTAAAACTCTTCAACTTAGTTTCAAACGTTCATAAGTGACTATATTCAACCTCGAAAATTGAATTCTATCAAAATCTGTAACTCCACTAGCACTCTGGAGATTTCTTTAGGGTCTATTAAATACAAGAACAGATAGTTTGGCACATTGAGAATTGAATTTTATTATAATGAGTCTTCTTCATGATAATTTAATCATCTCTCCAGGGCCTTTGAAGTAAAATCGATTGATAATATTTCTGTTTATACCTCAGGCGTTTTTTATCATTAAATTTATACATGAAAAAATGAATATTTTATAACTCGTCCAATGAAAAAACCACAAAATATTATGAATGAATGGATATCGGTGATATTGGATCGTACAAGCGATTGTGGTGGTAGACGACGGAACTTTTGTCTGCATATTCTGTGGTGAAGCCAACATCGAAGTGATAAACTCTGGTGTATACACACTGGTAGTCTCCAACACCTACTGCATCGTGAAAAGTTTGAGAAAGAATGGGAAGCTTTACAGAAGGTTATGAAGGTGAGAAAGGAAGCAAGAAAAAAAATATTTTCCATGTTACTCGTGCTAGTTTAAAATACATTTGAGCAGATATGTGGACGCATTTGTGAGGCCGTTAAGACTTTAACATCCGGAAACTTTATGAGGTATAACATCAACATGTTAGTAATATTGTATGGTTGTAAGTTTGATTAAAAATAACATTTTCATTTATTATCTTGCACTTTAATAAAGTCAAATATGTGTGAACTCACTAGTTATTGCTTCGATATATGATGATCAATTTATTTAATTATACTATTTTTGTAATTAAAAATTTCGAAAAACCTATGCAATAATACTTGACATTATTACTTGATGTAATCAATACATTTCGAGTTGTTATTTGATTTGCAATTTTTGCATGAATATTTGAAATATTTTTAAATATTGAAATTAAAAATAGTACAATCTTCCAACAATTAATTTATCTACAGTAACAAGAGATGTTATAATTTATAGTTTTAATTAGTCAACTACTGGTGAAGTTTTGATACTAATTGCCCTGTTCTCATCGTAAAACGTATATCCTTTTGTCCAAGTTAAATGAAATTGTTTATTTAATTTAAAGTCACACTTTTCAAAGGAATAAATTATAAATTTATCTTATTAAATTTCATTTTAACATTTTTATACCTTAAAAAAATATTTAATATTGATATTAAAAAAAAAATTGGTAATCTTTTTTTTTTTACCAAAAATCTTCACTCAAAGATGAAACTTTTAATTTTTATTTCTAATTTCAAATAAAAGTTAATTAAAAAAAAATAGCATAAAAACGTGATTGTTCCACTTACAGAAAGCAACTGCTGAGTAATATTTTATAAACTTAATAAACCAAAGCTTATTTTTTGTTTTCTAATTATTTCGGAAAAAAATTAATTAATTTTGTTATCGAATCTTTGGTGAAAGGAAGCAAAAGCTTACGAAAAGTAAATTTTCTGCTTTACTACAGCAACATTAAGACTAAAGGAAGTGGCTGATATCGGGTTAAATTATTGGTTGACTGTTATTTAATCTTGTTTTAGTGTCTATAGATAAGTCTACTAGTGACTTGGTACCTCTTGTCTTGGTATTATTCATCTCTAGTACTTTTAAACGAACCTGATTGAAGTCAAGGCTCCAGAATTCAAGCTTCTCATCTGCCGGACCACAAACGTTGTCTGAATAATGAAACTCACTCAGGTGATAGTAATTAAAGACTTAGAGACTTGTCTAGAGCTCGTGGATGCTGAAGGAATAGTTGGACAAAAGAAAATCGTAGTTTTCAAGTGCTTTCATCTATTCTAAAAGTCTCGATGGTATAATCTCTTTTAATGTTAACTTGTAAAATGTTCCTCGTGCACCAAAAAACGATTACAATGTTTTAACTCTTTAGCTTTGTCGTTTTAACTTATTCTCAGGAAGAATAAAAAAAATTGTCAAAAGTTTTAATTATAAGTTGTAATTCTCTAATGTTTTTTTCTTTAATTTTCAGGAAGAAGAAAGTTTTTGAGTTACTGGAATTTATTCTAATTCCGAGATATTTCTGTAATTGAACACGAAATGATGCAATGAACATGAAAAGGAAAATACAACTGATCTCAGTACTTGTCTCTATTTTAAATTCTATAAATTCACCGGTTTATTTGCACAATGACGTAGATATGCATATGGAGATGGCGCTTTGATTACATTGGGATGATATAAAATATGTGATTACCTTGACATTCCATAGAGATCAAAAATTGATACCAATTGTGCTCGAAATAATGTTTCTTCAGCATAATCATAATTCATTCAGAATGATTTCTAATTATTTAAATTCTTCACTGATTTTTTTCTTTATTTTTCACGATAAATTTAAAAATATAAATAATATAAATTCATTCCAAACTTTTTAATCAATAAATAAATAAAAAGCTATGTTTAGAAAACATGAAATTATTCAAGTGTCGGTGTCTGACCTAGAACAGACCTGAACCACTGACTGCAATGTCAGGTCACATTCAATAAGGTAGATGTCTAGTTGATCTCTCATCAAAAAACTACCTTAAATCGATAAGAGCACTGAAGTATATCCGAGTCTGATAAAATAAAACTCACCCAAGTCTTTGATCAAATTTATTTTAATTTAAAATTCTTTTTATTATTAAATCACAACTTTTTTTTTTAAACCTACAGTTATTTACACTATTAATAAATATATTTAAACATCATTTTTAAAATATAAAAGCTGAATGAAATTTATTGATTATTGTTGGAAGTTTATTGGAGTCATTGAGTGGAAGAAATGATTCAGTATCTTGATAGCAATGTTCAATTTTATTATTACGAGCATATCAATGGAACAAAACATGGAATGCAATGAAATGAATTGATCATACAGTTGATAATTGGTGTCTCTTCTTTATTCCAGTTTGTCTGAAGCAAAGGGGGATGGCGCTTCAGATAAAAGATGTAGATTCTGGTATCTAGTAGCAACGGCTGGTCCAGCGCGCGCATCGTTTTCGAGTTTCTTTCCCTTTATGTTCTTCCATCGACTCTCCCCACTATTAATCTCGCAATTCATCCCTCCAGTGCTTAACATCCCTCGATGTGCAGTTACCCTCGCTTCATCTACGTTTCTCGCGCGCGAGAGAGAGTAGGCGTCAGGGCGCGCGGTGTGGACGCCGCCCGTGGTCTCTCCCGGTCGCGGACGACACCCTTGTTGCTTTCACACTTTTCCAGACTAACAAATAAACAAAATAAGACTCGATTCATTCCTCTACTTCTGATATCGGCCGAATCATGAGCCAAAAACGTTGAATCACCCAGAATACTTCAACCAGTGTTTTTGTTATTTTATTAAAAAATAAAAATAAACGAAAAAAAAAAAAAAAATATTAGAATGGAGTTTTTAAAAAAAATGGTTTAAAAAGCATTATGAGTGAGATTGTACATCCGTCCGTATAAGTTTGAATCATTAACGCATCAAGGACCTTTGTTAACTCGTAAAATGACGTGCAATCTGAAGTGAAACAACAGAGAATCTCGCCTGAGGTCGTGTGTGAGTAAATAGTGAAGAATAAAATGAGTATGTGATGCTAATATGTTGTTGAAGATAATGAAATATTGAGATGATTAAAAACCAATGAGACTTGCTTGAAAAGTTATAGGAATGAAGCCTGATCAGTATTTTTGCGTCGCGTTCCCCCTAACAAGGATCGATAAGCCCAAGGAGTTTGACTAGAGAACGGGTGCGGCCAACGATTGGACATTCTTGAAGGGGTGAAATTCATGGCTGGAGCATCTGCCACAATCAGGCCCATGGGCAGACCACGCGCCTGTAGAAATGCCGGCTCGCCGGCCTCAGAAATAGCCATAGATCCAAGAAACTTAGACGCCTGTAGCACGCATCCATGTCCTACTTATGTTTCCAATCATCCTCAGGTCAGCTGATTTATTATATTATGATATTTTTTTTCAATTCTTCAAGCAGACTCTTGACCTCAGGTCAACGACTCTAGGTTGAGAGTACTTAAGGGCTTAGGTCGAGAGCAAAGCATGTAAATTTACTGAATATTTAAATTTAATTGCAATGAAAATTAGATTTTTATTTCATTTATTATCATAATAAGAAGACAAGACACTAGTTATCATCTTGTATTCAAACTTTTGAACTTTTGAACTCTCAAGTTAAATATTAATTGAAATAAAGTTCACATGGAATTTTTTGTTTCTTCGACCTGATAATTACTTCAATAGAAATAAAAAATTGTGCTCTTTAAGCATTCATTGATAGTTGAAGTTAAAGGTTGAATGAACATTTTAAATAGATCTTCTAGACTTGAAAAAAAAAAATTCTATGTTTAATTGAAGAAAATTCCTCTTTTTATGACTTGAGATACATATATTTTTTTAATTGCTTAACAAGAATTTTTCCTCTTAAGATGAAATAAGAAATAATAAAAGAAAGTAAAATATAAATAGACATTGATCCAGATAAAAAGCCGGATAAATTATTAATCAATTAGTCTAACTATAAAAATAAAATATCTCTTGAAATTAATGTTTTTAAAATGATGAAAAAAAAATTCAAACACCACTTGATTTATACTCTATAATTCAATGATATTAGAAAAAAGATGTTGAGAATTATTTTCAAACGATTGAAAAAAAAAAAAAATAATTCTTCTAATTGATTTATAGCTTAATTAATATCAATCAATTTTATGCCATTAAATAGGTCGACGTTTCGACACAAGTCGACCTAAATACAGCAGTAATTCACGATTGGAATCGTCGAGTTACCCCTATGTACTCTCGAGAGGATTTTAAAGAACAGTATTGTATAACGAGTCGACAGTTGGATGCAGTAGAAAAGTCTGGCGGTGGTATATTTGGCTGTCTGTCTACTAAGGGTGCATCTCCTTGTTCTGCTACTCGTGTATCAATTCTCTCAGCGTGCGTGAGAAGTGCATCGAGTGATGAAAATATTTGTGATGCTCCATATCCACGGAAACCTTTTCAAATATATTATCAACAGCCTTACCCATCGTATCATCAAAGATTCTCTCGGTACGACCTTGATGAAGATGAATGGATCCAAAGTTCATATTTTCGACGGCGACCCACATCTTTTTGCACAACTCCCGACCCTAAAAGGTAATTTATTACTCCAACTAATTATTATGAATAACTTTTAAAACCCCTACTTTTTATCATTTTTTTTTTTAATCCCGATAGAAAAAAAAAGACTCTCTTGATATTTACTATGAATTATTTATCAGAAGATTATTTTTAATGAGAATTTTCTGATCAGAAAGCTAAAAAACAATTTTTTTTATTCTGGTTCTAATTATTTGTTCATTTTGAAAATAATGTTCATAAATTGGTCGGGTTACCCTACACACATTCATTTAACTACAAATCTCTAACAAGTTTTTCGACAAAAGACTTTTAATCAGTTTGATTAATGATAATAACAACACTGAACTTGTGTTATTTTTAGATATTTCAATTTATTTCATTCATCCATCAGGAAAGACTATTTAGGATAAAGCAAATCTCTAATCATGCTGACATAATCCATTGATTATCAATTTCAATATTATTAATTTAATAATGTCAAGTACAAATTTCTAATTTCATCATCAATATTAAATCTTATTGTAAAATCTATGAAATGTTTTATCAATTGTTGTGTTAAACGAAATTTGATTCCTGTTTTACCTAATAAGTCTCTTTTCCCAATTCTCAATGATCAATGTAACGTAGAGGACGATAAATGTAATTGATCGAATGATGTAATGGTATGTCCGAAGATTAACAGAATTACAAGGTTTACAATTGATCCTTTTTACGACCGGCTTTCACTCAATTTACATGAGGGTCGTTACAAAGTCCACGATGGTTCCATGTAGAGCATAGGGAATAAGAGAGAGAGTGAGAGTATATCCAATTGTTCCTGCCAGATACAGAGCTATTCACTGTCGTTCCCTGATGTTACGCATCGTATCCTGGTATTGAGGGTAACTTTTGCGTTTTCAATCCAAGATAATGCCACTCACATGTAGGGAAATATAAAAGGGACATGTGTGGGCAACTTTGATGCCTGGTGTCTATCTTTATTACATTTCTTTTTTGCTTTTTTTCCTTTCTTTTGTTCCTTATTCATATATATGATGCACATTCGTTTGGTTGAGATTGAAAAAGTACGTATACACGAATTCTTTCGATCGTTGATATGAGGGTGTGACTATGGTGGAAAATTACATGTTATTATCATACTTTTTTCCCTTTTATCATTTGTCTTATTCATGGAATATAAAAGGAAGAATAAATCAAATTAATTTTATGGCATCTAATTTACGTTCCATAATTTTTCATTTTATTTATTCAACATTTTCAATAAGATGTAAGTTTAATGAAATAAATAATGGAAGAGGCATGAGAGATTACTTGGAATCTATTATTGAAGTTCTATTTTTTTATGTTAAAGCAGATACACATGGCTCTCAGATGATGAAGAATCAATGAGACTCGAAGGACCAAGGCCAGTTCTCCCAGCTATTTCTCAACCCCCTCACTCAGCAATTCACAAGCCAAAACATGTGAGTTTTGCACGCTCGCAAACTCTTACATCTATTGATATGGCATCACGCAGCAGGAGTCCACCAAGACCTCATACTCAAGAACGATTAATTGATTCGCAACCGACTGCTACACCATCAATGCTACCGGGATCCACTCATCTTTATCAACCTCCAGAACCAAAAATTCTTGTCTTAGGTAATTATATAATAATGATAATAAAAATTTTATTTCCACCGGGTCTGATAAATTTATGTATTTATTTCAAGGTTGAACTAAATAAGCACAACTTGATAGACAAAATAATACATAAAACATGATATTTATATTTATGTTATAGAGAAAACAAAAAAAAGTGCTATGAAAACACAAGCAACACAAACAGATCTTTCAACAAGTTTCAAAAGAATTCCTCCAGTAACTTTGAGTCCTAGAACCATCCATCGAGTTAAGATGGTATCTCAAGGCGCTCAAACTAATGGAATTATCAATGGAAGGAGATTAACAAAGAGTTATTCGGAAGCTGGTCAATTTGGAACGCATTCAGGAGGAAGTGGAAGTAAAGAAGAAGGGGCAGATCATGAACCATTACAACGTACTCAGAGTGAAGAACCACCTAGATCGCCATTTTTGGTTGATACTCCTCCAGATTCACCATCGAAAGATGCTGAAGATCACCAATCTACAAATCAACACCTTCTTAATGGTAGCATAGAACAGTTGCCGGATAAAGAGGAGCCAAAAGAGGATGAAAAAGAAATTTTAATTGACTTCAAACCAGCTCCAGTGTCACCGGATGCCAGGGCGATGTTAAAACAAATGCCAATGGTCTGGAAAAGGCCGATTACTCTTCAGAAGACCTTGTCAGATGGAGAGATCAGAGTTGAAAGAAGAGAGCTTGTTGATGAAGCTGGAGCACCAAGTTATCCACATACATGCCGAAGGAATTATTTTGATCCATGGCGAACTGTCAGGCCACCCGTCCAGTTTTCCTCAACGCCTGATGATTTATCTCTACTCAGAACCTGCACTCCAACTGATGAACACCACGAAGAGGTAATATTTTATAAAATAAAATTGTCATATTAAATTGTTAGCCATATTTTAAGAAAACTCTTAGCAATTTATAATATAATTTTATGAACTATTCTTTATAATTAGGAAACTTTTATCTTTTATCAGGAATTCCATGAAAATATCATTCGACGAGGTCTTTTCAGAAAACGAAGTGTCTCTTTAGAGGATGGTGTTCAAGAACTAACTTCTGGTGATTTTAGTCTTCCTCGATCACTTCCAACTTCTCCAACCTCACCAACTGCTCATCAAGGTAAAGAAATGAATACTGTAATTATAGATAATTACTGTAAACTTTCAAATTGATTTCTGTAGCATCTCGAAAAATTGAAGAGAATCCGAGGTTTGAAATTAGAAGGCCAAGTTTCTTGAGGACGTTCCCAGTAATTGGACCAGTGTCACCTTTTGCTTCGAGTGATTCTCTAACGAATGATGTAACAAAGGATCACAGTGATGGGATTTGGAATGAATCCCAAGCAACTGTTCTTCAAGCTGATTCTCTTTCTTTGCTCACCCCGTCTTCAAGAAGGAGACATTTATTACTTCTTCAGCATCAACAAAGATCTTCAATGGATACAGAAGCTCTAGATATTGAAGAAGAAATTGATATTGGCCCACCAAGCCCAAGAATTCGTTTAGAAGCTCCAGCTAATATTATTTTAACACCAAGGTGACTCTCTCTCTAACATTGTTAATATTTAAAGTTCATCATTAATATGACTAAGAAATATGTACGTAATTTACATACAATACTAGTATGCGACCGACTAATTAGTGAGTGAATAATTAAATATAGTCTTCAAATAACATTCAATCAACAATTAAAATTTATTTATTAAAATCCATTGATTAACTACACGATGTTTTACATAAATACGAAAATATTTTGATGTATTAATTAAATCTAATTATATTGTGTTATAATTTTTAAACCATAAACTCGGTTTATTGATTTCTCAAAGGCTTGTAATTTTTGAATTAATCTATCCCAGACTTTGATATGGAAATAAAATCATTTCAGTGAGCCATTATTGCTATCAAATGGTCGACCAAGAAGTGGCCTTCGTCGTCGTAGTCCTGGTCCACCATATTCTCAACCGCAATCTCAATCATCGAGTGAATTGGCGTTAAGTATTGGTCGGACAGATTCAGGACGCACAAATACTACAGACTTGTCAGAAGCATCAACCACAGAGGATTACATCACTGCCAATACTTCAACTGGCACAGGAACAGCAACAGGCACATCAGCAACGACAAGTTCATGGTCCAGACCTGGTGCTTATCAAGCATCATCAAGTGCTGCAGCATCAGCATCAGCATCCACCACTGCCACAGCTGCCGAGGGCAGTTCATTTGAGAGTGCCAGTTCAATATATAGTCTAGCTAGAAGCGAAGTAAGACCTAAATACAAGCATAAACAACTGTTAAATATTTATAGTTTATCACATATCTTTTTTATCATGGTTTTTAGCTTGAAATTTTAAATTATAAAGATCACTAAATCTCTCCCAGTTTTGCGTTATCATACATTCATAAATCCCTTGTGGCAAGATTCTACATTTTTCTATGTCATAAAATTTACCTTGAATATGGAGATAGTTTATGAAAATATGGAACAATATTGATCGGAAAATTATTAAACAGGCTGTCGTTGAAGAGCCAGCGAGTCCAAAAGCAATTCTCGAGGAAATGGAAATGGGATTTGATTTGGGTGACTTGGCACCACCTTCTCCAGCAAGGTCAACTAGCAGTAGTAGCTCTGGTAGTTATGATTTAGAAGACGCCATGCCTGATCCTTATCCAACAGCACCATTAAGTGGACATACATCTGAAGCAGAGTTAGATCATGAGGTAAACTATTAATAAATCCTAAGAGTTTTTATTTTTACTTGAAAATTATTTTTTTCGCTTATAAAGGTATCTTTAAAAGCTAATTTATAACGTAGAAAAACCTTCATATTGGAAAAAAAATCGATGTTTTAAGTTTTCTATCATTATTCAGAACATAAAAGAAACTTTAAGCTTATCTAAGACTCTGGAAAATCTTATATTTTATTGAATTTTGATTACTTAGGTTATAACAATTATTCTTTTACATTGAATTCATTGATTTTTCTTAAGAATACTTCCTTTCTTTTTTTTTCTAGTATCACCCTCCGAGAACTCCTCAAGAATATCGCTCTCCATCATCCAACTATACAGAATCTCCCGTAAGCACACGTGGATGGACTGAAGAAGAGCGTAAAAAAAAACGAAAAACATTTACATTAGATTTTCCATCTGCTCCAGAAGATAGCCATCTCATTGACAAATCTGATATTCATTTAGAGAGTATGGATGTCAGTCCAACTCCCAGTCATCGTCATAGACCTCGTTCCAAACTTAATGCTGGAAGAACTCCCTACAGAAATAACAAAAAAAGAGAGTCAGTACCATCACCAATGTCTGCATTATCGAGAAGTCCCCAGAAAGAAGACTGGTTGAGAGAACCAGCTGACGATTCAGTACAAATTCCAACATCTGATGATTCTAGTTGTAGTCATCATTATCATTTACACCATCATCATCACCATCTTCATCGAGATAATCAAGAAGGAGGAAGATATAGGAGGACACGTGAAAGTCCTAGAAGAAAGACTAATAGTTATTTATCAACACGAAGAAGAAGTAATGAAGTAAGTTTTTTAAAAATACCTTTTTGTTTGAATGTTAAAAAGACATTTAAAAATAAATATGCAATATCATATGTTTTTAATATTCATAATTCATTTAATTTTTTTATAGGATAAAAATGCAGCATTAACTGGCAGTTTACCAAGACGTCGAACACGGCAGACAGATGATATTTGCTTTAGCAGACTAAGTCCCGGAGGAAGATATTCAAGGAGCCCAGGTCATAATAGCCACACAGCGATAATTGTCAAGTCTCCAAGTCCTGAAACAAGATTAAAAGCACTATCAGCTGAATCCTTGCGGTCGGTTAGTCCGGGGAGTGATAGCGTATTTTACAGCGAAAGTGCTGAACTATGTATTGCTCATCATGATACACATCACTGTCATAATTGTGGTAAAGAGGTTGGTAATAAAAAAGACTTTTTATTTTGAGAAAAAAAAGTATATTATAGCAGAGTACATTAAAAAATTAATCTTGAAATTAAACAATTTATATTTTAATCAAATTAAATTAATCAGGTAATGGAAGAAATAGTCCAACCTCCAGCTGACTTTGCAGATTCTCCGGAAGGACCTCGAGTAGAACCGAAACATCAAAGCCATAGGTTATATAAAAAACTGGACAAAAGGTATAGATCTGAAGACCGGGGAGAACGAAGATATCATCGTAGTAATGGAAGATCTGATGTTCGAGCAAAATCTGAAGAAAGAGGAAGGTCGTCTAGTAGAGGATCACTTGAAGATGGAATTAAAAGACGACTTCAAGCCCGAAGTACTGATGTCAGCATGGAGACATTGGCATGTACGTCCAGTAATATTATAAATCACATCAAAATTCTGATTCCTATTATTTTTATTTATAGATCGAGAAGATGAAGATACTTATGTAGAGCCTTACAAAGATTACGAATGGATCTATATTGGAGAACTTGAAGAAAGTCATGTCTGGAAGCGACCAGACAGTCGTGATGGTGATGATGAGTCATCAGAGGGTCCAATTAAAGATAGAAGAGGTTCTCAAGGTTCAACAGAAAGTGAGAAATGTTTCAGAAAAAAATATCAAGCTGCCACACATCGAATGGTTCATCGAAAAAGTAGCGGAGAAATGTACAAGCGCATTCAGAGCAAAAGCTTCGGTAAGATGCTAAATAACTTTTTATCTTTTACTGAAAAAAAAAACATGTAGGTCACATTGTTCACATAGAAAGTCTAACTTTTCTTGCCGCCGATTCATTTGACGTTTCTCACCAATAAAGTGAAGGTCGTTTTATTTTTAATCCACTCTATCACGGTCGGGTCGTCTCGGTGAGCTTTAAACAACGCTCACGTGTTCCAAGCATCTCTCACACTTTCTTTTCACTCGCTAGTTACTCTATTTTTCTCTAATCTACTTAAGTATTATTAAAAATATCACTTAACTCATGTTAAACTATTAAATGTTTTAATTAATAAAATATCCACTAGAGATCCGGTGAATGTTCTTTTTTAAATTCTTGTTTTAATTTTATCATATTTTTTTTTTCTTCATGTAAATGTGCATTTATGAGTGTGAGGAACATTGATAAAAATTAGCATGACAATGAGAAACATAAGAGTACAGATTATACACTTTAAATTACATTGAATAAATTACTACACTTGATGAGAATGTCTTTCATGTATTTATGTACTTATAAAATGATAAAAATTATTTAAAAATTAATTGATAAATGTCTTCTATAATTACTCTCGAAATGATATAAACCAGAAAGAATTTGAAGAATTTTATGCTCTTCATGTATTTTTAGAAGATGAAAGTTTGATTGTTTAGATTGAATTGAATCGTCTGAAGCTCCAGGGAATTTTAAAAACTTTTTTTTATCAAAATTTCACATCAAATTGATATAAATTGAAAAGCTGATGTTTGAAAATGATTTTATATTCTCAAGTGAGCTAAAAAATTGATTAATTCTTGAAAAATAAGTAAATGTGTCGTTAGGAGTAAAAATCGCAACACTTAAGGGTTATTTTCTTGATGATGTTCTTAGAGGCTTCTAGAGCCGATGACTCAGCCAACACAGTTGTCACTTGACTCTCGTTTACTTTTCTAGTTCTATAAAAGAAAAAACATATGAAGTATTTTGTTAGCAAGAAAAGAAAAATATGAACGATTGAAAGGAATTTGTAAAATTCTACAAGATAATATGAGTTGAAAGAAAGATGAATAAAATAAAAAAAGCATGGCGTTCCTGAGCTTAAAATAATTCTCGCGTAATGTATGACTTGTTTAAATTTAAAACGTACTGGTGAGTCCAAAGTCTATCTTTCTTACTCTTTAGCAAATGAACTCGCAAGAAGAAGGGTTTGGTAGGGTCGTGGTAGTCTTTCAAGAGAGGGGGCATCGGCCAAAGAGCTTTTGGCTGCAGTCAGTGGGTCAGGGCGCCGAGTTACATTCCATGAGGCTGTTGGTTGAATCTTTAACACTCACTCGTCTCCTGGTGTTATTAACTATTTCTTCTGAGTGTAATATAAAAATTTATTTTTAACAACCATTCCAAGTGTTCCAAAAATTTAGAAAAAAGTGTTGTCAAAATTGTCTACAATTTATTTCATTTTAGAACTATTGAGAATTATTATTAAAAATTTTTCGGATACCATTTTATGATTTAAATTCATAAAATAAATATTATTGTTTCACAATAAAATTTCTTTCAAGTTCCGAACTATTATTGATTATTAGAATTTTATATTGGAGGACCATTTGATCAATTGGTATTGATTGAAAAGTGAATTTAGTCATAAAGAAATTCTCGATAACCATCCTCAACTTTTAATTAATAACGCGAGTCGGTCATCGACTCAGCGTCTTAAGAATTCATCAGAATGGTCTGTGATTCAGCTGGGTCTGAGTGTGCAAGGGAATTGGGCGAAGATGTATCTCTCAAGAGATCATTGGAAGAGTTACTAAAGTGCATGCTCAGAGTTTGGTGTCGTGAAGGACAAGCGCTGACCAAGCTGGGAGTTCCAGTACCTGGTAAATATTGTTGAAAAAACATTAAACCTGCAGAGTATCAATTTTTTCCATACTCAAGAGCTTCTTGATGAGCCAAATGTAGTTTGCTACTTATTCAAAAATGCTTACAGCTGCAAAAATTTTATAATCATATTTAAGCACGTAAATTTGGCAAATTGTCGAAGCCTCGACCTTGTTCTCGGGTTTTCTCATAACGGACTGTCTGGATGGTAGACGACTAAAATGTATATTTTCTGTTTTAAATATCCAAACTATGCCAACAATCATTTGTCTAGTAAACACGTGTTTTTTGAGATTTGTTTGTCAAAACTTTATTCCATGTCCTTGCAATTAAATTTATACTCTAACAGAAACCACGGATGATTTCATGTCCACATATTGCAGAATAATTATAAAGATGAAAATAATAATGATTATTAAAATTCTGTAATCATTCTATGTTTAAGAATATTTTAAAAATTTTCTAAGACATTAGATGTTTATAATTAAACCTAAAACAATTAATTTTTATTAGAGCATAGAATTCCATAGTTATACGAAGGACTTTTCAGGGTCGGTTTAATCACTGGAATGTTTTTATTTTATAATAAAAATATCATTGGAATGTGAAAAAATTATTATAGGGATTTGTAATAATTTGAGTGGAAAAATTGCGGGAAAAAATAGATCAAGATGATATTATAATGATGGTGATGATGAAAAGAAATTATAGCGTAGATATCTATGTATATATTGAACAATCGTGTCAACATATTGAACGCATTGCCCCGCTCTTACTCATCATCAGGGTATGGTGTTATTTTTGTTCGTCCCAGTGCTTTCAAAAGAGTCTGTCAAAGACCCAAGCGTCATGTTCGATATTATTTGACAGTTAAAGAGAACAACTGATGAAAGAGAGGCAATTTTTCATTCAATCTTCTTCTAATTAGTAAAAATAACTCACAATATTTTTTTTACTATTTGTCTACTTATATTTATCAATTTTCTGTTGACAAACTATTTTCAAGAAAAATGATTCACCTATGTCTGGATAATGAAATTTTTCCAGAATTCAAAAGAAGGCTTTAACAAATTGAATATTGTTCATTGAAAAAGTTGACTTAGTCTTTGTTTTGGTTTCAGAGAGTGATAAAACAGTAGTGGTCAAGCGGGAAGCAGGTGGAGAATTTGGCTTTAGAATTCATGGTTCAAAACCAGTCGTAGTATCAGCAATAGAGCCTGATACACCAGCTGAAAATTCAGGTCTTGAAGTAGGAGATATAATAATGTCAGTGAATGGTCGAAGTGTAATGGATGCAACACATTCAGAAGTAGTTCGTTTGGCTCATTCAGGACCTGATATTCTGGAGCTCGAAGTAGCTCGAACATGCAATGTTTTAGCACCCAGAGTTACACGAGGAGGTCTGAAAGAACCTGTGGAAGTTGCCGTTTGTGCTGGCTATCTTTGGAGACGAGCCACAACCTTAAATCCATCTGGAACAACTTCAGCAAAATGGGTTCGAAGATGGTTTGCTCTACGTCAGGATAATTGCCTTTATTATTACAAGACTGATACGGTAATAATTTGTTCTATTTTTAGCGTTATTATTGTAGTTAAAATTTAAAAAAAAAACCAATAAAATGAATTAATTTTTTTCAGGATTCTCAGCCAGTTGGAGCAATGATGCTTATGAAATATGACGTAGAAGAAACACCAGAAATGCGGGCCCATAGTTTTGTTATCAAAAAACAAAATGCTCCATCACATTATTTGGCTGCTGATAATGATGAAGCTATAAGGAAATGGATGACTGTGATTAAAGAAGCTGTTGCACGAAATAATCAGGTAATAAAATACATAAAAGCATATTCTGCTAAGTAATTACATGCTAATAATAAATTCTATATTCTTTTCTACTTGACAGGCTGACACATGGTTAGATGCTTCATTAAGAATGACACAGATGCCAGCATGTGCTATTCAACGCCCTGATTGTTTTGGCTATTTAAGTAAGCAGCAAGATCGAGCAAAGAAAACATCATCACCTACGGGTTGGTCTCGACGTTACTGTGTTCTCAAAGATGCTGCATTATATTTCTACGATGATGCTAATGCTGAAAAAGCATTCGGCGTTGCGTGTCTTCATGGCTTTAGAGTTCATGGCAGTGCACCAAGTTCTGGCGGAAGAAAGCATGCATTTGAACTGCAGCCACCAGATCCAACACAGAGGAGTTATACATTTGCAACTGAAACTGAAATGGATAAGAAAAGGTAAATGAAAAACACTTTGATAAATTTTTGATCAGTCTGTTACTATAAAAGCAAAAGAAGTAACGAGAGAATCAAAATTATTATTGTGTACCAGGTTCTATTTCGAAAACTCATTCTTTTTATCCGGTAATTTATAAATATTCTAGAATTGATAAAAATAAAAATAACTTCATTATTGATTGTCTAATACTATTTTTCAGATGGTTAGCTGCGTTAGAGTACTCAATTGATCGGTGGATAAAAGTAGGTTGATGGTAAGTCGAAGTTTATTATTAAAAAAGCGAAAATATAAAAAAAATATATTACAAAAACATAAGCAAACGACGATGTTCATCGAAAAGTTAATTTATAATACATAAGTTTTTATTATGTAATGACCACATCAGAAAATATTAATCCTTCATAATTTAAATCCTTAAATATAATTGAAGATAAAATGAAAAATATAACGAATCCTTGCCGTCCCTGATACGTTTACCGCATAATAAAACCGCAAGCTAACTGTTGTTGTCTTTAAATTCTTCATAAAATTAACGAAACGAATTGCCAATTTATTTTTATTATCGAAAAACAAATAAAAACGAAAACGAAAGAAATAGTTTTTCATTTTTGTTGATTATTAGTTAAACAATTATTTTGATTATTTTAATACACAAAGAGATGTTCATTGATTCAATTATTCATTTAAATAGGATGTTTTATACTTCAATCACTATAAATTAATATTTCATGAAAAATAAAATACAGCTATTTTAAAAGAAGATTAATGAAAAAATATAATAAATAAATAGATGGATAAAATATTTTATTTTCATTGTGTTATTAAATAGTTGTTGTTATTCATAGATTTATCAAAGAATTTCTAGTAAATATATAAAACTTTTTATTTGATACTTATAAATAACGAATTCTTATTTCGATCAAAATATTCATAATTTTGGAGTCTATTTATTTATTGATAGAACTCGAATAATAAAAAGCGTTCACTTCATATGCATAAAATGGTAGTAAAATATCGTTTTATTATTGAAAAAGTTTACTTCGAATATACATATGTTTAATAACGTCGTATGAATATATAATAAAGTTTTTCAACAGACTTCAAAATAAAATTTACAGAATATTATCGATTCTAAAATTGAAACATTATATATAGAGTATAATTAAATAAAAATTAAAGGAATAAATTATTTAATACATATTAAAATAACCATAAATTAAAAATGACTGAAAGATTGTTAATGTGTTCTAAGATCGGAGTCCAATGATGACAAATTAAAAAAGAAAATTAACAATAGAAGAAAAACATAAACGAAAATATATAAAACTCGCTCAAAATCATCAATAAATAGATGAATAAATAACAACAAAATCAGAGATATTAATATAAAGACTTACATAAACAAAAAAAAAATACTGATTTACTATTGTATTATAAGAAGAACCCCATTTTCTATTTTAACCAATAAAAAAATGATCGTATATAAAAATTAATAGATTTATTGACAAAAAAATTTTTATCGGGAGTTTAAAATAAATTAAATATTTATTAATTTGATATTTAATTTTAATATTTCTTTATCTTACAATTTCAAATTTTTCATGTTGATATAGAAGATCATATATTAGTAGCTGTAGATAACATAGCAACCCTATGCATCTTTATTTAAAAAAAACGTGCTTTTTAGTTATAAAAATAAATAAAAAATATAAAGTTGTATAATAGCATTATTCATTTCATCAAAAAATATATGGTAAATTATTTATTGAAGATTTTTATAAATATTATTAATAAATAAATCGAATAAAAATTGTTAAAAAAATATATAAATGAATATATCAATATATCTGCTTTTTAATGTCTATTTAAAAATAATAACAGTATATAACTAGACATTTGACTATAATGAAAATACCATTCATTACATTGATTGTTTAAATTCTAAAAATATATAACAAATGATTTACAATTTTTGATGTAAAATAGATTTAAAAAATCGACAATTAGTATTAATGCCTTGTAATATAAAAATTAGATAATCGTTTTTAGATCCTTATATAAAAAAACAAATCATGACAAAAGATATGTATAAATAATTTTTTTTCGAAAATATAAATGGATTAGAAGACGAAAGAAATTAATTGTAAAATTCCTTAAACGGAACCAAAATGGAGTTATGGAACATTTCTACCAAACAAAATCAATAAAATTCGATTTTATTTACACACACTCTCAATGTTTTAGAATAAAAAATGATTTTTTAGAGAATAAAAATATCTTTTATTTCCTCATAGCGACAGTTATCACATAATAATGCTTTTTATGTTCATGTATATTCAATATTGCATGAAGGTTGCATAGTTTTCCATTTAACTGAAATATTTTATTTGTTTCTATTCCTTGATCTGAGTGTTCATTAGCCACTAAGTCATGAGAAAGAATTAATCGTGTGTACATAAGATAGTCCTGTAGGTCGCAAAAGTTGGAGGAAAAATCCATGACTATAATTTTAAACAAAAAAAAAATGAATGTAAAATACCAGGCTATATGTAAACGCTCTTGAGGATTTTGTTATGTACATAGATATAGAATTGAGTATGTGCATGATGTTTTTAAGGATAGTAGAGTGTACAGAGTGACAGGTAAGGACAAAAAAATGCGAAAAAAACATCAAAGAACCGCCAAATAGAAGAAATGAAACACGTCAAAATTCATCCACTTGAGATATTTATTTTTCTATTCAATAATTAATTATCCATTTACTCATTTCCTCATCAGCAATTCAGACTATCTAATTTTTTTTTCTTTCCAATTCAATGAATAAATAACTAGGTTTAAAAATATTTTATAATTTAATCAAAATCTAATTTGATTATAAAAACTATGTTGTATTGAGGATAATAAAAAATTAAAATGTACATACAGAAAGAAATAAATAATGTATAGATGTAGTTAAGTTGTAAATTAAAGTAGAATAGTGATTTAAGGTACACAGTTTAACGTGTGATTCGACAGGAACGATACGAAGGATGGACATGATATTAGAGCGACCGTAGCATGGTCTAATTATGCAAAAACCCTTTTCTCGTGCTCCTGTCTTGTGTTTTACCTACCAAGGAACATAGACGAACTGGAATTCAAGGATTAAACAAGATCAACATATCCTTTTTTCTCATCTATTATTGACCTAAATCCAAATTAATTTGATGACATAAACATTATTAAAATTTCTAAAAATATCATGTCAGCATATCAAGAAAAAATTATCAAGAATTTTGTTGTCTGATTTAAAATTATTTTCAAAAACTTATTTTCGCAATAGTAAATCCGTAGATAAATTAATTCGATGAGTATTCTAAACCAGGTAATCTTACCTGTATTTCTAAGAAAAATATTCACAGACAGAGAATTAAGTTACTAGATGAAATTAGAGAAAAATAATTGAATGAAAAAATGTTAAAAAAATTCATTCATGTGGTTGTCGCCAACCACTTTAAATCTTTTCATATTAGATAAAGTGAGACAGGTAAGAAAATGAAACGAAAGGAAAACATGAAGATGAAATAAAGGAGTAAAAGAGTAAAGAAAGACGCTCTCGGGACTTCATGGCTCCGCATACCGACACGACACGTAATGAGAACGTAGCATCACTACTCCACAGCTATCTTGGATATCAGACCGACACACCAACCATCCGGACACTGCACCTACAGCAACCGTAAGATAAAAAAGAAGAAAAAATATTCAATGAAAAAATGAAAATAAAAACATTAAAAAATTATACCACTAAAGAGAGCACATGGGTACTCGTGCAAAGCAACAATATTGGAATATTATAAGTATCTGCCTCTATTAAATGACCCACAGTAAATTCCAAGGATTTACTTTTTATTTTTAATGCTATGTTACTTTAAAATTACATTTTATCAGTTATATTAAAAATTAAAATTACTCTCCTTACGTTTATTTTAATTTTTATATTTAAAATCTAATTGTTAAACTGATAAATTTCATTTCTCTGTACTGTTTTTTTTAAATATAATATTCAATTTCCTGAGAACAATTGAAATTATGTAGAATATCTCTAGCATTGTTAAATAATTGATAACAATTTTTATCAATAAACAATGCTTATTACGTAGCATTAGAAATTTCTCCAAGAATCACTTTCCTGCTTTGCTCCAAGTGAAAATGAAAATACATAATATTTGTACATCTCAAGTATATTATTTAAATAAAGAAATTGAAAACTTATTTAACATAAAATAACTTAAAAAAATAAATATAACAGACATTTTTTGATATTATAATATATAAATTGAAAAGAAAAAATGATTAATACTAATTATTACTAATGAAATGATAATAAAAATAATAAATATAATATAAAATTTTTGAATCTAACTCACTCTTACCAATGTGAGTATCTAAAGTGGTTGAGGACGACCACGTAAACGCGTTTCTTCTGGGTTTGTGTTGCTTTGGAGGCTTTGGAGAACGTTATAAGAGCAATAAGATATGACGAAAGGATAGGATAGGATGTAGAAGAGTAAAGGGGAAGGGAACTAGTTCAGTGAACAAAACAACAGTGGAGGCGGTTGCACGCCAGCAGGGCTTTGGTTAAAGCCAGCAGACACTATTGCGGCTCTTCTCCATTTTTCTTCTTTTCTCTTGTTCCTTCTTCTTCTTCATCCTTTCCTCTTACTTTATTTTCAACCTTTCCTTCATCTTTCTCTCCAGTCGGAGACCTCAAAGGATTACATCTTTCGTTACCATGTAGATTGAGCTCTCGAATAATGCAATAGCAAAAGATACTATTTGACGAAACTTCACGTTCCAGTGAACTAATCATTATGATGATCGAGTCTTCTCCCGTTACCTTGGCAAAGCAATTTGTCAACTTAAAATCTTCTCTCAGAATTCCAGGTCTCTTTCTTTGGCTCTTTTAGCTGTTTTATGCTTCTCTGTCGGCACGTACGATCGTTGGAATCCTGAATTTAAAACGCTTTGAGAGTGCGATATATAAATACTTTAAACTTAAATCATTTAAAGACCTTCCTTTCTTATTTTTACGAGTCGACGAATTTTGAAATTTTCTACGGGATATATTGAAGAAAAATGACCTGCTATTGGAACTAACTGAATTATAGATGCTGAAAAATTTTATTTTTATCAATAAAACTGTTAATTTATTCTCATTCAGTGTTGAGTGTTTCCCAGAGGGATATTATTTATGCTAAATGATCATTCAATTCACGTGACAAACAATATCATTATTCAAATTATTTCACAAAGGTGTGAAAGTTCTTTTTTGTTTGTATTAAAATACTTTTTTTTCTATTTGTTAAAATAATATTGTTATATTTTTTTTCTTCTTTTGAGTTAATTGGAAGAAAAAACATTACTTTGATGGTCAGTAGAATATTTGAAGGTGAAGAAATTACTTGATTATTAAAACATAAGATTCCCAAAAGAACTGAGAATAACCAATTATTTTTGATTACTAATTAATGATTTAACTTGATCAGTTTTTGGTTTTATCATTTTTTTAAAATTAAGTAAAATATTATTTAATTTTTATTTACTTCGTGTTCATCAGAGATCAGAACTGTAAGTTCTTATGTACTGATTATAATTAATTTATTGTGGCATTTATTCTTTTCATACATTCTACGACAGACATAATGGTGAAGCATTCATCATAAAATTTCTTTTTCATAAATTATGGTAAGAAATATTAGATGAATATTAATCAGTCCAAGTAGTTGTTGACAATAAAATTTTTCCACTACATTAAATTTTGGTGCCCCCTCATTGTCATCAATAGGTAGGCCAATTCCATTATTCGGTGCAGCTATTATTTTCTCAATAGAAATTCTCAAAAAATTCGGAGGTTTTTCAAAAGAAATAATACACTTCCAAATGGTGTGAAGGCTTTTGAACTATTCTGGAGTATCCTACATTGTCCTCTAAGTATTGAAGCTCAAGATTATTCAAGTGTTTATTATTTAAAAATATTCTCAAGTGCAACAACATTTTATTGATATTTATCAACATGTTAATAACAAATACAAATGCACTTACTCATGTCCATTTAACTTTTATCTCTTGGTAAAAATTTTTCATCATCAACATGTGGAATAAAATATTAAATGCATGTAACTCTTTTTGTTTACTGTGTTCAAACTTAAATCAATGTTTCAATAACTAACAAAAACAAATTAAGGACGAGATAAACCATAAAGAATAGGCATTGAAGAGGTAAAAAAAAATTACAATTAAAATAACTCTCCAACACCTTCCAATCGCCTTACTCTTATACTCGTAGGTACTATGAGTTAGCTGTGAAGAAGGTTCCATGCTTATCTTCAACCTAAACGACTAAAGAGACAATCCATGTACCTGAAGTGTCCTCTAAGACTTTCTCAAGCCATTACATTACTTTAAGATAATAGCATCTTTAGGCTTTTTATAAACTTTGTGTGTTTCTACTTTATCATCCCTTTCTTACTATTATTTAAATTATTACTTTAAAGATCTTTAATTTGAAAAAAGACTTCCAAAAAATAGTGAATGATGGAAAGAAAACATTTAAGTAGAAGATTAAATAAAATGATCAAAATGACGAAATTGATTAAAGCAGAATCCTAATAAAGATTTGATGGTGTCTGGATGCTTTTTTGTACGAGTAAGGTAGAATATTGGATTTATTTATCGTTAATTAGAGGATTTGAAATTCAAAAATATTTTTCAACACAAAAAATTGAACAAAAAAGAATGGGGTATGCGTAGATAATCTATACTTACAACCTGTTGTCTATATTGTAGCTTAATCTTTAATTTTAATACTTTTTTATGATTATTTTTTTTTAGCCTATGGCCCCTTTTCAAGGTTTTATCTTTGAAACATGGAACCAGTTATCTCAGCTACTTTGCGTTCTGCTCACGCAAATCTTTTGGACATACATAATCTTTCATTTTTTTCCACCTGCTAAGCAATACTCTAAGTAATCATTTAAATTGAACGGAACAATAAAAATGTTCAACTAAATTGACATCAAGGAAGAATAATGAAACCTGTAGCACAGTCAGGTTGGAAGATGAAAACTTGAAAATTAGAAAAAGAAATATTAGAAATGTAAACACGAGCAGCTTTTAACTACGCTCTGGTGAAAAAGATAGTGTGAAGTTGATTTTCCACCTGAAAAGTAGACTTAGCACAGGTGTGCCCAAACACTAGGAGTCGTAAAGAGAGAAAGATAGAGACAAAGAGCTTAAAGAAATGAGAGAGCCAATATTTTTCAGTGTGAAGCCGGCTGGGCGTCGGCGGCTGCTGGTCCAAGATCTCTCGAGAGAGCCAAGAGTGCCTCTGGCTGAAACCGCACCGCTCTCTTCAGGGTCCCTTGTCTAACAAGTAACGTCTGACCATCAAGCAAGCAAAGTGTACTAAGTTTTATACTTAAATCACTTATTTTAGATTGCAGTAAAAATTTCCCAATATCTTGAGGGTTTATGAGACTTTGATAGAGGCACTTATATTGTTAAAAATCTCTTGACCAGTACATAACAACAATTAGACTATCTATTTAACGATAGAATAAAACTCCAATACTTTTCAACATTCAACAGTGGAGCTACAAAAAATTTTTATGATGATAAAAATTACTTGGAAGCTGGAAACTTATCTAAATGTAATGATCAACATTTTACGATTGTAAAAACGGCATGAGAAGTTGATAAAAACGTCTGAGTCATTTTCATCTATTTTGTAGTAGAATGATGACTTTTCATTGTTTTGAATGTCTATTTATTTTCGTTGAACATTTTGAAAGCTCATAAAACTCAAGTTCAGGCTACCAAATGATCGAAAACGATACAAAATGTAGAAAAAAAAACGTGTGATATCCCACAGAGTGATGGGTACCAATTCAAAGTTAAGTACGGCCCTGGGATTCTCAAGAGTAAAGCGGGGTCCAAAAACCACCTCAATCAACCTGCGGTGTTCAGCTCACCAGCTAAAGAAAGGTCTGCCCCCTCTACTGAACAGATCTTCATCTCCCTTTATCATGTGGCTAAGCCTCCTCAGTATCTTTGTTGCATTTCTTCAGCTTCTTTACACTCCCCACTGCGTCGCAAATCCCCTGGATCCTCCCACCAACTTGGATACCATCATGCAGAACGTAGGGAACCCCCTGCGAGTGGGATGAAGGCTGTAGCATCCAGCAGCAGCGCTACTAGCGGCAACCAAACTGAAGAAACTAACCGTAGCTCCTCAAGAGGCGCCTGTTGGTGTATGTGGGTGTTTTTGTATTAGTGTATCCAATCATTGGCATGTGTGCAAGGCGGAGGAAGCTTACCTGACGGCGTCCAACACGCAGTAAACCGCGCTAGACCTCGAACCTGCTCGTGCTACAGTTATGTGTTATCATCAGCTACTGTGCTATTCCCATCAATTCCATTCCGTTATGTGAAATAACGTCACATCACTCCAAATGGAGTCTGGATAGCCTTTAAAACCATTTTTTTATCAAATTGGATTAACTGGATTACTTTAGGCATTCGGATAAGTTTCATTTTCACTTGAAGTGAGAAAATAGTGGAAAAATCATTTCTTATCTTCTCTTCGTACTCATTCAAGTGTTCCTCATCATCACCTTGATGGTTTTGTTAAAAAAACGTGGAATTTTGTGACTTGTGTGAAGGATAAGAGATAAGTCTGGAGATGCAAGGCTGGAGAGAGAACTAAAGTGCTCCAGAATCCAAAGAAACAACTTAAGGTAGGAGAAAAATATTCCAAGCTTATTTTCCCTCAACATTCAATGTATTTAAATGATATTTTCGGGGATTTTCTAAGTAGATAATTAGATTATTATGTTGATTGATAAGAGATACGATGCATGCTGCGGATAAAATTCTTCATTTCATGATGGCGGCTCGGGACCAGCCATGACGGACCCGCGGAAGCCATGTTGGCAGGTGTGCTTCGAGATAACCAGTCTGTAGATTCGTGGAACGCGTTCGCGTGGTTGATATCAAACTATCACCGACAGAGAGCGCATTTTGTGTCCAACAGAATCGTAATTACCTGCTGCAATTTTTATGACTCCAGCTTCCAACTGTTACCTTTTCCCAATCTTCCGGAATTGATTAAAAATTTCTAATTTTCTCCTCCTCAAATATCCTTCATACAACTGGTTTTTATCTGGTGGAATTCTCATGGTCATCATCTTTCATTTTATTCTTATTTTTGGTCCATCGTCTTGTGATTGTTATTTGAACAATAATTCATTTAAATAAATATAGAAAATTCCTCGGAGTTCTCTAAGATGATTAATCATTTATTTAAAATTTCTTCATGTTCCAAATTTTTCAACTTCTTTCATTAATTACCATTTCTTTCCAATTTTTCTAGATGCCGACTGATTTAGTGGTAACGTCTACTGCTACTGAAGAGACACGGTCCCGTGATTTGTTGATCTCATCACGAACTTCAGGACCAACGTCTTCAGGTTCTTCTAGCAGTAGCGGGCTTTCCTCTTCAAGATCTTTTGACCCATCGAGTTTAGCGTATCATCATCATCACCATGGCTTCGTTGCAAGTCTCGGTCACCCTCATCATCGAGAATCATCAGCCTTTGTTCCTGTGGTTCCTTCAAGACTTCACCTGGCTCCATATCCTGGAGAAATGCATCCTCATCTTTCTGGACCACCGCCTCCATCTTCTTCATCATCGACCAATCAAGATCACGAAGGTAGTGAATCTTCAGCAAGAAGCAAGTCTTCTTACGAGATAATGGCAATGATGGCTGATAAGAGGAAAGAATTGGCAGCGGCAAGAGCTCTTCTTTTACCCCCGCCTCCTCTATTAGAACCTCCAGCGGGATATCCTATTTTTACTGGACCTTTCCAGGGAGGATCAGCGATGTATCCTCCTGGAGGACCATTGGCACACCAACATCTTGACAGAAGACTACTTAGAGCTCCCGGCAGAGCATCCAGGCCTAAAAAACAGTTTATTTGTAAATTTTGTAATCGACAATTTACAAAGAGTTATAATTTACTAATTCATGAGAGAACTCATACTGATGAAAGACCATATTCTTGTGATATTTGTGGAAAGGCCTTTAGAAGACAGGATCATTTACGAGACCATCGGTAAGTGATTTAACAGAAATGATTATTTTTAAAATTCTATATTTCATAATAATTTTTTTTTTGTAAATTATCGTTTTCTATTAATCAAATAATTCGTTAACATCAAGCCAAATTAATGAATTTTTAAAAATAATGACATTATTTTGAACTGTTTACTTTTTTTAGCTAATTTTTACTGTTCAACTGATTATTATATACATAATGTTTTTAATTGTTTTTATAGGTATATTCATAGCAAAGAAAAGCCGTTCAAGTGTGGCGAATGTGGGAAAGGTTTCTGTCAGAGTCGAACTTTAGCCGTTCACAAAATTTTACATATGGAAGAATCGCCACACAAATGTCCTGTATGTGCTCGCAGCTTTAATCAACGAAGCAATTTAAAAACTCATCTATTAACGCACACAGACCATAAGCCATATGAATGTACATCATGTGGAAAAGTTTTCCGTAGAAACTGCGATTTAAGAAGACATGCATTGACTCATGCAGTTGGAGATGTACCTCCAGAAGCATTAGAAGAGGCTTTAAGAGATGATGATAGCCCTGAAGAAGACTGTGGACCAGAACCCGGGCCATCAACGTCATCTTTAACACCTTCATCAATATCAGGTACTTCTGGATCATCAGTATCAATATCAAGTTCATCGGGTCCTTCAGGGTCATATTCTTCAGTAAGTCAACAAAGCTTACCTTCAAAACCACAACTCCAAATTCGTCGAGATCTTCTTCAAGTAAAGCCATCAACAATAACGAGCCAAAATCCACCGCCGCCACATCTTCCACCACCTCCGCCAATATTGACGTCATACAGACGGCGACTAGGTTCTCCTGGACCTTCCAGAGTTTTTTTGGAATTGCAAGAAAGAGAAAGAGAAAGGGAAAAAGAATTGCAAAGACAACAAGAACAAGAAAGACAACGAGAAGAGAAACAAAGAGAAGAAGAAGAGTCTAGACCTTCTAGAGCTCCAACTCCTCAACCTCCGCCACCTCCACGGCCTACCCCTACAAGGCAAGGATTCACTATTGCCGATATAATGCGTCGATAAATGCCATTAATTATAGAAAAAAAAATTATTTTTCAAGTATTATGAACCATTGGAGAATTTTTTAAATACTTCGATAGAACTTATAAAGAAGAGTTTATCGAAGATACATAAATTTTCAAGATGTTAAGATTGAGGGAAACAATGGGTTTTGGTTTGAAAAAGCAAAACGATTGCATCAAGATATTGAAAAAGGTTGGAAAATATTCATGGGAGTTGATTTTCTAGTATATTATTTTTATTTGTGATGAATATTCCAAGCCATATACCGTACTAATGGATTGAAATCATTGATTTTAGTTCTCTACTATGACAAATGCAGTTAATGCATTTTTGATTAAGTAACATTTTTTATTCAACATAAAGTACCTTCTTTCTATTATAATGTACTTTTTTGATCATTTTCAAACCAGAATATCATTTGTACCCTTTCTCACAATGTTTAACGGCATCATAATGACTTGAAAAAAGAAATTCTCTGCTTCTGTGTCATCAATCATAATTCTTGACTGTCGAAAGTCATCTATTATCAAAAAAAAAAAAGAACAAGAAGGAATAAGATATACAGAAAAAGCAAGAAAGAGAAAGAGAGAGGAAGAAAGTGGACAGAATTTGAAGTCTTGCGATGTCATGTTTCTCCGCCCCTAGATTATCTTCGTTTGAGAAAAGAACAAAAAGAATATGAAGAGAAGGAAAATGATGTAATTTATTTTTTTTTAAAACTTTTAAAAAGACTTTTGTTATAAGTACAGTTCAAAGTGCAACGGTCATATTTTGATTCTTTTTCAGAACTCACACGTAGTTTCTTCATTATATTTTGATTAAGAAGTTTTTCTTAAGATTAGTGTTGTTTATAATTACAAAAATTATGATTTTATTAAATATAACAAGTTATTGTTTTCTAAGTGAACAATTGATGGATTTTTTTATATAAGTGCATTAAGCGCAATTAGTTGGACATTTGCCTAAAAAGTGCAATTAGTTATTCAAAAGTGATATTATTTAAGATGAACAAGGACATTGTTTAAAAAAGTTCATTATTATAAATAATAAAACATCGTTAAATAATTATTTTTTTAATTTGCTCTGAAAAAGTTGAAAAATTGTGAACAAAGACTTTTGCTAAAAATTAATAATTTGGGGAAAATATGAATGAACTTTTTCAATGATATCGAAATCATTCCAACTAATTTTTTCGATTAAGAATTTAAATAAAATATATATTTGTATATATGATTTATATATATAATATTTGCATATGTAAGATCACAGTTTTTGTAAGATATTCAAGGAAGATTTCTATTCTATTTGTTTATAAATATGAGATTTTTAAGACTGTGAGAAAATTTTATTACTTGTTACTTTATCGGAGCAAAATAAAAAAAAAAAAAAAATTTATGTAAATAAGGCAGCTTAAAAATTGCTCAGAAAAGTGCCAATTTAAAAATATTTCGAAGTTTGTGATTAAAAAGTGCTTCCACGTAAAAATAAATATTAAAAATTAAAGTGAATTTTCAAGTGGTTTGCATTGAAAAAAATATAAATCAATAATGAAAGACTTCAAGAGCATCACAAAGAACCTGCGTAAGGGTCTTTGGCCGTACTTTCAACGACATTTCAGGCGGTAAAATGCAAATTTCATGGTAAAGAATAAGAGCATAAGTAGGTAGACACTACAGTAGATGAAAGAACTTTGAAAAGTAGGAAAACTCGTCAGCGAGGCTACTGTATCAGTGGCAGGTGCAATACGGAGCCTTAAAAAGTGAAAGAAGCTTTTTAGAAAAACGTCTTGCTACCTGGCGTCGAATCTAAAAATATTTCTGACCCTCGTCAGACAACCAGTGAACCTTCATGCTCTTGTACTATTTCTCCTTAACATTCATTTATTTATCCTTACATTTTATTCCACTAAAACTCACATTTTTCATCTGATTTCTTACAAAGCGAGCTATTTAACTGGTCTCTTTGTATGTCTACTCTACAAAAGTACCTTCAAACGCCCAAAACTCAAAAAGCAATAATCTTCCAACATTTTTTTGTATTTTAAATGGCTATAAACATTATTTCCAAAAAAAAGAATACATCTATCAAAAAGAATTGGGTTTTAGATTTTGGAGTTACAAAAAGCTTTCTGAAGAGTTTTCAAAAAAAAAAAGATTTTTTCTTGTGATATTATTGTAGAGAAAAATTCTAACTTCTGTAAAATTTTATATTTAATCAATATGCTAAGTAAGATCGAAAAAGCAATAATTGCATTATCATTATGCGCCATAATTAAATGTATAAATAAATCGGTTCATTTATTCTTATATGATCCTATAGGTTTTAGCCATGGATAAAATATAGAGAAACATAAGAATGAAAGAAGAACTAGTAGAAGTAATAGAGAGAAGAATAGAATGAACAAAAAGACCATAAAAAATAGAGTAGACAACCAATTGCGCCATTTGTAGGTGGACAAAAAGAAAAAAGTATTCTTTGTTGTACTAAGAAATGCCTGAAGTCTTTAAGACTACTAGAGCTGGATAAATATAATAGAACATATTCTCTTGCAATATGTAAAACTGTTTTTTTTTATTAAAGTAGATTTATTCCTTGGTAAAATTGTAATCTATTGAAAAATTTTTATTTGTTATTACAAAAAGGAGCGATGAAAACTCACTTGTATTACTTATGTGATAATTTGATGCGTACATTTCCGTAATTTTTATGCAGAATAATGTGTAAAAGATATTATTATTATTGTTAAAAAAATATGTTAAATTTTTGATATTAAAGTACGAATAATCAAATGAAAATTTTTTTGCATTCATAAATTTGTTTATGTATTTGAAAAATAGTAAACAACAACAATGAAGAGTGTATTATTAAAACATTCATTTGAGTTATAATTGGATGGCCATGTTCAATTTTGTAAACATTTATAGATAAAAGTAAAGATTTATTGAATAAATAAAAAAAGATTTTTCGTAATTTACCTGAATAAAAAAAATCTTTTTGTACAAGAAAAACAACCTGTAAAGTGACAATTAATGTACAATCGGTAATTTTAAGCTCAAACGTTTATTTACGGTGTTTTGTAATATTGTTTAGTTATTATTATAAAGAATAGATATTAAAATAAATAAAATTTTATTATAAATGAAATAGTTATCGTTATATTTTTCTTCTATTATTATTGTGACTATTTTAGAAAATTAAGTTTATTTACTCGTTTTTAAGTACTCATGTTTATTTTTTAATGAAATGTAGTCATTAAGTAATTAAGGAATCAAATTGTAATTTAAATAATAAGAAGTAGCAGTATACGAAATGCAATTTTAATAAATAAAAATAAAATAATAAACTTTACCTTATATGAATAATTTTTTCCCTAATTTAAACAATTAAACAGTAAACTTACAGTAAATATTTAGTTAATTAAACAGTAAATATTATTATTATAAATAATTTATGCTAAATAAGTACACATAATTTTTTCTCAGATAATTTCTTTTTCATGAAAAAAATTATGGAGAATATAATTATTTTTCATAGAAGAAACAAAAATTATCCTCTATTAAGACATAAAAAACATAAATTTTACCATTATATTATTTTAAATTATTGAATTATATTATTTTAAATGTTTGCCACCTGTACAAGGGTAAAATATTTTCAAAAATAATTTTTTCTAAGTTATCTAATGTTGTTAATGCTGTATATTGATTTTAGTTTCTGTAGTTACCACCAGGTAGTCATGTCGTGAAAAGTGTATTCGCGTGCCAATGTAAAATGACTCCAAAAAATAAATAAAAATGTCAAAAAAAATAATTTTTTGACATTCACTTTTATCAAAACTCCGTTTAGTTTATCTCATTTAATATGTAATACTTTTTGTAATGTTTTTAATTACTTAGTACATTGCTGAAAATATTTGCATTGACATGTGTAAGGTTAGAACTTTAGATTTTGTGAATATGAAAATCAGTAAAGTTATGCAAAATCATGTAAATATTAGCATCAGTATGTTAAAAATTATAATCAATACTATAAAACAAACAATTCCAAATCATGTCAAATAATTTAGTTTACATTTTATTATTTGCATAATTCGCAAATGACAGTTTCGTACTGCATGGTGTACCTGACTGCTCACCGGTTGTCATTAACTTGTCTTGTATACAAATAATTTTGTTAGTCTGTTATTATCAATGCTGCCAATTAAATCATGATGAACCTCCAGAAATTTGAGGATGAGGTAATCAAAAATTTCCTTTATAACTATATAAAAATAAAATTTTATTGATTATGACTCATTCAATGGAGTTGAAGGTTATTTTTATTCATATTTTTTTTTAAAAAGTAAAAGTTATATCATTTATTTTATACTTTGTTATATTTTTATTTTCTCCAATCAATAGCAAATATGTTTGCAGCCACCACTACTGCAAGCTATATTTTTTGGTAATATTGATGAGATTCAAGCATTAATAACAAACCAGGAAGACATTCACTGGCAAGATGATCAAAGGAGAACTTTACTGCATGCAGCAGCATTCATGTATGTTTAAAATGAACTTACGAAAATAATTTCTATTTTGAGAATAGTAATAAATTTTATATTTCTGACAAAATTTATTTGATTTACAGTGGAAACCCAGAAGTGATAGAACTGCTACTAAAAAGTGGTGCAAAGGTTAATGCCAAAGATGAAAGATGGTTAACTCCTCTCCATCGAGCATGTGCTTCAGGAAATGATTTAGCAACTGAAATTCTTTTAAAACACGGTGCAGCAGTGGATGTAAGAGATCGAGATTGGCAAACTCCTTTGCATGTAGCAGCAGCAAATAATTCTTTGCACTGTGTGGATCTTATAATCCCTCGATTACTTAATATAAATCTTACCGATCGCAAAGGAAGGACTGCTTGGCATCATGCAGCCTTTAACGGACATAAAAAAATGTTAAAGCTATTGATAAGTCAGCCACGATGTGTAATTGACTCTCAAGATAAAAAAGATCGTCGTGCTTTACATTACGCTGCTTACATGGGCCATGAAGAAATCGTAAGAACTCTTCTAAATCATGGAGCTAAAATTGACGTTAAAGATAAGGATCTCTATACTCCTCTTCATGCTGCAGCGGCTGCTGGAAATATTGGTACTATGGAAATTTTGATAGACGCTGGCGCAGACATCGAAGCAAAAAATGTATACGGTAATACTCCACTACATGTAGCTTGTCTAAATGGTCATGCCAGTGCAGTACAGCTACTTATTGAGTATCAAGCTAACCGAGAAGCTTTCAATTATCGTGGTCAGACTCCTCTTCATGTAGCAGCTGCAAGTCTCCAAGGAGTAAATTGCCTAGAGATTTTATTAAATTTCGGAGTTGACGTTAATGTTCAATCTCAAGATGGTAGGACTCCCTTACACATGACTGCAATTCATGGGAGATTCACTAGATCAAAGAGTCTGTTAGATGCTGGAGCTTCTCCAGATACAAGAGACAAAAATGGGAATACTGCACTTCATATTGCTGCATGGCTCGGCCATGAGTGTTTAACAACTACTTTATTGGAATGTGGAGGTAAAAAAATAATCAATTAAATGCTTCGAGTTAAGATAATTAAAAGTTACAAACAATTTAATTAAATTATTTATTTGTTATTTACTGTGCTATTTTTTTGTAGCATCGCCAGCAGCAAGAAATGCGGAACAAAGAACTCCACTACATCTGAGCTGTCTTGCAGGTCACATAGAAGTTTGTAGAAAACTTCTTCAAGTTGACAAAATTGATTCTCGTGATATTGCTGGTAGAACGCCTTTACATTCAGCGGCGTTTAAAGGATCTGTTGATTGTTTAGATCTTTTGTTATCTAGTGGTGCCAATTTCAGATTATCAGATAATGAAAATCGTTTAGCTCTTCATTATGCTGCTAGTCAAGGTCATTATTTGTGTGTTTTTACATTGATTGGTTATGGAAGTGATCCGAATGCTAAAGATGTGAATGGTGCTACATGCCTTCATCTTGCTGCTGGTTCGTCTAATCCTAACAATAAAAAAGACACTAGTCAGTGTGTCAAATATTTATTAGATCATCGAGCCGAACCTTTTATTGGAGATAAACGAGGATTTACTCCTGTTCATTACGCAGTAGCTGGTGGGAATCAACCTGCTCTTGAAGCTCTTCTCTATAGTTCTCTACCACCTTCAGTTTCTACTACATCTTCAAGTATGTTAATATTTTTGTGTATTTATGAATTTAAAAATGATGAATTTAATACAACGAATAATTTCCTTTTTAGCTTCCGGAGCACAAACGTCTTCAGCATCTACATCTTCACCGTCTCCATCACTTCATCATCGTTCTAAACTAGATTTAAGTTCGCTAGGTGCAAACTTAACATCTGGTTTACCATTACTATCAACAATCAGCCCGACATTTCCAACAACTTTAACCATAAATCCATCGGTAGTAACTTCAACACTAGCCCCTACACTTACACCACTTCATTTAGCTGCTTGGCATGGTCACAATGAAATTATGAGACTTCTTTTACCACTATTTCCAAATATCAATATTAAAGAAGACTCTGGAAAAACTCCGTTAGATTTGGCGGCTTTTAAAGGTCATGAAAAATGTGTTGAACTCCTTTTAAATTGTGGTGCTTTAGTTTCCGTACAAGATAACGTAACCAAGAGAACACCAATTCACTGTGCTGCTGCTGGAGGACATGAAAAATGTCTTGAACTTCTTTTAGAAAATATTGAAGATCCGTCAGTCGTTGATAAATATGACATTTATCATAGAACAGCATTAATGCTTGCTGTTGCAAATAGACATACAAAATGTGCTACTTTACTTATTTTTATGGCAGACGTTAATTTATGTGATATTAATAAACATACGCCATTATTTAGAGCAGTTATTGAAGACGATTATGAGGAAGATTATTTCATGGTAAAAATGTTGTTGGCTCGTGGTGCCAGGGTTTCTGTTCAAGATTCGAACGGTAAAACTCCGGCTCATTTAGCAGCTGCATGTGGAAGGTAAGATTGTAATAAAATAAAGTAAATAGATTGAAAAACGATAAAAAGTAATTGGTTTATTTAATTATAGATTGAAAGCTTTAACTGAACTTCTTACTGCTGATCCAAGTGCAATAAATATCAAAGATGATCAAGGATGTACACCGTTACATTGGGCGTGTTATAATCAAAATTCCGAGTGTGTTGAGTATCTGTTACAAGAGAATTTTGTGGAAAATTTGGAGAGTAATCCATTTTCAGCGGCTCATTGTGCAGTTCAACAGGGATCTGTTAAATGTTGCAAATTACTGATGAACAAGTTCGGAGGACATGCAGTTGCAGCATTAAGAGATAGTCCAGGAGGAAGGCTCCCACTTCATGTTGCAGCAGCTTCAGGATCATCAGAGTGCGTTAAATTAATTCTCACGTCAGTCGGACCTAATTCGGGTGGATTAGAGATTCAGGATTATTCTGGAAGGACTCCACTACTCAGTGCAGCTTATACAGGACAAACAGGAACAATAGGTAATTATTTTAAGTAATTGAGTACAATGGCCTTCATCAATTTGATTCAGTGAAATTTTATTCATTTCACGAAGAACTATTATTAAATAATTAATAATTATTAAATATTTATAAAATCTACCTTTCTAATAAATATTTTATATTACTACATATTAAATATAATTAAAAAATACCTTCGAAATGAAATTTCACGCATCACAGAACAACAATGAAATAAACAAATAATATATTATTTCAATTATTTGTATTACTGAAAACTAATTTAATTATTAATATATTCATTTTATTACTTTGTAGAGTTGTTACTAGAATGGAAAGCAAATATTCAAGCAGTAGATTTCGACAATAATACAGCCTTACACTTAGCTTGTCAAAGACAACACTCGTCCGCAGCTTCGCTGCTTCTTGACGTAATTGTATCTCAAGTAAACCATAATCAGAATCAAAGTGAAAAGCATGATAAAGCTCACAGCAACAAAAGGATTCAAATTATTAACATGGTTAATAAAAAACAGAAGACTCCGCTCCATCTTGCAGCACGCAATGGCCTAGTTACGGTATGTTAATTCTTAAAACTTAATATATATGAGTAATAATGGTATTTGAGATATAATCGCGGTTTTGCATTTTGTTATTTGCTAACTATTTCGAGCATCACTATTTAATTTATACTTTAATAATTATAATAATTATACTTTAGGTTACAAAAAGACTTATTGAATTGGGTGCGAGTGTAGATGCTGTTGATTTTGAAGGATTAACTCCTGCATTAGCTTGTGCCCCAAATGCTGCAGTTGCCAAGTGTCTAGCTATTATTTTAGCAGCTCATGGTGAGTAATATATACAAAATAGTATTTTCAATGTTTTTTTTAATTATATTTATCATTGTATCATTGTAAAATAGTCATGTCATATTCAGTATTTTAATAACACTGAAATTATATAATCAAGTTGGAATGTGACAAAACATACAGATAATAATTATACGTTTTTAGGAAAAAACTCTGAATCATCACAACAAATACCCTCAATACAACAAACATCTGAGATTTACTTAAATGGAATGAATTGTCAGAGTAATTTTGACTCAGAATTTTACTGACAATGACTTAGATATTGAAAAAGAAAAAAGATGGTAATATTTATTGAGGCTTTAATCAATGGATATCTTAAAATTATTTTTTAGATATTTAAGATTCAATTGTGAGTAAAAATAATTTAACAACGCGTATGAAAAAATTTTGTTCCCCAAACGTTTCAGCTTTCTTCTTTTCTTTTAAATTTTTTCTCTCTGTTCCAAACATAATTCACACGGTTTCTACTTGCAAAATCAATATAAATAAGAAAGTTGATGAAATAAAGATATATTAGTGTAACTTGGTTTTTTGCTAATAACTCGGGATCTATTAGGCCTATGTAGAAAATAAGCATATCAATGGATTCGTGAGAGTAAGAGCTTTCGATTGCTTTAGTCAAAATCATAATTGGAGCATAATTTATGCTGAAAATTGGAGCAATTTCCGGTTTTACCCCATTTTAGGGGTGAAAAAATTAATTTTTTAAAAGTTTGACCAGATTCCGCATTTCCACGCATCAAGACGAAGAGAATGAGTGGTCAATCATCAAAATCGGACAACTTTGATTTTTCGACCCCAAAAAATGGCAAGTGGTACCCCTTTCCATTTTTTTTGGCCAAAAAATAAAAGTACTCCGATTTTAATGATTGAGGGCTCATTCTCTTCGTCTTGATGCGTAGAAATGCGGAATCGGGGCACCGGTCAAGAAAATTCACTTTAACACCCTTAAAATGGGGTAAAATTGGTTACAAATTAAAAGTCATCATCCCCTTGACTTTAAACCCCTATAACTTGTAAACGGATGGTCTAATAATCATTTTTAGGGACGTTTCAGAAACCTTAAAATCTAAGCTAAATATGCATATCCATAACAACCGGTGAAAAGATTTTCTTACCTCTTTCAAATCGTTATTAGATGACTTGTATGAGAGTTATAAAGGTCCCAAGTCGAGTAAAGGTCAAAAAATCATATGCTTTTTAACTTTGTACCTTTATAACTTGTGAAAAAATAATCATATGATGATTTTAAAAAGGTCTTTAGAAACTTCAGAATCTTAGCTAGAGATACATATCCATGAAAAATGTCAAAAAAATTTATTTTACCCTCAAAATGGCCAAAATAGTTGGCAAACTCCCAAAAAAATGTGATATTTTTTTATATTTTAGCAATTTTGAGGGTGAAGAAAATCTTTTCACCGGTTGTTATGGATATGCATATTTAGCTTAGATTTTAAGGTTTCTGAAACGTCCCTAAAAATGATTATTAGACCATCCGTTTACAAGTTATAGGGGTTTAAAGTCAAGGGGATGATGACTTTTAATTTGTAACCAATTTTACCCCATTTTAAGGGTGTTAAAGTGAATTTTCTTGACCGGTGCCCCGATTCCGCATTTCTACGCATCAAGACGAAGAGAATGAGCCCTCAATCATTAAAATCGGAGTACTTTTATTTTTTGGCCAAAAAAAATGGAAAGGGGTACCACTTGCCATTTTTTGGGGGTGAAAAATCAAAGTTGTCCGATTTTCAAGTTTGACCACTCATTCTCTTCGTCTCAATACGTAGAAATGCGGAATCCGGTCAAACATTCGAAAAATGTATTTCTCCACCCCTAAAATGGGGTAAAACCGGATATTGCTCTAATTTTCAGCATAAATTATGCTCCAATTATGATTTTGACTAAAGCAATCGAAAGCTCTTACTCTCACGAATCTATTGATATGCTTATTTTCTACATAGGCCTAATAGATCCCGAGTTATTAGCAAAAAACCAACTTACACTAATATATCATTATTTTATTCATTTCATCATATAGATTGTTTTTGCAAGTAGAAACCGTGTGAAGTATGTTTGGAACAGAGAAAAAAAATTAAAAAAAAATTCGCTCCTCAAATTCGTACGAGGGGAACTTCCTCACTGGGGAACATTCGGGAAATGTTTGGGGAACGGAATTTTCTTTTACGCGAAACCCAATAATTATATTCATAATAGCGTAAGTGAATTTTTTAGAACATTTTTTAATAATTATATCCTCCAGTCTGTAGACTATACATTTTTTGATCAATTTTTTTACGTGAACATTTGCCAATTATTTTTATAAAGTAATTTCTTAGTTATTTTTACCAAGGTATATTAATTAAAAACAATCGATAATTTTGTAATAAGTAGTTGATTTGACAGTCATGATAATTGTCAATTTTTAATGGTCTAAGATTCAATTTTAATGGTCTAATAATGATAATTAGAAGCAAAAAGTTTTTCACTAAACAAAAAGTTTTTAAATTAAATAATGTATTAATATCATTATTAATAATACTAGTTGTAATAAGAAGTAACAGTAAGATTTATATACATACTTATAAACAGAAGTGAAGCAAAGCTGAAAAAAATGAAAACTATATTTCTAGACGGAGATAAGAAATATTTTATAATAATACTATTTATAATTAATTAAACAGGCTCAAAAATTTATAATGTACTGTATCTGAAATACTTCAAGGAATTGTAGTAATGTTAGAAATAATTATAAAATAACTTAATTGCTTAATTAAAATTCGAATAAATGAATTTATCACTAACAATAATAATAATAATAAGTGATTCTAAATTTAAAAAATATGTAATTATCAAAATTAAACCTGTAAGGTAGATTTTTTTATATTTATTTATGTACAAATATAAAAAGTATTATAATGCATAATTATTTATACTTTAATTCTTTGACAATTGAACTCTCTATTCGATTATTTGTATCAAATTATACTCTACTATAATATTTAAAAATATTAAACTCCAAAACGCTTTAAAATCTTATTAACAAATTTTTATTTAAAAAATTACAGTTTCTAACATTTTTGTTTCTTATTTAATATTCATTCTTTTTGTATAAATGATCGTATTTTATAAAAATGTTATTTTATTGATCAATAACTGTTTTTAATTTCTAGATAATCATTTTACGTACTATTGGTACAATATTTATTAATTATAATTTCAATAAACTAATTATTCAATTGGTGCAATTAGTGATCGGAATTTACATTTAAATTAAAAATTTTATTTTTTTTCTGCTCATCAATATGCACTTTTATTCACTATGAAGGTGATTTTTATATAGTAATTTAATTTTTATTTTATCATAATTATTTCTTTGTTAATTAATATACTGATTTTACATTTATATATTCTATTATGCTTTAAGCTAGTGATTTTTTAGTCTATTCTCTACCTAAAGCTTCCATACACTCTGAAATACGTAGACTATTATTTCGCACCCCTCATTCCCTCTTTACTATTCCTCGAACTAACCCCTTTAACCTCGCTATTTTTCTTCTTTTTTGAGGATATGTCACTGTCTTATACCTCTTTATTATTCCGATGTTATTGCAATGCAATTTAACATAACAATAAAGCACGGGTAAGTTATTGTTACACTAAATAAAATATACTGAAACATCCAGATAATACGTTTGAGGGTATAGATACGCTTATTTATTGTAAAATAAGATATATTCTTACATTCACGGTAACATGAGTTATTTCTTAATAATAGTTTTTTACATAGATATCTAGATATTTTTCAAATAGATTATTATTTTTGATGTTTCAATTCCTTTGTCTTTTAAAACTAGGTTTTTTTTTGTAGAGTTTCTCAATTCAATTGAAAATTTAACAATCAGAATACAATGACATTGTAATGATGATGAATTGTAGGAATTACCTTAAGACTATTTTGTTGCGCCTAGTTTGTGATAATTACAAGAATTATTGAGAAAATGTTTCATATGTAATATTATTTTTTTTTTTTAATTAAATAAAAAGAATAGTTTATTCTTTAATTGACACTCATTATGTGAACTATTTTTTTTTAAATTAAAAAAGAGAAATTCTAAGTAAATAATTGCACTATCTAGTGGCGTAGACAAGTTATAATTACTTCACATATTTTCACATGATTATATATCAGATTAAAAATAGTTATTTAAAGAAAAAAAAAGAAACAATTATCTAAGTAAAGTGTTAGGTTTACATTCTTGAGTTGCATGCTTGGTAATTATGATAAATGAAAAATAGATTTTTTTTTTTAAAATTAAGTCACAGCAGATCAATAAAAGTAGAAATGACGTAGGTTCTATTTAAAATGATCATATTGCAAACTGGCCAATCCTAGTAATGGGAATCCCCCAAGGCCAACTAAGATAGAAACTCACTGGTCTCAATGTAAAACTTAAAGTCACTCGTGCTACACCCTCACGATTGCTTGTAAAAATGCAAATGTGATGAAAGATGCGCGGAGTTGATAAAAAGTAAGGGGTGAATTTTAAACTGTCTTAAAAGCCTCAGGGAAACATTGAGAAAGTAGTGGACAATCGTGCAAGTCAAGAAGTATTCACTGCATACTAACAATAAAAAATAAATTACAGTTAGGCATCTTTAAAGATCTTCAATATTTATTTTTCTTTTTTATTCATTTCTTTCAATGTTTATTGTTTCTATCAAGTTTTATTTAATTTTAACCCAACAAAAACACATCACAAATGAACATAAAATTTTTTCTAAAAATTATTCAATCATTTTTCATACACTCCAAGAAATACATGAAAAATCAATTGATCTCATTATCCAAGGTAAAGAGAAAAATAATCATTCCTTTTTGCTCAACAGTTTGAAAGTAATGAATATTTAAAAGGAATAAAAAAAAACATATTCGACTCATTAATGTATATTTTTTAAAATCATTACGTCATGATTATTATGTGGGAAGAAGTTAAATTGAGTAAGTTATAAACTAGTAATTGATGAAGGAGAAATAATAAGACGGAAATAATAAAACAAAAAAAAACTAGTGGTATATAATATAATACATAAAAATAAAAAAAAAGGATAAAATTCTCGCGGTTGACGCAGGCGCGGTTTAAGGTCATGTAGGAGTTGTGGGTGAGCAAGGTATCACTGTTACGGTGACCCATTTATGAATATCGTGTAACAAGAGAGCCGCAACTTCTCATATGACACGGTAAGTTACGTAAAGTATTAGATACACCTAGTTACACGTTGAATCAAGTAGACACAATCATTTTTTTCATCCCTGTCATATTGTTTTTGCATCTAGAATTTCATTATCCGCTTGAATCTCAACCAAAAAAAAAACCCTGAAAGATATTAATACATTTATTAGTATAAAAATTTTATTTATTTCTTATTATGTTGAAAAATTTTTTTAAATTACATATAATTATAAAATACATAGATAATGGTTTTATTTTTTTCAAGATCTCTTGAAGGATACTCAGAAGACACCCCAACACACTCACACACCTGAAACTTTGCTCACCTTTTTCATATTTAAAGTTATTCCTCATT